GCTCGAGGGCGCGAGCAAGATTGGCGGCTTCCCGGCGTCTGTTGTGACCGGTGAGCACGTGCATATCATGTTGGATGAAGAGTGGCCCTACCTAGACATGTATTTAGGGTGCCTCCGAGATGACAAGGTGGTATGCGCGCTTGGTCTGCTCTGTACAAGCGATAAAGGTTCAAGTGTTCAAGTTTGAATGTGAAAGAATATGGCTCAAGAGGTGGGTGGCAAAAAGTCGCAAGTTGGATGAAAACAAGACAAAAGCAAAAGATGATGGACACTACGCGTTCACCAGACTGACGCGTCAAGAAGCGGCGGCCCTGGCCGCCGATATGCTAGTGTTACATAAGCAGGGCCATCTTGCTTCTCTTGTTGCAGCAGCTGGCAGCGCCGCCGACGGTTCGATTTGCCTGACTTTTACCTATTCACATATTGCTCCTTCTCTTCGCATACATCCGCCATGGACACAGTCGTCAGCTCCACCATCTCGGAGCCTTTAGATCTCGTTAAACTCGCTCTTGGAGAGTGAGTGTAGCTCTGGAGAGCATTGCCTTTTTGTCAGCCTCTCGCCGGACTATGGTACTGATTGCGCTTGCAGACGAGTCTTGATCAAGCTCAGAGGTGACAGAATTGTCACAGGTGTCCTTCACGTACGTGGCATTCCTTTCTGATGATGACCCAATCTGACATGCAAAAACAGGCCCACGATCCTCATATGAATGTTGTCGTGTCGCAAGCGGAAGAGTCCATCTATATCGTTGATGTCACCGAGGACGGACAACCGTTACCACCAAGATTAGAGAAGCGAAACTTTGAGATGCTGTTTGTGAGAGGGGATGGTGTCATTCTTGTAAGTTTGAAACACAGAGGTTTAATATAGCGACTGACGGGGGCATAGCTTTCACCAGTCGAACAGTAATGCGACAGTCATATGAGAACACAATGTATTCATATCCACCAAATTGTCCATGTACGTTGGAAAGTACCGAATATGGCTCAAGCTACGTTCGGCAATTTACGCTCTATTCTGCGACCGTAGATCCTGGCAGGTATATTTGTTCGCATGGCTACTCAGTGGGTGAGTGGATGATCTCAAAATGACTGAACGGATACATGACTGTCGCGTCATTATTCTGAAGACATACATGCTCGGAAATGTTTTCGGGCAAGTCAGCGTAAAATTGCCGTCAGTCACGCGAGGGGAAGAAGAAGTCGGAGGGTCGACAACATGGACGATCGGACGAAGACTCGTCGATAGCTAAAAAAGCTGAAGATACAAGTCTAGACAATTTGAGTACGCTCCATTTTCGTATGGTGCTTGGACATAGCGGAAGACAACGAGCAGCGCCCTACCAACTATCATCATTGACATACGATCAGGCCAGCAATATAGTAGATATCGTTCTTGGACCTCTTTGCGCTCGGTTCCGAATGGTCATGTATCAATCGTGCTCCTTGCTAATGACTTGGTTGATTTTCATCTCACAGTTTCACACCGCGAGGCGTACCCGGGCCCAAGGTTAATAAGGGTAGTACAGTATCATCATGCCTCAGCTCCTGAGTCTGCGAGGTTTCGTAGCCCTTGGATCGCAAAACGAATGGACATGAACGTACAAATAGCCCCTGCGCCATGAATCCGGCAATGCGATACAAGTAACGTCCACGAACTCGATCGCGAATGTGTTGGCCAAGTGAGGGGCAATCGATGTCGGCGTACAGACGCATAGGGTCGGTTGCCGAATTTGGTTCCGCAGCAAGAGTTGCCTGCCTGACGGAGCGTTGTGTGTGATCTAACGAACGTGCCATTTATGAACCACATCCAAAGTACGTTACATCTGACTGACGAGAAAGCGGTCTGGAAGTGGTGTACTGTGATGTCACCTATGTCTCCTCTGCGTGGACCGAAAGGTGATTCCGAGAGGAGTATTCCGAACGATGCGCGACACAGCTATTCGGACAGTCTGCGACCAAGAGTGGGTAGATTGGCTCTCTCCATTATGACAAACATGTTGATATTGTTTCTATCCTACAGAGAGCCTGCGACATATGCAGAAAACGGAAGATACGATGTGATGGGCCCATGACTAGTTCCACTGCCCGCGAGTCTAGCTATCAGACTCGTATAGCTACAGCTGAACAAGTCGAACCAGGATGTGCGCATTGTGACTGAAATCAACTCTCATGCACTTATACGGAAGGTGGAGGATCGAAAAGGCCGACACAAAGGCAAGTGGATTTTCAAGGCTACATGTTCGCATCCTCAGCTGACTCAGAGCTCTCCAGCTGTGTCAAAATGCTACAACAGAGATCCAGTCGTTTGGAGTCCATGCTGAAAGCGGTGAGCTCAGTAACGGCATTGTGCTGCAGATCGACTGACAAAGTCCAAGTTGTATCCCCAGGTCAACCTCGACGACTATGTGGGACCTCCTATCGATCACGAAGACTTTGATCTTCGATCTTATCAGGAACAACTTCGCGCTCTCTCCATCCCCGAATTCCCCACCATAAAGCCTCTTCCTCCACCCCGTATACCCTCTCACAGCCATATAACCCCATCGTCTCTAGACAGCGCAGAGCAGCTCGAAGAGTCGGATGAAGAAGACATCCCAGTGGCCAACAGCGTAGCCCGAGGATACGCACTGAATGGCATGAAGATTGGCGGGGTGGAATGGAGACACCATGGCAAAACATCGGGTGCTCATCTGCTGTGCCACTACCAAGAAATCAAAGGGCACACCCACGGGAACGTGGACTTTTTCGAGTCACTCGGACGACACAGAACTGAGCCACTGTGGCGTATCCCAGAATGGGAATTCTCTGTCACCGAGGCTGGATTACATCCGTTGGATTGCTCTGACTGGCCTGACCAGGGGCTGGATCAGCAGCTCATCGGTGCTTACTTTGATCATGTCAACGTCAATCTGCCCCTTCTCAATTGGACACTTTTCCAGCGCGAGTACGACGCAGGGCTATGGAAGACCCATCACAGATTCGGCAGAGTCTGCCTCTTGATATTCGCATGTGGATCTTTGTTCTTCAAGACTCCCGCAACCTTATGGCCTTCACCACCCTCGTATGAACATGACCCGATACGGCTGTCATATTCTTCCGGTTGGAAGTACCTCTTGATGGCCGAATAGCGTGCGGATGCCAGATCTGTATCAACTTCAGAGCCAGACTCTGATATGCTACTTCATGCAGGCTGGTACTCTGCCTCATTTCATAGCGGCAGGAGCCGGCTCTGCTCTGCGTTCCACGCAGGAGCTCGGCATACACCTCAAACAGGTACTCGAAAAGCTCGACCCCACCACAAAGGAGCTCTATAAGCGAGCCTTCTGGTGTCTGTATCATTTGGACCGGTATAACTCTGCCACGCTAGGGCGATCGGTTGCTATGACGGAGAAAGACTTCAACGTCCCTTTTCCGGAAGACGTCGATGATGAATATTGGGTACTGGAGGGTGGTGGCGTAATGAGGCAACCCGAAGGAAAGGTTTCAAAAGTGGCGGCGTTCATTCAGATGCTCAAGCTTGATCAGATACTGGGGAAGGTACTCGGCCAGCTGTATTCGGCCAGGAAAGCCGACTCTGATACAGCCAATAGGCGAGCTGTTGCTGTCGAGCTAGATCTTGATCTTGTCGAATGGGCGAAGAACGTCCCAAGCGTTCTGCGCTGGGACCCCGATCGCTCCAACTACACTCTTCTCCAACAAACCTCTTGTATCTGGGGTTTCCATTGGTTCATCAAAATCCTATTGCACCGGAATCTGATACCCCCTCGACCAAACGTCGCAACTATTGATCAGATATCGTCTTTGGCCGAATGCGTCGCGGCAGCTCTGTCAATATCCAGCATCACCAGCGCCACTCTCCAACGCGGCCGACTGGAAGGTTGCCAGCCAGGGAAATCCCTTGACATCTTCCTTATGGTCCCCTCCTGGCTGGCAGCTACCGTTCTCTTGGTCAGCATATATACGGTGAACAACACTGCTACCGAAAGACAGAGGGCAGTGAACGGTATCAAGATGTCCTTGGAAGCCAGTAAAGAATTGGGTGCGCTGTGGAAATTAGCTGCCAAGACAGGTGATTTTTTGGAGCAGTATCTCAGAGAGAACCACAATGGGGACAAGTCGAGCCGATTCGATACTGTACCAAACCCTACCAACTTGGTGGCCTACGCTACTTCTCAGTGGTCCGCGTCGAGTCCCGATAGCGAGGAAGTATCTCAGAGGGGTCTTTTTGACTCCTGGTTGAAGATGAATATGTTTGAGGCTCAGATAGCAGGTATGAACAACATGTCATTGGGCGATGGCGAGGAGACTTTTGGCGAAGAATGGTGGGAGCGGATGTTGAGCAATCAAATGTGAGGCACGCGATCCCTCAACGTCATCATTCGCAGAGGCTGATGGCAGCAACTTGACAGAGGTCCAGATCTATACAATACTTGGGCATAGTAACACATGGACGACTCTGCGTCATATGCGGGCACTATAGCTATCGTAATATCGATCATGCATATGTATATTAGTCTAGTCACAGTCGTCGCGTTCATGGCATAGTCAAAACATCTCCGCCTGCTTGAACTCAGGCTGGTCCGGTGGTAGATAGCTTACCCTTCTTGCCCGAAAGCTTCCCTAGCATCCCGCCCCAAGATCCCGTTTTTCTCATTGACTGTGGCAGTCCTTCGGAGCTACCGCTCGTCGTGTCCCTGCCCCCAACATTCCTATTTGCGCTTTTTCTTCTTCCCAACCATCCTCTCTTGGCGTCATGTTCCTCCAGAGACTCATTTGGGCGGGAGGACACGCGGGCAACGAGAGTCTCTGTACGGGAAAGAGAGATGTCGGGTTCCGGCGAGATTCGCTGCTCCTTGCCTCTGCCTAATTTGGTGGGTGTTTCAGGATCGGGAAGAATGGGTAGGGTAGTACTATCGAGTGAGCTTATCTCGGCGGCCAAGCTCGGTAGATCCGGCGGCGAGTTTTGGACCCTGTCATCGAAACCCATCCACGACACCCCGTCCACCAAACCCAAGCTCGGAGACCCCTCAGCCAAGGCTAGGTTCGGTATCTCCACCTTCCCTACCCCTGCTCGATCTGGTCTGGTAACTTCGAGCAAGGGGCTCATAGGCGCCAGACCCCGCCCATCATCTTGGAAGCCTTCAATGTTATCTTCTGACCTTGCTGGTCTCAGCTCTCGGCCGCGCTTGACTGGAGATACAGCCCCGAGTCGTAGATTAGTGACTGAGGAAGGACGTTGCAGGTCAAATGACAAGCTTTTGCGTCCGCTCAGTACAGAGGCAGAGTTTTGCGTCCTTCCCCTAGGCTTGCCACCCTCACTCCCCGTCCTGATACCAAGACCTGTAATACCCTCTCCATCGACTGAGCCGGAGCGCTCTGCCCATTGTCGTAATGAGACCCTCGGTGAAGGCGGTATCGCACTGAAGGACGAAGATCTTGAATGCGTTGCGGGAAAGTAGTCGCCTTTATAAGAGATGACTGATGGAGAGCGAGCAGCAGCGGCCGAGATTTGCGAGGACCGCATGGGGGAAGAGGGTACAGATGGGGAGGCAAAATCCCAGGAGGAGGTTCCAGAGACGATAGAAGAGACCGTGGGGACACGGAGCAGCTCTTGTCGTTGGGATAGAGGTGGGACACCGTCAAGAAGTGTTTGTGCCAACGCTTCTTTCTTTCTGGAATGTCTGAGCCACAAATGGTCTAGTAATTGCAATGCTGATGCTCTGGCCGTGTGTTAATACACGACTGCCATTCAGATTAGAGACTCACCGATGCGCGGGCTCTTTGACAAGACAAAGTTGTACAAAATCCTTCATCTGCTTACTAAACTTGCCCATCCTGTCCAACACTGGGGCAGGCTCTTTCGCTATATTTGTCAAGATGTCTCTACTTTTCCGCTTGCCACCCGGAACGGCGCCATAAGCTAGCTCAAGGATAGTGATACCGAGACTCCAGATGTCGGCTTTGCTATCGTACTTTTGGCCAGTCACGACCTCGGGGGCCATCCAACTGGGCTACAACAAGGATCAATCGCTGTTCGTCGACCGAACGGCCGCTCTTACAGTTCCCACGAAACTCTTTCTCATACCCCGGTCATCGTTCGGTGAAGTCATCCTCTTCCCAGGCCCGAGACCCAGCTGGGTCTCGGGCTCGAACCTGACTTCTTCGATGCCCGTCCGCTTGGCTTTACCAGGCGCAGGCGAAGCAGGGAGGTTCATATCACCACCTACACCGAGGTCGGCAAGGAGTATAGTGCCGTCTCCATCTATCAATAGGTTGCCTGCTTTTAGGTCTCGCTGGGCGGTTGTCAGTGGTAAGCCGATATGGAGGGCGAATGGACATACATGTATATATCCTCGTTCGTGAAAGTAGGCCAGGCCCTCCAGCACCTGCTTAACGATCCCCTTTACCTCTTCCTCCTCTAGTCCCCCGGCGTCCGGCCGTTCTGTGTCGAGATCTCGTTTCTTGCCGAATTTGAAGTTGCTCCGATTCTTGGTCGGGGTCGCCAAGCGAGAACGCCAATCCAGTATGCCCGCGATCGATCCACCGGATATAAGAGGAGTCACTAGGGCTAGTCGGAGATGGTCGGGAGGTAGAGTGAAGGTTGTTACGATACTATGCGTGGTATCCATCAACATCAGCATGAACGGGACACACTGCTTGGGACGAACCGAAGGACATTAGGGTGCCTGCAAAGCTCTAGCAAACGTATCTCTTTGAAGAGTTGTTCAGCATCATACTGATAGCCCGAGACTTTGATCGCGCAAGGCCGCTCCTTTGGCTGCGCCGAGCCATTTGATTTGGTCAAGTCGCCCGGCGAGACGTTGATTGATAGAGAAGCAGAGGTTGGAGGCAGAGAAATGCTCAGGTCCGGTTTGCGAGATGTGCTTGGCAATGAAGCCGAGGTGGGTTGAAGATGTCGGGGCTGAGTTTGAGTAGGAGCTGGCGTGGCGGCTGATGGTACAGGAGCCGAGTGATATGAGGGCGGTGTAAAGACAGCGGCATAGACAGTGGACGAAGCGCCGAACCCTATACAGTACTGTGAGATTCGTCAACCAAAGGTGTGAGACTTCATACCTATAGCAGGACCGAGCTCATAGTCATCCGAATTCGACGTAAACCCTGTCCAGTACTCGTCATTGGTCATTCCCATATTGTGACCTTCCCCCTGGCTTTTGGAGGAGCGTCGGAGCGCCATGATAGAATTGCTGTGAGGTTAGGCAAGCATATAGGACCCTGTCCTGCCACCTCCGAAGCAGCCCGGATGGCAGTGAAATGGCATCTCTGTGACGCGTCGCGTCGTGGCGTAATGTTATGTAATACACAGCACATCATTGTTGTTGTCCGTTGAGTGAAGGCTCGCAAAGGCCATGTAGCCATCATTCAACTATACCGTATATATAAATCCGCGGCAGTAAAGCAGGCCAATATTACATATCCCACAGAAAGGTGATCGTAGAATAGGCATAAATCCGGACCATCACTCTCTCTACTGCTTCCCTTGAACCATCCTTTACATCTCTTCCATCATCATTAAATGCTATTAATCCTCGTCGGTCTGGTCAAACAAAAAGTTGGCGGCCAATTCCTCGTTCTTGTCACAGAGCATGTAGGCCTGAAGGACCATTTGCCTGTCAAAACCAAGAGCCTCGAGCTACGCGTACCGTCAGCCATGTGCTACACCTCAACGATGCCAACTTGCCCTGGAAACAGCAGCAGCCTCCTCCTGCGTCAAGTCCACCCTCATAACAGGTCCTTCTCCCATCTCATCATCATCATCTCCATCTCCAGCGCCACCAAGGAGTTGGTAAAGCGCTTCGGGGTTTTGCTGAATAAGTTGAGCGAGCTCGGGGTTCTCAGCGGTGATCTGTTGAAGGAGTGGTTGGATGAGGGCGGGATTTTGCTGGATCATCTGTCGGATAGCGTCGAGCTGGCCACCAGGCGCACCTCCAGCTCCAGCCCCGGCACCAGCGGGAGCTCCTCGGTCACGGTTCACTAAAAAGTTTGTCAATTCACATTGTTAATTGTTGACTCCATTGCTTACTAGCAGCCTCGGCAGCCTGTCTTTTGTCAGCTGCGGTATATTGTCATGCCAGAAGACTTACAGCGAACAAGTTGTCGGCGCTTCCGGCGGCAGGGGCCTCGGCAGCGGGTTGTCCAGCGGGCTGGGCAGCAGGAGCTGAAGGGGCAGCGGCGGCAGGGATTGATGGGGCGGAGGGGGCAGCAGCGGGGGCAGCGGCAGGAGCAGCAGGCGCGGGGGGATCCAGGTTGGGAATGTTTCCCTGTTGGCGCGTCAGCTACCAGACTCGTTACAAGACGAATGCACCCACAGACATGAGGTACTCGACGGCCCGGTCAGGGTTGTTGAAACTGGCCCTCAGAGCTCGCACAACCAAATCACGCTCAAAGCCCATCTCTACCATACCATCGGTAGCAGCTTGCAGCTGGTCACCAGCCACTGGACCACACATTAGCTTGGAGGCAAAAGATGTGAGATTCGACGTACAGAAAGAGGTGCCGAGAGCTGCGGAACCGGACGGTTGAGCGGATTCAGAGGCGGCGGGCGTGGGGGTCTCGGCAGGGGCTGTGGGTGCAGGTCCAGATGAAGGGGCGGGGGCAGCTGGTGTAGAGGGAGCGGCGGAAGCAGCAGGGGCGGGGGTGGAAGGGACGGCGGCGGCGGCAGGAGCAGCTTTAGGCTATCTGACGTTAGATCGGCCGGGTAGAGACCACACCTTGCTCACTCTTGAGACCATCACGACCAAAAAGTCCTTCTCCTTGATCTTGAGAGACTCGACTGATGAAGAATCATTGAGGATCTTGCCTGCAGGAAAGGTGAGGTGTGAACATGCAGGTGGCAAGGCGGCGAACGCACCAGAGTAGATGAGCTTTTGATTTTCGGCAGGGAAGGTCTGGGACTCTTGGATCTTTTGCTTCAAGTCGGCGACCTGGGGAGGACTGATGTCAGTATGATGCATGGATCAGGATCTGCGGGAGAGGCGACTTGCGGTCTCGGAGTCCTGAGCGTCGACGGTGAAGAGCTGCAGGGGGTAAGCATGGATTGTGAGGGCGGGGGAGGACACGGACCTTGTTCTGTACGGTCTTGAATGTGATTTTGACCATGGCGATAGATGCTGGAGAGGGTGAGACGACAATTAGACGATACGTCCATCATCCACGCTTCGTCACCGTGGACATCGCCGCCTTATTCTTAACATACAGTTAAAAACAATCGATATCCTCTTTGCTTCCGTTCACTCTGAGCGCCACATGGCAAATGCCCGGCAAACGCCGAGAAACTCTTGCAGGCTTGGACTTTGGCTTGCACAGAGAGACGCCTTTGCTCAACCCTCAAATTCTACTGTGCGTCCACCGACACCTCCCCCAACAGCCCCCTGACGAACCCCTGCAGAAAAATGGCCTCTTCTTCATCCAAGATCCGAGCCTTCGAGCTCCAGTCCAAGTGCGTTTCCGACATACACAAATTCGACATTTCGCCACGTAGAAATGGAGAATCTCAAGATGGAGGATCAGAAGGACGGAATGCTGACGGGATGTTGTAGGAGCAAGCAGGACCTTTTGGAGCAGCTCCACGAGCTCAAGACTGAGCTCTCTTCTTTGAGGGTGCAGAAGATCGCCGGTGGCTCTGCCAGCAAGTTGACCAAGATGTGGGTATCAGATCTCTTTGTGTATAGGATGGAGTAGGGGTGGATAGGGAGGGCACAGGGACGGGGGCTTCATACAAGCCCTGCGTTGCCAGGAGATGGACAACAGGGGACAGTCGTGCTGACCAAATTCCAGCAACACCGTCCGAAAGTCCATTGCCCGAGTCCTCACCGTCATCAACCAGAAGCAGAGGCAAAACCTCAGGGAGTTCTACAAGAAGTCCAAGTGTACGTCTTTCTCATCGTTCACCTGGATCGATCTCATTTTGAACAGACACTCCCCTCGACCTCCGTTACAAGAAGACCCGTGCTATCCGACGACGATTGTCTGAGAAGGAGGCTTCTGCCATCACCGTCAAGCAGCACAAGAAGAACATCCACTTCCCCGCCAGGAGTACGTCTCCTGTATCATCATTGCCTAGAATGATTGCTGACCGACTTTACAGAGATCGCCCTTAAGGCTTAAGGTGTTTTTCCTGTAGGCTGACAGGGTGGGGATGCATGAGTGTACCACGATATACAGTTTGCGATTGTTTCGTCAGGCGGTTCAGGGGGTAATCAGGACGTTGGAGCAATACTGATGCCTATTCGTCACTAATCTTTCAGATTCAAGCCTTGTGCTCGTTCAAGAACCGGTTCAGATAATCAACACTGCGACGAGAGGGACATATGGCGAGACCAGCTGTGAGTCATTCATATCAAGCCGCGCGGCTTCCTATGATGAGCAATCTTTTACAAGCTCAACAGTCCTACTATTACTGAGGATACCCCTCTTCTTCTTTATCTCTGAGGATTTAGTCGCGCGGCTGCTTGATTCGATTTGGGAATGAGTCGCTGACCGCTTGATAGAGGTCAAGATTTATTGCTGGTCGATGCGGGAAACACTGGTCGCCTCCGCCCTGTGCGGAATCGACGTCTCACCATCGCCCGTCGCATCATGCAACTTTTGATACTCGCCTTGGCTCCCTGTCACTACCCTGCATCCACAGTGAATGCTACTGACGTATTGCTCACCCAAGCTGGTTCATTCGTGTTGAAAATAGTGAGTTGGTCATCTCGGGCCGCGCGATTTCCTATGATGAGCAATTCTTTACAAGCTCAACAGTCCTACCATTACTGAGGATACCCCTCTTCTTCTTTATCTCTGAGGATTCCCGTCGCGCGGCTATTGTTTGATTGTCAGGCAAAATGTGTCGCTGACCGTTTTACAGTGATAACGTGCCAGATATGATATGGAACGATGTAGGGTTGTGTTAGAGGGCCATAGAGTGGGCAAATCAATGGACAGAGATCGGCAGGATGCCAACAGTTGCAGGTCGGATTATGCATCCCTTTTCTTGTTACAACACTCTTGCGCCTCGAATGATGTTTGACACTGGCACAGGTATACATACCGATCGCTTTCGACTCAGTCATCGACCGTGATACTATCCGGCTCCTCATAGTACACCATATATCTCAGCTGGTTGTTCTCATCCCTATCGTTCCCAGAGTTGTCAGCATGGCGGGGGGGAATGTGCGAACTTACAGGTAAGTATCCTGTTCCAATGCGCCTTCTTCGGCAACACCCCCGTCGAGGCTCGTCACGGAGAGATCGGTGGTGCTGACGCTCTGTTGAGATTGGTCTTCCTGTGCAGTCATGGTATGTACGAAGTGATGTATATTTTGGGATCTCCTTATGTATAAGATCTCCCTTGGTAGGATCGCAGTTCAAAGGATCGTCTTTGCGCTATCGCTCTTTTGACCCAAGCGGAGAGAGTGCATGTATCATCAGAAACGCGTGACAAGTCTTTACTTTTGTTGGGCATCGAACGTATAGACATGCTAATGCAAGGCTCTCAATGCACCTGAGACCCATGCATCGCTGTCATTGACTGATGAAAGACAAAAGACATCGCCTCTCTTTGTTGCAAGAACTGCACTGCCCGAGCCCCATATATAGAGTATAGCCCTCCACCCGGCCACCGAATAAAGCTGAAAGCTCCTAGCAAAACGGTCCTAATCCAGGCCTAATCGCGTCGCATGCGTCGATCGCACAAGCTAGATCGTAAAAAGTAACGAAAAGCCGGTGCAAGGGAGATCTCGTGTATGTGCATTTGGAGTCTCCCCAGGTCCCCGGGAGGTATACCTGGGCCAGGGAAGACTGAAGCTGTCAAGCTGGTATGTATATAGCTCTCTAGTCAAACATGGGTCCGTATAGTCTTTGAAAGCTGTCAACAAAACGTCATGGACAAGTCAGAAAAGTCTCGGGATAAGACAGTGGCTGTACATGGTTGTGGAATCTGAAGGGCCGAAGACCGAAGAAAGATGTCAAGGAAGCGCAGAAAGAACACATATGGTCAGATGATTTTTGCATTGTCCCGTCGATTGGTCTGCGCAAAGGAAACAACAGGCAACAGGCGGGCTGAGGTTGAGTCTTTGTGGCGCTCGGTGCATATGCGTTTGACCGTGACCAGCATCAGCTGCATCACTGACCCCTTTGTCTGGCCGCTTGAAATGGCCCAAGGGGTGCAAGGGGTTCAAGTCGAGGCTCGAGCAAAAGTCGAGAGCGAGGAGCGAACCGATAACAACCCTGGTCTCGCAGCCAGTCCATCTAGACGCGCTATGCCACAGAGATCGAGGGTCTTGGGGTACCGGATTGGACGCGTCGATGTTGAGTGATTCTTGCGATGTACTCGTATGTACAGTAGTATGTCCAGTCCGGGGTCATGATGTAAATGGGCTAGAGCGTTGTCGAGGGGCGATATGCGGGTACGTCACACCTGACGGGAGCAACCGAATTGAGCCACTCTAAGCGCGGTCGAGATGCGGGTGTCGAGTGTCTGTTCTGTGAAGAGGGGCATGGTAAGACATCGTGTATCTATGCATGGCTGACGTTGGCAGTGCTTGCTGTGGGACGGACACGCCTGTGCAAACACGACGCGTTATAACTTATAAGCTCGCAGGGAGTTGTGTGGGGACGCGGCTTTTTGGGCCTGGGGCTCTAGCGTTCCCTGACTGCGAGCCAGGAATAGCCCCGTTTCCTCGGCATCGCCTCGCGCTCGCCCTTCACCGCATCCTCAAAACCGTCATCTCGCCTCCCTCTGCCCCCGTCCCGCTGCTTTTCTTTCAATTCACCACATACGTTCTTTATTAACACCCCACCGCCCCCCTTGTTTCCATCCCTCGCCACTCCCTTCATCCGTACGTCCATCCTCCCTCTGCTGCGCGACCGTCTCTCCATTGTTCTTCCACCCCCCCATCATCCCCTTTCCATCGCAGCCACCCGTCTGGCCCCTTGCATCCACCCCGCGAACAGCAAGCTGACTGCAGCCCTCCGCTCCCTCTGCTCTCTATCAACTGGCTTGATTCGAATCCTGTAGAAAGTGAGCGATGCCCTCCTAGGCCCACAGGGCGCGTCAAAGACCATTCCGCTAACAACACCTTTTCAGAAAACCCGCCTCTTTTCCATAATGATCTCCAAGGTCGCTGTTGCCGGCGCCGCCGCCGCTCTTGCTGCTGGCGTTGTACGTCGCGTCTCACCAAACAACGATGCCCAATGAGGCTGACAAGTTTTTGTTTTTTTTTTTGCGCACAGGCCAACGCCCAGGTCACCGCCACTGGTACCATGGGTTCCACCAACCCCGCCGAGGCCACCCTCGGTACCGCTGTTAACCAGACCTCGTTCTCCCGATTGCTCTCTTTGAACGCCATCGACGACTTCTGTGTCTTCGCTCCCCACGAGCGGGACTCTGAGATCGGAGACACCGAGGCCGAGGAGGTCGCTTGGTGTGTCCGTAAGTCGCGCTTTCTACCTCTCTGCTTTACCCCCTGACATCTCGCAGAGCCCCGTAACGAGGCCCGAGTCATCCCCGATGGTACCCTTACTGCGGTCCACTTTGTCAAGACTCCCCTCTACTGGCAGGTCCAAGGTTTCGGTGACTTCACCCAGCTCAACATCATGGACGGCGACGAGGGTGGTGAGCTCGACCCCCACGGTGCCACCGGTCTCGGTAACCCCGTCGGCGGTAACGTCACCACTAACGCCACTGGCTCCGATGTCTCTTACGAGGAATGGATGAAGTGCGTAGAGCTCGTCAAACACGCAAACTCGCGCTGACACCCTCGCAGCTACATGTCTTACGACATGTTCTGTCTCCGAATCTGTATCTCGGCCAACTCTACCTACACTGCCGCCGAAGAGTGCCAGCACACCCTTGACGAGATGGGTTGTTCTTGGATCATGCCCGGTGACTACACCGACAACTCTTTCACCGAGTGTGATGGTGACGCCGCCTACCCCCCTGGGATCTACCCCCTCCAGAACGGCTCCACCTCCACCTTTGCTCAGCGATACACTGGTACCTACACCAACTCTGACGGTTCCAGGGGTACCTGGACCCAGGGTGAGACTGTCACTCCCCAGACTGCCTACTCCACCCCAGCCACTTCTAACTGTATCACCTACTCGTCTGTTGGTAACGGGATCTCCTCGCTTGCCCTTTCGGGTGCTACCAATGGGACAGGCGTGAGTTCAATGCAATTTCTTACGTGACACTGACTAACGATATCGTAGGTGGCGGGAGGTAGTTCCACCGCATCTGTCACTGGTGCTTCTGAATCTGGTTCCGACTCTGCTGCTGCTACTGGTTCGTCGTCTGGCTCTTCTGTTGCTGTCACGAGCTCTTCATCTGCTGTCGCCTCGGAGTCTAGCTCTTCGGGCTCTGGCAGCAGCGTCTCTTCTTCCGCATCGGCTGGATCTGACTCTTCTGCTGCAGGGGGCTCCACTGCCGCGGCATCGGCCTCTGGGAGCTCGTCATCTTCTGGGGCCCTCTCTGCCTTTGGTGGCCTCAACTCTGGCTCTGCTATGGCCGGACTCGTCAGCGTTGTCGCGCTCTTGGCTGGTGCGGGCTCTTTCCTCCTCTAAACGGGAGAGGAATGATCTACATCAACTAGACTACGACCGACGACCGAGAAACGCTATACGATGGAGGATGGGATCTTGGCTTGTGGCCTTGTGCGGGCGAGAAACGTAATTCTGTTACTCATATCCCAAACTTGACTTTTACACATATTTTCTATACGTTTGACCCCCACAACCTCCGCACCGCCCGCATAGGAATGGACTTTATACATTGATTGCCCCCTTCTTGTTGCATGGATTTCCCTGCATTGAGCCAAGATGGTGGCTTACGAGAGAATGGGCGAAAGAAGCAAGTTGGGTGATTCCCCGTTTCGGAGACGGAGGACCGGCCAACTGCAGAGTCGTAATGCGCGTTCCTGGTTCGTACCGCTTTGAGAGGATGATTCGGGGCATCTCTTGCATTTGATACATCTTGCCTTGCACCCACCGCGTCCCTGCACGGGCCATGTTTAGATCTCGCAAATCCTCCGTCTCGCAGATATCTCCCCTCGAACCCCCCCAGCAGAGCCGAACAAGCATGCAGCCCACCCCGCCCAACTCGGCCCCAGGCCAGGTGCCGCAGGGGCAGGGCCGTCCACCCCGTCCCCCTACCCAAGGCCCCCGCCGCCCAGGCTCGTTCGACGCCAACCCTCCGCAGCCTGCATTTGCGGGCGGACCGAAGATGGATCGCGTGCAGAGCCACGACCAAGGGAGTGCCAAGGGGGAGAAGAGGCGGAGCGGGTTCTTTGGATTCGGGGGCAAGAAGAAGGACAAGGCGGAGAAGGGGCAGAAGCGGGAGGACGTCGATGTGAGTCGTGGAGGAACTGTTTCTGGGCGATGGCGGTCCGAGCGGCATAACAGTATGCTCATGTCGTTGCAGAAACCTCGCTCGTCCTTCTCCATAGATCGCCCATCCACCCAGCTCGCCTCGCGCCCAGTCCCGCCGTCCGCCTCCCAGCGCTTTCCCCAGGGACAAGGCCAGCCGGTACCCCAGCAGCAGGCTCAAGCTCAGGCTCTGCGAGAACAGCAGCAGCCTCCTTCTCAACCGCGGCCGTTTGCTCGAGATCAAGGTCCTACACCGCCTCCCCAGCAACAACAGCAGATTCCAGCTGCCGCGAACGACGGTCAACGATCCCAGAGCTTGGAGATCTCAAGAAACCACCAGCAGGCGGTGAACGGACAGCAACGGTCGTCGCCCCTTGTACCCCCAGAGACTTTGCAGCGACCCCAAACAGGGATGCCGGCAAAGCAATCTGTGCCAAGGTCGGTCTCGATGCCGATGGCGCCTCCAGCGCCTGGCACGACCCCCAACGGTGGCAGCGGCTCCCCTCGTCGGGCCTCTCTCTTTGGCAGCGGCAGCACCGCTCAAGACCCAAACGCTCGAGGCCCTTTCGAGTCTGGCAATATCAACACTGAAAAGTTCCAGGCCATCCTCGAGCTCATCGCCCTCCAGCCCCAAAAGACATACGTGACGTCCCCGCCAGAGCTCGAGATGATTCTCGCGAGGACGAGTGCCGGTGGGCAGCCCAAGCTGGGACAGCCCGGGAGTCCGAGTAATGATTGGGATGCGGTTTGGTTGCAACTTTCCGGAATCTCGCTTTGTAAGTTTGAGTCAGGGGGCGTGGGAGGCGTGCTGATAATAGACAGCCATGTGGTCCATGAAGGAGACACGAGCTGCTGCTGCTAAAGGCGACAAGGTGCCTCCGACTTACTTCAACATTACCGACTCTTCCCTCGAGCTTCTCGCCCCCCTCCCGCCTCCCCCTCACCGACCAAACTCTCGTCCGCACAACTTTGTCTACTCTCTCAACACTGCGGGGTCGAACCGACTCTTGTTTTCGAGTCCTACCGAGCGTGACCTCGCCCGATGGGTGTCTGGACTCCGGCTCGCGGCGTGGGAGAGGGCAAGGTTGGAGGAGATCTACACTGGTCATCTGGTCCAGTATGGTGAGCGCGAGCCGCCCGTCGAGGTGGGCAAAGGCCGATCAAAGATGGAAGGTTGGGTTCGAGTACGTGTCATGGGTGGGACCGACTGGAGGCGGCTTTGGGCTGTTTTGAGTACGCCCGGGGAGGAGGGCGCCAAGGACGAAGGAAAACATAGGCGAAGGAGTTTCTTTGGGATCGGAGGCAAGGAAGAAGAGCCGGCGCCACAAGAGCCCAACACTGGAGTTTCCATGGCTGCATTTTATACCGAGCCGAGGACCGCAAAGAACAAGACTAGTGTCACGCCTGTTTTGACGATCACCAATGTCTCTCAGGCGTGAGTCTCTTGAAAATCGAAAGCCCATCGCTGACAATGTTTTAGCTACGCAGTCTTCCCCGAGCATCTCGAGGTGATGGTCCAATCCAACCTCTGTAAAGTCGTCGGTCGCGTCAGCGGAGACATGGTCACTATCGAAGGTCGTCTCCGCGACTCTGGCTGGGCTCTGCTCATGCCCGAGACTCCCGGAGAAGGCAGCGATAGAGGTCACGGATCTTCTTCCAGTCAAGGCCACGGGCAGAGCTCTGGGGTGTCGCCTTTGGGCAACATGATGCGTTGGGTCACTGGCTTCCATGATGCGTTTGCGCTCTATGGAAGACCGGAAAAATACAACTGGAACCCAAGGGACCCGAAGAGTCTGTTCTTTGCCTATCCCCAGGGCCCGCATCGAGGAGTGAGTAGGTTCATTCCAGTCGAGGCATGGCTAACGGGCAACCAGAACCTCTTTTTGACCGTGGACGAAGCCTTGCGAGGAGATTTCCGTGTCACTTCACTCGCCGAAGTTCGTGCTCAGCTCGTGCACCTCGTCCACCGCCGTCTTGCTGGTGGCATTCAAGAGCATATCGAGGAAGAATCCGGCGAGGATGAAGAGCACGAGCGCGAGATGCCGCAGGAACAAGGCAACTTCCGTCTCCCACCTCTTTCTTTCAACGAGCTACACGACAACGAGGAGCGAAACATGCCACGATCCTTGACGCCCATCACCGAGAGGACGGATGTGACGAGGCAAAACAGTACGAAGACTAGCAAGTCTGGGCTTACTATTGCCGGCATGGGCTCTCCTCCGAGTGGCACCACTGCTCAAGGGGACAGAAAGACGAGCGGGGGTAGCTCCAAACATGGCAGCCAGTCGAGCAAGCATTCTGATTTCGGTATCGTGCCCATGTCTAATGACGGCTTTGCCCCTCTCACAGAAGAACCTGGAGAAGTGTACTCCTCAAACGGCTCTGGATCCCACTCGGGTGCGACCATTACTCCCCAGCCTCCAGTGAACCCTCTTCCTGGTTTCGGTGTACTCGACAGGCATGACAAACAGGTCACTCCCTCTTCCATTGCTAGCAAGACTTCAGAGAGCGTCTATTCGCAGGAGACGGGGTTGACGCCTGTTGCGCCAAGCAATGCGTCTTACTATAGTGCCAAACCTTCAGTGGACGGCCACGGGCCTCAACAGACCAATTTCCCTGTGCCAGTCCAGAATGGTCAGTCTATGGCGCTCGCTCCCCCTGTGGAAGTCCCTACGGAGCAACCTGTCTCCTCGGCTTCAGGGCCTGAAGAAAGGCCTCCTCTTCCTCCGTTTGCATCGGAACGCTCTTCAGAGGTGCTCTCGCCGACTCCACGCAAGGTTTCGTCCGGTGAACCTCTTCCCCATGGAATAGAGTTGGCCCAGGAGCCAGCGGCAATGTACTTGATGAACATGGTCGAGGAGCCGCCTGTGCCCGAGCCTCCTCAGCGCATCACATCAGCTTCTCCGCCTACCAACGGTGCCCATGTGAATGGGAACCAGCTGCAGAGGAAACCTTCAGGTGCCAGGGCTTTGCCTGTCAGACAGCAGAGTGCGGAGCCCAAGCTGTACAACATTCAAGACAGGCCTAGCGAAGATGCCCAGGCGGCCAATCCTGAACTGGGAGAAGACTTTTCATCATACATGAATTATGCCGACAATCCTACACCTGTCCAACCCAGAGTTGCGCCTGCCCCTACCCGACCTCTTCCTGCCAAGGCTGTCTCGCCTCCTCAGGAACAGGTCAAGTCGAGCTTTGCTCCGAGTCGTGCGGTGCGCGAGCGACGTGCAAAGGCAGAACAAGATGCAAAGGATCAAGAGATGGCCAAATACAAGCCTGGCGGGGGGAAGCGAATCGTGAGCACTAGGAGCACCATGCCAGAATTCGAAAGTTCGGATGAGGATGAAGAGGAAGAGGAGGAAGAAAGCGAAAACGAAGCTCCCGCTGCGCAGAAGAAGACTTCTCTACCGGTTTCTCCTGGCCAGGTCGCGCCTGTTCGAGGCGGACAGCTGGGACTCGAGGGTCTTCCTCGTGAACGCCAAACGTCCATGGATGCGAGAGCTCTTCCGCCCGTTCCCGTCCCCGCAAATCAGGCTCCCGACCTCCGCCTGCCTTTCGAAGACCCTGACGCTCGATCTCGAGTCGATAGTCAATACAGCCAGCACAGTCAACGCTCAAGTGGCTATGATCCTCGTGCCAATCAATACATGGACCGGCCTCGCAACGCATCGCGCACGCCCAGTCCTTCGAATGGCCCTCCAGGTGCCGGCAGACCTGGATCCAATTATCATGGGAACGGCGCCGTCTATCCCATGTCTGGACCTCGCCAATCTTCCAACATTGCCCCGCCTCCTGCCACCCGCCAAAGTGTGTGGAACGCCAACTTTTCCGCTCAGCATGGTATGGAAGAGAATACAAAGTCTGGCAAATTTGTCGACCTGGAAGAACCTTCTGTTCATCTTACCAAGGCATTCGCGCCTCACGGGCTGCTTCAGGCCGGTATACAGGACAAAGAAGAGAGGTCGGCAAAGAAACAGGAGGAATTGGCTAGAGAGACGGGCAGCAGTCTCATCGATGTTCCCTCCAAGCCGCCTCCCCCTCAGGCGGGACTGTTGGGCGCTGTGACAGCGCATGAGAGGGACAGAAAGAATGCTGGTGGTATTGGTGCCACATTGACTGATAGAGAGAGAGAAAAGAGGTTGGCTGTGAGCATATTTGGATGACACAATGTCATGGGCTGATTCTTTTTACAGGAAGAAAAGCAGCGAGAGTTCGACCGACTCCAGCGTCAACAGATGGGTCAATTCGGCGGGGATATGTATCCTCAGCAAGGCTTCGGCCAACAGGGGTATGGCTACGGGATGGGCAATGCTATGATGAACCAGATGCCTATGATGGGTTATCCTGTAAGTGCACACTGCCGATATCTCCCGCGTGCGAAAGCTCATGAATATTCAGTACCAAGGAGGCTTCAATCCTTACGCTCAGGCTCAGCAACAAGCCATGATGGCTGCCCAGATGGCGTATCAACAGACCATTATGACAATGTCGCAAGCCGGCTCTCAAGCTGGTGATCCTCACGAGCGAGCTCAATCTGCCCAGTCTCGTCATCGACAGCCCTCTGGGTTCAGCGATGACCGCTCTGGTTCTCCCAGCGCCAGCCAGATGGGCGGTATCCCGACTCTCTATGGCGGTTTCCCGCAGGGCGCCATGGGTATGGGTATGAACGGTATGGGCATGCCCATGCAGATGCAGATGCCACAAATGCCCTGGATGATGCCCGGAGGCGGGATGCCAAGCCCCGGGATGTGGGGAATGCCTGGGGTGCCCAGCTCGGCTGCTCAAGGAAGCCCAAATTTTGGCTTTATGCACCCCAGCGCGCCTGGTGGGGTTGGTAGCGATGCAGGCAGTATGAGAGGAAGTCCGATGGGAGGAGAGGAGGGTGGCCAGAAGTTTAATTGATCTCGTGGAATTTTCTTATCTCTTGACTGACTTGTGACTGCTGAAGGACTTTTGGAATGACCATTGATATCATTGTGTATAACGTTTACGATACTGTTCAGAGAATGCATATTTATTTGATCGTCTGAACGTTCATTCTTTGTCTGGCTCCTAGGATGCACACCCCGTTGGATGGGATCGAGCCAGCTTTCGCTTGCAGTACAAGTGCTCTTCAATGCGAATGAGCGCGCGGTATGGATATACATACAGTACCCCATAGGACAGGATGATTCCCAAAAAGTCAATGCTCAGGTCTGACAAGGCAAGTAAAAAGGTATAGAGATGAAAAACGAAAAAAATGGCTCCCCTCTCTCGATCTACTCTCTTTGTTGATTAATGGCACGATTTTGATTCCTCCTTCGCATCTTCTTCCAATGTACGACTTCTCACTCGAGCCCTACTTAGGCAGAAGCAGAGCTGTACCCGTTGGGGTGCCGCGTTTGAAAGTTCCACAAGTCGCGGCACATTGTCTCGAGGTTTTCGTTGGCGACAAAGCCAAGCTCCTTTTCAGCGAGCGCAGGGTCGGCGGTAAGGTCGGGGACATCACCAGTCCTAGCAAAACATGTATCAGCACTTCCTTTTCGCACAGAGTCAAGAGCATATGCTTACCTCCTACCGACAATCTCATACTTGTAGTCGAACCCAGTAGCCTTCCTCATAGCCTCAATCATGTTCAACACACTCATCCCCTTGCCCTTGCCCAAGTTGAAGGCGCGGAAGAAACCTTCGGTGGAAGTGTTGACCTTGCCAAAGATACTGGAGGGGTCGGAAGAGGGGACGAGGAGGGCTTCGAGGGCGAGAATGTGGCCGTGGGCGAGGTCCATGATGTGGAGGTAGTCTCGGACGCATGTTCCATCGCTGCAGTCCGTCAGATGTATGCTTGACATTCGCTAAAGTGGGAGCTTACGGTGTGGGGAAATCGGTACCAAAGACCTTGAGCTGAGACTTTTCTCTGCCGCTGGCCATTTGCGCAAGGAGAGGCAGAAGGTTTCCTGGCTTGCCTCTGGGCTCTTCTCCAAGCTTGCCTGATGGGTGGGCACCGGCAGGGCTATTTCACTTTTAGCTCTGCAACCGTACATATCATATCTGCCGACGCACTTGAAATACCGCACACTGACAGCTCTAAACTGATCGCTCTCCTCCTTGGCAATCACTCGCGAAGTGTCGTGAATCACATCCTCAACCATGGCTTTTGTGCGGCCATACACGGATTCGGGAGCTACGGGAGAGCTTTCGGGAATGGGGATGGTTTTAGGGGCACCGTAGACGGTGGCAGAAGAAGAAAATACAATGTTGTTGCAGTTAAACTTGCGCATTGTCTAACCCGGGCGTCAGCGGAATGTCCTTTCTGCGTTCTGCTGCGAGATCGTGCGGAATGGTCGGCTTACCTCCAGGAGACAGATAGAGCCAGCGACGTTGACTTGGTAGTAGCTCAGAGGAATTTCGGAAGACTCGCCCACAGCCTTGAGCGCAGCCAGATGGATGACCGCCCAGATTCCGCCGTCGTTCTTGTACTGCTCAAAGACACCCTCAATAGCCTTGGTGTCGCGAAGGTCGACGTTGTGGAGGATAGGCTGGGGAGCGTTAGGTCTATAGAGTGCATGCCCACACATCAGCACAAAGATCACTTGACCCCCCAAAAAATTCCCCCCAGAATGCTTCGACGTGTTGCCGGTGGACGTTCTATGCAGGCATTGGAATAGGACTCACCCGAGCTCATCACGAGCAATTTCAGCACATCTGCGGAGGGACTCGGGGTAGGCGTTGTGGCAGTTGTCGAGGACGATGGGCAGGAACTTGGCGGTGAGGAGCAAGGAGACGACGACGTGAGATCCGATGTAGCCCAGTCCGCCGGTGACGAGGACGCGCTTGAGGGCAGACATTGTTGGTGATTAGTTGAACAGTTGAACAAGGGGGGTCAGGAATGTTAGGAATAATGTTGTTTTGAGGATGTTTCCGCTTCCAGTCGTTTGGTCCATGACGCGGACAGGGCACTCACTCACTAGCCTGCTGCGGACTCCGCCGCTTACGGCCCCACACGTCACCCCTACGCCTAAGCGAGACCCAATGCATAGCTACAACATGATCCATTACCCCGTGGTAGGTGGTATTATCCCCAACCAACTATGTACACAACTGTCCTGTCCACTGTCCGTATCGTGTCTCCTACCGCGTCCCCCGCTCTTCCCGCTCTCGCTGCTCCCGCGCCCTGTCACGCTCCAGCTCTCGCTCCTCCCTCTCCCTTCTCTCTTCCTCCGTCCACTGCACCTCTTCATATCTCGGGGGAAGCTCGAGCACATTCGCACTGCGCGGAGGTACCACGCGTCCAGCATCCCGATGCACCATAAACTCCATTTCCTGCTCTTCCTGCCGTCTCCGCCTCACCGTTGCAGAAGGCGGACCAGAACCTGCTGATCCCTGTCTGCTCTGGGCAGTACGTAGACGTATCTGAGGCTGTTGGCCCGTAGTCGCGAGCGTGTCGCGCTTGAGATCCGTCACATCCTCTTCATCTCCACCGCCCTCTGTTGAAGCATCCACATCCCTTGTAGTAGGGTCATGTAGGACAAGAGGCCCAGATTGTTGGCGCATATAAGGGCGGTAATACGACTCGGTCGCATATCCACCAGAGTCTGGCCCAGATGGGAGAGACGCTTCGCCAGCAGATTCCAAACCCGCATCGTGTCCTCTTGTAGGCGGATCATGGTATACAGATCCTGCCGGCAGGAGCGCATCCATACTTGAATTCCTCCCCATCCTCTCTCCGCCCACAGGTGTGATCGGTGTGACCGGCGACGGTTGTCGGCCCCCATTCAGTGTCCTTCCCGCCCCGAGACCAGCAAATCCAGGATCGTATGCTGACTGAGATGATGGCGTCGGGGGGTAGGGGTGCTTGTGAGACATTGAGCTGTTGGGTGTTTGCTGATCGACAAAGGGGTCGAGTGCGTCCTGCGGGCTGGCAGTGCTGGGGGAAACTGTTGGAGCAAGGTCGTGCGCAACAAGCGGAGTGAGTTCTCTCTGCCTCGCCACGCTCGTCCGGGAAGCAATGAGGTCCAGCTGCGTATCCGACGCCGTCGTCCTATTGACTGCCTTTGGCGACGACCCCCTCTTTGCAAACATTCCAAACCTCTTGCCACCTCCGCTGCTACCGGTCGATGGTTCTCCAGCCGTAACGAACGCGTCGGCGTCACGCTTGTTGCGCATGCGGCGACGCCAAAAGAATACCAGCCCTACGATGACGAGGGTGCCAAGGATGGAGCATATGGCAGCCACGGCCGTACGGACGGTGGGGCTCAGTTCAGAGCCATTGGAGCCGCCCGGATTAGCAGGTACTGTCGTAGTCGCGGTACTATACACTGATGAGCAAGATGGCGACGAAGAGAAAGAATCTGTACTTACGCAGTACCATCTGATGCAGTCACACTCGGCACACCATCACTCCCTTGCTCGCTCCCGACACACCCCGTGGACCCCTGCCCAACCGTAAACATCTTGCTACTCCCTCCACTTGCCCATCTTTGCTCACTCCCTATACCAGCAACGAGTAAGAACCGCGTGCCCTTGGCCATATCGACAGTCCAGTCGAGGTAGGTAGTTCCCTTCGAGGTGTTGGTAGTGGGGTTGTCGGAGAGCGATGAAGCAGGGAGGCTACTGGCGAATGTGGAAGTAGTGGCGTAGGTGATGGGGATGGAAAAGGAATTGCCGAGGGGAATGACACCAAAGAGGGTCGGGGGACTGGTCGTATTGCCAGAGTGGTCGCTGGAGGAGAGCGCCAGCTCCTCAAGATCAACAGAGGAGTCTCTTTCAGCTACTTTGTCCAGTCCCGCAAGGTCTCGCTTGGCGACATCTGAAGTAACGTTGGACTCTAGTGATGTAGGCCATGAGAGCGAGATATTGGAACATTGCGGGGGATATGTATCGTCGTAGGCAGTGTCCAAAGTGAACGAGAAGGAGTAGAGGTTAAGTATTTGGTCATCGGACAAGAAGCAAGAAGAATTGCCGGTACTCGACGTCGCAACGGCTACGCACATACTAGTCAGCTCTATCGCATCGTCGCACATGAAGACTTACTCATGACGTCTGTCGTAGCCGCATAACTGATCCCCGACGCTCCCCACATGGTCAACATGAATTGCAGGCCCGCTGGCTGCTTGATGTCGAGTGTGTACTTGTTCGTGCCCGCTGGTATTGACTCTACCCAGACCTGCAAGACGTTGGCAATCAGCTTAGACTTTCCGGCGACGGACGTGACTCGATGGGCGTACGTTGTATCCGTGCTGCTTTATTTCAGTCTATAGAAGGTGAGTCAGTAAGATTCTAAAATGTTTATGACCAGGAGAGACATACAGGTGTCAGAAGCAGGTGATAGGGTCCATCATCTCCCTCCCATCTACACTTATTAGCCTCCCAAGGTGCAAGGTCACTTGCAAGAAACTCACTCTACTGTTGCTCTCTCGCACTGTGTAGCTCTGGATAGGTAACCCAGCATCAGCATCTCCACATTGTCACATTGGCAGAGACGCGAGAAATCCTATTTGATAAGGGTAAAAACTCACTCCGTCATATTCACGCTCAGGTATCCCGCCTGAACGCTCTTTCCGATAAGCACGCCCCATAGCAGAGCGGCTATGAGGGTTGTCGAGAAGAGGGAGGCGGGCATGGCAATATGGGAGTGGTGAGAAAAGGTGCAAATGAGGAAGCAGTGGGCGAGATGGGAACAAGGTTGGCGTCCGAATCCCGCGTTTCAGCGCGAAATCCAGCTTTTCTGCTCTCCCTCCTCCTTGCGTCTTCTGGTTGGGGGCGACGGGATGTGATCCTGTCGATATTCTGGAGCGAGGCGAGGGAAAGAGAAAAAAAGCCGACTGTTCTTGATTTTATAAAGATACGATCGCCCTTGGCGTCGACGAGGTCCCGACTTACGTAAATGGATCTCGACGTTGAATGATCTTATCAAGATCCAATCAAGATCTCTTGGCCTGTTGACACTCCATGCATAAGCATCTTGCGCTACAACCTGGGACCCCAGACGGAGTTAAGACTGCTCGAGCCACTCGCTGGCGGTTTTACAGTCTAGGAAGACGATGACCGGTTCACCGGCATCAAACCTTTCGCTTCAGTTCCGGCGGGCATGCTCCAGTTCATATTGATCCCCGTAAAAGTGACATCCTTCCATACACGAGGGCTCTACTTGCACGCTTTCTTTAGCTATTGGAGCATATGCCTTTTCAATTGAGAAGCGACGTTTTGAGTGTGCATGAAAGGATCTTATCAAAGTCGAACAGCAGCGCCGACAGGACTTGTCTTCTTCTACTTTGATATATGCCAAGTATACCAAACCTTGACTTCGAGATACCGAGGCGAGAGGGGAGGAGGCTCGTGAGCCATTATATACTCGGTCTTCATTCACTCATATTGCTAGTCCCCAGAGGACTATAGCATAGACGCGCAACGTCTTTGCCAACAACAATCGCCGCTACCAAGAAGCCAAGACCCAATGATTCCAAAGGACGTGGTTAGCAACGTTACTATAAGGTCTTGCTCGGCCTCTTGAAACATACCATACTGATGCCAATGACCAGACTCATGGGCAATGATTGCCCTCCGCCGGCATCGACCCCTCCTCTTGGGGATGACAAGAGATGTTGACGGAGGACGGAGTCGAGGTCGTACCATGCCCGACCTCGGATGAAGATGGTCACTTTCGGCTCCCATATTGTAGAAAGAGTTGAAGGTATCGGTCTCCCTCGGTCAGACTACATCTGCAAAGGATACTTATCCCGATGTAGCTGCCGTGAAGTAACATCAGCCACAGCGATATCTCAAGACAAGTTGCGTCTCCCTCCAAGATCACCGCCATACTGGAATACTGGCACAGAACAGCCGACAAAGATGGAGGTCACGAATGAATCAGTGTTGAGGTTGATTGAGTGAGGGCGTACATGTGCGCTGAAAGAACCAGTCCGAATACAACCCAGGCTATACAAGCTTGGAGAGTCCAAGATAACGCGTCGTACGAACGATTGACGAATTTATGGAGGATCCAGTATGCATGCGATGCCATTTTGCTTCTTCTCACACTCACACCATTCACTTCAAGAGACACATCTACTGCTCTGGCTCATCGAGCTCGGGATCCCACTTGACAGCCTCGACGCTCTTGATAGAAAGCTCATAGTACCCTTCCCTCACACCGTCTTGGGCCTCATCTCCCACAGGCGCCGAGGCAGTGGCAGCGCTGGCTCGGTGGTAACCACTGTTGGATCGAGGTTTGGGAGGATTGGTCATGGATGAACCCGCGCTGGCATCCGGGCCCAAAAGCCTGTCTTCCTCGAGCATCTGTCTCAGCTCTGGGTCGTCCTCCGCTTCACTGACTCCCCCCTTGCCCCATCCTCCCAGCGTGATACCCTCCACGCCCTTGCCCGCCGGCGGCTCTCCAGGAGCAGCAGCATTGTCATCACGGTCTCGGCCGAGAAGAGCGAAACCGACTGTCCTGATCTGGGACAGTGTCATGGACACGGGCTGGGGCGAGACGACGCCCTTCTTGATGAGCACGAAGGAGGAGAGGGGGAGGTGGAGGGTGGTGAATGTGGGAAGGGGAGGAGAAAGGGGATCGAGGGGAGTCTTGGAGGGGCCAGACAGGGCGGAGGGGGCGAGTTCCAATCGGTGTTGGAAGATGTCGGTTCTGGAGGACAGTCAGCATTCGAGATGGTGCTCAAGAGAGGCTCACCTGGGGCGGTCGTCGACACCGATGTTGACGACCCATCGGTTCCTCCAGCCCTCCCAGCCTCGGTACCCGACGGTGACCTTGAGATGCGTCGCGAGGTCAAGATCCCAGGTATCCTGCCCAAAGAGCGTGCTCCTCGACACATTCCTAAAGCCAGCGAATCCCGTCCTGATCTTGCCAGCATGCTCTGGAGGCACAGCAGTGGACATGTACCCATAAAACGCCATGTGGGAATATTGGGGCTCGGACGAGGCTGCGGGCTCTGCGAGGGGCTGGGAGGGCACGAGGGCGAGCTCGGCGGTGGTGAGGCCGCCGAGCTGTGCGTCCGAGCCGGTGGAGAAGTGGGTGGGGGGGTCTACGGGGGGATGGGCGGAGGCGAAGGAGAAGAGTGTCTGCGGCCCTGTCTGTGGGTGGATGTCCATGGCGGCAACTGGGGGTGAGCTGTGCTGCGGGCGGGGGGTGCTTACCCTTCTGTGCATTGCGGCGGAAGAGGGCGGCTGAGCGGTCGAGGTATGCCTTGAGGGCCATGTTGGGTGATGAGGCAGAGGGAGGGGTTATTTCTGCCCGCCCCTGACTTAGTGCGCGGGTTGTCAGTCCAGTCATCTCTTCTTCTTATTCTTCTTCTGCCTCTTCTTCTTGCCCGCCTCGCCACCGCCCGCCATGGGAGACGCCACTCCCCCAGACATCACCGCCTTACGTCTGCAAGAAGACGAACCCACCACCTCCCCTTCTTCCCCCTCTCGATCCCCGCACCCGACCCCAAACGACACCACATCGCCGCCCCCGCAACAGCCGCGTCCCCCGCCCCAACCAGTCGCCTCTGCACCCGTCATCCCAACAGGCCGTGCCCCACCAGGCGCCGCAGGCCGCCCACCAGCAGGCAGGGGTATGCCAGCTCCTATGGGTATACGAGGCGCTCAGGCCGGCCGCGGAGGCCCAGGCGGACAAATGCCTGCCAAGATGCTCCCCAGTTTGCAGGCCAAAATGGACAAGGTGCGTACGCATATCGAGGCCGTGATCCCATGCTGACCAACCATGATCGTCACGTCTCAGATCGCAGCATCTCGCCAAGGGCCGCCTCCCTCGACCGGCTCGGCTGACCCCAACTCGACCTCCATGGGAGCCCTGCTCCGGTCTCAGGCGCTCAAAGCACCAGGTTCATCGCCGAATCCCTCGCCAGGCCCTGCGTCTGGCCCCTTCGGACTCGCTGCACGGAGAGCGGCGGGGGGCAATGGCCCGCCAAGGCCAAATTTGAGTATGATGGGTATGGGCGCCAGTGCGCCGGCAGTCGGACGAGGTGGTGGACTCGCAGGCAGACGAGGGCCCCCGGGTGGCTTGACGTTGAGTGACATGAAGGGCGCCCCAAAGGATGAAGGAAACAAGTTTGCAGACTTTCAAAGTGTCGTGTATGTTTCCGATCCATTTTTACTGTGACTACGCTGACAACCATGCCAGCGATCCCTCAGGCTCATTGAGATTCTCCAAAAAGGCCGTTCTCCACGCCAAGGGTGTCGACTTTGACGACGGACAGTCGTTCAAGATCAACATGGACGAGATCGAGGTCCTCGGCGAGTTGGGCAAGGGCAATTATGGCTCAGTCCACAAGGTTTTGCATCGCCCTACCGGCGTACTTATGGCTATGAAGGAGATCCGTCTGGAGCTCGACGACTCCAAGCTGAGCGGTATCATAATGGAGCTCGACATTCTCCATCGCGCCAAATCGCCAGAGATCGTCGAGTTCTACGGTGCTTTCACCATCGAAAGCTGTGTGTATTACTGTATGGAATACATGGACGCTGGATCGCTAGACACTCTCACGGGAGGAGGTGTGTCCGCAAAGGACCAGAAGGCGGAAGAAGTAGACGATGCGACTACAAGAGTACCCGAACCGGTACTAAGCAGGATCTCTGCAGCTGTAGTCAGGGGTCTGGGCTTTTTGAAAGATGATCTGCAGATCATGCACCGAGGCGAGTCTCTTATCCCGACCTTGGTTTCTGGAGTGTTCTAGTGCTGACAAGCGAGTATAGACGTCAAGCCGACAAACGTGCTGATCAACAAGAAAGGCGAGATCAAGCTGTGTGATTTCGGAGTGTCGGGGCAGTTGGAAAAAAGTTTAGCCAAGACCAACATTGGTTGTCAGTCATACATGGCTGTGAGTCGTCCCCTTACCTCTTCTCTCAGTGCCTGACATTGCACCAGCCCGAGAGGATCAAGTCCGAAACTGTCAACCAAAATCCAACCTACACAGTCTCATCTGATGTTTGGTCTGTTGGTCTGTCCATCGTCGAGCTCGCCAAGGGCTGTTACCCCTACCCGCCTGAAACGTTCGCCAATGTGTTTGCACAGCTGCAAGCTATCGTGCACGGGGCGGCGCCCACTTTGCCTCCGGGTTATAGCGATGATGCGAACGATTTTGTCGCCAAGTGGTCCGTCCTTTGCTTTGAACCATCCATCCCACAACTAACATGACCCACAGTCTCCATAAAGACCCGAACCAACGACCGACTTATACCCAGCTTCTTGAACACCCATTCTTAATCAAGGACAAATCCGAAGACGTGGATATCGTCGGATGGGTGGAGGCTGCTCTAGCCAGAAAAGCAGAAAGAGGGATTGCCAGCTTGAACCCTATTGAGCTGGCGTAGATTGCTACTGTCTCCCTGGACTATCCTCTACACGACTTGTCTAACTCGCCATCTCAATGGGACATGCGCTCGATGCGCCGGCACCAACACCGACCCTTTCCTCTGTTCTCGCATTATCGCCACCCAACTGTATCCTTTCAACCCGTCGACCTCAAGTAGCCTTATTATTCCTATACCATTCTTCATGCCTCCCCTTGCCGCCCGTTTTCAAGTATCTTTTCTTATCACGTCCTTGCACGACCAAAACAATTTATCATCCACGACGTCATCTCATCCGTCTTCTCATATCATAAGCAACAAGCCTTCGAGATCAGGGATGAGAGACGGCCGGTTGTATCATTTGGATTTTCACCAGGATCTACGTTGAAGGGCGTCGAAGATTTCTGTTACTCCCCTTCCTTGTCGTATACATATATACATGATCGTCTGGATCATATACACGCGGGTTCTCATGGGTCTTTTCTTCTTCATTTTCTTCCGTATACCCCCGGTTCAATTCTCGTCCTTGTGTCTGTCTTTTCAATTTCATCAACATACATACGTCCGGTAGTCTAGTTGATCAGCCATTTTCCGATTGCATATGTTATTGTTTCATAATGGAACGGTGAAGCTGCATTGGCATAGGTGTCTGATCGTAGTGGAGCGTGGCGATATGGGGCACGGTCGACGGTCGCAGAAGAATAGTTGAGCGATCAAGAATGGCACCATACCTATCTCGTCTTTTTCTCAATGGTCATATATGTGTACATGGATGCTGTTACTATACGCTGTTAATTTACAAACTCCCTCAAGATAAGATCACCCCTATCTTCCTGGCGCCCCGCTCCTCGGCTCATCCCCATCTCCATCTCTATAGTCATCATTCCCCTCCGCAAATTCGTCATCCTCCTCTCCAAATTCATCAATTTCTTCTCCTAATTCATTCTCTCGTCTCCTGGGCATCCCATCCCTGGTGAAGCCGACTTGACGATCGTCCTGCGTTTCGAAATCAAACGCTTGGGGACGATCCTCCTCGGGGTTATATGGATAGTCGTCTTCTTCATGAAAGATTGAGTCGTCGTCTTCGTCAGACCACTCGTCATCGTCGCCCTTGTAGTTCATAAAGGCGCCCAGACGAGCGAGCCGCTGGGCACGAAGAACCTCATCGTCACCTCCCACACCATCAACCCCCGGCCCGCCGCCTCCATCCCCTCTTGTCCCGTTCGCCCCCGTATCCGCAGTGTAGCCATCTCTTAATCTTGTGGAGGAATTGTGATTCCTCGGTACGGCTCCCCGGCCTGGATGATTTATCGGGTGTCTAGGTTTCGGTGATGAAGAGCGGGTAGCCTCGAGGGAGAGGGAGGATAGAGAGGAAGCGGTTTGGTTGATGTAGTCTCTCTGGCCAAGTGAGAGTGTCTGGTCTATGGGCCTTGGAGGGGATCAGCGTCGGTAAACGACAATGCAAAAGCGATGGGGCCTACAATATGAGACCATTTTTAGCCAGTGTCCCTTCACCACGTCTTATCCTGTCCAGAACGCGCATCTTGCCGCTCGTATGCACTTCTCTTTCCTTTCCCTTGCCCTTGCTGAAACCAAAGTCTTGCCCTGCCGCAGACGCAGGACCAGCAGATCCTGATCCTCCAGGATCATCCATGTCCATATTTTCCATCATCAGCTCTTGCTCCCGCATCAGCAGTGCCTCCCTGGCCTTGACGAGCTTGTCTCGAACAGGATCCACGATCTGTGCGGACGAAGATGACGAGGAGCCCGCGGAGGAAGCAGCAGGAGGGGAGGCAAAGAGGGGCGAGGCGAGGAGGGCGGTGTTTCTCTCGAGACGGGCCTTGACCTCTGGGAGAGAGAGCGAGGGGATGTCTTCGTTGATGGCGGCGACGAGGGAGGGTCTTGCGCGGCGGGTGGGCATGGTGTGGGGAATAATTCTGAAGAAGAGGGGGACATGGCAGGAGACGGCGGATTTATATACCAAGTAGACGTGTTCAGGCACGCTTCGGGTGGAGGCAGTTCCTGGCATGGTGCAAGCAACTCCTTGTGACCGTTGTGAGCGTTGTGAGCGGGACAAAGCAGACAGGAGGTGGAGCAGACACATAGATGCATCAGGATGAGCTGACATGATTCGACTGATTTGTTTTATAACTGTTACGATGAGATTTACCCAACAAGAGGATGAGCTACACTGGATAAGAATGCCTAGAGATGATGATGATGGAAACGATATTGAGATCTATAGACAACTTGCTGAAGCGACGACCTCTAATCTGCGAATGAGGGTCAGCGCTAGTTGTAGATGGAAAGAGCAAAAAACTCACAAAGAAGTCTCGTCAAGGTGTTGGACTTTGTCCCGTTGATAGCAGAGTACAGCCCTTCCACTTCCTCTTGCCCGACACCACTGATGTCGGCCATCAAGTACGCAATATCTCCCTTGGAATCCGAGAATTGCTTCTCGATATTGTGGTCCGCCAGGATGTTGTTGATCCCCTTCAGCACACCGGGCTCATTCCTGTGCACATGGCACACCCGGATATGTCTCTCGTCGGCAGTGGTGATTGCACGAAGGTCGACTTCGGGGAAGTTGACGGCACCAAGGGTGGTACCGTAGTTGAGGTAACGGGTCAGGGCGGTGGCCACTTCGGAACCGATCGCCCGTTGGGCCTCTTCGGTGGAACCACCAATGTGGGGAGTGAGGATGAGGTTGGGGACATTTCTCAGCCTGGGGATAAAGTCGCCCAGGGCACCGTCAAAGCCGGGACCGTTGGATCCGGGCTCTTTGGGGAAGACGTCGACGGCGGCACCAGCAAGGTGCTTGCTCTCCAAAGCGTCGGCAAGGGCAGAGAGATCGACAACCTTTCCTCGGGCATTGTTCATGAAGAACGCGCCCTGCTTCATCTGCGCGAACTGCTCGGCACCGATCATACCGATGGTATCGGGGATCTCTGGGACATGCAGTGTCACAAAGTCGGCGTTGGAGAGCAAGTCATCGAGATGTTCAACTTGCCTAGCACTACCGAGGGGCATGATGGGCACGACGTCATAGTAGATGACAGTCATACCGAACGCTTCGGCGAGGACGGAAAGTTGCGAGCCGATATGACCGTAACCGACAATACCGAGCGTCTTGCCTCGGATCTCCCAGCAGTTCTTGGACACCTTGTTCCAGATACCGGCCCTCATCTCGGCGGTACGGTCCACGATCTGCCTCGACAGCGCAATGATTTCTGAAATGACCAGTTCGGCGACCGATCGCGAGTTGGAGAAGGGAGAGTTGAAGACGGCGATACCGGCCTTGGCGGCGTGCTCGAGGTCGACTTGGTTGGTACCGATACAGAAACAACCAATGACGAGCAATTGGGGATTGGCGTCAATGACCTTGGCGGTAATCTTTGTCTTGGATCGGATACCGATAGCTTGATAGTGGGGAAGCTTGGCCAAGAGTTCCTCCTCAGAGTAGGCCTTGGTGACGTGGTCGACCTGCATACTGTCAGCTCTGTGCCCTAGTGTCAGTGACGGGACGTACCTCGTAGCCCTGTGCCTTCAAAAAGTTGGCAGCGTCGGTGTTGATGTTTTCGAGCAACAAGATTCTTGTCTTGCCCTGTCGTTTCTCATGGCCCTGTTCGGTAGGGTAACTAGGGGGGAGGAAGGCGGTCAACTGGCGGGCAAAGCCCTGGAAAGCGCCGCCGATGGAGGTGCCGCGCATGTGGCTGCCCGAGGGGGAGGAGGAGAACTTCTGGATGGGAGAAGCACCTGTGGGAGGGGACTGGGGGCTGAAGGAGGTCTGGGGGATGCCGCGGGTGTTGGCGGGGATGGGGATGCTGGGGGGAGTCAGCGGGAGAAGACAGGGAACGAAAAGTGGAGATGGCGAGATGTGCAGGACGTACTGGTTGGCAGGGTCAGAGGCAGAGACAGAGGCTCGTCTGCCCGGGGCGGCAGGGATGGGGAGGGACATGGGCTGTTGGAGGGGCGATGAGACGAGAGAGAAGAGAAGAAAGAGAGATGGAGACGAGAGAGAGAAGAGATGAGAGATGCTGAAAAGAGCCATCCCGAGGAGTCGAGCACGCAAAATCCAGTTACGTAACCACCTCCCACGTGGCCCAGTGGAGGCATCGTCCTTATATTTTCATGTCCTCTTTCACGCACCGTCCACAGCACCGGCAGCATGGACTACCTCCCCGTCCGCCCCCTCCCGGCCGCACCCCGCCAGCAGAACACGACCAACCCGCATTCACGCCACTTTCACCAGTTCCGCCACCCCTTGTTCATCAAGCACCCAGCTGCCATCACCCACATCCACTTTTGTCCCACAAAACCCCATCGATATGCCGTCTCTTCCTCGACAAGAGTGCTCGTATATGCGCCAAAGACAGGCAAGGTCATAAAAACCATCTCGCGGTTCAAGGATACGGCGAGAGGGGGCGAGTTTAGGAAGGACGGAAAGTTGGTGGTAGCCGGAGGAGACGATGGTGTTGTGCAAGTGTTCGATGTCAACAGTCGAGCTGTGCTGAGAACGATGAAGGAGCACAACCAGTAGGTGTATTGCTCTGTGCCAGGTGTATGTTCTGACCATCGTAGACCCGTGCGAGTGACCCACTTTTCTCCCCATCTCCCCCAACTGTTGTCTGCCTCAGACGACACGACAGTCAAGCTCTGGGACCTCTCTACCCAGGAATGCCTTACAACGCTCTCATCCCACACCGACTACGTTCGATCCGCTGTATTTTCCCCCACCGATCCTTCTCTCATCCTCTCGGGCTCCTACGACAGCACTATTCGTCTACACGATGTGCGTCTGCCGGCTGACGAGGCGAACGTCATCACGATGCGACATGGCGGGGCGCCAGTCGAGGACGTCTTGGCTTTTCCTAGTGGAGGTGTGGCTCTGAGTGTGGGCGGACCGATATTGAGAGTGTGGGATCTGGCCATGGCCGGTAAATGCGTTCGTGCGCTGTCAAACCACCAAAAGACTGTGACTAGCGTCGCCTTTGACGGCACCAAAGGCCGAGTCTTGACAGGTGGTCTTGACAATATGGTCAAGGTGTACGATGTCGAAGATTGGAAGGTGGTTCATACCATGCGCTACCCCGCGCCTATCCTGTCACTGGCCGTGTCCCCCGACGACACCCACATTGCCGCGGGTATGACTGACGGTACCCTTTCCGTACGTCGGCGCGACCCCAAAGCTTCCGAGCTCTCCACCGAGACCGTTCAGAACACAGCGATCAAGAATGGAGCGTACGAGTATTTCGCGGATATGGAGGGGATCTTTGGATTGGGACACATCAAGAAGAAGGGGAAGGATATGGGCCCGGTGGTTGGTCCGGCGGATGAGTTTAGGGTGGAAAGTAAGAGGCAGAAGAGGCTGAGAGACTTTGACAAGCACTTGAAAAACTTCAAGTACGGTGCTGCTCTCGATGCCGCTCTCAACAAAGTGGGTACTCCATCCTACTTATCCGAGGCAACACTGACCGGACCCCACAGAATTCCAAACCCACAACGACATTCGCCCTAATCTCCGAGCTCATCCAGCGCGACGCTCTCCGGATATCCCTCGCTGGACGGGACGATGTCACCCTCGAGCCCTTGCTCAACTTTTTGGCGCGTAATATCACAGACCCGAGGTTTGGCGAGTTGGCGGCAGAGGTCGCAGGCGTCATCATCGGTATGTATCCTCCCTCATCACTAATGCGTATACTAACACCCTGCATAGATATCTACACACCGCTTCTGGGACGGTCGCCGGTGTTGGACGAGATGCTTTCAAAGATCCAAGCGCGTGTCGAGAGAGAGTTGAAGTTCCAGGGGGAGCTGATGAAGCTGAGGGGCGCATTGGATATGACGCTTGCGCAGAGTGTCATGGGGCGGGTTGCTGGAGAGGCTTAGGGGAAGCATGTATTGCATATCATCCAACTTGGTCCAACGTGGCAGTTAGTGATCGACCTTCAAATCACCCGGGAAACCCCATGATGTCCCTATTTGAGCAGACTCGGATATCTTTCTCCATTACACAAGCACGACGACCAGCCTCGCGTACAGCCAGCGTACAGCTCAGTATCCCAAGTTGCGATTTGCCCACGACTCGCCGCCGCTCACGACTCACGACGCGTGAAATTTACGTAAAGCAGGGGCCTCCACCTACGCGCACAAGGACAAAGTTGACGCGTTACTCGACCTCCCTCCTCTCAACGTAGCCCTTAGCCAAACAGCAATCAAAAGAAACTCTCGTCAGAATGGTGAGAGATGTCTGCTAGGGTGTATGAAGACTGCTAACAGAAGGCAGCCTATGTACGGCAACGAATCCACTTCGGGGCAAAAACCTCAGTTCGAAATGGGCAAGTCATCTTTCACATCTCTTGACTCCTCACAAGTGTGGTATTAACATGTTTGATCACAGACAAGGACTCTGAGGATAAATTTGTAAAGTTTGTAGACCGTATGCCTCCTGTAAGCCTTCCTCTGAGGCACGTCACGGTGGAACTAAGGATTTGCTAACATCGACGCGTAGAAAGTGGATGGGATGGTCAGGCTATTCGATCGTGGAGTATGTCTATCTCTGAATCTGATAGCATAAATCACATAAGAGTCAGACGTCTGACAATGATCCTACAGGACTATTTCTCTGCGCACGGCTCCGATGCTGTCCTCATAGCCAACGAGGTTTTCCGGACTACCAACGTCCTCAAGTATCTCGGCTCGGGCTCCAAATCAAAGCCTACCTCTTCTTCCACCGGAGGCAGCACTGCCAGAGGGCTGGCATCGGTCACGATATCATCGGCTCTGACTCGCGCTTTCTTGAGGGAGGCTTTGACAGCCAAGCAGATGCGTGTGGAGATCTACGCACCCGATGTTGCGGCTGCTGGAGGCAAAAAGGACAACTCCAAATGGACCATTTCCAAGTCCGCCTCGCCTGGAAATCTCTCCCAAGTCGAAGATCTACTCTTCTCCGACAAAGACCTTGAAGTCAATGCTGTATCTATGGCGATCAAGGTGGTCAACTCCAAAGACGGCGGCGTGTTGGTCGGCGTTGGATTTGTCGATGTGCAGGAAAAGATCATTGGAGTGGCGGAATTTGCAGATGATGAGAACTTTTCGAATACCGAAGTGAGTTCCAAATCAAGTCGGCAAGGTATTCTGAGAATTGACAAGTGGAATAGTCGCTACTGATCCAGCTGGGGGTGAAGGAGTGTATATTGCAAGACGATGACAAGAGGCCGGAAATCGCCAAGTTGAGGATGCTAGTCGAATGGTGTGGGGTCATAGTGACAGACAGAAAATCGTCAGAATTCCAGGCAAAGAGTGTCGAGCAAGACCTCAACCGCATGCTCGATGAGGTACATGCTGGTTCCACCCTTCGTACGTCCCACGAGCTGGTTGAGAAAGCCCATGACTCATCTCCTCTGTAGCCGAGTTTGAACTCAAGGCTGCCATGTCTGCTCTCTCGGCTCTCATCAACTACCTCTCCCTTCTCTCTGACGTCGCTCTCCACGGCCAGTTCCGCCTCCACCGCCACGACCTCTCCCAGTACATGAAGCTCGACGCTTCCGCCCTCAAAGCCCTCAGCCTCATGCCCAACCCCCAAGAACTGGGGGGCAATAAAAACATGAGCGTCTTCGGCTTGCTGAACAGGTGCAAGACTAGTCAGGGTATGAGATTGTTGGGAAGATGGTTGAAGCAGCCATTGGTGAACCTGCATGAAATCACGCAGCGGCAAGTGATGGTGGAAGTCTTTGTGGATGATGCAAACACCAGGAGGACAGTGCAGGATAAATATCTCAAGTCTATGCCGGACTTTCACAGGATCTCGAAGAAGTTTCACAGAAGAGTGGCGGGGCTGGAGGATGTCGTCAGAGTGTACCAGGCCGTTCAATTGGTGAGTGACAAAATTCTCCATTGACTGGGGCATCGCTGACGTTTTGACAGCTACCAGGGCTGGTGGAGAGTTTGGAAGAGATCGAGCTTCTCAACCCTAGGGGCAAGGAGCTGCTCGAAGAGATATGGCTCAAGCCTCTTCGTGTACGTCCTCTTTCACTTTCCTCCTTTGCTCGCCCTTATTGTTGCACAGGAACACATCGGGAAACTTGACAATTACTCTGCTATGGTTGAAGACACTATCGACCTCGAGCAACTCTCCTCCCACAACTTTGTCATCCTTCCCACCATCGATGAAGATCTTCAACGGTATCGCGAAGAGCTCTTGGGTGTGAGGGATCAGCTGGACGAGGAACATAGAAAGGTTGGCGATGATTTGGGAATTGACATTGAGAAGAAGCTCCATCTGGAGAATCACCACGTGTATAAATACTCTTTCAGGATCACCAAGGCTGTAAGTTCCGTGGCTCTCCCCTGTCAGATATCGACTGACAATATAATGGCTGCAGGAAGCCGGCTTGATCAGAAACAAGAAGGAATATATTGATTTGTCCACACAGAAATCGGGGACCATCTTCACCACAAAGACCCTTCGAGGACTCAGTGAAGAATACTTTAGACTGCAAGAATTGTATGAAAAGCAGCAGAGGCATCTGGTGAAGGAGGTTGTTGCGATTGCTGGTGAGCGTATTTTTTCCAGTCTTATCAAGGGTGACCTGACGGTACTGTAGCCACATACACACCGGTGCTGGAAGTTTTGGACAACCTAATGGCTGCCGTCGATGTCATCGTCAGTATGGCCCATGTCTCCGCCAATGCCCCCATCCCTTATGTCAAGCCTACGCTCCATCCCAAAGGCTCCGGCAATGTCGTGCTCACCGCTGCTCGCCACCCCTGCCTTGAAGCACAAGACGACGTCACCTTCATTCCTAATGATCACCATATGCTCAAAGGCTCATCCGAATTCGCCATCATTACCGGTCCGAATATGGGCGGTAAATCAACGTATATCAGGCAGATCGGGGTGATTGCACTGATGGCACAGGTGGGGTGCTTTGTACCCGCAGAGGAGGCGGAATTGCCGGTGTTTGATTGTATTCTGGCAAGGGTCGGTGCGGGAGATAGTCAGCTGAAGGGAGTCAGTACATTCATGGCAGAGATGCTGGAGACTGCAACGATCTTACGGGTGAGCCTGTCCTGGATCTGCTGTGGAATGGACTGACACTCCTGCAGTCTGCTACCAAAGACTCTCTTATCATCATCGATGAGCTCGGTCGAGGGACTTCCACCTACGATGGCTTTGGTCTCGCCTGGGCCATCTCGGAATACATTGCAGAAAAGATCCATTGTTTCTGTCTCTTCGCTACCCACTTCCACGAACTTACCGCTCTTGCGGAGAAGAACGCCCATGTTAAAAACCTTCATGTCGAGGCGCATGTCAAAGAGAGGAGTGAGGGTGAGACCGGCGGTAAGGGTAGAGATATCACCTTGCTCTATAAAGTCTCGGACGGGATCAGTGACCAAAGTTTTGGAATACATGTGGCGGAACTGGCCAACTTTCCGGATAGCGTCGTCAAGGTGCGTGGATTCCATATCGTGAAGACTATATAGACTGACTTTGGTTGTAGCTGGCAAAGAGAAAGGCGGAAGAGCTTGAAGACTTTGGCGGTATGTTTGACTTCCTTTGTTGCATTATCCGTGTCTTACAACTGTCGCAGAGCCAGACGACATCTCTGCCCCGTCCGCCAAATACCCCAAAGAGACCATTGATGAAGGCACCGATCTCATCAAGGAATTTCTCGCCACCTGGAAGTCTCGAGTATCTGTTGATGAGGACAGCGATGGGGGTATGCAGCCGAGCGAAGAGGAGATGGTCTCACAGCTTCGAGCGACAGCGGAAGAGTTCAAAGGGCGTTTCGGAGAGAACGAGTGGGTGAAGGGGCTCATGGCTACTCTTTGACGAGAGACGGGTTCAGGAAGATTGTGAGACCTTTGTATATGTAGCTGTTATCTATAGTTCATGCAAGGAAGTGACATTAAGCGTCAAGGGCCGAGATCATGCGATGGCTGGATCGACTATGTCCTTTTGACAGCGCCAACCAAAAGGAAACCATGACCAGCAGCACAATTTGACATGTTTCACCACCGCCACATAACCTGGACATGACCAGAAATTGAACTCTCTATTGACATATAGTATATCCAGTACCACTCCTGCGTGTGTGGCAACAACGAGCCTGGACAACGGCACCAGGGCAGGTTTACTCTCAGATACATCGATAGCTTCCGTCATCATTTAGGTATCCCGACTTGAAGAACAATCATCACCAGCGCAATGACATGATCCATCGACTTGTCTACTATACATCGACCTCCTCTCCCTCGGCATCTTCATCCTCGTCGTATCCCATGCCATCTGTTGGCTGACTGACGGAACCATCACCGGCCCCCCATCCTCCTGGCTGGATTTGCTGGACATAGCCCATGCCAGACAGAGTCTTGTACAGAGATCGATTTCTGGACCAGGCCATATCCCGCTCCCGGATACGTTGAGTGAGTTGGGATCGAAGTCGTTCGAGCTCGGATTTAAGTGATTCATTCTCCGCCGTCAGTTCTTGGACTTGCTGTTTCTTCTTCTCTCTATACTTGGTCTGTGCCGTTCGATCTAGGTAGAGCATATATCACATTAGCCGTCTGCAGGGTTGAATGAGGGTCGTGCCAAACACGATCATGTGATCGTGAGGGCCACTACTCACTTTGAACTCGTCTACGACTAGCCATATCGGTGATCCTGGTCTCCGAGCCTCTCCTTGTGCTTTTCTGAGCCGGGGACCTGGCATTACCAACCACTATCTCGGATGCGCCCTCGTCGGCCGCCCTGTTTGCGAACATCTCCTCTTCCTCGGGGCTCCCCGCCCCCGAATGGCTAAAGTACGAGCCGTCGCCGACGCTGCTTGGGGAGTATGAAAAAGCACCGCGATCGTTGAAGAGGCTCCCGTTTGGTACCGTCAAGTGTAGTCCTTGAGGAGCCGAGAAATCCTCATAGGGGGCGCTCGTGAACGTGTCCCCTTCAGGTGGCGGCAAGTAGGAGGAGGCCGGGTTCGCGTCATCAGCAGAAGGATTAGCTTGAAGCCACACCTCACTGTGGAATTCAAAGTCTCCGTTGAATGCTGGCGGTTGAGGGCTTGATTGGAAGTGGTACATGAGCGAAGTGCTGCCTTACGATGAGCGATGGAATAGGGAAGCCGATGAGAAGAAAACAGGGGAGACAGGGATGTTGGGGTAGCGGTGCTTATATGTCTGAACTTGTAAATGAATGAAGGTTCTTTGCATGTATTTGAGCGTGGGAACGAAACGTGCGGAGTTGAAGCTCATGAACGGAGTTGAAGCCCATAAGCGGAGTTGAGGCCCATGAGCGGTGTTGAAACCCATGAGCGGTGTTGAAACCCATGAGCGGTGTTGGGCTTGCCATGTTGTGCTATTTGTGGTCCAATGAGTAAAAAAGAGCTCTGGTACTGGTCTGGCATCGTTCTGCCCATCGTTCGGCCCAGTGTCGATGTCCTTTGAAGAGCCAGACCGTTACCCGTGTTGCTTGTATCGTAAAGGGAACGTCCGATCGAGAAGAAGACCAAACTTGCGATATGATTCCACGAATGTACGCCAGCGTAGTTAGACGATCATGAACAGCGTGACAGTGATCAGGAAAGAGAGAGCTTCATTCGTCAAAGGACCGGCAATCGTCCTAATTGTAGAGTAATCGTACTGCTCATCGTCAACATTACATTCCTTACTTCTCTCCGGCCAACCATATCTCGGGGCGCTCAAAAGCTGCTATAGGGTACATTGAGCTCCTGTTCGCGTCCATGAGACTGACGAGTATAGATACAATCATCCACATTCACACAAGCGACGCAGCGAGATTGTTATGCTGCGGAAGAAGGATCAGTTTGTGTCTAGTAGCCCCTTACAGGTTTATGAGAAAACGCACACACCTATCAGCAATCCTCGAGTAACACAAATAGCCAGTAGCCAGACATTCCACGACATCTCCCGTCTTCAATTTCCAATCAGCAAAGTGCCCATCAGTGTGTTGAGGCGAAGGAAAAGGGCTGGAGCCGCGGGAAGACGCGGGAGTCTAGGACACTCAATAAAATTCTGACCTTTTCTTTGCAAAACGAGGGACACGTACCAACACAAGCCCCATCGATCATCTTCGCGACATTCAAATCCTTCCTCATAATGCTCGATGATCCATACGAGCTCGGCGTCCGTCAAACCCAGAAAGCTGCCCCCCTTCGCTCCCACCATCTTCAAGAGCGTCGCTATGCAGCCCCTGTCGTGCCAGTGAAGGATACGTCAACTTGTTGTAGAGTATTGTGTGATGTCCTTGCCTGCCATCCCAGCAAGTATCATAGAAATCTTGCGCCGTGTGCTGAGTGATAGACAGGGCGTTGAAAGCCGATGATAGCTGCAGCTCATCGGCTTCCATGTCCCTTCCATTATTGATACCCTTCCTTGTAGAGGCCTTCATCTCATCTCCCGTTGGATGGTCGAAACACTTGTTGCCTGCAAAACCCCTGGCCAGGTCTGACTGTCGTCCAGTCTCCCCAAGCCCTCTTCCAAGCCGTAGAATCGTATGCGCTTGAGGGAGAATATAAAGGACACCAGGAGGAGCCCTTCTGCCAGATTTTCCCAGCCAACTTTGTCATAGAAAAAAACGGAGCCATATGCCTCTATCACCATCATCAAACCCCTCCTCAATCCTATCGCTCCATGCTCCTGGTATGGGACAAGTTTGCGAAGCAAGCAGATTCGCACTTGAAGACATGTCCCAGACAAAAATTTCGACGTCTGTCAGACGAGGATAATGTTCAGAGAGATTTACGATCGTTTTGTCGGCGGCGAACGCTCTAAACATATTGGACGGATCGACTGTGTTATTGGTGAGGCAGCATAGTGTGCGCACATTGTGGAGTGCCTTTAGCAGATGGGCGTAAGGTATGCCATCCAGGCCGTCGTCTAGAGGCATGTAAAGACGAGTGGCGTTGGCGTATAGTTGGCTAGAGGATCTGCTGATGGGCAAGGAGGCCAAGCAAGACGGCGAGCTCTGGTGATCAACAAGATTGACAGTGACCAGATTGGGCAGCGGATCTCCGACCCAAATGGTCGAACCAAGCGGGCTCCCCAGCTTGTTCATGGTGCGTTTGGAGCCGGACTTCCTGCACGAGCTCCAACAGGCCCGCTTTGGCGTATGGAGAGGCGGAAGGGGAGGAGGACAGGGTGGCAAGGAAGGGGTTGCAGCGGTGGGAGACGGGGATGGACCTGTAGAGGGGGGGGATGTGAGGAGGAGGTGGTAGAGGTCTGTGGGGTCTGTGATGTGGGCGAGGATGAGGTCGAGGAGCTCTGGGACGGACATGGGGATGCAGAGATGCACAAGGCAGCCAGAGCAGCTGATCTCGCTCCAACTTTTGGGAAATGGAATACCGCGGCTCGGAACCAAACAACCGCAGCTTAATTCATGCATCTATCCATCCACAACATCCACATCCAGAAGTAGCCCTGCCTGTATATCTTTCAGACGTTCAGTGGCCGATACTCATGCATATACATCGTGCTAACCTTTCCTTCATGTCGCGTTATCCTTTATAGTATCTGCACTGATTGGCATCCCCAAGCTTCCATTGTAACTGCTTTTATTCCTGCTTGAGAGTCTCCACCTTCTCTTCCTCAACCTTGCCCTTCGCGTTTTGGATTGAAAGGAAGGTGTTCCATGGGATGTTGACAGCGTTGACAGCCAGGAGTCGGTATTGAAGGGGAATGAGCTGCAAGGGGGTAACATGTTAGCTTCATACACCGGGCGAAGAACCAGTAGGGAGATCAGGACGTACACCCTGTCAAACAAAGGAGAAGGAGACAAGTCAGCAATGATCCATCTGCGAGTCACCGCATGTACGCACCATGTTGATAGCCTGGAAGGGGATGAAAAGCATCCAGTTCGCCTTCAAGGTATCCACGAAAGACTACAGGAGAGCATGAGCACCTGACTAGGGTCTCTTGCGAGGGTGGACGCGTACCTCGTTCCACTTGAGCTTGGCAGCCTCAAGGTTCTTACCTTCCATCAAGGTCATGGCAGTGAAGAAACCTGGTTTAGTCCAGTCAGCAAGGTGCTCGGCGTACACATCCCAACGGGAACGCACTGGTCAAGGCGAAAGGCGCAAACGCGAACTGATCCAAAGCCACACGCGCCGCGGTACCGGCAACCTTTGACTGGATAGGCAACCTTGCGAGTGTCTTGAACCACACGTGGACCACGGGAGCAAAGCACAGACCACCCCACACCACAATCCGGCTGCACAAGAGGCGATACTTTAGCAGTTGGACGACGTGCCGCGTGGTTTCCAACTCACCCAGTACGAGTGAGGTCATGGTCCTTTCCCTTTTTCTCAATCAATTGCTGGGCGATAACGTCACCAGTAGCGAAGAGGACCTGTGGGTCAGTCAGCGTCAGCAGCTTGATGGCCACGTCCTCCCAGCTCCTGAAGCTCTGGCAGAGACGCCCCCCCACCCCACAGGTACTCACCGCCGAAGAAGCCATGTTGCCAACGACAGGCCTCCTGGCCAAGAATGCAGAGTATCGTCCGAACAAGGCAGCCATTGTGGGTATACGATATGGGGTGGGTGGGGATGGAAAGCTGTGGAGAAAGTCGTGCAAAACTGATGAAATAATTTTGTTGTCATTTGCAATGTCGTCAGTGGGCCGACGCGGGGTTCAACAGCCTGAGTACGTAACACGATTCTGCTGCCGCTGTCCTTGCCCATGCATCAACCTGGGTGGGTGTAGGGTTGGAAGGGGTCCTGCAATGACCCGAGGGAGAGCATACGGCCCCAGAGATGCATTGCCTCAAGTATGCCCCCCCGTCGCCGGTCCGACTATTCTGGCTACCGCGGTCTTTGGTTCGGACCTCGCCGATCCTCTATGGGACATGAAGTCATTCAAATCAGATAGATTCGTCTGCATCGTGCAGTATAATTCTGTAAGATCCAAGAGTCAAACATTTATCCCACCTTCCGCACGAGAGAAACAATTCAGCTACAAAATTCTATACGCGCAAATTGCACGGAGCAAGACAGCATTCAAACAGCCAACAGCAAATAGACAAGCAAACCACAGACAATTCTTACACCAACTCAAAGTATCGGGCGACTGCGACACATCAGCTTCTGATAGGGCTGGGGGGATTCTCATGACTCACCTTCCCAATCCGTGACCGCCTTTCTGTGAAGATCGAGCTCGTGCTCCCTGGTACCGCCATAGTGGTCCACAAAGAAGTCACCCAACACCTCTCTCGCTATACTGTCCTTGGCCATGAAGGCCTTGGTAGCGCTTTCCAGGGAAGTCGGGAGGTGCTTGACAGTCTCCCGAGTGACTCCAGGAGATCCAATGGGGCCGTAAGGAAGGGGGGTTTTCTTCTCGATACCTCGGAGACCGAGGGCAAAGATGGTGGCCATGGTATAGTATGGATTCATCTACGCATCGTCAGCCATGGGTACAGGGGATAGAAGTGTCGACACTCACGTCAGCACCGGGCACCCGGACCTCGAATCGGGTGGCGTAGCCCTTGACACCCGGGGCTGTTATAAGCCTGACAGACGCAGCCCGAGAGTCGTAACCGTACGAGGCAGTATCGGGAGCCCACATGGCCTGGCCACCTTGCAACCGCTTGTAAGAGTTGATGGTGGGGCAGAACATGGGAACGACTTTGATACCGGTAAGCGGACAAGTCAAGCTGGTCGATCAAGCACTCACCATCGGGCATACCCTCGAGCAAACCAGCCAAGAACCACTCAGCCTCCTGAGAGATGTACTTGACATCATCAAACGCCGCATTGGCTCGACCGCCGTTTGCAGCCTCCTCATCAGTCACCGCAAAGATGTTCTTGCCGTCCTTGTCTTGGAGAGAGACGTGGGTGTGACTGCGGTGGATTAGCACTTTGCAGAAAACATTATGAAAAGGGGATCGTACCCAGAACATCCGGGAAGCTAGAAGCAAAGAGTCAGCCACAGGTCTTTTCCCGATGCACATGCTGATTGACTCACGTCTCCCCATGGCTTGGCCATGAAAGTCGGTGATATGTTGTACTTCATCCCCAAGCTCTTGGCCACAAGTTTGAACAGACAAGCATTGTCGGCCATACGAGCCGCATCGGTGTACCCCAATGCGGTCTCAAACACACCGGGACCTGTTTCGGTATCTGGTGAATGTAGTCAGCATGGTGCACTCCGATTCCGATAAGGAGGGCGTACGGTGTCCTTCGACCTCGATACCAAAGTCGGTGGCAGAGTCGTAGAGATCGTGAAAGTATTCCATGTTGAGGGAAGGTCTCAGGACAGAATAGCCGTGCACTGGATGTATGTGAGCTATATTCTTCGGCTGCACGGGGGATACACTCACTACCGGGGGTCAGAGGTTTGAGGTCTCTAAAGTTCTTATCGGCAAGCGTTTGAGCGGTTTCGGCGAATTGAAAATACTGTATACCTGTAAGCTAGGCAGATGACAAGACATATATCGACTCACTTCAAACTCGGCACCGCTCATGCACTTGTACCCCTTCTCCTGAGCCTTTTCTGTGACATCCATAATCAAGCTTCTGGGGTCCACAGGCAAGATCTTTCCAGTCTCGGGGATGACGAACCGACACAGGAAGAAGGGGACGTTTTTCTCCCAAGGCAACCGCCTGAAGGTGGACAGGTCGATGACGGCAAGCAAATCACGGTAACCGTTATCCCAGTTGGCTACGAGAAGGTCCTTGTTATAGGTCTGGTCATGTACTGATAGGGCAGATAGATTAGCAAGGGATATCCATCTGCCACATCAGATGACCTACTATCCCATCCAAAGATGACACTGCAGAAGTTGAAGCCCTCCGACTTGACAGAGGAGAGCAGCTTGGACTTGCTCATGATCTTGCCTCTCAGCACGCCCTCGACGTCGACGCCTTTGCAATCTGTTAGCATCTTGTCCCGCAGCCGATAAGGCAGAGCCGTGTCCAGCAGCGTACTCACCGGCCACTTTGACCTTGGTGTCGTCTTTGAGGAGCTGCTTGAGCTCTTCGAGGTTCTTGGGAGCATTCTCTGTGGAGGAGGGGGCCATGGCGAGTGGTTGTGTAGATACACACAAGTCAAGTCAGTAGATGCGGGGAATGATAGCGGGCGGGAAATACCCGCGCGGGTTCTGGCTAATCTCTGGCTGATCTCTTACTCGGCTAGAGATTAATAAACTTGAGACGCGTCGCTCAAGATTATTGCAAGATTATTGCAAGATTATCTTGACGCCGCTTGTCTAATTGTCCTGGTCCCAGAGCGCCATGCCCGCACAGCCATCCATCCGCGCATACTTCGCCAAGCCCCACGCAGCAGCTACCGCCAGAGTAGCCCTCAAGTCCACAAGCCCCCCCACCGCCAGACAGGGCACCGAGAACATGCCCGTTAATGAGAGCAGCGAGGCTGGACGAGTGATCGCCAAAGAGTCCAAGAAACGCACAAGGTCTGGTGAGACAGCCGCTGCAGGTGGGTCCCGATGTGCTGCCAGTCCAGTCTTATGGGTCGCCATCACTGACCGTCATTAGCAGCATCGACCACCAAAGTAGCGAAAGTCACGGCGTCTGCCACGAGCACTATCCCGAGCAAGACTGCTGCTTCTGGGAAGTTTGATTCTGTCGCCGACGTCCGAGAGGCTGTGAGAGGAACATCCCTGCCGCTCCTGGAGTTGGAGACCAAGTCGATGGGTGAAGACTGGTTCCTGGCATTGCAACAAGAGTTTACCAAACCATACTTTCTCAAAGTGTGTAATCTATGGAAGGAAGACAGAGGGGCGGATGCTGACGAGTATGACAGTTGAAAGAGTTTGTGACGACCGAGCAGCGTACCAAGAAGGTCTTTCCACCAGGCATGTCTCGCGATGAGTATACTCGTAACGCTTACTGATCACCTGTTTGACACAGGGCAAGATATCTACTCGTGGTCCACACTTTGCCCACTCAAAGACGTCCGAGTGGTAATCATTGGTGTGTTCATGTGATTGATTAAACAAGGCTATTGCCGCCTTCTTACGCCGATCGAACAGGTCAAGACCCATACCACGACGACGGGCAAGCCCATGGCCTGGCTTTCTCCGTTCGCCAGGGAGTGAAGATCCCTCCATCATTACGCAATATCTACAAGGAGATGACCAACGAGATCCCCGGATGGGTATCACCGACTCATGGGTGAGCGTCGGAGAAGCCTGGCCAACCCTTGATGGCTCCGCTGATACGGGATCAGTGATCTCACAGAATGGGCTAAACATGGTGTTCTGCTCCTCAATACCTCTCTCACTGTCAGAGCGCACACCGTATGTCCCTTCTCTTATCGGCCACTACCCTTACAATCAGGCTCATTGCAAAATTAGGCCGGATCACATTCCAAAGCAGGTTGGGATCAATTCACAGCGGCAGTTCTAAAGGTCGTAACGGACCGCTTGGCACCAACGTCCGGTGAAGGGAGTGGTGCGAATGGAGTCGTGTTCATGGCGTGGGGAGCGCATGCTGCAAAGATGTGTGCCGGGGTCGACTCTGTGAGCAGTCCACGTTAATTCAGACAAGGTTGTATTGATGAGCTCGCAGAAAAAACATTTGATCCTCAAGTCGGCTCATCCCAGTCCCCTTTCGGCTAGCCGGGGATACTTTGGCAATAATCACTTCAACCTTGCAAACGAATGGCTAGAAGAGCGCTATGGTGCTGGGGGAGGTATTGATTGGAAAGCTCTCGGTGCCGCTCCTCCTGTTTGATATTTCAGACCCAATTGTACATTTTTCATACATCATACCCCTTGTATGCACCTAGTCTTGTTTCTATGCCTCAAGCTCGCCACAGTAGATCGCCTATCACGCAACTGCCTTCTTCTGCGGGCGCGCCCTGCCCCAGACGACCTTGGCCTTCTTGCCTTCCACTTCAACTCCTCCCTGTGCCGACAGAGCTTCGGCGACTCGTTCGGCTGTTGGTCGTTGGTTAAAGTTGACGAACGCGCAATCTGAATTGATCGTCAGCTGAGGTCAGGGGCATGACTGGCGGACTCACGGCTAGCTTGGACGATGGTTACGGATCTCAAATCCGAAGTTTTGACGAATGGACAAGCACCCAGCAAAGAAGCTCTTACATGAGAGTCATTGCACTCGGGGAGACCAAGGAATAGGAGAGTGGTCTGAGACCCCGTCAGCATTACCCTTCAATACAAGCTCAAGACAGCTCACAATAGACTTGTCCTCGGGCGCCTTCAACCCCTTCGTCTCCGCCGCCTGACTCAGAATCTTCTTTGCCTGCGGATCATTCCTTCCGTAATACCTGTCCACCATGCTCTGCTGCTTATTCCCGGTCCCCTCATTCTCTTTCGGCATCTCGTGTCTGAATGGACACTCATCTCCTCTTTTACACTCTCCCTTGACGAAGAAGCTGCAGATATGCGGTCTGTTCCGCTTGTAGTAAGGGTCGGTTCGGGCGAGGTTCTTGAGCATTTCTTTGCCGTGTTGGTTGGCTTTCTCAGAGTCGTAGGCCATTCCATCGGCAGAGTCTGCCATCTGAGCTTCAAGATTTTGAATATAGTATTCTAGAGACGAGTCAAGGTCAGTGGCGGCTACTGATGTATGAAGAAGTAGCGTACGCTTGTTGATATCGGACGAAGGAGCCTGCGCCTTTCTACCCAAAGCCGCATCCCTGACCTGAGTCGGCAATCCATACTCCCTACACTCATTAGCACATCATTCCAACATTGTGACGATAGCTCACAAATCCAGCAGACATGTCTGGCAACACCCCTTGATCTTGGCACAAGTGGTGCAAATCTCCGTCTTCTTCATCCTGCCCTCTCCGGGGTTCCAGCGGAATACAGTGAAGGGGCGATTGCAGACTTTACATTCGTGGCCAAATTCTTGCTTGCTCTGTAGTCTCTCGATAAGCTTGGTACGCGGGTCGAGGGAGAATGGACTTACCATCCGAACGTAGGGATTGGGACCAAGACCTGGGGTTTGTCAGCTCCTGCTCTGCGTATCGCCTCATAGCACCGGACGGTGGACTAACATGTTTCACATCTATCGCATAGTTATTAGCTCCAGTTTTACGTACATTGGGACAGACAGCTCACAATATAGGGAAATCAGAGCTCTCCACTCCGATTTTCTTTGAACGAGATCATGAGCTACTGATGCGCGTCTCTGAATGGAGTGGTTACTCACGTTGATATCGTTTTTGGCGGGCATTGCTGTGATAAATTTTTCCACGCGGCTCTGCCTGAAGATGGAATATTACGGGGAGACGCAGGTTGTACAGGGTCAAAACAAACATCTAAGCAGCTGCTCAGCAGCGTCAAGCGCAGGAAGTGAGGGAAACGGCGATCACCGCCAAAGCCAAGTGCCGAACAATTGGTTCCGGTTATCAACTGATGAACAGAACCATCTGTTGAGGGTCATGCGTCTAGTGATGTCAGGGTGCTGTTGCCGCTGAATGAGATGTGTATATTCACTTAATTTAGTCTGAATGATACATCCTAAGATGCTGAATGCATGAAATACGTGCCAAGATACAACTCGTCCCCCGATCGTCACCTCGCGTCAGCTTGTGCGCTACTCGATATACATATCCCAAAGCTTCCTCTGCTCCTCCGTCCCCTCGAAATGAAGATTCACTGTCCGCACCTCCACGAAGCCTTCTTGTTTGGTTGGTTTCTCGTAGTTTGACGCAAAGCTCCCGAATGCGACAGGAGGAAGGGCCGTACGGGTTGGTTCATTGGAGGGGCCGTAGTAGGCACGGTAGAGGTTGTTGTGCTTGGCTAGCTCGGGGGGGCAGAGGAAATGGAACACTCTGTGATGCTTTGGTGAGCTCCTGAAATCAGGACCGCTGCTGTGGACATACCTGATGGGAGCCTGCATCTTGGCGGCAAGAGCTGTCCAGTGAGCCCTGGTGGCAGAATCTCGATTGGTGTTATCTACGGGTGGTGTAAGTACGGCGCTCGTGGACAGTGAATCTATACTCGCCCACAACCACGGATTTGCCATTGCTCAGTTCCTGCTCCGCCACCAACAAGCACTTGTCCTTCGTCCTCAGAGTATCTTGATTCACATGCGCATACCCCTTTGGCTCGAAATGTTTTCTGTAGAATGATGATTTGCCCGAAGCAGGGTAACCAACAAAGAGAACGATCTCTATCTTCTCGCGAGTGATCGGAGTGTGCGAAGGGACGATGTAAGGCACTTTCCTACATAGTCAGCGTCAGTCACTGATAGTAAGGTGGTGGGTGGAGCGTACGTGATTCGAGGTTGCCGAGCGAAGATGGTCTGAAACCTATGGCAGGTTCTGGGAATCTGGGACGAGGGTGACCAAGAAAGTGCTCCTGTGGGGTGATGAGTATCGGGCTTGATGTTGAGTGACTCACTTCTGGCGTCACAAACTTGAGGCCAACATTCAGTGCAAACTTGTAGTCTGTATCGTTGTGATCCTTTGGCTTTCCACCATTTGAAGGACGCCCTGCAGCATCGCCGATGAAGAGAGAGTTGTCCATATCGATCACAAGTCCCTCGCGCCGGTAAAGTTCAGAGGCACTTTGAAACATGCCAATGTTTGGTTTGCGGTATACGTCCTTGTCCAAGGCAGCCAAGACACGGAATGGTATGTCTTTGGGCATCTGTAACAGTGTGAGTCCATATCAGGTCTGATCTTGTGTGGTTCATACCTTGGCCGCAATCAGCGACAGCTTCTCCCGCCATTCACCTCTCCGTTTCGGGCTCTTGTCTCCCTGATTTGAAATCACCACCAAATGCTTTCCCTCTTCGTACTCCTTCTTTAATCTCTCTGGAACTGATGGGTGCCACCATTGCCAGTCCTCCCTGTCTTTTGGAAACTTGGCTCCGCTCTTCGGTTTGATGAGCGTTCCATCGAGGTCGTAGAACATCACTCCGGCCTTCTTCGGCCCAGATTGGGTGGACGAGGAGCCATGTTGGACGACCGAGAATGGATCAAGATGGGTAAAGTGGATAAGGGAGGGTTCGGAGGGGAGAAATGTGCCCAGAGTCTGCTTTCGAGCACCTCCACTGAAGAAGGGATGGGCTATCACGTGTCAGTACGATCGTCTTTAAGGTGTCCACAGCTCACCTTTCTTCGCCGGGGGTTCAGGCCCGTCCGACTCTCTCTTCTGGGGTGGCATTGTAGATGTCGAGAGAGACCCACTCTTGGCTGACAGCAACAATTGAGAGCGTCATATGTAACACGGGTCAATATTGAACGGGATCAAAATTCGCTCTCCCGAGCTTGAATCGATCTTTTACTACAAGACGTCTCTTGCACTTTGAATTATCTCCACGAACACCCCAGCATGCCCCCAAACGCCCCATCAGAACGAACACCAGAGACGTTCAAGATCCTCTTGAAGAAGCTTGTCCAGTCCCCCGACCAATTCACCCCCGAGGATTGCGCCGAGTGCTTCCAGCATCTTTGTGTCCAGGGTGCTTCGGACGCCCAGGCAAGTCTACTCGCAGAGCTAAACATTACTATACTGACAGCTGTACTGTGACAGGCTGGTGCTTTCCTGACAGCCTTGACGCTCTCGGGTCTCGACTCTTCTCCCGAAATCGTTGCTGCCTGCGCTTCCATTCTCCGCGAACATGCCGTCTCGGTAGACAACCTCTATTCTGACTCTCACGGGCAAGAGCCGGCGCCTGGTATGTGGGACTACAGAGACTCTGATAAGGAGGGCGACCGGTACAAGGGGACGGTCGATATCGTTGGTACGGGAGGTGACGGATGGGATACCTATAATGTGTCTACAACGGCTGCCGTGGTCGTGGCCGGTGCCGGTGTCCGTGTCGCCAAGGTGAGTAAACGTCTCTTATACCCTCCAGTCCACAAATACTGACACTCCGAAGCATGGATCCAAAGCTGCCACCTCCTCATCCGGCTCTGCCGACCTGCTCATATCCCTCGACTGCCGCCTCGCCTTCCCAGTTTCAAAAGTCGACACTTTCCTCGACCACTCTCCCTTCCTCTTCCTCTTTGCCCCGCATTACCACCCAGCCCTCGCGCATATTGCTCCCATCAGGCGCAGTCTCAACTTCCGTACCATCTTCAACGTCCTCGGCCCTTTGATCAACCCGAGCAAGCCGGACAGGATGGTGTTGGGTGTGGCCAAGCAAGAATTGGGAGATACGTTTGCAGAGGTATTGAGGCTGCTGAATGTGCAGAGAGCTTTGGTGGTTTGTGGAAAGGAGGGATTGGATGAGATCAGTCCTGCAGGGGAAACTTGGGTGCGTGCTCTTCCACTTGTGGCAGACAGATGACTGATTTGGTGCATAGACTTGGTGGTTGGAGAATGGCAAGATCACCAAGGGCTCAATTCACCCTACCGAGGACTTTGGTCTCCCTACCCACCCCCTGTCATCTGTCCGTGGCGCTACCCCAGACCTAAACGCTCTCACCTTTAGATCCATCCTCGCCTCCTCCCCCGCACCTGCCCACCTCGCCTCTCCCGCCGGGCCCGAATCGCCGTCCTACCAAGCCATCTACGACTACATTCTCCTCAACGCTGCTGCTCTACTGCATGTCTCTGGCAAGGCCGCTTCGTACAAAGAGGGTGTACAGCTGGCGCGGGAGAGTATCGAGAGTGGAGGTGCGATCGCGGCGTTTGATGGGTTCAAGGAAGCCAGTCAGAAGGCGATGGGAGAGCATGTGGACGTCAAGACTGTGGAGGATGATGGAGGTGTGGCTGCGAAGAATGGAGCAGTGAAGGCTTGGTTGAGCGTCAACAGGTCGAGGCCCGAGACGCCTGCAGCTGAACAATAGATTATGACATGATGCAGAGACAATGCAGACACATAGTGCATGCGCCTGGCAACAACAAGGCGTGGACAAGCATGCAGATACAGTGATGAGATGTTTGATGCCGGCTGGGTATCCGAAATCCGACCATGCGCGTATTCCTCCACTGGTCCGCTCTGAGCCGTGCATGCTTCCATCTTCCCATTCACTCTGATCACCAGGGGACAATGCCGCAAGCCCTGTGGTGGAAACGAGATATCGCTCCGGCCCGGGCCTATAATTTCTCCTGTGTTCCGCTTCTCGGCTCCGTCCCATCTGTCCTTCTGACTCCCGCACACTTATATAACAGACTCGTCCCATGCATTTGCGCCAGCATATATCCACTGTATACACATAGACTCGAGATGACTGCTATCAACGGAAACGGTGTCACCGAGAAGAATGTCGTACTCATTACTGGAGCCGGTGGCTGGCTCGGCGGTATCGTGAGTGTTCTTGTCCGATGCTAGAACCAAGGCTAACTCTGAGCAGCTCGCGAACGCACTCCAGTCCGACCCCCGCACTCCTAATGTGCACCTCATCCTCGCCGACATTGTCAAGCCCAAGCTCCCCAACTCCCCCAAGAACGCCCTCTCCATCACAGCCGACCTCACCACCAAGGAGGGTGTGGACGCTCTGTTCCAGACGGAATTTGGGGTACCAGACACTGTCTATTGTTTCCATGGGATCATGAGCAGAGGGTCAGAGGACAACTTCGAGCTGGGCCTCAAGGTTGGTCAAGCATTCGAGAGCTGGTCAGAGATGCTAACAGGCTGTAGGTAAACATTGACTCTATCCGACTGATGCTCGACTCTGCCCGTCACCACAAGCCTTCGTCCGGCCAGCCCATCAAATTCGTCTTTACCTCCTCCCTTGCCGTCTACGGCGGTCCCCTTCCTGCTGTCGTTGACATCAACACGATCGCCACGCCCGAGGGCGCGTACGGCATGGGCAAGCTCTCGTCCGAGCTGCTGGTCAACGAATACACACGCCGTGGATTTGTTGACGGGCGAATTTTGAGACTACCAACTATCGTGGTCAGGCCTGGCCCGCCTTCGGCTGCGACGAGTGCGTTCATCTCTGGGATCATCAGGGAGCCGCTACATGGTGTCAAAGCGATCTGCCCCGTGGGAGATTCGCTGGAGAGCAAGGAGCTCGAACTGGCGGCGTGGGTTGCGAGCCCCGAGACGACTATCAAGAACTTTGTGATTGCCAAGCACATTCCTGCTGAGAAGTTCTTGCCCCATACTAGAGTGTGAGTCATCACATGTCTTCTTGTACAGAGCTGATAGGGCGTAGGGCGTATCTCCCTGGTTTCACGGTGACGGTGCGAGAAGAGCTGGAAGCGCTCGCTCAGGTTGCCGGCAAGCAGGCGCTCGATCTCGTCACATTCCAAGTAGGTCCCTTCTCTCCCTGTCCCCTGCCCTGGCTGACCACACCCAGGACGACCCGATCAACCGGCGGATTGTTGGTTCCTGGCCTGCGCGATTCGACAACGCGTACCCCAGGAGCCTGGGCTTTGTGGTGGACGAGGGGGGCATGGTGCCGGTGGTGCAGCGGTTCAAGGAGGCGGTGGCTGCGGGCCTCGTGTAGAGGACAACTACGGATGATGATGCATCGTTTAAAAACAAACCATCCTGTCATCGCTGATGTCACTGTTGATCCTGCCTGGAGTCTTGCATGTTGAGCGATGTACTTATGGGGCAACACAATTTTCTTCTCCCTCCGCATTCGCTGTCCGCCATGTCTGCCCCCGCAGTGCCCGCCCAGGTCCACGAGAAAGCCCCTCGCCACGCAGCCCCCACCGGCGCCAACCTGTCCGCTGCTGAGGCAGGCGGTGTCCCGGGAACACGAGGCAAGGCGTACGGACAGGACTTTGGCTTCCTGCGATGGGTGCGACTGCATGCCCTCGACCTCATTACTATGGCTGCCATGGGCGCTGTAGGGCTGGGTGTCTACGAAGCAGACCCAGCGCCGACAAGAAGCTTCCCCGTCTTTGTGCGTCCCGTCTCGCACTGGTGTTTCCAGCAGTTGACACTATACAGAACCTTGACGGGAGCATCGCCTACCCCGAATTCGCCTACCCTCTTCGCCACAACATCATCCCAATCTATGCCGCCGCCCTCCTCGCCTTCTTCGTTCCCTTTGTCTTTTTCGTCCTCTTCCAAATCCGTCTGCGCTCCATTGATGCCCTTCTTGGGACGACAATGGGCTTGCTGGAGAGTCTGATCACCGGCGCCGTCTTTCAAGTGTTCCACAAGTGGTTGATCGGCGGCCTGAGACCGCACTTTTTGGCAGTATGCGACCCGGATGTGGACGCTCTCACCCAGAGTGGCATTGGATTCCAGAGCGTCATGTACGATCGATCCATCTGCAGGGGGTGAGTCTCTTGAATCTCGAATGGGGAACATGCTCATAATGTTTGCAGCAACGAAGACACCATCAACGACTCGCTCGAGTCTTGGATGTCTGGCCACTCTACCGCTGCCTTTGCTGGCTTCGTCTACCTCTTCTTCTACTTTAACGCCCAGCTGAAGGTCATGTCTGACCACCGACCCGCCTACTGGAAGATGATCCTCACTATCGCACCTCTCCTTGGTGCCAGTCTGATCGCTGCCTCGCTCACTATCGACGAATTTCACAACTGGGTACGCCTCCTTTTTCCTGCAAGAGATGCAGCTGACGTTTGTCGCAGTGGGACTGCCTTGGCGGCGCCGTGACCGGTACACTTTGCGCCATAATTGCCTACCGCAAGACTTTTGGCGCTCTTTGGGACTTTAGGTTCAACCACATCATGCTCCCCCGCGGCACATCCCTCTTTTTCCATCGCAAAGCCGTCGACGAGGTACCTTTCACCTCTCGATTCCAGTACTCTGCGCAAGAGACTGGAGTGCAGATGCCGGTGGCCAGTGAGGGAGGATGGAGGAAGGAGTGGGGAAGCGCGGGTGCGCCGTCCGATGCGACAGCCATGATGGTCTGATCTCCTGTTATTATAATTCGCACTCACTCTTATAATCCGGGTGTCTATGTATATACCACACGACAGTCACGAATGCAAAGTCTTACTCTATCCATCAATGCTGATATTATCTGGCCACAATCGGTACATGTTCCACTAAACCTAGTTTACAACGTGTGTATGGATGAAATTATGAATGCTAGAGTGTATAAAACCCGTACGTATGCTTGGCATGGTACAGCGTCAAGAATCAACGCGGAAAACAACAGGACGGTCGCGGTGACAAGATGGACAGACCGCTTCGCTATCGGTTTCACATAGACGGGTACTGCCCGCCGTTCATCCCGCCGTTCAAAGGGGGCTGTGGCATCTGGGAGACAGGCCCTGGAGGAGGAGCGACCCCGGGAGGGAGGTAGCTATCAAAGTATGACTGCCAGCTAGCCCAGTCAAACGTACTGACAGGGAGAGAATCGAGTATGTTAGCCTCCAGCATATTGTCGTTCCTTGTCCTGGCAGGTGTAGCGGGATTGGCAATCTGCTGAGGCTTGGTCAACAAAAACATCCCCCAAAAGGGTTATGGAACTTACTTGGTAGCCGAAATCCACTTGCCCATGCTCCCCGAACCCAAGATTGGGATTTACATTCTGCATATCCTGGAACGGGGCATGGTGCATGCCGAGCATCTTGCCCATGCCGTCGACAGGCTGCTGATGCGCTTGCGGGGGCATCATTTCCTGCGGCGGCTGCATGACCGGCATGCTCATAGGCGTGCTGCCCTGCACCGAGCCATTCGAATGCACCGACTGCCCCGTAAACGACTCCACCGGCTTGTCCTGCCCCGACCCTCCACCGCGAGAGTGCAAGCTCCGCACACTCTCCGGCGTAATCACATCACCCAGCCTCTCTTCCTTGTACTCGCTCTCCAACATGACATTCTCTGTCAGCCCACTCGCCTTTTTCTCCTGCTCATCTCGCGCCACGTAAAAGCCACCGCCAGGACGGGATGAATCTTTGACAAAGACGACTTTGGCGGGTTCAGTTCGTAGAGAGACCCCCGCGGTCGGGTTGCCTACACGGTTGGGGTTCGAGGTGGCCAAAGAATCTTTGCCGGACGGGTTGGTCTTGAGAGCGGCTTCGTAAAGAAGCGCGAGGGTCTCGCAGTTTTTGCGGCGTAGACTCATTTGATCTTGTCACCAGTCAGCCCTGTCCCCTTTGTATTGATGAAACATACCTGGCTGCACGACCGCCTCCCATCTCGTAGCCGTCTCCTTGACCAACCTCAGACTTCCCAACGCCGCTTGATCTCCTCTCCTCGCCCACGTATGGTACTGGATCAGTGCGCAATTTGTCGCCGCATACGAGTACGTAAACACCGTATCCAGCGCGTCGTCATGCTTGTCGAGCCATTCGAGAGCCTCGCGCGACCATTCGATGATCTTGGACCATTGTTGGACGTCCAGGCCGAAGGAAATTTGAGGTGGACAATGATACTCGATGCGCATAAAGACGCGCCAGAAGAGGAATTGTACAGTGGCAAAAGACATGTGAAGAAGGCCTATCAGGTGTTAGATGTATCTCATCAGGATGCCGATGGACTCACCAGCAATGCGCGAGCTATCGGGCCCGGTAAACTTCAAGGCGTCGGGCAGGTTGATGATCCAATCGTTGATATCCTTGGTCAACTTTTGCAGCTTGTCGTCCGTAGCATGTTTCAGCCCCGTTGGGCTATAGATGGTCTTCAAGACCCTTCCCAGCAAAATCGACAGCTTTAAATGCTGCGCCAGCCCCACATACTCTTCATTGACCTTCCAAGCCGAGACATCTTGGTCCGGATCGATGGTGTAAGCCATGGGAAGGAGCACATCGCAGTCGGCGAGATCTATGGTGAGAGGCGCGCCGAGCGCGACTCCATTCCATCTGTCCATGATGACACAGGCAGCCCAGACGCGGCGGCGGAGCTCGACGAGTTCGAGGTCTTGGGTCTTTTCGGTGCCATGAGAGAGTTCTCGATGGAGACCAAGTTCTTGCGCCTGGGGCACTGTCAGCTTGAACCAAGATGAAGAGACCAGACTCACCATTCTGATGGCGACGTTGGTCCTGATGGACGAAGCACTAGCAGTAGGGGCCGAAGGCTGGGCGTGTACGTCGTGTACTTGTGACAGTAGTAGCAATGCCTGCACATTCTCCAGCCTCGCGTCGCTGAGTATATCGTTTGACCGCAGTATACCATTGATCACTCCCCTCACGCCAGTATATATCTCTTTGGGAAACTGCCTCCTCGTCGCGCCCATTCCGCAGATGGAATACAGCAGCAAGGGCGGAGGATTCGATTTTGCCGCAAATTCGGCTCGCGAGATGATTGGAAGTAGAGGGGCGACCTCGTTAAAGTAGGCATTCACCAAAAGCGACATGGTCTGTGCGGATAGTACTGGCTTGTTCAGCCTGTTGTGGGCTTTGGAAGGATCTTGCGGATCGGCGTCGGCGTAGCCGGTAGCGGTAGGAGGGGCATTGACGCGGATGAAGCCGTTGCCGTCTTCTAGAACCTCCCACGAGTTGTGGTGGCGGAGGTCGTACGCTTCGGATTGTATAGGCGGGACACTGGTGTGGATCAAGAACGATATCGAAGTGGGGCCTGATACAGGTCAGCGAGATGGCTGATAGAGCCTAGAAGAACTCGCCTTCAACCCGACTGGGGACTTCGCGATTTCTCGGCTCGTTGACGATTTCATAGTTGGGACTATGGCTCGACGAGACCTGCCGTATTGTATTGGTGACCGTAGGGGATACGCCTTGGTCAGGGATGGGCTCTGGTATCGTCAGCCATCGTCATCTACAGCACTGGAAGCCGCTCACCTGCTGTAGGCTGAATGGCCTTCTTCTTGAATCGCGTTTCCGTGATGGGGAGGAAGAATGTACATTCCAGGTCGTTACGACTGCAATTCTTGCAGATGGGCTGTCCCATTGCTGATGGATCGGGAAGAATGTCGCATCTTGTCTTTTTTGACCGCTACGAGCAAGTCAGTGAATTCTTCAAGTCCGAGAAAGGTACTTTACACAAGCATCACATGCCCTCCCAGTCTTTTGCCTTGCAGCTTCCTTCCTCGCAGCCTCTTCCTTATTCTTGTCTGCCTTCGCTTCTTGTTCCAGCTTGTTCTTCTTTGCAGCCTCTTCCTCTTCCGGCTTTTTCTTTCGCTTCCTGCTCTTTTTGGCTGCAGGGACATCTCCATCAGGCTTGTCTTCGGCTGCAGCAGATACCGCAGAAGGCGGCGGCTGGGATGGTTCGCCCGTGTGATGCGTCCCATCAAACTGGGGCGATGTCTTGACGGCTAATACAGGCGAATGGGTATACCCATGATTTGTACTGGCCCCTTGCATTTGAGGTATTTGCGGCGACATCTGCGATGTGCCCATCTGTCCTTGCCCCTGGTACTGAAGCGTGCCCCTAGTAGAGCTCTCTCCCGGCTGCAGGGCCTGACCAGATCCATAATCCAGCGGATCTCTCGGCCCGGAAGGGTCGTTTGAGATCCAGGCCGGGATCCAGCTCTCTGTCGAAGTCGAGGGCGGTTGCTCTGAAGGATAGCGGTAGTCCCAGACGGGTGCCGAGTTGTTGTAGGGGGGCTGCTGGCTGGAGTTGTGTGACATTGGGGATGGTGGGTCACGTTGCGAGAGAGATAGAGAGAGTCGGCAACATGGGCTGCCGGCAGGGTGGGTGTATGACGACGTGCGTCGGCAGGGGAGATGGGGTGGGAGGTGGAGACGGGAGGTGTATGTATGGGGGGAGAGATCAAGCTGAGCAGGAAAAGATAAAGAGAGCGGAGGTGGACAGGGATCCTCAGGGTGCGTTGCGAGAGATTCCTTTTGTTCGTCGTTTCATCGCGTTTCAGCTGGTCGCGAGCTGGTCGAACCCCCTGCAGCATCCCAGCCTCCGCCTCGGGAAGGAGCATCCTATACATCTATGCATCTGTACATCTATGCATCTATACCTCTATACCTCTATACCTCTATATCTATACGCTGCATGCATACCCGGGCCAAACACGCGTCCATAGGCGGGAGATGCACCACGTGGCACGCCTAGAAGTCGGCGATGGCCGCTGCCTGTTTCCGCGCATTTCCACTCACTCTGTCGCTCCATCCTCTCTTTCTTTCCCATTCTCTCTTCTCTTCTCATCTCATCTATCCCACCCCCCCACGCACACTCACAATGGCCGACACTGCTTCCAAGAAGGTCATCCTCACCACCTCCGATGACGAGCAGTTCACCGTCGAGAAGATCGTCGCCGAGCGATCTGCCATGATCAAGTCCATGATGGAGGGTAAGCTTGCCATTCCGCTCCTCTTTTCTAGCGCTATCGACAGCGCCTCAGGGCATCTCGCGTGGGCTGGACAGTCGACCGGGGCAGGAAAATGTTGGCATCCCGTCAACGCGCTTATGGCGCGATTGGTGGCCGGGAAGCTCCTTGTCCGCCTCCCCCCCCTTGCCTTCTCCACTCGACTATCCCGCGCAGAAAAACTCTCTCTATTCAGCGAGCCCCGTTTTTCGTATCCGCGTGATTCCGTCCGATATCCCTCGTCAGCCTCCTTTCCCGGTGATCAAGTGCTGATGAGTCTCTCGTAGACCTTGGAGACCAGGAGGGCATGCCCATCCCTCTTCCCAACGTTTCTTCTTCTGTGCTCACCAAGGTCCTCGAGTACTGTGACCACCACAAGAACGACCCTCTTCCCGCTGCCGACGCCAACGACGCCGACGACTCTAGGAGAAAGACCAGCGAGATTGGCGAGTGGGATGCCCGATGGATGTAGGTCGCGCTGCCCACTGCCATGTGGATTGGTGCTAACGTGCATCAGCCAAGTTGACCAGGAGATGCTCTTTGAGATTATCCTTGCCGCCAACTACCTCGACATCAAGCCTCTTCTGTATGTATCGTCCTCGGCCGAAGTATGCTTTCCACTGATACACCCGGTAACAGTGACGTTGGTTGCAAGACTGTTGCCAACATGATCAAGGGCAAGACCCCCGAGGAGATCCGAAAGTTGTTCAACATTACCAACGAGTACGTCGCTTCCGCACGTAAAATTGTATTATCCGCTGACTAAAGCACAGCTTTACTCCCGAGGAGGAGGAGCAAATCCGAAAGGAGAACGAGTGGGCTGAGGAGTAGGTTGTTCCGTTCTGTCCATTCATACCGTCACTAACGCATCGCAGCCGTTAATCCGCCAAAATATTGTATATTGTAATCCGGCGTATCTATGAATCCACGCTCTTCCCGCAACTCTCCCTTCGTCTTTGACTTTTCTTTCTTTCTCAGTTGTAGATAATGAAATGAGCATGGCTGCGTTTTGTCGATGCTGGGGTAAATCAAATCGTGATGAAAAGGATCGTGCGAGGCCGTATGCACTTTGGATTTGGCTGGCGCCGAGAAGTAGCCCCGGCCTACTGTATATACTCGTGGAGCGATGATACTTGATGGCACATACAGCGCACGAAAGCTGATGGTGTTGATGGCTGGGACAAGCTGCCAGCTGGGCAATGCCGCTCTAATGTACCATATGCATGCGCGCCACGAGACGTACGGATAAACCCGAGGAGGTTACTCGCCCGTTATTCGGCAGAGCATCCCGAACTTTATTAGCAGTACATCCCCGCCCATCTCCTCTTTCATTTCATCTCTTATTACCCCCTAGAATATATTCCCGTCGTGCACCATGGACCAGGAGCATGCGTCTCACCAAAAGTCCGCTCTCGGTGACCCGACGGCCACTTCTTCTTCTCCCCAAGACCCACCCGCTAAGCGCCGTCGCCCGTCCACTACGGAACCGACAAACCGCGTACTACTCGCCTGCTTCTACTGCCGCACCAAGAGGATCCGATGTAGCGGTACAAAGCCCACATGTGAGGCGTGTCTGAAAGTCGGCGGCGACTGTGAGTGGCCAGAAGGGAGAGCAAAGAAGAGGACGAAGAAGGAGATGGAAGAGGCAAAGAGAAGAGAGGGCGAGAAATATATCGGGGCGAAGGATGTAAGACCTAGTATACTCTTATATTGATGATTGAGCTCACAGTCATAAGTGGCAAGGCTTCTCAGAGCAGTCGCTGTCGTCGATGGTAGCAGGGCCTTCCGACTACTACTGGAACAGCCTCAACGCTTCGAATCAATACTTGTGGCCACAAGACCTGTCAGCGCCAGGTATGCAGACGGCTTCGCCAGACATGTCCCAGCTAGGAGGCCAAGCTCTTCCAATACCACTCATGGCCGCACCATCCTCTGGATCCCGACCACTTCAACCTCCCTTGCCCTCGATACAACCAAATCTACGTGTCTCGCCCCCGTCATCCCAGCTGATGACAATGCCAGCGAGTACTGGTGATATCTCACTAAGCGGTCCCCTGGGTGGGAGCGCGTTTGGCGGGATACTCGATGAATGGTCTCCAAATAAGGATGCAAGACTTGCCAATGCGCTAGAAGCGCAAACTGCATATATAGATGGCAATCCGGAAGGAGACGGGAATCTGGAGCTATTTTATTACCGTTTTGCAAGTCATCAAGCAGGTACGGGGGGTCAGCGCTGACAATGATCGTAGTCCGGATCCACGGCCATTCATCCAGGTATCAATCGCATCAGTCTCAAACTCCAACGTCGGACATCTTCTGGTGCTCCTTCCCCTCTCGCTGCTGTCCCCCAGCCCATCGGCGACTCGCCCACCGTTGTCTCTCCTCTTGCTCCCCCTACCGATTTGTTTGACTCTACCGGCATGCCACACGAACACGTATGGCGGCCCTACTTTGCTCTCTACTTCAAGTACATGAGCCAACACTTTCCCAACTGCAGCTATCAGCGCATGATAGAGCGATTCGAGACGGGAACTATGAGTCAGTTTCTGGCATGCTGTATATGCAGCTTGGCGGCGAGGTTTGACCCCTCAGCTCAAGATCCGACGTCAGCGGCTGCGCCATTCATCGCGAAAGCGCAAGAGCTCGTCACGCCGCTACTACATCTGCCGACGCACGACGTCTTTACAGGTCTGCTCTATCTCGCGTGGTCCAATTATGGGCAAAATTCAGAAAGCGGGCTGTGGCAGTATTCGGGTATGGCCATGCGTATGGCTATAGATCTCGGGGCGCACGAGGTTTCTGAGCTGTACGAGTCGGTGGCTCATCGGGCGAGGATCAAGTTGCTCTTCTGGTCGACATTCGTGACCGACCGCGTTGTGGCATTCGCCACTGGTAGGCCTGCGACTATACCAGAAGACATAATCGAGATCCCCTTGCCGGTGGATGAAGATTTCTTCCCCGACCCCTCTCGAAACTTTCCCGACTCGGCGCACGAACCTGTCGAGCCCGTACCGTATGTACAGCTGATACAGCTGATGGTCATCGTTGGCCGGATCTCTAATGTCCTCAACGGCCGTCGGGGCCGTGCCCTCACTCTCGTCTCCTCTGCCGAGCCCCTACCAGAACTCGTCCAAGACCTCCAAGTCCGTCTAATCACGTTCTACTCCAACCTCCCCACTTCGCTGAAATGGAGCGCCGACAACTTTAAACACCAACACGCCCGGGGTCATTCTGGGACCTTTCTAGCTCTCCATCTGTGGGCGAATGCGGTACTGGCTCTGATCTATCACCCAGAGCTGTTGAAGAGCCCGAGTGGGGTGGAGACGCCACTAAACAAGAGTCTGTCGAGGAATGCGCAGCTCAGTTTGGCTAGCTCGAGGCAGATCGTGGAGTGCATGGTGTTTGCCGATCTGGTGGTTTCGGCAAGCTATGTGAGTTGCTACTTGATACCAAGAGGGTTGACTGACAAGTGGTAGATCTCCTCGCCCTATCTCACTCAGCCTCTGTTTGTAGCCGGGATGGCTTTTATCCATGAGATGCGTGCGCTCAACGCTACCGCCGAGCCCGGCAAGCCTGTGGATCCTTCCCGCGATGGCTCACTTCACCCGGACTCCGCTGCTGCCCCTAATCCGACCGACATTCTCATGCTATCCAGGGCCAAGCAAAACTTTAGCACTATCCTGCATGCAGTGTATAGGCTAGAAGAGTACTGGGCTGGTGCGCATTACGTGGCTACTTTGCTGGAGAAGAGTGCGTCCTCTCTCCTCTTGGCGGTGGAATGATACTGATCTGGAGCAGGATCCGGCTTTCCGAGACCAAGCTCCAAGATGGCACGACGCACATTCATCTCTCTCCCCGACAAGGGGCTTCTCAAACGCTTCACCACGGATCCCCAACATCCACAAAGCGTTGGGCCACCGACAGAGACTTCGTTGAGAGACTCTATAGCCCGTACAAAGCGGTCTGCCAGCGCCAACTCTTTCGGACTGAGTGAGTTGTCGTCTTGTGCATGGCATGATCGAAAGCTGACGATAGAATAGCACCACTGTGGTTGTCGGATTTCATGTCTGGATATACAGTGGAAAACATGTCCTCAACACCAGCAGACAATGTGGACCTGGAACGGCTTTTGGGTAAGGATGAAATGGGCCAGCTTGGCCAGAAAGACACGCTCCTCTAATCAACCTGTATATTATGTATAAGACTTGTATGAGCGTCTTATTTCGATTGAATTGTCGCCGTCTGTCTGTATCAGTGTACAAGTTTAGTCCATAGTTCCCATGCCAATACAATATAATTGTTTCGACCCCTAGCTGCAGCCCCCGGGCACGGCCTCGTATTCGTACCCATCGTAATCATGGATGATTTGCACCTTCTCGTTACTCGCCGACTCTGGGTCAAAGACATGCCCCAGCCACTCTTGCACAAGCTTCTTGGCTAGCTCAAAGCCAATGACCCTTTGTCCTAGACAGAGAATCTGGGCGTTATTTGATTTGATGAGGCGCTCGACAGAGAACGAGTCGTGAGCGGTGGATGCGCGGATGCCGGGAACTTTGTTGGCAGAGATGGCTACGCCCATGCCTATCCACACGCGTCAGCTCCCCGCTACCCATCGCGCATGCTAGACTCACCTGTCCCGCAAATTAGCAGACCCCTGTCAGCCTCCCCCTTCACAATCTTCCTCGCCGCATCCACCGCCACATGGGGGTACGCCGTCTTCTCCGGTTTGCCGTCTTCAGTCTTGTTGACCCCGACGTCAATAAGGCCCTTGACACGCTTGTCGGACTCGAGCAGGGATTTGAGGGCGATTTTGTAGTCGTGACCAGCCTCGTCACAGGCGAGCACGATAGTGTATGGTGGCTGGGACATGGTTGATGACTGTAGAGGGGTCAGTTGGCTCAGGAGAAACGGGGGCGCGACGCACGTTGAGTGACGCAAGAAATGTACGAAGAACAGATGTGGATGCACAAGAGATACTTGCTTATAGCTGCATGACTCAAGCATCCGCCAGAACGGCCACATGGATAATCCCAGTTCTGTCTTGACCCGGTGATATCCAGCGCGCTCGAGGGATCACCGAGAACGGACCGAGAAAGTACAAGGCACCACCCGTGACCCAGCGCTGCGTCTCTGCCGGGACGATTCTGGGCTCTCAATCCGGAAATAAGGCTGTTGGCCCGTCTTCGCAGCATACCCCATGCGATGCATAACCTGCAGCCACAGCGCCAAAAAGCCCAGGATCCCAAGACCTTCTGTTGGGTTCCGCCATTCCGCGGCTCAGTTTGGTGCGTGCCTGGGCGGCAGAGGCAGGGACCGGGCCGATGATCTCGTTGTTGCTTCTGTCGAGATGGATGCTCACCGAACGCTATTACCAGATGACCGTCCGTACAAATACTCCCAGAGTCTATCCTATGCCCATGCACCCCATCCGCAATGACTGATAGACACATCTTCCCCGACCACAAGACTCTCGTCTTCAGATCCCTCAGGGGTCTCGTCGCCTCCCACCCCCACCTCTCCCTCATCCCCTCCCTCAAGGTTGTCTACAGAGCAGACCATGACCCCTCCAAAGTGTCCCTCATCTGCGGAGGCGGCTCGGGACACGAGCCTGGCACAGTCGGCTTTGTTGGCCAGGGCTTGTTGACTGCGAGTGTGGCGGGCGACGTTTTCGCAAGTCCCAGCGCTAGACAGGTCACAGAAGCAATCAAGAGGGTGAACAGCGACAAGGGAACGATCCTCATCATCACCAACTGTGCGTATACAGCAACGGCGAGAATGCGGCTAATCCAACGTAAAGACACTGGCGACAACCTCCATTTCGGTCTCGCCAGGCTCATGGCTCAATCAGCTGGGCTCACCAACGTCGAATTGGTGGTCGTCGGAGACGACGTTTCCGTTCCAAAAACCAGAGGAAAGTATGTCGGAAGAAGGTGTCTGGCTGGTATCACTCTTGGTTAGTCTTGACTCCACGCCCTGGAGCTAGAGCTAAGACGGATTTACAGTTTGCAAGATACTCGGTGCTGCTTCTGAAGTCGACCTCCCCTTCCAAGACCAGGTGACGCTGGGCCGATCTGTGTCTACCAACACTGCTTCTATCTGTATGGCTCTCGACCACTGCCACGTGCCCGGAAGATCTGGCGATTGGCATATACCCGAAGGGCGTGTCGAGATTGGGTTGGGTTTGCACAATGAGACTGTGTGTAGTTTCTTTGGGCCAGGGATGGACGCTGACGAACGCATAGGGTGTATTCAACATTGGCCAGCCTCCTCCTGATGTGCTCATCAGCCAGCTTTTGGACCTCTTGCTGAAGCAAGACGACCCCGAGAGATCGTTTGTCAAGTTCCAGGATGGGGACGAGCTTGTCCTTCTGGTGAACAACATGGGCGGTATGAGCACATTGGAAATGGGATCAGTCGTGGACGAGGTGCTTGTTCAGCTCGGTACGTTTTTCACACAGCCACAGCTCACCAAGCTGACAGATCGCAGAAACCCGCAACATCATTCCCGTCCGTATCTTGAACGGCCCCTTCATGGGCTCAATGAACATGCCCGGTATCTCCCTCTCCCTCCTCAATCTCTCGAACGTTGCCGCCGAAAACAAGTTGGTCTCTGTCCCCAAGCTCCTCGAGTTCCTTGACGCCCCTCACAACTCTGTCGCGTGGCCGGCAACTAGCCAGATATACCCTTTGCCCGAGCATCTGAAGAATCGGAAGAGGGAGGACAAGTTTATAGACGTAGAAGAGGAAAAGAAGGAGGAGATCATCGGTGGTCCAGAATTGTTTGGTGAGTATGTCATTAGACAAATCGGTATCAAACTAACCTCCCACCAGGCAACAATGAGTTTATCCAGAAGGCCATGAAATTTGCAGGAGACGATGTCCTCGCCCTCGAGCCGAAGTTGACCAGATGGGATACCATCGTCGGCGATGGCGATTGTGGCGAGACTTGTGCCCTCGGTGCCAAAGCCACTCTCCAAGCCCTCGAGAATGGTCTTGGCTCCGACGGCGAATTGATCAAGTTCTTCCGAGTCTTGACCGAGGTCATCGATGGATCCATGGGCGGTACCCTCGGTGCCATCTTTTCCATCTTCCTTGCTGGCTTGACCACCGCTCTCATCGATGCTGCCGCCAACTCAACTCCCGAAATCACCCCGGTCTTCTTTGGGGACATTACTTCCAAAGCTCTGGAAACGCTCTTTGAACGCACTGCCGCTAGAGTGGGGCACAGGACCGTCATGGACGCTCTCATCCCCTTTGGCGAGACATTGGCGAAGGGTGGAGATTTGAAGTCGGCTGTAGAGGCTTGTAGGAAGGGCGGAGAGAGCACGGTGGACTTGCAGGCCAAATTGGGCAGGGCAACTTATGTCGGCGAGGTGGAAGGGGATATGCCGCCTGATCCTGGAGCGATGGCTTTTGTGGCCGTAGCCGAAGGTATCCTCAAGGCATATCAGAGTTAGATTGGCTGTAAAGTATCGAGTAATCATGGACGTTTCCGGGCCTTGTAAGACTCTCTAGCATGCACGTCAGTATCAATGTCATCGTCATGATCGTACCCGCTTCTAGAATATTTTCTTCATACAAAAGCGACCCGGGAAGACTATTCCGATTCCTGGTATCTTGATTTCAATACAAATGCACATTTATGATGTGGGTGATGACAATCTACGCATGATGAGTTCGTACCTGCGTAGCCCAAATTAGCACCTGATCCACTTGTCCCAAGGCGATTCAACTCACGTGAGCATAGTCACGGCGCTTGACGGTACCGTCCGGACCAAATTGATAGACAACCCCCTGTAGAACCCTCTCCACCCATCTTGCTTCTTGATCGTAAACATCGTGTCTATCACCCCTCCCTCCTTCGGATTATGCCAAAACTGCCAGGGTGGCTTGGGCCCTTCTGCTATTCTGGGTAAGGGAGGCTCGGGACCTGTGATTCTTCCCAGCGATGAGGGCGTAGCTATCGGTTTATGGGAGGGCTGAGTGGAAGGGGCGGGGGAGGGAGAGGGAGGGGCCCTGTGTGATCTCCGAATTTGGAGGCGGGTACGTAGGACTTCGTGGGGGTATGTAGCCAGGGATGCGACCATTTTGGAGAATGCAGAGCACAAGAGGATGGTGGAAGGCGGTAATGATAGATGACTGCCTTCTGGATCGTTATCTGCACCCCATTTGTCAGCGCGAACAAGGCAAAGCACTCGATGAACGTACCGGCCCAAGATTTGGCCTTTTCATACAGGGGAAACTGCACAGCGACGTGGCTGACACCCATGAGGGATGGTAATAATCCTTTGTAGAATGCCTTTGGCCCTTCGTGCCGATATATGTCTGCTATAGCTTCCAAGGTGTTCTTATACCGTGTGTGATGCGAAGGCAGACCAGCCTGAGCCTATGCGATCTGTCAGCACGACGGTCCATGGAAGATGTACGCACTCACCATGAACCTGGTCTTGACCACCCATAGAGGGCTTGTCATGATGGTGCCAGTGGCCCCTGCTGACATGGCTGCTATGATGTGGACGAAAGAGCCTGCTATCGGCAAGTCTTGAGCCATGAGTCAGCTCCTGCAGGGACAAGACTGAGAGCCAACGCCTTACCATTATCCACTGCCCATCCTCCCATCCTGTCCTTGACCATATCGTAGACTGTAAAGTAGATCCCCCACGTCGGCAGATAGCCTGCCAGCGTCGGACCCAGGCCCCGGTAAAACCCCTTAAAGCCGCTCGAAGACCATATATTCCTGACAATCATCCCCACCGACTCGTAGTTTTCTGCAGTCCTCGATATCGCCTGTGCTTGCAGGCGTGTCTTGACGACGTCGAGGGGGCATGTGACGATGGAAGAGACGAGACCGGCCCCGGCGCCGGCGGTCATGGAATGGAACTGGGCGGGGATGTGGACGATTGAATGGGGGAAGGGGGGCGGGGGGGAGGTGCTGGGCTCGATGTCATTATGGCGGAGCGACATCGCTGGGGAACATCTGGCGCTGTGTAGGTGTGTTGTCGAGATGCAGAAGAGAGATGGAGATGGACGCGGTGGAGGGACGGACGCCTTTCGTAACAAGCGCCGGCTACTGGCTCGCCCCTTTTCATCCTCCTCTTGCTCTCCTTTCTCCCAACATATGCGTGTGTTGCCTGACTACTGTGCATGCTCCAGGGCAATCATCCCGACTGCATAGCCCATGTGCTCCCCTATTCACCATATCACCCAAGTCGCAGCGGACATGACGTCGGTCAGATCTTGCGCCAATTATCGCGTTCACTTTCAATTCATCTGCATCTATGCTACACCGCAACGCCAAGTATAATCGCCAATATCAAGAAGTTACAGTAAAGAATGTCCAGTGCTGATCAGATCGCGCACGGTATGTAAAGAGAGACAAGGGAAAGGATCATCGCTTAAACGAGGATGAGGCCTATGAAGATTCGTCAGATATGGCATTTTGGTAAGACGCGCTGGTACTCACCGGCAAGAAGGCCAGCACCGAGGCTGCTAAGGAGGCTACCAAGGCCAGAGAGCAAACCCTGGAGGATCTGGATAACACCCTTCAGGACAATCTCGACGCCCAAGAGGAGAGTGTGCAAGCCCCCGTCAATGCTGGTGATGAGAGCTCCCTATTACGGGATCAGATCGCTACTCTGTCGGCCACCAGATACACTCACGATAAGAGGAAGGCTTTGGAGGTCATCGGCCAAACCCTCTACGGCGTTCACAATGTCTGTAATGACTTGAGCAAGAACGGTGCCAACATCGTTCAAGTCGTCACGCTTGGCAAGCTCGGTAAGCCCCTCGAGAGCACGCTTCTCGGTGGTGGTAGAGGTAGGGACGGCGGCGGACGCAGTGTTGATAGCGTCAAGAATGGAGGAGAGTGCCGCCTGAGCGTCGTCCGCAGAGACATTGTCAGTCTTGAGGGTGGAGATGGGGTCGGCCTGCCACTGGTTAGTAGGGCTCGTTATACCAGAAGAGACGGCTCACGATGGTGCTCTGAAGAGTCTTTACGACATCAAGCACATCATCCCTCTTCTCGAACTGAACAACATCAGACTTGGCGACGGGGGTAGCCAAGGCGGAGCCGATGAAGGGGAGAGCCAGGAGGGCAAAGCGAATGAAGAGCATGTGAGAGAAGTTATAAGTTGAAGTGGGTATGTATTATGAGTGAGGATAGATTGTGAGTCTGGGGTGAGCTAGCTATGCTCGCCGGAGGGGTTCTTATACCCTTGGAGGAGAAGGCTTGTGGTATGACGTTCTCTTTCGCCTTGGGTAGATGGGGGACCATCGTCCCATGGCCCATGTGTCTCCAGACATCCTGGACGTCATGCGTACACCCCTGTGCAGTCCACGGGGCCAGAGGCCCCCAAGGATAGCGCCACGAGGCCTTGTTTATGAGGGTCGAGAGATGTAGGATGTCGATAGAGCACGCTTTGTGGCTGCCCTTTGAGAACATAGCTGGCGATTCTGGCGTTTTGTCACTGATCGAAATGGCCTTCTTCGGAACTGAAAGATATCGGCGAGGGGTGGCACGTGTGCAGCTGCGCGAGTATACGCCACAAACAGATGACGCTGAGATGCAAAACAACCAATGCTGAGAGATCATTAGCTGGCGATGTTGCCGTTACGTATGCGGCAGGACTGTGGCGGTCTGTGCGGAGATGTCACGACAGCAACAAGGCACCATCACGCTCCACTGCAATCGAGGATGTCTGGCAAGAGACCTTTTTCCTCGACGCCCATTGGCTGCAACATCCCTTAGAGACTCGGCTGCATCACATACGGGGGGCGCGAAAGACGGCGGGTGACAGCCCTACATGTGCAGTATGCTGCTGACTACTGACCGGCATAACCGACTATCGCTTACAGGAGGTGCCATGTCCAATAATTATATCGGAACCCCCGTCCATCATGACCACATATGTTGGCAGATAGAGACTTTGTGGTTATGTTACCTATTGCCCTCCTTTAGATTCGGTGTACCTCGACCGAATCCGGAAGGTAATGCGCTAGACTCTTGCCTGCGTCAAAGTTGAACGACGCGACGCGGTTCTCGTCATCGTAGAGAAAGGTGTTCCGCTCTCACCAACGACAGATGGAGATGCGTATCGTGAAAATGTTCATGACAGTTGAGGTTACGTAAGGTGTGCTTCAAGGGTATACCTCCGCATAGCGGGGCGCAGGGAGACTTCAGGGGTGGTAGGACGGAACGAGTTGTAGCTTGTAGGTTCTGCTGAAGCAAGCGGACATGGCCGCCGACGGGACCAAACCTGCGTCTTGCAGCCAACTCTTTCTTTCTGACTTTTGCGCAACTCAGGGTCCTCCAGTTGCTATACACACCGCGCACCCTTCACCATGTTTGGATCCTCGATACTGCCACGGATATCATCCTCGGTCAATGCCCTCCGCTCAGGAGTTCTCGCTGGGCCTTCATGTGCGTGTCTTCTGCTTTTTCGTTTACCTTTTCCATCGACACAAAAGTCGCTTTGTTCCGATTTGTATGCGAGGGCGGAACGTGAGCTGACAGATTGATGATAGCCATAGCGATGCAAGTGCGATACGCCTCCAAAGCTGCTGGTGGTAAATCAAAGAACGGTCGAGAGTCTGCCGGTAGGAGATTAGGTATCAAGCGTTACGGTGGTACGTCTCTCATTCCCTAGCCACTTCACTTTCTTCATGTCTGACCTTCCTACTATAGATCAATATGTTGTTCCCGGTACCATAATTCTGCGCCAGCGCGGTGCCGAATTCCACCCTGGCCAGAACGTCGCTCTCGGCAAAGACTTTACCGTATACGCCCTCCAACCCGGATACGTCAAATTCTACCAGTCCCATCTCCCCTATCCCCACTTTGCCCGGGCCGACCAGCCCGCCCCCACCAATTTGCCACCGGTCAAAAACCCCAGACAGTTGAGAAAATACGTGGGCATTGTGGCGGACAGGGAGGAGAGGCTGCCGAGGGATGAGAGGGCTGTCGGAAGGGAGAGGAGGTTTTGGGGATGGCCAAAGGAGCAGGTCGCGGCAGAGGCTACGGAAGCGCAGCTCTAAGAGGATGCTGAGCATGCATTGTAATCATCATTGACTGATAATGTGCACCGGAAGACTAAAGATGGCCGAAAACGAACAGATCTATGCATTCCAAAAGAACAAATCCATTCAACACAACCATCGCCCATTCCCGATCATCCTGTCGGTTACATCAGCCCACACATCCCCCAAATTCGATGCAAAGTCTCACCATGCTCTCAGTACGCCGGGTAGTTTGGTAAGTTTCTGAAATGCTTGACTTCGATAGCTTCTTGAGAGTATGACCTGGGCTGCATCTGTTCCCAGATGGGATCCACATCGGGTCCATCAAGATCACCCGCACCATCCCAACCCCAGCACCAGACTATCGCAGCGCGTCAGCTCTCCTCAATAGATATACGAGGGCATTATTTACCTCGCTCAGGTCCAGGAATGAAATCCAGCTCTTCATCCTCTTCAGGCGTGAAAAGCCTGTCGTGCGGACCGTACCAACTCCTGTCCTGAGGATCAGTGTGAGGGTCATCAGGCAGACCTCCGATACGCTTGTAGCCTCGGATAGCGGTCAAATTGCGGCGTTCGGGGTGGATGATATCGTAGACCTTTTGGTCGTAGGCGAGCTTGACTCGGGGGACCATGATGATTCGACCGTAACCGGCGTTAAAGTAGTCGTCTACGAAGAGGTCAGCGGAAGCGTGGCGTGATTGGAAAAGGACGTACTGCAAATGAGAGAACATTCACTAGCAGAGCATTCACCCTGGGCCAAATTGGCCATCCTGAACCTAGCATGGGGAGGCTCGTAGAAGGGAGCGGGGTCCAAGACAGCGATACCGTTCCAGCAAGATTGCACTACAGTCCAGCATCAATAACAGCCCCAACTAAAGTGATACGACACCTACCTTGGATGGGGAGGTGTCGCTGAAATCGGTGATTGGACTCGGTGTGGTGGAAGATCTGCTCGAAAGGAGCGTTCTCGAGGGCGGTACCGTTGATGTCTCGGGCAACCCAGTTATCATAGAAGACGGGAGCTCCCTATGAAAAATCAGTATCGTCGCTTGATAGCCACAAGTTCGGCTTACAATATCGTCGTGGTACATGTAGTCCGCAGCACAGGTGATACCCGCATTCTGCCTCCTACTCTGCCAGATCAACTCCAGCAAGTCGTCCACACAAGGCAAGATGTCGTTCATGAAAACGACAGAGTCGAAAACGATGCCCTCCTTGTCTCGCAGCTCGTGCAAAGGCAACATGGCGGCGTTTCGCACTTCGGCAAGGTACTCGATACGATGGTTGAAGAGACCTCGCGTTCGCATAGAAGTTCGGATGATGATCCTCAAACCGACAGTCTGAGCGAGGGCATCAAAGATCTTGAGCAAAGCCTTGGTCTGGTCGTTTGAACCGTTTTCGTAAATGGAAACGAATACGTTGTGGTAGCCCAAGATGGCAGCGACTCTGAAAAGGGTCGAGAAGATGTCGGGAATAACGTCGAAAGAGTTGTACAGGTTGATGGCGAAAAAGTACTGATGTTGAGCGGTTTGAAGATCCCGCTTGATATCCTTCATCTTGTCCTTGCCTCCCACACCTCCCCTCACTTGCGCCGCGTCCTTACCCCCTCCCCCAAGCCCAAAGAGCCGGCCCAAAATCCCCTTTCCTCTGCTCCAGCTCTTCTTGTACCCCATCAGAGGCTCATACCGTTCCTTGACCTGCTCAACATAGAGAGGCTGAGGGTTCCGGAGACATTCCTTGGTGTGGTGGGAGGAGAGGGTGGAAATGAGCTGGAGGATGTGGAGACGCTGCTCGTTGGAGGGAAGCGTGATCTGGGAGCGCTGCAGGCGGGAGGAGGCAGATATGGGGTTGGTACGGAGCGACTTGGAGCCCTTCCATGATTCAACGTTGGTCTATAGTGTCTGTGTCAGTTGCGTGCTTGAGGAACCTGTATACAGAAAGCAAGCTCACTTCACCACCGCGTAAGAACTAGGCCCCCAAAATCAGTAACGGCATCCATCTGGGCTCTCGGTAGTACTCACAGAAGCCACTAACAGTCCCACCAGGATACCTAACAGCAGAGATCCTGCCGAGGGCAGTTTTCTTCCCAGAGAAAGGGAAGCAGCGGGTTTCATCGCGTCGGGCGATAAGATGGAGGTCGCTGAAGAGGGCAGAGGAGTCGGGGACCGTTTGCGAGCGGGAGAAGAGGTGTACGCTCCAGGCGAGGGCAATGGGGGAGGACGTGAGGATGGCAGGGAGGGAGAGGATTGAGAAAACGGGGGAGGTTGTGGGGGAGAGAGGGGAGATGGCTGGACCAGGAAGAGAGTGAGTGAAAGAGCGCGTCCGTTCCTTGCACGGGACTAATTTTCCCAATGTGGCGCAAAGATGGTGAGTAACCCTGTCCTTGATCTTCCTGCGACGTGTATGTGGTCATGCTCGAACACGCATGCTCAGACATGAGTGTACGAGTCAGCCGAGAGCAGGAGCCTATGTCCATGCTATCATGAGATCCGGGCTTGGCAATGTCGGTTGCTTGAACACTTATAGAATCGTTGATCGACGTGAGGGTACGTCGCAGGAATCGAACTTGATCGTATCATCACTGATGGGCAAACAAGAACAGACGGATAACATACATATCCAGCGTCGTTATACAATCATGATCACAATGAACGAATTTATAGAAGAAGATACCCAGCCAGAGTTGAACACGATACTGTCGATCAATACGCGTCTCTCTCAATTACTCTTGCAACTCCTCGGGGTCTCCAATACCGTTGGGGCTGAGCGAGTGTCAGCGATGGAATGAACAGGGTAGGATAGCAACCTACTTGATAGCGAAGATAGCCTCGGCTTCTGGCAGACATGGGCTGTCCACAATCTTACAGACTCGCGATGTGCCTCGACCCTTACGCAGGTTCAACCGGGTTGTGGAGGCATGTGCCATGATGTTACCACCGCTGTAAACAGTGTCAGTGGGCGCATATGCGTGATATAGAAGAGAGCTCACATAGGCTTTTTGGCGTCGGCAACAGCGAACTGACCGCCGTCTACTTGAGCAACAACCTGGTTGGTCACAACGACGGCAACTCCAAACTGATCGCGATGAGCTTCCTCATCGGAGTTGACAGAGAAGCCATTGCTCACCTCATCCGCTAATCTCATCAAAGTCCTCAAAAACTTGGCAAGATGCATCTGTCGCGCTGACAATTCGCCTCGACCAGAGAAATCTGTTCGGTACAGTGACGTAGCAGAGTCCACAATCAATAACGAGAATCTGGAATATTGTCAGCTCAAAGTCATATAACGAAGCTTGTGGACTGACCTAGACTCAGCCATCATTGCGCTAGCTTGCACCAACAACTGCAACTGATGGTCCGCATTATACGCTCGCGCATAGGCAATGTTATCCAGCACCTCTTCTCCGTCCAGTCCGTATCTCTCCGCGACAGCCAGCATACGAACAGGTCGAAAAGTTCCTTCCGTGTCGATATAAAGGCATTTGCCTTCACCACCGCCCATGGTCACGGGCAATTGACAGGTGACTGCAAGAGTGTGACAAAGCTGCGATTTTCCCGTCCTGAATTCACCTTGGGTAACGTTAGCTGAGACAGACAGCCTTACATGGAGACGGACGTACCATAGAGCTCGGTGATAGCACCAGTCTCAATACCTCCTCCCAAAATCGTGTCCAAACCCGTCGAACCTGTTGTGATGTGCACTAGCTCTGACCGTCTGGAATGGATCTCTGTGGCTGTTGTAAAGCCCATTGGCACCATTTTGCACGCTTGAAAGGAGTTGGTATCAAGTCAATACGGTCAAAGTGGAAAGGCTCACCTTCAGCCAGAATTTTGTCAGCTTTCTGCTCGCTGATACCCTTGATGGTGCAGAGAGTCTTCTTGGGAGTAAAGGCGACTGCTTCTACGGTGTGGAATCCAGCATCGGCGAGCTTTTTAGTATCCTGGGCGGATATACCAGCTTCCTGTAGATCGATGAGGGTCAGCTATGAACGGGTACTGAGTGGCGAACCGACCTGAAGCTTTGCTACGAGAAGAGGAGCCAAGAAGTCGCCGTCTTCCTCCATCTCTTCGCCGTTCTGGCCCACGAAGGGGTCGTTCTCTTGGTCTGCAGACATATCCGTCAGACAATGAAATAATGAAGATGAGACAATCGAATCGGCGATGGAGAACGAGACGCGTCCTGTTTGATTTCTGGTTGAGTGGACTTTGCACCTCACGCGTTGGTTACGTAAGAGCATGTGAGGTGGAGGCTGGTTCTTGCGAAAAGTTGGCTGGGATTGATTCGAGAGCCAAACAGCACAGAGGGCACGATGAGCGCACTGCCCTCCCTCAACCAGAGCATCACCGCCGCCTGGAACACCCCAGCGCCCCCCCAGCAGCAGAAAAAGAGGACCAGGAAGGCTGTGCCACTCAACGGCATCACCGCCCCCGGCACCCCCGTAGACCCCTCCATCTCGGCTCAGGCGGGGCCTTCAGGCGAGGACGACGCCCAGCCTACACCCCCTCCGGCTCCCCGGAGAAAACGCCCTAGGACAGACCCATCAACGATCGCTGCCAAATACACTCCTCCCGATGTGAACCTCTCGCTTCTGGGAGGTCTGCAGTCACAAATCACCCAGCTGCTCGAGATTGTGGCCCTGCCGTTGTGGCACCCGGAGATCTATCAGCATACCGGAGTGCCCCGACCAAAGGGTGTCTTGCTCCATGGTGTACCCGGAGGAGGAAAGACGCAGTTGGTGAGGTGCTTGGCGGGAGAGATGAAGTTGCCATTCATCAGTGTCTCCGCGCCGAGTATCGTTTCGGGAATGTCGGGTGAGAGTGAGAAGACGCTGAGAGATACGTTCGAGGAGGCCAAGGTAAGTCTTGCATGCACTGCTGATTGTTTGAGAGCTCATCGTCCTACAGAAAGTCGCCCCTTGCATATTATTCTTGGACGAGATAGACGCCATCACGGGCAAGCGGGAGAACGCTCAGCGAGAAATGGAGCGACGTATCGTGGCGCAGCTCTTGACGCTCATGGACGACCTCGCGGCTAGCGAGGAGCCTGTCATTATCATCGGAGCGACCAACCGACCTGATTCCTTGGATCCTGCTCTGCGAAGAGCAGGTAGGTTTGATCATGAGATTGAGATGGGAGTGCCTACGCAGGAGGGAAGAGAGCAGTAAGTCCTAGCATTGCGCCTATAAACGTCGCACGCTGACACAGCTCTAGAATCCTTCGAGTTCTCTGCTCAAAGCTGCGTCTTTCAGGAGACGTCGATTTCCGAGCTCTTGCCAAGGCCACCCCGGGTTATATCGGTGCCGACCTCACAGCCTTGACAACCGAAGCTGGAGTCACTGCCGTCAAGCGCATCTTTGAGGAAATGACTTCTGGGGAGCGAGAATTCCCTGCACCCGATGGAGTCGAAAACATGATGATTGACGACCAGCCGTTTGCCAACTTGTCTGCGGACTTGAGACAAACGGCCATCGCCAAATTCCTGCTCTCTCACCCATCTCCCCTCTCTTCCGACCAACTCGATAGCATCTCCCTCACTCCATCCGACTTCCTCACTGCTCTCAAAATCGTCCAGCCATCAGCCAAGAGAGAAGGCTTTGCCACGATCCCCGACGTTACATGGGCCGATATCGGTGCGCTCTCTGCGACTCGCGATGAGCTGCATATGGCCATTGTACAGCCCATTAGACATCCGGAAATGTTCAGCACAGTCGGTATCGATGCGCCCAGCGGTGTGCTCCTCTGGGGTCCCCCGGGTTGCGGTAAGACGTTGCTGGCAAAGGCCGTTGCCAATGAAAGTCGAGCCAACTTTATCAGCGTCAAGGGTCCAGAGTTGCTCAACAAGGTACGTACAACACGCTCCATTCGAATTCTGCTCACTCGCTTGTCAGTACGTTGGTGAAAGTGAACGCGCTGTCCGCCAGGTGTTTACCCGTGCCCGTGCTTCCGCTCCCTGTGTGATCTTTTTCGACGAGCTCGACGCTCTCGTCCCTCGCCGAGACGACTCGATGTCTGAATCCTCCGCCCGTGTCGTCAACACCCTCCTCACTGAACTCGATGGTCTCGATGCCCGTAAAGCGGTCTATGTCATTGGCGCTACCAACCGTCCCGACATGATTGACCCTGCAATGGTCCGTCCGGGACGTCTGGACAAGCTGTTGTATGTCGACCTGCCGAGCGCGGAAGAGAGATTCGACATTCTCAGGACGCACACAAAAAAGACACCCATCGACGAGACTAGCTGGGGAACGATCCGTGAAGTTGTCATGTCTGACAAGTGTGAGGGTTTCTCGGGAGCGGATATTGCTGCTCTCGTCCGAGAAGCTGCCACACTTGCCCTCCGCTCCGCGCTGGAGTCTATCGGCGCTTTCGAGACTGCCGCAGAGTCTGAACCTCTGGGTGTTGCTGAGCGAGCCCGGGATGTCAGAGTCACTATCGAACACTTCCAGAGGGCTGCCCAAAAGACATTACCCAGTGTGTCCAGGGAGCAGAGGATCAAGTACGAGAGGATGCGAGACAAGTATGCGGGTGTACCGACCCGCGGGAGAAAGCAGAGAGAGGCGGAAGCTGCTGCAGCTGAGAAGTCTGCAAAGCTGGAAGGTGCCAAGACTGAGGCGGACGAGGGAGAGGGCATGGTGGTTGATGACATTGGCGGGGGCAGGGGAGGTGTCAGTGAGAAGGCATTCGTTGCTTGAAGCTGCGAGACATTATATTTCATTCACACATGATAATATGTATTCATACAACTAGTCTCATTACCGTCCGAAAGTGTTCCCATTCAATCATCCTTGTTGTTCAAGCCCACTTGGTCTTCAAGCTCACAGAGTCACCTGCCCAGCCACCAGTAGACAATTGGACACCTATAAACCTCACCACATCCCCGTCCACTTCACAGCCTTCATCCACACAGTCCAATTTCGCCCCATCGTCAAATTGGAAAGTCAAGTCCAAACTCTGGACTGTCTGAGATGGGTCGGCAATGTTGATGTTCATGGTCCCATCCTCCGAGGTGGTCATCAGGAGAGCGGCAGGCTCGGAAGAGGTAATGTTGACCCATCCATTGGGGTAGCCACCAAAGGCCGTCGCAACTTCTGAGCCAAAAGCCAAAGACGATCCGGGCCAAAAGACCAGCCCAAGAGTATCGTGGCCGTGGATGCCCCACACCCCGTCATTCTGGAAGGGATGGTAGCTCTGATGTTTGTGCTCTTTCTGCACCTTCTTCTTGCTCGAAGCAGGGAACATGCCATAACTCCAAGTCTGGCTGGATCCTGCTGCAACAGCGAGGTCGCCATGGGAAGTGTAGGCAGAGAATATGCTAGTGCTAGCCTCGCCTCTGGTGGATGTGGAGATGGCAGACCAATTGCCGTTTTTTTTCACCATTCGTGATTTTGAGATTGAAGGGCGTATCGTAGGCGACGTAGCCCGTGTCTTGGTAAAAGAGAGTGTGGGCAGAAGTGGAGTCATTGTTGGAATCGAAAGAGGCGCCATCGACATAGATCTCGCTGTCGGTGGATGCCCGTTGGGTTAGAGCAGTGATGACTTGCCCCTCAGCACTGAGACATATCAGCACAAGAAGAAGAGTTATACGATGACTCACGATCCATCATTGAACACATCACCGACCGTCACAATCACTCCCTCTTCCACGTAGAACCACGCCTTCTTGTAACCCCAGCTTGCATTCCTCACATCTTCCCAGTCCATCACCACCACACCCAACGATCCATCACTAACTCCACCGACCCAGCTCTTCTTCCCTGGTGGCCCAATGTTCTTGTGTGTCAGATTTACACCCCCGTTATCATCACTCAGCAGGCTAGTGACGCCTGGCACCAACTGCCAGTCCCATTCGGCCTGAATGTCCTTGTATTCGTTGCCAGAGACGTAGGAGAAGAGAGTACCTTGGCCGAGCCAGTGACCAAGGGTGTTGGCGCTGTTGGCAGTCTCTGTGCCGAGAGAACGGGTAGAAAGCATTTTGGAGCCGATAATGTAGTTTTCGCGACGGTGACTCTTTCGATACATCAGTCAAGGTGAATTTCAGCTGCTAGGGTCAACTCACCACATAGTCGGATGCCCAGAACACCTTGTTGCCCACCAGATGATCAGAGCCATTGCTATTGAGTCTTTGAACAGTATCGGCCACACTGTATTCGTCTGCAAAGTCGAATGTAGCTGCAGCAAGCTTGGTGGCGTTGAAGAGGATATCTGAGGTGGCCTGGATAAGGTCGGTCGAGGGGAAAGCCACAAAGCGCCCTATGACGTTCTGTTCGTTTGTTAGCTACAAGCAATGTGAGGGCTGGTAAGACTCACAAAGTCCCAGTGTTCTTGCTTTGTCTCTTGGTCTACATAGATCATCCACTCGGAACCTCTGACTTGGGTCGAGAGCGCTGCGCGAGAGTCGTTGCTGGCAGCATACTGGGTTCCAATGGCTGGACCTTCCAGTGCAATGAATGCGTTGAGCTCATAATCATCAGCTAGGGCTTCGGCTTTCGATGGGATGACTGACGAGATCTTTGCCATAGTTGCCATTGTAGAGCACGCCTTCGTGTTGAAGGAAACTGCCATCACGATGGATGCCGTCTTCTGTGGTATTGTCGCTGAACTGTGGCAGGCATTAGCACTTTCTGGGCTAGGGGCGCGGGTGACCTACGACGACAGCACCCATGGATTGTGTCATGGCATCCCGCAGAATAGTCTCATTGCCCGAGTATAGAGCCCAGGTCATAGAGTTGAGCATGATCTAATGAAATTAGCCTCATCTCCCCAAGATGTTGAAAGGATACCCACATTGACCATGTTGGCTCCAGTCATGGGGTCCGAGCCAGGTGTGAGTTCGTTGTAACGGTATCCTCTCTCGGGTATGCGACTGCAGAGAGACATTTGAGAGTCGGTCAGGTTGCCAGAGGTGGAGACGAGGAGGCAGGTAGGAGCCACCAGCTGGGGCAAGAGGATGGTCTGGCCGTACCAGTTCTGTGACCATGTCAGTGTCAAGCTCATGACGATTGGGGCTACTCACAGTATTCCATAGTCCAGGTGTTCCACAAGGGCAAGAGTAGTTGCTGTGGCGACTGTCAGTATTTACAACATGAGCACTCGAGTTGACTTACGCGACTCCGCCGTGCCCGATACAGTCGGTACTGTTGTAGTCGTTCGCGGCCCAGAAGTCGAGACCGGCTTGTACCGCAGACAGAAGCTCGGGGCTGTTGCTGTAATTCTGAGGCACACTGGGGTTCAAGCCAGACCAAGCAGCAGCAAACGTCAGCAAGCGCGTCCAGTGAAATTGGATGGGCCAGTTTGCGCGTTCTGTTTGACGTCAGCCAAGTTGATGTAAACGGCAAAGAGAGCTCACGGGCCGAACAGCCGGATGTATAGTTGACATCATCCCAGACGCCGTCTTTCTGGCTCGCCAGCCACGTATCGATCTGAGGGAACCAGGCTGGGTCCGGGAAGGTGGCAAGGTCGGCTCGGCGCCGCTGAGCCATCGACTCTATTTCCGTTGTATTGGCTACGGACATGTCATTGTCTCGGGAGACCAAGAAGGGGATGGCTGAGCCCGAAGCGTGGGCAAGCAGGAATAGCACGGGGAGAAGCGCTGTGAGCCACATGGCGAATGATTGTAGTCAAGTGCGGTTCCGTTGATGGCCATGGCTTTGCCCCACCCTTTTATAAGGGGCCCGTTTCGGAGAAGGCGGATAGAGCATCGCGTGACCTGTTAGCGCTGGATATACAGAACGAGTGGATAGAAAAAAGAGGAAATGTTGGGCGGATGTGCGATCCGGCGGGCCGTCGGTATTAGCCGCGTTATATTGCATGCACGGGAGGGGAGGGATGCATGGGTGTTATAAGAGGTGAGGCAGGAGGGTATGCATAGCAGCTGCTCCAAGATTCTGGTCATTGGGTGGCAGGGTCTCTGGTTGACACAGCGGGCCGACCATCGAATGCAGCTCGACGAACGATCCAATCACCAGAGAGCATGTATCATCCCGTCGGACTTGGACAAGCACTGCACACCCAGCACATCCATACCCCTGGCCACCCTGCCGTGCCGAGCGTTCCTTTTACAGCGACCCCTAAAGGACATCCCTCGGCGCTGGAGACATCTCGCCAGTAGCAGCTCGCTCATCTCGGCGCGTCCGCCCCCGTCTCGCTGCATTTCATCTTTCCACCACCCCACAACGCCATGAGACCAAAAGTCCTCGAGATCGCGTACGTCCTGCCCAGCCCCCCGTGCCCTCCGCTGACATGCATGCCCCAGCTGGCACGAGACACAAGCAGTCTACTCGTGCGATTTCCAGCCCCTCCCGCTTACGCAGCTCAAGCGGCTCCTATCGGCGTCCACCTCTGCCGACGACGAAGAAAAGGACAAACCCACAAGCTCTGCCACTGCCGCCGCCAATGCTGCTGCCAGCAGGCAGTACAGGCTGGCCACTGCAGGAGGCGATTCCAAAGTCCGCGTAAGTCCACCTCTACTTGAGACATCCACTTTCGGTACCGGTCACTGACTCACGCCTCGGTCGACTCTTGTAGATATGGATGGTCTACCCAAATATCCCCTCGATATCCCCTGCCACATATACGGCTCTAACAGGCCAGGATTATACACCGCACCCCCCGAGAGTCGAGTATCTCGCGACATTGTCAAAGCACACGGCGCCCGTCAATGTCGTCCGTTTCAGCCCGAATGGGCAGACCTTGGCCAGCGCTGGCGACGGTGAGACTTTATTTCACAGGCTCCAAGGTCGTAGCTCATACAGTGTAGACGGCAATGTCATTCTTTGGGTGCCGAGCGATAGGCCCAATGTCACTTTCGGAGAGACTTCGGAAGACTTGCCGGACAAGGAGCACTGGAGACTGCAAAAGATGCTCCAGTATGTCCTCACCGCCAATGCTACGATCACCACTCATCATCTTGCAGAGTCACTACAAAGCATGTCTACGACTTGGCGTGGTCGCCGGATGGAGAGTTCTTGATTGCCGGGTCTACAGATAACACGGCGACTATATGGAAAGCGGCTACGGGTGAGTGCTTGGCCATTGATTTCCAGGACGAATGCTGATATCTTCCAGGCGAGTGCGTGTTTGCTCTGAGAGAACACTCTCACAATGTACAAGGTGTATCATGGGACCCATTGAACGAGTACATTGCTACTCAGAGCAGTGACCGGTAAGTCCTACACCCTCGTCACATCTTTCTGGCTGACCATGGTCAACAGCTCTGTCCATGTCAACACATTCGCATTCCGCAACGGCATCCCCGACGTCCACCCCGTTACCCGGGCGACTCGCATGGAGATTCGTCACTCCCGGACACCATCCATTTCTTCAGCCTCTCGCCCCAACATGGTCCGTCGAGGTTCGACCACCTCGGAAGCAGGGTCTGTCATCACCACCGCTTCCGACTTTCCCGAAACCCATTTCCCAGGTATCGCAGCTAGCGCCATCGGTGCTCCTGCCACGCCCTCGGCTTCGGTGCCATCGACACCCCAGCCCGCTGCGCCTGCACCCATGAACCCTCCCACTTCCAACAGACCATCCTCCCGTCGGTCCTCCTTTTCCGGCTCACAGGCTGCTGGTTCTCCAGCTCTGAGCGCTGCAGCGTTCAGTGCCCTCGGCCGGTCAGCAAGATCTCCTTCGCCTATACCTCCTCTCCCTGCCATCCGTGCCCCGCCTGCAAGCTCAAACGTCTCTCTGAACCAGAGACTCTACGGCGAAGAAGGCGCAACGCGGTTCTTCCGAAGACTGACCTTTTCTCCTGATGGGTCGCTTCTATTGACACCCGCGGGACAGATCGAGGATCAAGTATTCAAGGGCTCTCCCATGCTCGGCCCCAGAAGCTTGTCGCAAGACGCTTCATCCGAGTCCAACAGCGTACCAAAACCCAAGCATACCGAAACTGGCAAGCCCACTGCCTACATCTACTCGCGAGCCAACCTTGCGCGGGCGCCAATAGCGCATCTTCCGGGGCACAAGACCTCGAGTGTGGCCATCCGCTTCTGCCCAGTGTTTTACGACCTGCGTCAGAATGGGCATGTTCAATCAGAGCCGAAACATGTTACATTAGACAAGTCGGACACTCAACCCGTACATGTCTCGTTATCGATGCCCCCACCCCCAGCGCCTTCGTCATCCTCGACAAAGGAAAAGGAAAAGGAGACGCAGAACTTGGGTAGTGTCTTTGATCTGCCATACCGGTTGCTGTATGCTGTGGCGTGTCAGGACTCGGTGTTGCTATACGACACGCAGCAAGCAGGTCCTATAGCAATCTTCAAGGGTCTTCATTATGCCGGGTTCACCGACGTGGCTTGGTACGTCTGCCTCTAACCTGCCATACGCCAACTAACTGTTCAACAGGTCTCCCGATGGTCAGACGCTCTTGCTTTCTTCAGCCGACGGCTACTGCAGCATGGTTACTTTCGACCTAGGCGAAATAGGCACCGTCCATCCCACCCAACAACACCACCGCCAACTCCAAGCCATCGCCCAATCCCACTCCCTCGCCGGTACTCCTCTTGCCTCGTCCCACCATCGAGACTCTATCCATTCTCAGACGTCCGCGTCAGGGACACCATACAGTCCTGCAGTGGGCATCAGGCGGAGCCCCGCGCCTTCCAATCTCGGCGGGTGGGGAGCGAGGAGTGAGAGGGAGAGTTCGGTGGCTAGCAGTGTGGCCGGTGTGTCGGCATCGACTAGGCCGTCTATCTCTAGCCAGGGGCAGGGAGTGCTGCCGACGCCTACGCCGAGTGAAAGTGGGGGCGCTGGTGCTGCTTCCTTGGAAGATGCGGCCAATAAGAGAGGAGGGGAGCAAGCTGCTGAAGGGGAAGCGCCAAAGAAGAAGAGAAGGGTGGCGTTGACTCATTTGGGGACTGATTGATTTGTACAAGAAAGAATTAGCAAGTGCAAACCTTTGCTACAGAATTAGTCTTGAGAAGGAACGGAGATTGCAATTTATACAGTATACCCTTTAATCAATAGCATGCATGTATCTCTCTTATGCCAAGTCGAAACGTATCAGTGGCGCGATCTCATATGGCTGCATCGTTCTACCTTTACTAGGAACACGAGTCCAGTATCTACACTCTCAATGTTTCTTCGATACATGTCTACAACAATCACTTTTCATCAAAAGGGTTCCTACGACACGTCAGCTTGGCAGACAAAGTGGGCGTCATTACTGACTTGGTATACTCTAGCTCATCATCGCTATCTTCCAACCTATACGGACTGTTGCCAGCAGGCGGCGTAGGTGGAATCTTGTTTGTAAAGCTTGCGCTCGGAAGACCGGGATTGGGGTCATGGTCCGAGTCATTGTAGTGAGTCTTGGCATTGGATGATGAGGCAGCGCCGGAACTGCTCGAGGGATTGCTTTTCAAGTGCGATGGTTTAGAGGGAGAGGTTGACATCAGGTCGACACGTTTCTTGGGGAGGATACCCAGCTTGGCTATGATCGAATGTCAGTACGAGTACTGTTTCATGAGTGACATGTAGGCACGTACCGAGGTCAATCTTGCCAGCCTTGTCAGGACTCCCAGGAATACTGTTACGGGTAGCAATCCCGACTCTGCTGGGGCTTGATGTACTGTCCCTCGAAGGCGGAAGCGGATCGTCTACCGACTCGTCAGCCAAATGTCTTCTCTGACCTCAGTGGACGCACCATAAGCGTCGGACGGCTGCCACCTCTTCGAGCCACTACTCTGCCTTACAGGAATCTGGCCACCTCGGTCAAGTTGTACCGGCTGTGGGTCCAGTGTACTGGCTGACGAAAAGCTTTCAGATCTCCCACTGATACTGGGCGAATTCGACCTCTCACCCCACAGTCCGCCAACACGCTCCTGGGGCTGGGTGTATCTGTTTTGCTCGCCACCACGCGAACCGCCCGGGGCCGGGGCGTATTCGGATTGACCAGGCTGGTAGTGTTGTGGCCGTTCAGATTGAGCGGTCTGGAACTCGGCATACTTTTGTTTGGCTCGAGAGAGGAAAGAGTTGAATGTCTGCTTGCCAACTGACGTTCAAGATAAGCAGTTGCCTCCAAGTCCTTTTTACACACTCACCTTCAGCAAACCTCTCCAGCTTCTCTTCTACCATCAAAGCTCCAGGGGGATTGTCGCCAGTAGGCCTCTGCTCGTACTGATCCCACCTTCCGCCAACAGCTGCTTCCCGTTCCCCAGACTCTGGCTGATAAGCGGCCTGCGGCGCGGGGGGCCGTGCCCGACGGACACGGGGCTGGTATGGCAACTGACCCGGTGGAACGCTGTTGTTGGCACCAGCGCCATGAGATGCTTCGTACTGGCGCTGTTGGTGGCGAAACTCGTCCTCATCTTGCATCTGTAATGACCGAGCGAATTCGGCGTCCAGGTCAACTTGGTGCTGTGCTGCGTTAGCTATGTCGCCTGACCGTCAACCTTTGCAGACTTACGCCTTGCCTAGATCCGTCAAGTTCATCGGGCTTAAAGTTGGGATCAGTCATGCCCAAAAGCTGTTCGATGGCTCTATCTGTGGATCCGCCGCACGTCTCCAAGACAAGTTCGATGACCGACACATCTACGGTTGGGAAAATGGCCTGGAGCTCGGCAATCTTTGGGTCGGCATGGACAATAGCCTCGATGGTGGGCGCGGCAGCAACAGTCTCAGTGGTGGTAACGGTCGTTGCGGGCGGAGGGGAAGTGGGAGTGGCACCAGCAGGGGCGGTGTCGACGGGCGTAGTAGTGGAGGACTTGGCAGGGGGAATGGGAGAGGAGGCGGGCTCAGCTGCGACTGGTTTGGCAGCGGTGGGCGTGGGTGTACGCGGCGGGGATGCTGGAGGAGAGGGCATGGCAGGAGATGCGAAGAAGAATGAGATGCAAGTGTGAGTGACGACAATAACGATGGCGGCAGTTCGCGGACATCTCCCGGGCCGAAGCGCCACCCTCCACCACCTCACCACCGCCCCAGCGCAGTCCGTAGCATAGTCAGCCATGAGCATGCAGACATTCATGGCCCAGTGGGCTGTCCAGCATCTCAAAGTAATAAAATATTGCATACATGCCGGTCCCACCAAGGGAGACAAGCAAAAGGCAAAAAGAATGGAGGTGCAGGGAATCGAACCCTGTGCCTCAACAAGAGGCAAATGACGAAAACGTGATTGCAAATGTTGCGCTCTACCAAATGAGCTACACCCCCAATCATGCTTAACTAACATATTTGACCCCTATAGCGTGTACCTACAAGGCGTAGATTGCCCACTTGAAGGAGTATACTGGTATATACTGGTATATACTGGTATGCTCTACTAGTATTCATACACACTTGTGCAGCAGATAACTGTACTCATATGTCAAGGCGGTTTATTTTCCACATGAGGTGGTTCTTCATACATGTAATATACAAACAGGCCTGCTCAACGTCTCCTATCCCGGTCCCTATCTCTCCTGTCCCTATCATCCCGTCTATCTCTATCATCCCTTTCTCTATAGCGATCACGGTCGTCTCGTCTGTCGCCATCCCGGTATCGATCCCTATCGTCACCCCTGTCTCTCCTTTCGCGCTCTTTGGCTTTCCGCCGAGCACGCTCGTCCTCTGTCTCATAACGCCCAGCATCTCGGTGGTCGGTCCTCCTCTCCTCATCTCTGTCCCTCTCACTATCACGAGCACGGTCCCGTCTGTTGTCCCTATCTCTATCTCTATATCCGTCGTCCCTCCGCTTGCTCTCTCTCCCGAGGTCGTCATCCCTCCTCCTCTTGCCTTCACTGCTCTCACTGGCACTGCTTGCCCCGGGCGTCTCACTCCCATCTCGCTTGACCATAGCCCCCGCCAGACTATATTTCATAGCATCTCTCTTGTTTGGCGGCCTGGGCTTCTTTCCGTTGCTGGAACCGCTCCGGCTAGGAGGAACTGGGGCCTGCATGGCAGTTGCTCCAAGACCCAGAAGGGCAGGCCTCGATTTGGGTTCGTGGATCTTTGTACCGCCCTCGGTCACAGGAGTCCAGCCCATTCCGCGAGCCATAGCCTCACCAAAGGCTGATACAGGGACAGCGGCGTAATCATCGATAGTCGACTGCGAGCTAATGTCAACATTGTCTATTGTGTATACCGGAAGGGCGCGCACCTCGACGGGAAGAGCGTCAACGTCTCGTTTGAGAGCATCTTCCTCAGAGAAAGGAGTGTCTGCGGCGGAAGCAATGACGAGCTCACGGCGGAGTCGCTCTTCTTCCGTTTCACGAGGAACTTCGCCCTGGAGGAGAGCTTGGAGAGCCTGTTCTTCGAGCGTGAGGGGTTCCCTCTTCACCTCCACCTCTTCTTTGATTTCCTGCTTGACGAAACCATTGCTGATCTCTTCGTGCTTTTCAATCTTGACATTGTCACTTCCGTCTTCGCCCTCTTTCACTTCCTGCTTGATCTGCCTCAATCCCGAACGTTGAGGGCCGTCTCCGACTCGATCATGGGTATCGCCAGCATCGACTTGGGATTGGTTTTCGGGGCGATATGAAGGCGTTCTGCGGGTAGATGAGGCTCGCCAGTCTCGATTGGGGATGGCGGGAATGACAAGCGGGGCTTCAGGTTTGTCGCCACTACACAGAGGAGAGGTCAACTCTTGCACTTTGGTTGAATCGTGACCAACGTACCCAATGGCACGTCCATTCTTTCCAAATCCTTCTATCCGTTCGTCTCTGGGCCTGTCACTTCTCTTGCCTTGAAGATGGCTGTCGTCGTGATCATCCTCGTCCTCCTGGTCGTCGTTGAACAGCCGTCTTGAAGGCGGGCCCCTGCTGCCGAGAGGCGAAGGGCGGTACGGGGCGGAGCCTGGTGGGCGCACCGTGAAGGACACAGGGGCGGGCATACTTTTGTGTTGTAGATCACTCTGTGGTGATACAAGTTCGTTGCAACTATCTAAGATGTCAGATGTGTTTACGTAATGCCATGATGACTGCTCTGAAAGGAGACTCTACTACGTTACAACTACGTTATGCTGCACTGCATCATCCGCCATGGCCACGCTGCACCCGGTCCCGCCGCCCTTCTTCTCCCCCTACCTCGACGACCAATGCACAAAGATCAACAACAAGGCCGTCCCCTGGGAGGTAAGTCCACGTCCCCGCCGCCCGTGCCACGCTCACCGCTTCCAGGGATACCAGAGAGCCAAGCTCCTCTCGCAGGATGAACTCTCCCTCCTCAAGTCGCTCTCCAAACTCGTATGTAACATTCCCCCGCTGATACCCCGCCTGACGCTTCTCAGCCGCCAGCGCAACGTCCGACCGTGTTCGCGACCCAAGGTCCGCAATACGCCAAGCTCTATATCGATCTCTTGCGCAAGCTCCAACGTGTAGACACTGTCCAGGCCGTTCTTGTGTCTATCAACGACATGCTCTCTGACACCACCAACATCTCCTACTTTCACAACATGGCTACCGCCAAAAACCCGACTGACCCCTATGGGCCTATCGTCAAGTGCTTGGGCATGGAGGAAGAGTTCCCGGTCTTGGGTAGCTTGAGGATATTGGCTCTGCTTATTGCGTGCGTGCACCATCTTCCTTTTGGGCCCAGCTAATCATGCTTGTCAGAACCGACCCCAAGCCCTTCCCAGAATCCCTCGTCCCAACTCTCTTGTCATCTCTCCAAACCCTTCTCAACGGCAGTCGCATACCGCTCTGGGAAGTGGCTGCTCAGGTGCTCGGTGCAGTCCTTGGTACCAAGCAGTTCCGAAACGCCGTCTGGGAAGAGGAAGGGGCCATCTCGGGGTATGTTATCAATGTCCGCTTGTATGTACGTGCTCACGCCCTGTGCAGCTTGATCAAATCTCTCAAATCCAACCCCAACCCTCAAGCTCAATACTGGGCCATCTTCTCTCTCTGGCAGCTGTCTTTTGAAAAGAAGGCCGCCCAAGGGCTGGACAAGAAATATGATGTGGTTGCTTTATTGACAGATGTCGCCAAAGCTGCGGTCAAGGAGAAGGTCCAGCGAGTTGTCGTTGCTACTTTCAAGGTGTGTCTCAAATCAGGCATCAACTTCATTTGCTCACCCTTCATTAGAACCTCCTCGCCATTGCCCCCTCTCAAAACTTGCCTTCCATGTTTGTCGCCAAGCTCCTCCCCTTCATCACCTCCCTTCAATCCCGCAAATGGTCCGACGAAGAGATCGTCGAAGACCTTGATTATATTCAGGGCGAGCTCAAGACTCGACTGGACGGCTTGAGTACTTATGACGAGTACGTAAAGGAGCTGGAGAGCGGACACTTGGTTTGGTCACCTGTACATGAGACGGTTGATTTCTGGAAGGAGAACGGTTTGAGGATCGGGCAGGAGGATGGAGGAAGCGCTGTCAAGTGTGTTCATTACTTCCACAAGCGTTCAACACTAACTTTCAAACAGGCGACTAGTCGAGCTCATCACAACTTCCAAAGACCCCCTCGTCCTCGCCGTTGCCACCCACGACATTGGCAAGTACGTGAGGTACGGCGGGGAACGTAGCAGGGACACCATTGATAAACTTCACGGCAAGACTCGGGTGATGGAGTTGATGTCGCATGAGAACGGGGACGTGAGATATCAGGCCTTGATGACGGTGCAGAGCTTGATGAGCCAGCATTGGAAGTAGAGAGGCTGAAAGAAAGGCGTCAATAGTATGTTAGTTGTAAGACATGTAAAGGAAGTACTCGGCAAGGAGATTGATAAAGATATACATACATATCACAGACACTCTAATCGAACGTGACCTTGGTACCAGAACCCTCCACGATACCGACATTCTCTCTCTTGGCCATAGCCAACGCCGCTCCAGGTCTCTGTCGTCCGCTGGCTTCCCACTTTTTGCCTCTCTGGTCCTTCTTCTCGGCTTCAACGGGTCTCTCCTCATCGTCACCGCCTTCACCTTCAACGCGGGGCGGGAAGCGAGGTTTGGGCTTGCCTTCGCCGGCAAATTTGCGGAGCTTGTCGGCGCCGCTTCGCTTCGCTGACGACTCGGAAGCAAACTGATGGATGTCAGTATGGATAGACGTGATGCGGCCGAGACGTACCTCGAGGTTGAGCTTTCTGCCGTTAAAGTAGTGGTTCTTGCGGTTGGCAAGAGAAAACTTGGCGTGCCGGGCAGAGACAAAGTCGAGGAACGCAAAGCTATACAGAGTCAGATACAGCACAATCTGGCCACGAGACCCACTCACCCTTTGCACCTGCCAGTGTCCTCGAAAGCTGCCAACCTGACCTTGATCAACCCACTCTTCTTTCCACCTCTGTCCCCAATAATCTCCTCGCCCTCTTCAGCTTCCCTTTCCGGCGCATTCTCTTCGATTATGTCTCTAATCTGAACCTCGGTGATATCGAAAGGCAGGTTGCCCATGTATATACACGAAGTCTCGGGACGTTTAGAGATGGAGCCAAGTTCGTCCGCGCGAACGGCGAGGGTCTGTTTGGGAGTACGGGCGTCCGGAGCAGCGGTGTGGTCATCGCCCTTCTTGATCAACACTCGTCTGCCAAGGTAAGGGGACTCGGACAGTTTGAGTGATAGTTCTTGGAGCTCAGGTGTGGCAAAGTCGACATAGGCAAATCTGTGGTCAAGTCAGCTTGGGACTGTCAGAACAGGCTCGTACTTGCCCTTTTGTCTCTGAAAATCCGGCTTTGTTGTTCTTTTTCGGCAAGTTGATTCTGGTGACACTGCCTTCGCCTTTTCCGCCCAGCCCACTCAGACCATTCTCGAACCACTCCTTGAGACCTTCAGACGTCGTCTTGAACGCCAGATTTCCGATCCATATGGAATTCTGTCTCTTGCCCTTGCCTTCCAGAGCTTCAGCCGCCTCATCCTTTCCATCTTTGTCACCCTTCTTCGCGACCTTTTCATAGTCTTTCAGCTTGGGTCGAGCTTCGCTGTTGTCGCCACGCTTGGCCCTCTTTCGCGCAGCTCGAATTTCAGCTTTGGAGAGAGGAGCGGGGGCAGAGACATCGATTTCCAGCTCGTCGCCTTCAGCAGCACCTTCTCTCTTTCGCTTTTTGGAATCCGAGGCAGCAACATCGCCTTCCTCTGTGGTCGCATCGGGCGTGGCCTCGCCTGCAGGCTCAGTCTCTGCCTGGAGATCCGAGGTGACCAGAGCTTCTTTGGCAGCTGCAGCCTTCTTGGCCGCTTTTTTGGCGTCTCTTTTGGCCTGTTCTTCAGGAGTTCGTTCCGCCTTGGGGGCCTTTCTGGCTGATTTGTCGCCGGACATTGTAGCTGGTGGTGTACAGAAATATAGTACAACCTTGAAATTTACATGCAGGCCGTCGGCAGAAGTGGAGGCCCACCAAAATTAACAGCAGCTCTCAACATTACGTAATCATGCACTCATCTGCTCTTGCTACTTGCTTTCGCGCGATTTAGCGACAGACTTGGAATCCGGCAACAACCACAAGAAACCACGATGGTAGGTCGCTCGCTGCAGGAGGGGCTGTTCTGACATGTCCAGGCTGCCAACATCTCTGTGCAACCATCCTCCTCCATCCGCGATGTCACCAAGATGGAACGCATCGGTGCGCCCCCTGTCTTCCTTTCCAAAGCACCCGTCTGACCCGTACGCAGGCGTCCACTCTCACATTCATGGCCTTGGACTCGACTCCAATTTGGAACCTCGCGCTAGCTCCCAAGGTATGATTGGGCAAGGCAAGGCTCGAAAGGCGGCTGGTGTGATCTTGAAGATGGTCCAAGAAGGAAGAATAGCCGGACGGGCAATCCTCATGGCCGGTCCTCCCAGTACTGGAAAGACTGCGTTGGCTATGGGTGAGTCTGAATATCCACTATCTCAAGTCTGGAGCTGAATCATACCAGCGATGACACAAACATTGGGCAGTGATGTTCCCTTTGTCATGCTCACGGCTTCAGAGGTATTCTCTCTCGAGGCAAGTCTCCTGTCTACACCTCGAGGATCACCCTGACTTGGATGCAGATGTCCAAAACCGAATCATTAACTCAGGCTTTCCGACGTGCCATCGGTGTGAGGATAAAGGAGGAGACAGAGCTGATCGAGGGTGAAGTCGTTGAGATCCAAGTGGACCGAAGTGTGACCGGTGTAAGCCTCTTTGTCTGGATATCGACGGCGCTGACATTACACTGCAGGCTACCAAGACAGGACGATTGACCCTCAAAACGACAGACATGGAGACTGTCTACGACCTCGGTTCTAAAATGATCGACCAGCTGCAAAAGGAAAAGGTGTTGGCCGGCGATGTTGTCAGCATCGACAAGGCTAGCGGCAGAATCTCAAAGCTAGGCAGGAGTTTCGGACGAGCCAAGGATTACGATGCTATGGGTGCCGACGTGAGTGATCTTTGATCTTTGCAGCCCGCGACGTTGACTGACAGTCGGTAGACACGTTTCGTCGCCTGCCCCGACGGCGAGCTCCAAACGCGCAAAGAGGTCGTTCACACCGTTTCCCTTCACGAAATCGATGTCATCAACTCCCGTACCCAAGGCTTCCTTGCCCTCTTTGCCGGCGACACTGGAGAGATCAAGCCCGAGCTTCGAGCGCAGATCAACGGCAAGGTGGCCGAGTGGAGAGAGGAAGGCAAGGCGGAGATTGTTCCTGGTGTCTTGTTCATCGATGAGGTACACATGCTTGACATCGAGTGCTTTTCGTTCCTGAACAGGGCCATGGAGAATGAGCTGGCGCCGTTGGTAGTCATGGCCTCCAACAGAGGCATCACGAGGATAAGAGGGACCAAGTACAAGAGCCCCCACGGTATCCCCGTCGACCTTTTGGATAGAATGTTAATCATCTCGACCAAAAAGTATGACGAGGATGAGATGCGAGAGATTGTCAAGATCAGGTAAGTCGTTTGCCTCATCTTGACACCTGGCTGACACACTCTCAGGGCCGAGGAAGAAGACGTCAAGCTTACCCCCGCCGCGCTCGACCTCCTCGCAACGATGGGCTCTCAAACCTCCCTTCGATACTCTTTGAACCTCATCGCCCCCTCTTCTCACCTCGCCCAGCGCAGAAAGTCTCCACAGGCAGATGTGGAAGATGTGAGGTTGGCGTACAAGTACTTTAGTGATGTGGAGAGGAGCGCCCAGTATGCCAAGGAGACGAGCGGAATGATGTTCGGAGAGACAGAGGAAGTGGGTGGAGGGATGGACGTCGACGCGCAATAGGGTGATATGATGTACACAACATGACAAAGCCTTTACACATGGCACAAATACTAATGCGATAGATAGTGTCTGATTGTGTCTGGTGAAATAACCCTCAAGAGACTTTTTCGAAAAACCTTTTTATCGAACATACATCATGGCCGCGCTCGAGATGTACTCGTGGACTCCAAGCTGCCGCTGATGATTAGTCAAGCTATATGCACATGCACGCTGACACCCGAAGGACCTAATCAAGTGCCAGTTTCATGGCTCAGTTGGTTAGAGTGACGTGAGCGCGCGCATGTGCGGTGTGACCGATGAAAGAAGGTCTGGATCACCGTGGACTGTGTGCTGTATCGCTGCATACTTCAGAGAGCTTCGTAAGGGTATATAAGACAGGCTAACGATGCGACAGATGAGACTTTGATCCATAAGCACAGGCATGCAAGGGAGTTGAGGGGGACTTCGTGATCATGAATGGAGATGTGTTGAAGACCTATAGGACACAAAAGACGAAAGCGGTATCAAACAGTTTTATGGCTCAGTTGGTTAGAGTGTCCGCTTCACAAGTCAAAACCCTGTTTTAAACTGGTTTGAGGAGAGACGCGGAAGGTCCAGGGTTCGACCCCCTGTAAAACTATTCTTTTTGCAACTCCCTCAGTTTATCATCTTTGCACGCAAAAGGTAGTCTTGTTTCTTGGTTACACATGGATGTAGTGCAGGAGGCTTCAGCATTTTTATGGCTCGAGATATCGTTGTCAGAAACAGAGGCATGAGGCGAGGAAGAGTGTCGGCATCAGATTGTCCTCCCTCCCCTCCTCCTCCTGAATGTCGAAACCCGTTGAAACTATGCTGCCCCTGTTTGTGTGTCTACTTTGGTACCAGACGTGAGTGACCCTCACCCGCAGCTACATTCACCTGTATTTAGGCAGCTTGCACCGTTCTTCTGGTCTCAGTCTCTACAATTGTGTCACCGCGCCCGGCGTACGCCGAACTCGCCATGGTCTGTTGGTGGGGAACGCAGAATGTGAATGTCATTGGATGATACTCTACTGGGATCACTGCAACTGGCGCTCCTCTCCCTGGAAGCAATCGTCACTCGGGGCTCAAGCATGGATGAGCAAGATCTCCACCATCTAGACGATCAGCTAAGGGCGATCCGCGTTGATGATGGCCCGCGACTCCAACCGCTCAGGCTCGACAAGATGTTTCTTCGGGCACATCAGTGGCGAGGGTCGACATCAAATGCCGCCGATATCTCCATCCAACACAAGTCGCCGCCGACTCCCCCTAGAGAGCCTCCCATCTACCCGCTTCCGAAGTCGTATGAGTCATCATCTGCGACTTTAGGCGACACCTCGGCCACCCGGGCCACGGATCAGGTATCGCCTTTGGCGGCCCTGTTCCAGTACGCCGAGCTGGTGCCACTGGTACTGGAAAGTTTCGACCAGCCCAGGGACTTGGCCAAGATATGTCGAGTGTGCAAGGAGTGGTGCAGTATCGGACGCAAGCAAATGTATTCACATGTATGGGTACGGCCTTGTACGTATCTCTGTACTACTGCGTATATGATAGCTGATAGCTGACAAGGGGAAGAGGCGCCACACATGAAGGTACCCTCCAATCTAAGCATCAGAACGATTCCACTGACTGACGGGTGATAGCTTGTAATGCTCTTTGAAACGCTACACAAGCGCCCAGAGCTTTGTCGCCTCGTCCGTCGTTTGGGTGAGCCGAATTCGTGGACCGACCCCAAAGACTAACAGCTATCATCCCAGAGGTCCGGTTCTTCCCTCTCGCTACGCGTGGAGAGGCGAGGTCCGAGTTGGACGATCGTGTCCAGCTTGCCATATCTCATATGGACAACCTTACATCCATCGCATGGACGGTCGGTACTCTATTTACTTCCTCATCGGGTCTGACTCGTGCTGCAGAGAGACAAGTCACTCAACTCCGCCCTCTTTGCTAGCATGATCCGCCTACCGCATTTGTCCTCGTTTGAGATATCGGGACACTCCTACAGGTACTATGATCCAGCATTGCTATCTGCCGCGCCCGCTCTTGAAGACCTCAGGATCATGATGCCGGATCCGCATTTGAAGGGTCGATTGGTAGACGTCCTATCGAAACTTTCATCAAGAGACAACACCGATGGGAAGGGTGCTGGCTTGAAAAGCTTGGGGATTGTCTGCCAGGTGCGCATTCCGTCTTTGACGCGTGCTCTGCCTCACCAAAGATAGGAATCCTCTCTGATAGACGACAACCTGCTCCGGGCAATGGCCCCGTACCTGACAAGTCTCCGTCGCCTTACGTTCTGGGGCTGCACCCATGTGACGAGAGCGGGCATCACTACCATCCTGGAAGAGTCCAGTGAGAAGATTGAAGAACTTTCTCTCGATGCCCCACCCCAATCGCAGCTCCTCAACCTCACCAATCTTCCAGAATTACCTCTACTTCACACTTTGTCCATATCCATCACAGTCCCGCGTCGAGAGAGTCCTGAACACCAAGACACTCTTTTGTCGGACCTCCCTTCCCTACCTTCCTGTCCCTCTCTCAGATCTCTACACCTTACTTCATCGCCGGGGAGACCCTTTTTGACAGCCCAGGTGTGGAGGACATTCCAGGCCCAGATGATCGGCGGCAGCTTACACAAGCTCTCGCTGATAGGTATCGTTCTCAAGGACGCCGCTGCGCTGGGCCAAATCCTAGCTTCCAATCCTGATCTAGATGAGCTGTATCTCACGGCTCTTCATCCGTCTTTCTTTGACCCTACTTTCTCATCCAGCGTCTCTGCATCGGCGAAAGACTTGCTTGCCTCGGCGCAGCTGCGCATCGTGCATGTGAATTTCATCCACAGCTCGCCTGTCACCACGACGAGGGGCAGCTTGGCTCACTTCTGGAGAAACATCATTTGTACGCAAGGGAGTGATAGCATGCTAGGGGCCACTGTTGAGCAGGTTGGCTGTGGCAACGTGATATTGGAAGTCCACAAACGCTTGAATAGCGATGGGTGCCGGGAGGTAGAGCTCTGTAGATGGTCAAAGACTGTCGTGCCAGGATATTTCAATGTCTGGCGGGCGTAATACTTGTATCTTTGGTTGCCATGCATTGCCAGTAACAAGAAAGTCCACATCCGTCCGCTGCCGTTCAATCTTCGTCCATTCCTTCGCCTTCACCCGCCTCTCCATCATCATCGTCGTCAGAGTCTGATGGCATGTCGTAGGACAGCCCACCACTCTCTTCTCCTTGTGTCCCACGCTTGGCAGCCCATTCTTGCGCAGCCTGGAAGAACTTGAAGGTCGTAGGGTTGGCCTCCTTCTCGTCGTCGGGGAATATGAGATCCCAGTCTGGAAAAATGTTAGCACGGCCATCAAACAAGATGAGAACGTACACTCTTCCATGCCACTGCCATCTTCGGCCTCTCTCCACCTCTTTCTTGTTGTGGGCATCATTTGCTCCACAGTCTCCTTATTCTCGTCATCGCCATGTTCCTCCTCGAACGTCTTCCAAGCCTCAAGCAAGACCGCCCTGTCCTCCTTCTCGCCATTCTTCCTGAGGTCCTTGTAACCTCTTTCAAACACTTGTCTAGCCGCCTCCGCATCGCCTGCCTCGCCTTCGATCTCGTTGCCGTCCTCGTCCTCGCCCCCACCAAGAGTTGCGATTTCCATGAGAGCGTACGAAATCCAGACCTTGACGTGGCTTGTCCTTTCGAGCAAGCGTTCGTAGAGGCTTCGGGCTCGCTCGCGCTCACCCTCGCCAGCCTCAAAGTCGATAAAGGCTTTCCAGACGACTTCAGGCATGTCGAGAGCTTGTTGAACAGCAAGTTCGTAGATGGCTCGCACACGCTCAAAGTCTTCGACAGCTGATTCGACTTGGGTCCATTGGATCCAGGCGGAACTGAGCGATGGGTCGAACTGGAAGGTTGTAAGCGCATGCTGAAACTAGACATGTCCGACTCACAGTGAGGAACTTTTCGTAGAGCGTTCTCACACGATCAAACTCTCGCAATCGCATCTCCAGCTCGATATAGCCAGTAAAGAGTTTAGGCTTGGGACACATTCCGATACCCGCGCCCAGAACCTTCCTCGCAGCCGTCACGTCCAAACGGCGAATCTCAAAGTAGGCATATGACAGCCAGAGCTTGGCGAACGTGAAGGATTTATGGGGGACTAGTTTGATGACAGCTTTGTAGACGTCTCGAGATCGGTCAAAGTCTTTGGTGTCGATTTCTTCGAACGCGGCATATTGCAGCCACACTTGGGAGCGTTAGCTCGCTGTTGTCACAGTGCTAGAGACGACCTACGGTAGATGTATCTTCGCCAGTATATCTTTTCGATAGCCGGGGGCACATTGGCCACAGCTCTCTCGTAAACCTCCCTAACCCTCGTAGGGTTCGCGTCTTCGCTACCATCTTCCTTGTCCGCTCGATAAGCATCCTCTTCCAAGCGAGCGAGTGAGAACCAGGCGTCATAATTTGTCGGGTCGTAGGCAAGTTCTTCCTCATATTGAATTCGACGCTTGCCCAAAACAGTCAACTCTACACCGGCACGATCACCATCTATCCACAGAGTCAGCAGGATATTTCGGTCGAACAAAAGTCGACATACGCTGCTTCTCAAACTTGGTGTATTGAGAGTACACTGTGATCATGTCAGTCCGTACAACGCACTGATATACACAAAGACTCACAGCTTGCAGATTTGGATCTGGGCAACCTCGCCAAAGCAAACTTGTAAATCACCCTAGCCCTCTCAAACTCCTTTAATCTGGTCTCCATCCTCGCAAAGGCCCCAAACACAACCTGCGCCTTTTCCACTTCCTCTTCTCCATCGCCAAAGAATTCCAGCGCTGTTTGAAACACCTCTCGCGCCTTATCCGGCTGGCCCCTGTCCTCCTCGAATTTCGCCCATTGCACCCAGTTTTTGGGTATAGGTCGACAGGCAATCCACCGTTCGTAGATGGCGGAAGCCCGATCAAGTTCGTTGTATCGTTCCTCCAGTTTGATATACGATTGCCACGCCTTGTCATTCGGCTCCCATTGCATCCATCGCTCAAAGATCTGCCGAGCGCCGGGAACGTTGAGGAGAAGCTCTTCGAGATAGACATACTTGTACCAAAGCTATACACAAGGTCAATACGAGTCGACAGCCAGCCAGGACAGGGTAAACGTACCGAGTCAACGCGGGGAAGGGTCGTAATGGCTCTGTCAAAGAGATTTCTCGCATGGTTGATGTTTCTCGCTTTCAGCTCCATATCTGTGTACTTGGTCTTCACATGTCTGGTCAGTGCAAAGTGACTAATAAAGCCATGGTAATGACATACCCAAAGATCAACAGATCGCGGGTCCACATCCAATGCACGCTCGAAAACGGACCTCGAGCGATCAAAATCATTCTGGCTGGATTCCCATTGTGCGTATTTGACCCAAGCTGTATCATATACTGGTCAGCATCATCCCAAAGCCATCCCGGAATAGTACGCACCCATGATACTGTCCCTCGAGTATCGGATCCGTCCCTCAAACTCTGTCCTCTTCCTTGCTTGGAACTCTGACAACTCTTCAAGATCCTGAACTCGCTGCTTGGGAGCCTGCACGCCGGGTTCTTGGCGCTCCTGGGCTTCACGAAGCAATTGCTCCGCTGTGATCTGTCGAAACCGGGTCAGTCACTGGCATATCGACTGTACTGGGGCGACTTACCTGGACAGCAGCGGCAGCCCTGTTGCGGACCCTAGGGGCGCGATCCCTGACATCTCGGTCGGCCATGTTGGAGCGGTCTTGTGCTGTGGGATTGGTGGTGCTTTGTATGGATGCTGTCGAAGTCTCGAAGATGAGCAGACGCGCGAGTTACTCAAGCGGCGTTAAAAATGAGTCTGTGTGGCACTCTCCGCCGTAATCGCGCGTTCTTCCATATGTCCTCTTACATTTCCCTATGTCCTCTTTATATCTCGGCGGCACGCGTTTATGCTACCAGGGCTCACTATATCTAGTCACTACCTATCGACACTCTACAATTCAAGTTTTGCCCCTTTCAGCGGCAATATTGCCATCTACCAAACACAATCCCACGACCCCGGCCCCAGCAGACTTTCCCATCCACGACGGTCGGTCAGACAGCCCGCCCATTGCACTTCGGACTCCATCATAATCTAATGGTTATGCCACATTGTACCACTGCGTCCCTCTGGCTTCCTCATATGCGGCCTTGGGGGCCTTGGGATTGCTCAAGACCAAGCAAGTGAAACGGTTCTCCCTTTCCATGAGCATTGGACGGTGTCGTGGCTTGTTGTGGGTCTTGGAAACGCCAGATACCGAAAATGGAATGGGTACACCACTCTAGTGCGAATTCACCGTGTCAATCATGTAGATATGTGGCATCTCCCTAGACAGAAATGAGAGGGCGGGCCTGTAATCTTCCTTCACTCAGGTAGATGTCCGACTGGCGCATAAGGGCATGGAATCAATGTCGAAGCAATACATGTGTGTGGAATGAGGGGTCTCGATGGCGCGTTCGTTGCGTCAAACTAAGACGGGACATGGGCCCTGGTTTCACCGGCCGCAGGCCCCGCAGGCTGTAGACTGCTGACAACTTGCTAATCTCCTGGTGACCTGGTTCTCTTGGCGCACAATACATCGATGCCCGCTGTCAGGGCCGCAATGTGACCAGCAGCTCCCTCAAATTGAGCACAGTTATATATTTTGTACGTCTCTCCATCTTCTTCATCGCTGATGATTGTTGTGATCTCGGATTGCCGAGGGTCGGATTCCCCGCCTCAGTCACGGCTCGCCAGTGATCCACTCAGATGCGAGAATGAGGCATCCATATAGCTCCTCAGTCACGCACAAGATGTCGTGTAGATGAATCCTCGAGACAATTTCAGTAAGAATCAGAGCAAAATGCGAGCCCACGACGCCGTAAAGATGATGACCCTTTCCCTTAACAACCTGATCGTCCCTCAGGATAAATTGCTTACCTACACATCACACAACTGCAACATCTACTAGCGCGGGAAATAGGTATCGGGGAAATGTGAACGCACTCTACACCATCTACAAGCACCGAACAAGCACTGTGCACTTCAGCAGCTGATCTACTGTGCCTAGGTATATTGATCATCTCTTGAAGGCATGTGCACCCGTGGTGTTCGTCCCAGCCATCACTGATCGCCGTCTTTGGTGAAGTCGCCGATATATAATTATCAAGTCTAATGTTTCGCATCTACCCACTGTCTCTCGTTTCTCGAATATCAGCTGTTCGCTCGCTTCCACCGAACAAGAACGATGGTCAATTACGCCAACATCACCTCTGCTCCTGGACGTCTGGCATACCGATTATCAACCCCTCGTAACAGGGTAGCAACAGGTATTGACCCAGCCTTCTCTAGCGTGCTCTTTTGCCACCCACCATGGCTCGACCATTACTTTTTGTGAGTTCTGACAAGCGCTTCAAGATATATCGCGGGATGCTCACGATCTATAGTTGTCCTCAGCTAGACGACCCTATCTTTTACAACGAATACAACCTCGTCGCTATCGATATGCCAGGGCACGGTATGTCCTTGCTCAAAGAGCTTGCTGGGCTCTACTACGAAGTATTGGTAAGTAGCGTACAGTCCCGAAGTTAGAGGCTGACCTTTTCGCAGCAAGCGCTCAAGATAGAAAAGATACACCTGGTGGGCGGCGATATGGGATCCCTAGCCCATATGCGTCTGGCTTTGGCGCACCCAGAGATAGTTGAAAGTCTGACCATGGTTGGTCCTCCTACACCCGTCGAGACTGACTTGGTCATGATGGGGTTTACAGATTCTTCTAAGTGAGCAATCACGCGCGACGCAGACACTCACCAGGGGCTTACGTGAGATGCAAATGGATGCGATGCGAACGCAAGCTGAGACCTGGACTTGATTGATACCCTGAACGTCATTTTATTCGAGTTTGCAACTGGACAATGGACCAACCAGATACTCAGGGATGTTCGAGACGAATGGGATATGGCAAAAGCTAGGATGGTTTGAGGGGAAGTAAGTGTTGCAAATTATGGGCCTGCAAACTGTAGGCTGACCTGACAATCAGTACCTTGCTCACTTTCAGGTATTCTTACCTCTTCTCACGACCCGGATGGAGCTGCCTACGAAGGATGAAATGGGCACAGTAAAATACCCCATTCTTATCATCGAGGTACGTGCTTCCTCGATCTTACTCGTGAGCTCAACTCCAATCGTGCAAAGCAAGGCGAATCACGTCTGGCCACGAGACACGCGCTGGTAGGCGAGGTAATGACCAAGTGGGCTTCCACCGCTCGATGGACGTCGATCACCAATCCCTGCCTGTAAGCACACCCTCAACCCGTCCATCCCCAAGCCTGATTGTCATCTTCTGTAGGGTCAACCCACTCATAACCGAAATCATCAAGAACAAGAGTAGCTCCTCTGCGTTTGACGAAAACGAAACCCCTATGGGTCGCTGTTTGCCCCGCGAGCCCGATCTACCTCGAGACACTGGCGACTTGCTCGAGGTCTTGCACGAAACATCAACGACCACTTCCCAGGCGGAACCAAAGTCTTGGGCGGATTTTGTAAACAGCGTCCAAGTAGGGGGATGCGAGGTACAAACTGAGGTATCGATCATGGTGCGGCTTTCCCGTGCGGATTTATCGGATTATCTGTCCATATAAATGAGTGAAAAATATTGAGTGCTGGAACTCATGAAAGTTGGTATAAGTTCAATTCGTACAGAGGAGGGTAAGAATTACCGTATGCATTAAAGATGGTCACCGGTGTGGATCCAAAACTCAGCAAGTGATCGTGCATGAAAAATGGGTACAGTGAGGTTGAAATGCATGCACAAGATGTACGAGTACGTATGCATCCACCAGGAGTCTCCTCATCGCTACAACTTTACACTACTACTTTATCTCAAACAACTTCTACTCGACAATGGTCACTCGATCGGACGGCTCCGGCGTCTTCGTAATCGACAGCATCTTGGTGCCTAACGAGAACAGGCCGCGGTCTATGGTGTTCGAAGCGTCGTATGATCTTAAGTCTAAGCCAATCCGAACGAAACTATCCCCCGGCAAGCACTTGCACGCAAGGCTCGCGCACCCGTCATCCCAAAATCTACAAATCTACAAATCTATTCGGTCGACGAGGCCATCGGCGTAACCTGGGGTTCTATAGTTCATGACGGGAAACCGGAGTCTCCCATCCGTGTCTACCCAGTGGAGATCAGATGGAGAGGTTCAGGTCTAATGAGAGAAGTCACTGTAGTGTGTCTTCCCCGCGGCCTGTTCTCCTCGTTAGGCACCAAGATGCTGTCGATTACGAAGACGCCGGAGCCGTCCGAACGAGTGACCATTGTCGAGTAGAAGTTGTTTGAGATAGTGTAAAGTTGTAGCGATGAGGAGGCTCCTGGTGGATGGTGAAGGCAACACCGAGACGGAAACATGCCTTTTATAGGCGCTGGCATCACCGGCTAACTTCTGGGAACAGTTACATCGGCTAATGCTCACGGCGAATGAAATTTTTTGAGGGGACTGGATGCGTCTGCTCTCGAAAGAATTGGCAGTCTCGGTGTTTGCTTCGAGGGTGCTCCGCTCGAGGGTGCTTCTGTCAATCACCGTGGTCGAAGAGGCTCCAGGAACCGGCAGGTGGAGGCGGAGGACGCCGACGAGGCGTCTCAGAAGAGAGGATCAGGCGCCAGCAAGAGGCCCTTGACGGTAAACGGTCTTTGGGAAAAGGAACGGGGACGATCCATGAGGAGGTATAGGTACAGGCAGGTGGGTATAGCTGCAAGCTTTTGAATGAAGCCAAGAACGAACAGAAGTGATCGACGAAAAGTGAAGAACGATGGAATCAAAGGTTTCGGGGACGCGTGAAAAGCGAAAACGGCGGTTCGAGGTAAACGGACGGTAGAGAGAGCTAGGATAAGTTGTATGTGGAACGAAAAGTACCGTTAGGTGGAGATAAGCGGCAGCTGTCGAATGGTGCAGTCAGCGGGTCAGATGTATCGACGGAAAATGGAATGAAACGGTGAACAGTAAAGTGAGAAAGGTGAAATTGACGGTAAACGGTCTGTGGGAAAACGAACGGGGAGGATGCATGCAGAATTAAGGGTGCCGTTCTGTAGGAATGCTTAAAAGGATTCTAACGCAGTTTTGAATGAGGCTGATTGATTGACGGAAAATCGAGAATGATGGGAATTGAAAATAAAGGAGGTCCAAAAATGGGATCGTGGCTTAAACTAAATAGAAGTTGAAGAATAACTGTATTGGGGCCACGTAAGTCGTTTGTGATTGATCTTGTAGCATCTCTCGATAACTAAAACCCGATGATCCCATGTTCCATGTCCAGGATTTGCGGTAGCTCGGAAATGGAATTGCGTTGAAAAGCCAGAGGCCGCCACAAAGTCAGGAAGCCAAAACACTGTTACGTAAAAAGACACGGAGCTCTTCTCCCGCCGCCGCCGCGTCGCACCCAATCATCGCTCAGGCAATGGTGACGACCGAAAAATTGCGCCGCCCGTTGGCTGTTGACCTGCGTGTCGATGACGCACAGAACGCGTTGTTGTAATTCGCCCGATTGTCGTGTTTGTTGAAAGCGTTGGTGTGGGTGCATAGCGGAGGCCAGGCGTTTGGATGAGAGGTGCAATGCAATGCAAGGAGCTATAGGTAGTGTATATGCGATACAAAGGTGGAGTGCATGGGCTGATCTATTGGCGAATGACACTCCCCAACCCGGAGACCCAGAGAAAATAGCTGAATTACTTGGTCTGAAGAGATATCAGTATCACCGCGTACATGGAGGATTCGAGCACTCACAGCCTGTTCAAGGTGGTGAACAAGGTCGTTCCTGTCCTTGGGCTTCTTGAGGCCGGCAAAGGCCATCTTGGTACCAGGGATGTACTTTTTGGGGTTTTCGAGGTACTAAGACGACGAATCAGCTCTTGCCGCACATCCCCTGAGTCGCTGTGCAGCATCAACATACCTCGAAAAGAGTTTGACCGTCCTGAAAAGACACAATTAGCATGCTATCGATATGATGCTGATACAGACGAGGCAGAGCAGACACAGCAGAGGCTGAGCCGTTCTTTGCCCCGCCGATCGTAGAGACAAAGACTCACCCATGTCACACCCTTGTTGACGTTGGCAGCAGAGTAAGAGAAACCCTCAGCTTGACCGGACTTTCGGCCAAAGATACCGTGGAGGTTGGGGCCGACCTTGTGGGCCTCGCCCTCACCGAGAGTGTGGCATTGAGCACATCGGGTCTAAGAGGCAAAACATCAGGGTCTTTTCCCCGATAAGGACGTCGAGGGTGTGTACTCACCTTGAAAATACCGGCACCCTTGGTAGCGTCTCCTACAGAAGGCCGCCAAGTCAGCACCAGAACTCCAGAGCGTACATACACCTCCCCTGGATCGCCGTCGCACAATTGAAGATCGACGATTGGGCGATGAGATAGCTGGGGCGAAAAGGGGAATGCACGCACCAGGCTTGTAGGACATGTTGGTGGGTGAGTTGAGGTGTGGTGTGGGAAGTGGTGGAGATAGAGAGGGGGAGGTGGATGGAAAAGAAAAGCAAGAACAAGAATCGAGCGATTAAAAAGACGCGAGATGTGTTGAGGGTGACGCTGAGACGGAGTTTCCCACTTCCGAACGGGCCCGACGCCCAATCAGCAACGCACCAATTCACGGGCGCGCCTACCCACAAACGCCGAGCGGGCCCTGCGATAGGCGCGCTCGTTCTGCCCACTCACCTCGCTGCAAAAGCCATCCCAGCACTGCACATATCCACGAATCAACAGCAGCATAATGGTAAGTAGCATGCGCATCGCGGGAGATAGTGCTGACCCACTGTAGGGCGGCGGTGTAGGTCAGATCACGGGGCATCGGGCGAGAACTGACAGTACGCAGGGTCACTATCCTTACCCGAAAGAAGTCTGGACCCCATCTGGTGGATGGTGGTCGCGCCCAAGCAACTGGAAGGGAAACACTGCTTTCGCTCTCGGCGGTATCCTCGTCGCTACCTTTGGTGTCTGGAGATTGTCTGCCAACAGGGAAGAAAGACATATTGCTCCTACAAGGCCTATCCCATCACAGATGGTAAGTGTTGTGTCTCGTGGTTAGCTGTTGGGGTGGGGTGTAGGGTGCGAGGTGGTATGAAGATATCACGGTGCATTGTTATCATCTAGACCACAGCTGACAGTCGATTGCAGTGGTCTCCTCAAGCTCGAGAACTCGGTGTCCGACAGGAATAGACGATGTCCGGGATGTATTGATATATGAGAAACCAACGTCGATACCATGAGTGGGCGCGTCTGGCATGACGATCCACACATCATCGACTCGCCAACAGAAAGATGATCCTTGGGCACTCGATATTTATTTGGCTTCAGGAAACCGACCCGCAAGCGCTCCCCTCGTCCCGTCGATACGCGAAATGGACCCCAACGACTCTCATGGGACACGACCAAATGCACAGCTTGATTCAATAAAATGTACAGACACAGAAATTGCACCCACTACGCCAGTGCTCATATTGACAGCATCTAATCATCGTCATCAGATTCCTCGCCGTAAGCCTGTCTACTATAACCAAGCTTGGCGATGGACGGCAAGATGCCCTCTCTGTAAAAATGGTTGAGCCTGGATTCAAAATGATGTTGCGACTCACCTCCTTAGCAAACCCTCTATGCCATCTTTCCCCACATCCCAATCTACTCGAATCCAAGTCTTCTCCAACTCCCCGTCCTTATACGCCAATAACGTCGGCAACACGTCGGGATCCGGCACCCCCAGCGGCTGCCCTTCCTCATCCCATGCCATCTCAGAATCTTCGCTCGTGTTCTGCCTATGAGAAGAGACAGTTTGGGACGTAGGAGGTACGAGGGAAAAGCGAAGAGCCGTGGCTCGAGCGCGATATAGTGATATAGGAACACCATCAGGGATGTTGAGAGAGAGGTGAAGCAGTGACGTGGAGAGAGCGTCGCATCTTGACAAGCCCTATTTCAGATACATGAGCCTGTAGTATGCATGGAAATGAGAGAGTACTTGCTGGTTGAAAGATTAAAACGATAACCCACCCCTGTCGCTCCACCACCTCCAAGAACCGTTCACTGCCAATCTCCTGAAGACCTCCCCCCCTCACCGCCTTCTTCATGTCGTGCTCCAGTGCAAAACTACCGACCTTTTCCTGCCCTTCCTCTCTCTGGCGCTGAAGCTGATTTCGTCTTCGACGTCTGATCTCGTTCAGTTCCTCGTCCTCCTCCTTCGCCTTTTGCCTGACAGCTAGTTCTGCCTCTTCGTGGACTGTCAAGCTGGTCATCTGGCGACTTTGGGCGTCGATGCCACGAGCAAGAGCCGCAGCCCGACTCGCCGCTTGAGCATGGTGCTCGCTGGCCTTTTTGTCTTCAATGACACCCTTGACACCTGTTTGGGGCCCGCCATGCTCCACCAGCCCTCTGGGCTCCCGTGTGGGCTCCTCACCCACCTCATGAGATGTTCCGATATGACTGCTATAAGAAGACTCGTCATCTTCGAACGAATACTTTTCGTCTTCGATACCCAAGAGAGGGCGGTCACCCGAGTCGTCGGTACGAGTGGGAGAGGGCGGCTCTCTAGATTGGAAGAGGGAGCCGTCGAGGGCTGCTTTCTCGAGAGCGTCCATCTAGATGCTCCTTGCTGTGCGTATGACGAAAGCTGTGGCGAGTGAAAACACAACGCGGACAACACACTCACATACATACTCTACAGTATAGTCATTGCGCGGGCTCGGGCCTCCAAGGCACCCCTAATGTTGACATGCGCTCTAGTTGTTCTTTCGTTGGTAGCCAATTGACAAGATGATACTAAGATGCACAATAGACTTCTACCGATTCTATACATATAAAGAACTTCTTTCTGCACCCTCTACTTCTAGAGCTTTGCCTGCTCTTCTAAACCCAGCTCCGTCTTCCCGTCTTTACTGAACTTGGTGACGGCCTTTGCTCCTCCCATAAACTTGGTTTGCGCGCCATAAGCGACCAACCTGTCTCCCTTTTCGCCCCCAGGAGGGGTTCTAAATTCACATCGCGTGTACGCTAAAGTCCGCCCAAGCTGCTCGACGATACCGATACATATGAGGTCGTCGCCAACTGTGCCGCCCGGACGGACGAAGGACGTGTTGAGGTCGACGGAGACGCCTGTGGGAGCAGGAAGGCCATGGGTAGATAGAGAAAGTGACGTTATGGTGTCTGTAAGCTGTCAAGGTGTGTAAGAGTAGGATCACGATCCCAGGGCGTCCGTCTCACTGTGAGGATGGCACCGCCGTGGATAGTCTACAACGCATGATCAGACAGTAGGCACATGTGCCGCGAAGTAGAGCTCACATCGTGGTTGTTGAGATGCTTGGGCTCAATGTGCAGAATGCCCTTCAGATATCCTGGACGGGCTTCAACTACACGAAGCTATCTCCCGTTGGTCAAGACATGAGATCGATCTATCGCGACACACCCACAGATGAGAGGACATTGGAGTCATGGCCTATCAAGAAACCTTGTTTAGCAGTGATCTATTCAGATTATGGGAGCACTCACCCCCTTTAGTCAAGGTCTTTTGCCAGACCTACGCACGAATGGAGTCAGCGCTGGGTATGACGGAGACGTGCAGCTTATGTCTCCAGCTCACGTTTCGCAGGAATTTTAGACAGGCCATTGTTGGGTTTCCAGAGTGATGCTGATGGGTGCCTAGTGCTTCTAGAATCCTGGATGGAGGGGGAAAGAGTCAGAAGGAGAATCGCAAACTCGAGAGACGTTGCAACACCGACGTCGTTGTTAAAGCGTGTCGCGCTTCCCTTCGGGTACTTCTAGTTCTACCAAACGAAGGTCCGACATCCCAATGGCGATGTGTATAGGGTTTACCACGGGCTGAATCGCACGGGTCGTGTCGAGACATGGGCTAGGTGCAATGTGAGAATTCATAGCCAAACCTGTTGTTGCCTGCCCCTGCAAGGCGCAGCACCCAAGCGATCTCCGGCACTTGGACTACATGATGCGTCCCAACAAGTCTCATGTGACATCTTGAGCTTCCTCGACGAGGAATGAGGGCCATTGCATGCACTTATACTAGAATGTATTAATGGAGAGAGGGATAGCAGTACAATATACATCAAATCGCCACCATCAAATCAACAGGTTCTTCATTGGTTGCCTGACAGCAATGTTGGTATCTAGAGCTGCTCGTCCTTGTACTTCTTACCAGCCCAACTACAACACATGGTTAGCTCAATTTTGTGGCGAACGAAAAGTGACGCACCCCTCGAGACCACTGAGAGCAACGAGCCCAGCGGCAACTCCACCGACGATCTGCCTGTCCCAAGGCCTGTTCCAGTTCTGGTAGCTAAAGTAGCTGACGGCACCGAGGATGGCAACATTCACAGCACCGACAAGACCGCCGGCGACCTGGGGACGAAGAATAACCTCCTTGGCGTGAAGGTAGAGCTTGGAACCTTCAGCCTTGGCTCGGTCGGCCTCAGCTTGGCCTTCGGGGGTAGAGAGGTAAGATTCGGCAAGGTAGCTAGTGCGCGCGTCAGCTTGTCATTGTGGATCGCAAGAGATGCTCACCCTTCAGCGCCGAAAAGAGCAAGAGTACCGGCAACAGCGCCGCCGACGAGTCGCTGATCCCAAGGCTGGTTCTTCTTTGTGTAGGCAAAGTAACCGGCAGTACCGAGGATACCGACGTTGACAACACCCAAAAGACCACCAAGAGTACCAGGTCGAAGGACGACGTCCTTGGTCTTCTCCCAGTAAGGAGCCAAAGCGTTCTCGGCCTGCTCAAATTCGTCCTAATGATACATCAGTACAGACGAACTCGACACATGGAAGCGACATACCTTGGCCTCCTTCTTCAAAGCCTTGCCCTTCTTCTTGAGCTCCTGTTGCTCCTTCTTGATGTCCTGTTGTTTTTCCCACTGAGCGCCGCTCTCGGGAAGATGGACACTACTTTTAGGGGGAGGAGAAACGGGCTTGGGAGCAACATCCGAGACCGAAGGCTCCGGCTCGGGAGGGGGGTGGAGCTCAACGGAAAGAGGCGGCTCAGAGGGGGCCACGGGAGCGGGAGCCTGGACGGTCGGTTTAGGGGAAGGGATAGAGAGAAAAAGCGTGAGATCAACATACCTCGTCAGTAGCAGTGGGACCTTCAGCAAGGTTGGGGTCGGGTTGGGGCATCTCGCCGAATGGGACTGAGCATGGTCGTCAGCGACGAGTGTCGTGCGAGTAGGGACGGGTGTACTGACCGTTGTGGCCAGCGACAGAAGCGTAAGACATTGTTGGTAGATGGTTTGGATTGGAGATGGAAAGTGATGGATATCAAGTTGAGAGAAGAAAGAGGAATCGAGATAGAAATGGAATTAAGAGGCAGCTGGGCGATGAGAATGCGTGACATGCGCTCCCAACCGCCAACGACGTCATAGCATGGCCAGTACGTAACCACGCATTCGGAGATTTCGGCCTTAGGAGCCTGGCGCACAGTGGCGACAGCGCGTGGTGGAGGCGGCGCGTGAGGGACAAGCGCGACGGGTCCACTTTCTCTTTCTTTCTCTTTCTTAATCCAACTGTCACCCCACTTTCCCTATGCTCGCCCCGCCCCGTGACTATGCCCGCTGAGCAACGCTCAAGCTTTCTCGACCGTAGTCCCACATCCCCCGGAACCCGATTCTTTCGAGACCTCCCGGCCATTGCAGAGAAAGCCGGCCTCAAACCCGCCATCGTATCCTCTTCATCCACCCAGAGATCCACCACCTCCCGCCCGTCTCAGAAACACGCCAAGCCTCTTCGACGATTCGTCACTGCCACTGCCCAAGGGGTCCCTTTCGTCGATTTGACGTTATCAGACGACGACGACGACACACCGGTATTTACTAAACCCGCCGCGACTCAGTCAGGCGTCATCGACTTCACCAATACCTCGGACTCGGAAGACGACGAAGACATAAAACCAATACCCATAATGCCACCCAAAAGCGAGGCTCAGCGAAGACGGGAGATGGAGGAAGACAAGCGCAAGGGCCTGAATCAGTCGCGCCTCTCTTTTGGCGGGGGACCCGGGGCTGGCAGTCGGCCGCTGAGCTATTCCTCCAGTCAGAGGTCTTCTGGCTCTCTGGCTCCCACACTGGGGAGCTCCCCCTCGCCTGCTACTCGCGAACCCCTCACCAACAAAACTTCTACCCCCAAAGTCACAGCGCCACCGGTCATGACTAAGGGTAAGGCCAAGGAGCGCGCGGAACCGCCCGCTCTGTCGTCTCAGACTGCCCCTCCAGGTTCGACTAGTCAGTTGAAAAAGTATCCTGCGCCTTCCCGAGAATCGAAACCACAGCCGACCGTCAGGTCCTCCGCATCGAGGTCTATCCAGAGCCTTCCGCGCTCCCAGTCGTCTTTCTCTCTTCCCGCCAACGATGCCACCCCGTCTCCCGAGCATACCCCTGCTGAGCTCCATGGCGGGGAACCCAAGTCATTCGAGCCTGCTTTCGCGGCGGCTGCAAAGAAAAGTTCCGGTATATTCAAAACTGCCAACGACACGAAGGCCTATGCCAAGTCTTCGCGCGCGGTCAGCAGAGCTGACTTGCCTACCTCAACTGCCCCAGAATCCCGCAATGCCCTGCCCACTCCTGCGACCCCGCATGTGTCAAGACAGAATGCGAGCCCCGAAGCTTCGTCAGCCTCCCGCCGCCGTGCGTCTGAAGCCCTCGATGAAGTAGAGAGTGTGCGTCACACTCGTGCCTCCAGCAGACAGAAAAGCACAGAACCTACCCAAGTGGCCTCCAGGCCTACCCGAGCGAGGCCAGTGCCGGGTGCGTATGAGATACCCTCACTCGACGCCGCCATATGGCCTACGGTGCCCCGATCAACTCATGTCACGACGCGGAGAAAGAGAAAGGTCGAGGGCGTAAAGAGGGAAGTCGACGTGGTAGCGGAAGCGGTGGATGAGAAGAGGGCCGAAGAATCTCGCGATCGTGATCGCGGTATATCTTGTGTCCACAGTCTTGGTGAAGAGCTCTCGTCATCTCCAGAGCCTGAGAAGCAATCGCCCGCTCCACTTTCGGCTGTACCTGGGCCACGCACCCCCACCAAGCGTGATGCCAGAAAGACGACTTCTCGGTCCACCACTCCGCAAAGTTCCAGGGCAGCTGTACTCTTTTCTAGCCGATCCTCTCAATCTGCACCTACCAAGCAGCGTTCACCTCTCAAGTCACCTTCGAAACTGTCAAACAGTATCACTCTGGGTGGAAGCAGCTCTAAAGAGGTCGAGCAGATGATACCGCCATCCAGCCCTCTGACTGAGCTGACTGAGCTGTCTGACGAGGAGGAGGAGGAGGAGACAAAGACCCCTACCAAGTCTTCGGCCTTGAGTGTGCAATCCGCAACACCTAGGGCGTCTATCCCCAAGGCTGAATCGGTGAAGGAGGTCGAGGTGGAGCAGGAGCCAATTGAGGTCGAGGTCGATTTAGATGTATATCTTTCCTTTCTAGATACTTGAACACAAGCTAATCATTCACAGGATATCGATCTCACCGAGTGGGACAATTTTGCCTGGTCGGCCAAGCCCGAGGCGCCTACTACTCCAGTCAAATCTGATCCGGGATTCTCTACCCCGTTGAAGCGGGCATCCTCAGTGGCCCAAGTCACACCAAGACGATCCTCAAGCAAGCGCGCGAGCGCTGGGCTGGTGGTTCCCGACTCTGTGAAAAAGAGAAAGGTGGAGCAGGAAAAGTGGGACAGGATAGTCGAGGAGACCAGAGTCGCGAAAGAGGCAGAGGAAATGGAGCAGCGCAAGAAGGAAGAGGAAAGTGCAAGGAAAATTGAAGAGATTGTTGCCGAGCAACCTGATCAAGACGAAGAAGAAGAAGACATGGGTGCTCTCCTAGCGTCAGTACCTGTGATCACAAAGCCCAAACAAGCTGACTTGGAAGCAGTGGTCTGGAACAATCGCCTCAAAAGGCATCCTCTTCCAATCTTCCCGATGCTGTTCAGTCTCGTCAAGAAGCCGCCAATGCTCGGAAAGAAGAGCAGCGCCTAAAGAAAGAAGTCAGGGATGCCGAGAAGAAGGCAGCGGCCAAGCGCAAGCAGGAAGCAAAAGAGCGTGATCAGCAGCAGCGACGGTTTGACAGGACCTTGCAGGGTATCAAAACCGGCCGAGAAGAGGAGGCTGTTTGGGATGAGATTGACAACAGTGATGATTCCGAGGACGACCTGTCTGATGTGGGAACCGACGAGGAGCTTGATCTGTCTGATGCGGATGATCCCATGGAGGATGACGAGCGGGAATTTGACCTGGACAATGTGGCCGCCCAATTGAAAAGCAAGGGCTTAGCGGTGGATGATAATCTGCTGAGAGATGCGAAGAAGGGCGCCTTCCAAGCGGAAGCGCCTTTGAATTGGGATGGGTTCTGGGAAACATCTTTCAAGACAACAAGCGGCGGTATTGAGATTCCTGAAATGGACATTGCAAGCTCGGACGAGTTCATTCGCGAAATCAAAGAGTGTTGTAGTCAGCGCGGTGAGTTGGCTTGTGCAATCCAGAGCGCGCCTTGCTGATATCGAACAGATATATCCGCTTTGGCCACTATCGTCTCGTCCGGAGGACTCAACCTCATCAACAAGGAACACGATTTGAGTGTTTGCAAGTGGTTGTTTATGTGCGGTACGTAATGTTGTGATGGTTGACCGTTCCGTTTCTGACATCCATATAGCCCTCAGTGCTGTTGATGCCCGATGGGCTTCGACCGCTGCTACTACCCTTATACAGTGGATCAGCACTCGCTCCCCTTCACTTGCAGACTCACTTGTACCTTGGACTTCCCTCATACTATCTCAGCTTGGCGCCAGAAAGTCGATTCTTGCTTGTCAAGGTTTACACGACCTGTCTTCGCCCATGGTCATTTCCAAGGAAAGAGATCAGGTCTGCATTCAACTCCTGAGATTTCTCACTTGCGTCTTGACCAAGTAAGCTACTACATCACCGTGGAACGATGATACTGACCTTGCGCAGACAACTCGGAAAGACGACTTTCTCCCGTCTCCTCCTTCCTTCGCTTCTTCTACTGGGTATCGATACCAGCTCATCAGATGCTCTCAAAAGCCATGTTGTCGACGCCGTCCGAACTTTACTTGTGCATGACGGAAGACATGTACGTGGGCTACATATATCTCGTATATCACCTAGCTGATACACACCATTGCACAGAGACTTGATGATGAGCCTAGAATGATCGCCGCGCAAATTGTCAAGAGTACAGAGTCGTATGGACCTGATGTGCGATGCGCTGTCCTCCAATTTCTTGGCGAAACCACAGCCGAGAGCAGGGATGTGTACACGTGGCTGGGTGCGGAGTATCTCTTTGAGAGTCTCGGAGCCGGGAGTATCTTGGCTGAGGTCGATGCTATGGTACGTCAGAACATACTGACTTTTCGACCGGACATTGACAAGGACACCAGACCAACAAGCCCTCTGTTCCTCCTATCACGAAAGTAATCCCGGTGGTCGACCAGTACTCAGACTCTCTGCGCCCTGCTCCAACCGTCGAGATTGACTGGGTCGTCAAGAACTTTGAGATGACCTTTATGTTTGCGACGATCAACAATCCGGCCAAGATCCTTGACGCTGTACCTCCAAAGCTCACCTCGGACGAATCGGGTCGGGATTTGATGCAGAAGCATATCATGGCCGACTTTCGGCATTCGCTCAAGGCCAGCATGAACTCCATTCGTGAGTTGCTCGGAGGAAGACGCGAACGTCTACTGACTGTAGTATGCAGCTGATCAAAGTGACGGGTCTAAACGACCTACGGTGAAAGCTAGGCTTCACGAGCTTGTCGAGACGATTGATCTGCTGTTTGAAGAGGAGACGTCAAGGCGCATTCGAGCACGTAAATTGGGGCCGGGACTCAAATTCGGCAAGAATGGCCAATCACGGCTGAACATGTCAAAAGGCAAGGGAAAAGCAGAGGTGTGATGGATATGGTGACTTGTATAATACATCAGACTGCGTACCGTGTAGGAACGGCTTGTATTGCGCGTGGAATCTCTTTGTTTCTGGTAATATCATGTATAGACCTTGGGTTTGACCACATGACAGAACGCATACTCTAATGATGCTGCATCTCTAATCTTTAGTATCGTTCAAAACGCCGTCCGAAACCACTCTATCCCAGTTGTCCTCCCAAGACGACCACTCGTCTTCACCAGCGCCACTGGGCGACAATGTCCCGGTCCGTCGCGGCTTGTGATCGCGTTCAAAAAAAGATTTCAAGCTTTCAAGGTCGGGGGAGACAGGGAATGAATCGAAAAGTTGCTACAGAAAGTCAGTGATGATGGAAGACTGGGGACAGGAATTGACCAACAATTAACAGCTGACCCATCTCTGTACCAGACTCGAATACTCTCCCATTCTTCCCATCCTTGACTAGCTCATGCAAGCAAGCAAAGTTTCTCGCCAGCACGGGCACGCCGCAGCCAAACATGTCCACCACTTTCATAGGCAAGTCTCGCCCGGAGCTGCTGCTGTGTAGACTCACTCCGAGGTCGGCACTTCCCAGCAATGCCGGGTAGTCTCGCGCGGGCAGGAAGACACATCGAACAATAATGTCTTTCCATGCCTGCGTTGCTTCTCGGGAAGCGACAATCGTTTCGAATTGCGCCCTGAGACCGCCCCGGCCAGTAATGATGACTACGAGCTTGGGAAGGTTGGCGCCCGAATCCACGGCCTTTTGGTACGCATCCAGAGCGACGACGAAGGGCGTGAAGTCTTCGTCGGCGGTCCAGGAGGTGGAGGATACAACCAGAGCAGGCTTGTCGGTGCGAAAGGCGGGCATTCCTGAAGGCCCAATTTCGGTGAAAATGGTGACTGCGGGGTCTTTTAGAGGAGAGGTGGAAGGGAAGGGTGGTTCAAGTTCGGGTAAGAGGCGGTGAAAGAGCTCGTGTTGGACCATGGGCCCAGTGCGGCGGAAGTTTGGAGGTGGCCTGTCGTGGAGAACGGTCGTCTTTCCCCTGTAACACCGTCAGATATGCGCTGCCCAAGGTGCGGGCGAGTGGACTGACCTTAGATCCCATTCTTGCACCAAAAACTCCTCTAGAGCTTTTGTGACGAACAGATGAGCAAAGGCCTTCTTCCCAAACTTGGCTTCAATCCTGAAACCGAATCAGCCCTTTGCGTACTGATGGGAAGAGTGATTTACCAGGTAGCCACCTTGACCAAAGGTGAATGTTCTCCGACTCTCATCGCCAAGATGGAATAACCCGTGTTGTGCCAATCGATAATCAATTTGGTCTTGGTGACAAAACATACAGCTTGAGCCAGAGCCAGTGTAGGGATTGATGGCGGGTTTTGTACAAGGAGCACCTCTGTGTTACAAGGAATTGACCATATGCAAATGTATATCACAGACATGATCTGATACAACACTCGTATAGGGACCCGCAAAGCCCACGGCAGGAGGCCAACCAAGGTTGGCGCTTCTGCGAGACCATGGAAGGAGACCAGCTGATTCTCAAGCAGAGAGGGAATGGGGGCCGTGTCTTCATATCCTACCACATAAGTGGCCCACTGATTCTTGGCAAAAGAGTCTGCGTGGTACATCATCCGTGGGCTTCGACCGATATCGCCTAGAACGAGCACTGTCGCGGTGTGTTTTCTAGATGACCGGGTCGATACTCGTCTATAGAGCGAGAGCAGGAAGATGACGGGAGGGAGACCGATGAAAGCGAACAGTACCGCTATGGGATGGTGTAGGGCGATATCGATAGCAGACATCTTGGAGAGTCCTCCCTGCTTTGCAATAGATGGTGTTGACAGCAGGCTCGCTGCAGAGCGATTTGAGACGCAGAGTACGCTTTTGACACGGAACGATCGCGTCCGGACATTGTTTGGTCTCTGTCGGACAGCGGACATTGCCTCCACTGCAGGACGGACATTGCGGACGCGACGTGTCTTGACTGAGATGATGATGTCTCTTGCAACTCGTCGCATCCCACAATGCGCACTGCCCATCTCCTCCTCGCTCTCGCGGGCGTATCATTAGCCCTCTCAGAGCAGCCCAGCCTATGTTCGCCCCTCACAGAGGCAGAGCGCATCCTCGAATCACTCCAACCGTCTCCAGACGCTCACCTACACAGCAAGGCAGCTGGAATAGTTCCCTTCAGTAACGAGGGCTGGGCAGATGGCCTAGGATGGAGGCAGAATGTGCGTCAACTAGATATAAGGTACAGACGCCCGTGACTGACATATAGAAGGGTCCATTATCCACTGCGTTTAGGTTATTACCTCGGGTAGTATCTGCTTTCTCGCCGAGTAGGCTTCTGTCATCAACAGCGGAGACAATGGCGAGAAGCTCGGAGAAGAAGGTCTCGCGGGGAAGAAGGGAAAGGATAGAAAAAATTACAGATCTCATTGACGAAGCCGAGAAGAATGGCTGTTCAGAAGCTCTGATGCTCAAAGCAGAGATGGGAATGGTGAGACTGGTTTCATCGACATTTGGGCGCACCACTCATACGTCTTAGTTTCCTCCTAGAGGCTTGAAGCAAGATTTGCAGATGGCGTACGAATCCCTGCAAAAGTATCTCGAGCAGTCATCGGACCCAGAAGCCCAATTTCTGGTCGGTGTCTTCCATGCAACAGGCTTGGGGGGCGTCTCAATAGATCAAGGAAAGGCGCTTCTGTACTATACGTTCGCGGCTTCTCAGGGTCACAGGCCGGCGGCCATGGCATTAGGATACCGACACTGGGCTGGTATTGGTGTCAAGGAGGACTGTGAGGTTGCCTTGGAACACTACAGTAACGCTGCTGAAATATGTGAGTAACTCGCAAATCATAGTGATTTCAGCTGACATGCATCGAGCTTACAGGAGGTTCCAAGAGGGCCCTCCCGGGGGACTAGCTCTACCGCTCGTCTCCTCCAGGCTATCTGATAGGGTCGGCGGCATATACGGTACCTACGCATCATGGGCATCCACAGGTGCCAACTCTCAAAAGCCAGCCATTCGGGCATCAACCGCTTCATCTCGCGGCGAGACGACTCAAGAAATACTCGAGTATTACCAATACCATTCTGACAGGGATTCTCATCCATACACAGTCAGGCTCGGCCGTTTCTTCTACCACGGGTCTGTCCATTACCTGCCCAACGGTGTGTCCGTGGGTGCGGAGTCGATAGGTGAAATACCGCAATCATTCACCAAAGCCCGATCCTACTTTCTTCGCGTTGCTCGTACACTCTGGCCTCTCGACTTTGAACCAGGGACAGACCATCCGGCGGGCAGACGGAAGTTGACCAAAGAGCAAGAGGACAAGATCCGTGAGCCTGCTATGGTTTCTGCCTTCTTCCTTGGCCGCATGTCGCTCCGAGGCGAGGGTCAGAAACAAGACTACAAGCGTGCCAAGATGTGGTATGAGCGCGCTTCCGAGTTGGGCGACCGAGAGGCCATGAACGGCCTCGGTATCATTTACCGTGACGGTCTGGGTGTTCCGGTGGACGTCAGCAAAGCTCAGGAATACTTTCAGGCTGCTGCTTCAGCCGCCTTGTCTGAAGCGCAGGTCAACCTGGCCAAGCTAGTCCTCGCACATGGTGATCTCAAGAATTCCTACCCCTTGCTCGAGGCGGCGCTGAGAAGCGGCAACCCATTGGAGGCGTTCCACTTGTCTGCGCGGGTACACACAAACGCGCGGTCCCTGAGTCAACCTGGGGTGTGCGGTGTGGCAGTCGCTTATGAGAAGATTGTCTCCGAGCGAGGGGCGTGGTATGAAGACTACCTCCAAGAAGCCGACCATGCTTGGGCCAGGGGCGAGACGTCCAAGGCTATGGTCGGGTATTACATTGCAGCGGAAATGGGGTATGAGGCTGCTCAAAATAATGTTGCTTTCTTGCGAGAAGGCGGGTGGAGATTTGAGGCTGAGGAAGAGGAGCAGTGGTCAATTGGAAGTAGTAGGGGAGAGGATAAGGAGAAAGATAGACTTGTATGGTGGATCAGGAGTGCGGGACAAGACAATGTGGATGCCATGGTGAAGATCGGGGATCACTATTGTACGTTTCCATGACCTTTCGGGACCGTTACTGATGACTGGCAGATACCGAAGGTCAATACCCTCGGGCCCTCTCTCACTACCTTTCTGCCTCTGAGACCCAGCAGTCACCCATGGCGTACTGGAACCTCGGGTGGATGCATCAGGCAGGCTTGGGAGTGACGCGAGACTGGCACCTGGCCAAGAGGTACTATGACTTGTCGCGCGACACTGGGGAGGAGGCCATGTATGCCGCTGGGCTGAGTCTGGCGGGTTTATACATCCAAAGGTAATTTTCAGAGCCCTGGCCACATACAACGAGCTAACGATCTTGCAGCTGGTGGACTCATTTCAAAACCCGAGGCGCTACTCCAGGTCTTGCCCTTTTCGACTATGATGCTGTCCCTGCGTCTGAGAGTCTTTCGACCTGGGCCCGAATCAAGACTCTCTTCACGTCGCCTTTCGAATGGGCCGACCTGGAATATGCCGAGGACTGGGAAGACAACCTCGAACCAGATGGTATAGTACTCGGCGAAGGTGATCTTCAGGATGACAGGGGCACTGGCGGAGACGATTGGGAGGCGGAGATGTTTGCAGACTTGGCAGAGGACATGGTATTGGTGGGACTGTTGGCAGCTATCGCCGGACTAGTATGGGTACGGGGGAGATGGGCGGCCGCCAATCAGCGGGCGAGAGCTAGGGCTTTGGAGGCTGCTGTCCAAGGGCAAGGACAGGCTTTGCCGGTGCCTACTGGTGGTGAGCTGGCGCAAGCTCAAGCGCAGCCGCCTCAACGTCTGGAAGGTGATGAAGAGGCAGGGGATCAGCAGCGGCGTCAGTAAAATGACGAGTCGCTGTAGAGTAATTGTTGTAATCTAGTATGCATATGATATCGAAGCTGTGTATGTGCATTATCGTGAGGGTGAGCAAAGACATTGGGCAATGTCCGTCGAGGATGATTGAACATTGGGCTCTGTTGCATTTCTCTTCTTCTTTCGTTCATTCAGTATCGTGGTGCTATACCTCGTCCACAGCGCTGTATATATAAGAAGACATTTCACCCAAAATAAAACGGAAGGAAGGAGATGGCGTCAAAACAAGGCGAAATAATTGAGGAAAAGATGACGGACGAGACAAGTGGAAAATAAGAAGGCTGGTGAGATTGGTCATATAGGTGGTAGAGTACATTTATATAGAAAGTGATGAACAGACTGAGAGGAAAACACATGGAGGCACTTGAAGCAGTGAAAGTCTCATTATTGGTCTGGTTCAGAAGATATGGGAGCCATGCAAAGATACTGCGATGCGATTAGTATTGAGGTGATCTGGTACGCGGCCCGCGCGGACACGTACCGGGACGACATCTATAATGATCTGATCAATGCGGTTCGGGAATTGGCTCAGTCAAGTATCTAGACGATTTTAGCATGTCCCTCGAAACCAAATCATTAGACTTACGGGTGACGCAGGGCGTCTTGAACCTTGATTCTGATATCCGGGTCATGTTCCAATAGCCTGGTGCACAAGTCGAGGAAAAGTTGTTGATGTCTGTTGGTGGGGTCGATCACTTGCCTAGTAGACGACGAATCAATAGGCGATCCAAGGTTGACAGAGTCGCACTTACTTGAGACTGTGCATGGCCTTGACGTACTTTCTACTGGCCTTGGAGACAGTAGAGTTTGGGAAATCAATCTTGTTGCCTTTGAAATATTCCGGTTTCTTTGACCTGATCTCTGGGTCAGTCTCATGGATACAGAGTGTGATGTAGGAGCACTGGGCGTTACTCACTTTCCCTTCTCGATCATTCTTGGACTGAATTTGCCCATGACGATCTCCATCATGGCCAGATGTTCCAAATTGTCATGTGTTTGGAACAACGCATTACCAGTATAGAACTCTACCAGGATACACCCTATGCTGAACATATCACAAGGATACGACCAGGGCAGTCCAAGTATGATTTCGGGAGCACGGTAGTGCCGTGTTGATACGACCGACGAATGGTATTCAGACTCGAAAGTGGCAGAGCCAAAATCGATAAGGCGGATCTCGGTGTTGCGCAGGATTGACTTGGAGTTGGCGCCGCGAGCGCGAGCGCCTTGAAGTCGGGATTCATTCGAACACAGGAGAATGTTCTCGGGCTTGAGATCGGTGTGGACGAGTTTGAGAGAATGAAGATCTATAGTATTTTAGCAAAGATCAGGAGAGAAAACGCTAGGCTCACAAGAGACGCTTCTGAGCAGGCTCCGAGCGAAATCCTGAATATGCTTGTCTGGGAATGGTTGGAAGCCGTTATTCTTCAAAAAGTCGAACACGCTCATCCCATAAAGCTCTGAAACGAGGCATGGGTGGTTGCGAAAGTCAAAGTATTCGTCAAGATGAATACATTTGCTGCGTTTTGTCAGTGAGGTTCTCTTCGGTAGCGTGCGACTCACTTGTCGTTTCTCGGGTCATGCTTCTTGAGCATTTCCAGTACTCTTATCTCGATCTTGCTCGCTTCCCGATACTTTTGCACAGCGCGGATGACTTTGATGGCGACCTTTCGCCGTGTCTGGATGTGTCTCGCCTCCACAACCTTTCCAAACGTCCCCTGGCCTAATAATCTCACAATTTTATCTATCCTCGTCAGCTCGCTGTCCCCAAAATAGTATCAAGACTCACATTTCCCGCCAATAACATCGTCAGGCTTGATGATATAATGACCTTCGCGATCATCCCACGTTGGCTGACCAGAAGCTGGGGCTTGTTGGACTGGGGCTTTGGCATAGGACTTGGCTGGAGCTTGTTGGGCCGACTGGTAAGTAGCTGTGGTTTGGACTGAGGCCGACGTCGCAGTCTGTTGCTGCATGTAAGCAATATCCCTGCGATCAACGCTGCCCACATACACTGGCGACCTTTGGCTTTGCCTTCTTGCCCGCCGCGTCGTCGTCAAGCTTTCTCTTTTTCGCCGACGACACGCCCGTCGTTCCCACATTACTCGCTACACTCCCATGCCCATTCGACATGCTCACGCTCGTCGCCGTATAGCCCGTGTGCCCATAACCCCCATTCATCTGCACCTGCTGCTGCTGCTGAGCGGCCGCTTGCTCCGCTGCGACCTGAGCACGCGTTCTCTTTCTGATAGGCTGGACCATAGGGCTTGCCGAGTCGTCTATCACAATGACCTCCTTCCGCTGACCATTGGCTGGATCAAGAGTATGCTCCGTTGTCCATCCCTTGCCGTTCGCGCCGCGGCGAGCTCTTGTGCTCGCGACGCTGCTAGCGCCGAGTGAAGTCGCGGATGCGATGCTAGGGGTGGATGGATGGCCCCTAACAGAGTCTGCCTTGGCCCGGGGCGGCATGTTGTCGTGGGTGTTTGGTGGGGGAGACTGGGAGTAGTTGAAGCGGAGTGGAGGAGGTACACGTAGTGGTGATGAACCTTGGTAATAGGCCGTTGGGGTAGGCGGAGGCAGGAAAGGGGATGTCGGGTACGAAGGGTGGGACTCGCGGCGGTATTGCAGCGAAGGAGCGGATACAGAGGGGTGGTTGTAATATGCCCGGGGCTGATCAAAGATGGGCGAATGCGAGTTGGATTGGGGATGCGGACGTGACCCTTGCCTGAGGCTCTCTATGGGCGGCAGGGGATGGGGCCAGAGATACTGTTGCGACGGGTAAGTCGCGGTCAATGGCGGATGGGGGGAGCGCAGCACTCGGTCGCCCACGGACACGGAGGTGTAGAAGTGGGCGTAGGGGGAGTGGGAGTGGGAGTGGGAGGGGTCTGCTGTTGTGGGCTGGCCGTAGGAGATGCTGCGGAGGTGGTAGGAGGCGGCGGCGGGGTGGGGCGCGGGGTGGGGGGCTCGAAGGGGCGGGGGGTACCGGGCGTCGAGGGGCGAGGGGGGGAGGGTCCGGGCGGGGGGATGCTCGCTGAGCCTGGGGTGCGTGGGGACGGCCGGGATGTGGCTCATTGAGCGTTGTGGGAAGAGAGCACTCACCCTGCGCTTTCCCTCTTCTCGACGCGATAAACCCGACTGGCGCCTCGACGCTATTTCCACTTTGCGCCCCGTATTCTGTCCTCCCGCTCTCCAGTGCCGTGAGTGTCCCCTGCCCATGCACCAGATGCTGCGTACAAGACGCAGAGCAGGGCATGCATCTGTTCTTCCAATGCCCGCCAGCTCCAATTTCACCTATCCCGCACACTGCAGTCGTCTCTTCCCATCGCGCACGTACGCCATCCTTGCAGCCAGCAGCTTTGCATATGCCACTACAGCAGAATGGAGATCTGTACGCTGCATATTCCGTCGATCATTTGCATACTCCTTTTCGATGCCACACCCCTTCTTGCTGCCACATTCCTTTTTGCCTCAGCTCCGCTGAAAGCTTGGTTGCACGTTCGAATTTACTCGGGTGATAAGCTACACTGAGTGTAGAGTCATGTTTCAAGTCTGGACCAACAGCCGGGTCACTCTGCGGGTGATTGAATGTCTACTGCCTGCAACTCTGCGAGTCCATCCAACTTCCCCTCAACTAATTGCGCACAGGAGGTCTTCGCTCGGCTCTACCTCGAATTATTGCTGATCTTGCACCACCTTCGTGGCATTGTGAGAGCTCAGAGATTGAGCTGTAAGTGCGCTAGAAGGCACTCGAGCTGCAACTGCATAAGAGAATGAACTGAACTGTCTGCAGTGCCTCTCGCCGAAGGCAGATTAACATTTGTCGTACCGCCACCTGCAAGTGTATTACCTGTAACTGCGGCAGACTTGGATGATCCTCGTGAGCAACGTAGAAGTTCATAAGATTTCGTGATTGTCGTTTAGACACAACACATGCAAGCCCAACGCAATGGCACCGCTCCCTCCCCTACGAGAGATCATGAGGCGCTTGTCCCGATGACAGACATCCACTCTTTCCTCTCTTTCTCGGAGCTTGCTTGGAGAATGTAAGAGTTGGTGGATGTGAATACCGTGAATGCCCAGCGCCGCTACGTATGAAAAGTCAGCGTCATCTTCCAAGAGTCCAGTGGTGACTCACCTCGAGTAGCATCTCAACTTCAGGGCTCGTCGTGACATGACATCCGGTCAGATTGATCACCTGAAGCTCCCTCTGACCGGCGCTTTGGTGAACATGGAGGTATGGCCTGGGAGAGATGAGCCAAGGTCATGTCGTGAGTATTTCCACTCACCGTCTCAGTACAAAGTGCAGTTTCTCCCAACGATCCGATGTGGAGTCTCGAAGGAGCAGTAACGGCCCATACTTGATCACATTATCGCTACCCGCTCATGTTAACAGTGCACCAGAGGATAGCAAGTCGCGCTTACATATTTGGTTCAAGTTTGACGGTCGGCACCGGCTTCGTCTCGAGGTCGGGGAGAAGTTTTCGAAGCTTGCGAGCCACGGCCTCTTCCTCCGATCCCTGTCTCGTGATATCGACCTGCCTCTATTTAGCTTTATTCCAAGCAAGATTGGAAGGCTCACCTTTACTCTCTCACTCATGGCCTTATTCCACAACATCAAAGACCGCTCAAGCAGCTCGGTGTTGCCACCATGTCCCTTGCCACCATCCATCTCTTCTCCATGCATCTCCAGCACCACCTTGGTGATTGCAACCTCTCCGAGCCCGTTCTGCGCTTTCCTCATCTTTCGCCAGTCGTCCAAAAGATCTAAACTCCGCGGTTTCCATCTGCCGAGTGATTCTTCACCCTTCACATGCTTTTCGCTCGTGTCCAACCTCCACAGCTCATTTGCGCTTCTAGCCAGAGGCGGGGCGCACTCAACCGAGTAGACTCGGGTGATGCTTTCAAACGCCCTGGCAGCAGAGAAGAAGGTCATGATGGAGGATCTTCTGGCGTCGCGACCGAGAATGCGAATTGGTAGATCGAGGTGGAAGACGGCTGGTTCAGACAGTGTGGATACGTCGAGCAGCCAAGTGAACTTGATCACAAGATGCTGATCAGAGGGTGTACGTTTATCCAAATGGCGACAAGCAAGCGAGGCAGTGTCGAAAACCCCTTCAGCTTCGAGCGTAGATGTGCCGTCAGTATGGTACTCTACGGTCTCATCGGAAACCTTGACGTCCACCTGGGATTTGCCAACGCTTGCAGCGCCAGTCTTTGTCATGAGACGTACGTCGCCAATGCTGGCATGTTCCAGCTTGGTCCAAGGGAACGACTTGCCTGAAGCATGGTTCAGACGTAGCTGTAAGCGTCGTTGCAGCCCTTGGTGGAGCTGGAAAGTATCGTCAAACACCTCGGCAGAAGTATAATCTCCGTTGGCAGACAGCTCAAGGATAGAAACGGTAGCCAAGACATCATGCCTCTCAGGGACAACAAAGTCGGTCTCGCATCGGCGCATAGCCGGTTTGGTTACTCCATTCTGGGTCGGTGTTTCAAGATGAGACCCAGGGGCTGTGCCATGGTTGATATCCCAACGCTCCAATCTCTCCAAATATCCATGTTTTGCTTTAGCAAAGAAGCCAATGGTGGCATACTCCTCTCGCAAAAACCGTAGTATGTCAAGTGTGACCATGACGGATACCGTTTTTTTCAAAACCAGATGGGTTCCGGATGCTTTGTCCAGGTCGACCGCCTGAGAAGCAAACGTGTCTTCAGAGGCGATAGAAGGGCCAACGAGTGACGATAACCGGGTCTGAGCGTGGATACTGGCATAGTCGGTGGAAGACAACCCTTTGACTGTGTCAACAATGAGCGTAAAGGTGAATTTGGATCCCACAGAGAGCAGGTTGTCGGAGATGTGGCTGAAGGGATCAGGAGTGTCGATACCAGAAGTGGAGGAAGAGTCGGGGTTTCCGCATCTGAAAGCCACTCGGCAGGAACCTATAGCCTCCATGGTATATTGACACATGATTGGCACAGTCACAGAGTATGACAACTGGCTAGCTATGAGCCGAAGTGGGACCTTGGCTACGCCCACGAAAGAGAAGGATGGGGGCGGAGTATCGGTGAAAAGACCGTCGATCTGAAAGTGCTCTGAATAGTTGGGTTTCTGCTTTAGAGCAGAGACTTGTCTCATCCTGACGAGCTGCTGTTTGAATTTGGGCAAGTCCCATGTATACGCAGCTGCCAGATATCAGCAAACAAAACCAAGTCGCGACAAGAGACCACACGCACCCTTCGCTTCCCAGTCTATCACTTTCACGGCGACCACTGGTCCGTTCTTGTAGTGCGTGACCGAGTTCGACACATCATCAAACTCTACCAGGGCGTTTGAATCATCTAGCGAAGAAGCTGGGGATGCCAAGCTACCATCAACAACCAAGAAGTTGTAGGTGACTTGTTTACCCATTTGCTTTCTGCGCTCGCGTCAGCACCTTGAACACCAATGCTGATGATACGCACGCAATGACATTGGCCTCTCTCAGATCCACCGCGCCTGTCAAAATTTCTTCGGCCATCCGGTACCCTCTCAGCTTTTCCCATCGCTCTAGCACCCGTCGGACTTTGCGAAGCTCCTCTACCCCCCAGCTTTCTGGCTCCATGTCCACAGTTTCCAGGGCTCTAGCCCTGGCCGCTTCTGACCTGACCCTTTTCACCTCTTGCGCCATCAATTTGAGTTGTCTGGTCAAGTGGTCCTGGTGCAATTTGACATCAGCAGATTTTTGGTCCTGGTAGCCGGGTGCCGGAGAAGCTGGGGTGCTGAGGCCGAAGGGCTGCTCTGTTGAAGCCTCGGAGCACTCGTCATAAATGTGAACATCCACTTCCTGGCCCACGGGCGTCCCCAGACTGTTAGAGGTAACAGTCAACGAATGACCAGGGGCAGCCCATGGGTTGCTCGACGGATCGGCAGATCGATCAATATCGAAATCGCCAAAATCGGCACGGCTTTCAGGTCGTTTTCGTTGCGTTCTGACTTTGAGCTTGGTGTGTGACATGAGCGCCTCATCTTAGCGCCCTCGATCACTGCACTTACAATATCATCGTATAGTTTGTCTAGATCCTGGTCTCCAAGCTTCTCGATATCTGCCACCTCTCTTCTTGCCGCCGACCAGTCCATCAACTCAACATCAGCCTTTACACTCGGCGAATCAGGCCGTGCCCCAGGGGTGTTTGACAGGCCGTCAACGCTGGCGGATTGTCTGAGTTTCTGCCTCTCGGCTCTGACTGCTTGTGGATCGTTGAACCGAAACACATGGGAGTCACCCAGAATGACGCGAAAGGCATTGAGCAGCCTGACTCGGGCTTTAGGAGGGACGCGTTTGCCATTCACAAAAGTCCTGGCGTCGGGCATAGCTTCAATGGTCACCACGCCGTCCTCATTAACGAATATGCAGTGTTCAGGTAGGATATGAGTTCCGGAGAGCTTGATGTGAGCCTTGTCATCGTCCACGGCTCCAGCCACCGTTTTTCCCGGTTTTATCTGGTAGATGAGGCACTCCGACATGAGAGGGTCCTCATTCAGGTTGACCAAGCTGGGATTGCGTTGAGGTGCGTGGACACCGACCATCTGAAAGCGGGATATGAGCCGGCTATCCCTCCTTTGGTAAGAATGTCACTCACATTCTTGTCAATACTGATGCCCATCTCCTCTAGCGCCTTCTCTCGTTCGACGTGAATTGCTTGTGTCTTTGAGAGCTTTTGCTCCCAAGTCAAGTTGAGACTCTCCATGATTTTCTCTGAAGCTTCTAGCTGGTCTTGCAGTTCAAGCTTTGTGACCTTGCGGACCTCTCCTTCTTTGGTCCTGTAGGTCACGATTTGTTTCTCCGGAGGGATGCTAGGGTCATAAGCGGCCTCGTCTGAAGCAACACCTCCACCTGTAGAGACTCGGCTTCGGAGGACTATTGGAATATGAGCAATGGCCGTATCATGAATAACCTAAGCGTACGTTCAAGTTCTTCTTTCAGCTCACTGCGCGCAAGTTGTATCAGCTGCCGTACGACGTGTACAAATGCCAAGGGCAACATACCGGATGACCTTCGCATTAGGGTCCTCATTGACAATCGCATGAGTTTTGATCTTCTTGGCAGCATCTGCATAGCGCAAAGTACTACGGTTGTTCAGCAACAAGAAAGACATATATGGTCCACGATGCACTCACCTCAGGGTCTCTTCATCTACATGGGACATACAAGGTCAGCAAGGATACGCTTGGGCGGAATTGATGATGAGAATAACACATACAGTCTGCTGGTCTGTGATGGCATGTCAGCGCCAGCCTAACATGATTCGTCCCATCTACTTACGAGATGGCAGCAATCATTGCCGTTTTACTATTACCGCCCAGACTCTCCTTCAACAGCCAAGTCAAAACCGAGTCTCGATATGGAACATGATCCTCCTTCTTTCTTTTCCCTCCAGTACTTCCAGCGGCCAAGGCTGCAATGACCTTCCCGAGTGTCGTGAGAGATTTATTGATGTTGGCCCCCTCTTTCAGCCGAGTTCCCTAGAGCACGTCATGAGAATAAGATCTCGGTCCCGAGAAGGGACTCACGGTGGCGCCAGTTGAGCCTTGACGCTCACTACCAGCCAAATCGACCAGTGATATCTTGGATACCTTTTCACCAGTCATCTTTGTTTGGGCGTCGAGACGTTTCTGTGTTAGCTGCGAAAATCAATGAGTGGATGTGGCGCTAATTGTTCAACGAAAATCGTCTCACGATGAGAGTGAATACGGCGTGCGACCGTGATGAAGTCTCGTTCATGTTGGTCGAAGCTACTGTACGGGCCTACATGGCAATGAGCACTTTCGTGTGATAACAGACTAAGCTTACCTTGTTGCCTTCATCCATAAGTGTCATCATCTGCCCAAAGTTCTCTACCACCAAACGACTTAGATCTTCCACATATGGCCCTAGAGCCGGATGTTCTCGCACTCGCAGGTTGCCCTTATTCTTGGGATTCAGAAGATCACGGACCCTTCAAGGATGGTCAGCGCTGCAGCCATTGTTATCTAATATGACTCACTTTTCATTGTATATTTCAATATATGACACCTCAACAGTATAGGAGAGATTCGAGTCGTTGGCTGTTCGTTCGTCGACTCTCCGGAACAGTTCTGATGTTGTCAAGGGGATGATACCCTTTTCAGGACCATCTAGCAGAGGGCATCAGATTGTGTGCGGAGGAAGGTGGTTTTCGATGAATGAATGGGTCCATGACTTACATCCCATCATGGAGTCTACATACAGAGCGTCAGCTGGGATATCAGACGATAAATGACCGCTTCACTTACAACTCTTTCCACTGGTCCCGACGAGCCGTGTCAGTTCAATGATCCCTATCCTCCCGATGTCCTCACCTTCCTGTTTGCCCGTCTGATGAAGGCTTAGCGTCGCATCTATGCTAGTAAGATTGTGTAGACTTACAAGCGAAGATGCATGTATTGAACCCTTCAAAACTATGGTCCAGCAAATCCGCACCCAAATCCTCGTAAAGTGTTTGTTGCGATGCGTAGTGTGGATCCGTTTTTGGGCCTGCTGACCAGTACGATTTGTCTATGAGATTGTCAGCCACAGTCACAAAACATTTCGCCCATGGGTGCCCACCAAAGGAAAAGGTCATCGGCTTCTTCCCAATTGCTCTGGCAGATACCGCGGCGACATCGGGGGGTTGGATAATGGTTTGATTGCCTTCCATGGTAATCAGCTCTTTGGCCCCTCTTGCGATTTCTACAGTTGGTATCGTTCGTCAGTCAGATCAGGGGTTGCACTGTGAGACATTACCTCGACTATTGAGAGGTCGGCATCTGTAACCTCTGTCAGCTGTCTGCGTTCGATGGAAGAGTGGCTCGACAGACCTGACAACAACCTTGATATTACCACCCGACATCTTGGGAGAGAACTACAAGGGCCTGTCTATGGCAGATGAAATATATCAAATGAAGTGTTGTAGTGATGAGGCTGTGATGTCGGACACCCGAATTGCTGGCGAGTGCGTCGTATGTCGGGGCCGAGGGTATTGCAGGCAATGGTGGGTATATGGGGCAGTTGACTGTGGGGGTGTCTAGAGGCAACACGAGAACAACAGCGGGATGAAAGTCAATACAGGCAGACAGCAGTGGCCCGAGCGCGCAGACAGCTTGACGCGTGTGCTTGCCAGGAGAGGTGGAGGTCCGCACCCAGGCCGGCTTGCGGGAGGGGGGAGGCATTTTCATCCATGCTTCAGCTCTCATTCGTGCTGCACACTGTCAAGATGACAGGCTACCATGGTAGCACAGCGAGCATGACTTCTCAAGAGCAGGTTCGATGCAACGCGGAAGAGCTACCGGCACCAACTTGTAGCGGACGAAGATCCGCGGTGACCACGCAGATCAGACTGACCACCATGCTCTATAGGATTCTTTTGAGGCTCAACGTGTACGATATATTTTCTCTACTCAGCCTGGAAAGAGTTGTGAACGGACAGCAGACTCTGGACCCCGACTTGCGTCGATTTGCCCTGGACTCTGGAGCGACTAATAACTCGCAGAACATGATGTAATCGCGCGGCCCCATGAACGCCAACAGTTGATTGGCCTCGAATGACGTTCATACACAGCAGGCCCACAGGGTAAGGACATGCGGTGGAGTGATGGAGAAAATGGAAAGGAGGCGTATAAAAGGCTGCAGCAGATGCACATACGCACTCCGTTGAGCGACCGTCAACACGACCAACAATCAACAGTCAATCATGTCTGAGAAAGAACAGCAACAACAGGAGCAGCCTCAGCAGGAAGAAGAGAAGACTCCGCAAGAGCAAAAGGCTCAGAAGGAAGAAGGAGAGCAGAATGATAAGCCTCAGCGAGAGGACCAGCCTCAGAAGGAAGAAGAAGGGGAACAGTCTGAAAGCGCTGAAGAGGCGACACCTCAACCTCAGCAGCAGCAGCAGCAGCAGCAGGTTCAGAGCCATGACCAGTGAGTGACGTTCTGTCGTACGCCCCAAATCGTCCATTGATATTCTGCAGAAACTCGTTCAATCTGCCCCCACCCCCCGGCCCTCAGACCCACCCCAAAAACCCTCCTCGTTCAGAGACCGCTCGAGACCAGCAGCTGGGACCACTGCGCTCTCATCGCCAGCCTCTACCCAACGAGATGGCCGAGCTTACAAAGGACGAGCAGCCTGGCGGCAGAAACGATGAAGAGGAGCACTCGTTGAAGATCAACATTTCTCTCGATCTTCTGGTCGAGGTGCATCTGACCGCCAGAGTCAAGGGCGATGTGACGATTGGGCTGTTGTGATCAAGCCACCATACGACTGCGTGTCATAGGTCGGTAAGATAGGCGGAAGTATCAAACCGTTGGAGTGTGTATAGATGTGTATAGAAAATATAGATAACGATGTATCCAGATAACAACGCCCGAACTCGAATCACCGCCCATTCCACTTGTTGAAGCAGAGATTGCTGAGGTCCACCAATGCCAACGTCTGTACATGCAGATTTATATCGTCAGAGTGACACTACAGTCTACATAAACCCCAGTTTGGTTTTGATGAACGACGCTACTCGAGCGATCTCACTTGCGCTCAGCGATGGCCGTGTCAACAGCAGCGCGCAATTCCGAGATGGTTTGCTTGGGGTCTTTGGAGCCAAAGACGGCAGTACCAGCGACAAGAACGTTGGATCCTGCGTGATTCTGTTAGCGGCCGCGTCATGCAATACACCTCTCTTCGAATCTTGAGGGATGAGACCCACCGGCCTTGGCGCATTGACAAGCATTTCCGCTCCCGACACCGCCATCGACTTGGATGTTCTTGCCCGGGAACCTCGCTCTCAGCTCTGTCACTTTCTCCAGACATTCAGGCATGAACTTTTGTCCACCCTGTCCGGGTCGGACAGTCATGACGAGCAAAAGGTCAGCCTTGGAGCCGAGAGAGTCGGTGATGGCGGATGACGGGGTATGGGGGGAGATGGCGAGACCAGCGAGCATCTTGTGTTCGTGGATGAGGTCAATGACCTTTTCAGTCTCAGCTGTAACCGACATCAGTGCGTTTCTCATATTGAAATACGCGCAGCAAGCGTACTGGGTTCAGCCTCATAGTGGAAGGTATACAGTTTGCCGCCAGCCTTGGCAATCTCAGGTACCCACTGGGCAGGGTTAGAGACCATCATGTGACAGTCCATGAAAATGTCGGGTACGTTCTTGTATACGTGTTCGAGGATGGGAGCGCCCATGGTAATGTTGGGGACAAAGTGGCCGTCCATGACATCTACGTCGCCATCAGTATATTGCTCATTGATACTCCCTTAGTCTCAACATACCCATGTGAAGCCAATCACAGCCGTTAGACATCATCCGGCGGCACTCATTGGTGAGGTTGGACAAGTCGCTCTATATGAAAGCCGTCAATGCCAATGTGACCGGTGATTCTTGGGCGACTCACAGCGAGAACAGAGGGGGAGATGATGGCCTGGCTCATGGTGTTTATCAGTCAGAATTTTTTTCTCTTGAAAAGGAAAAGAACAAGGATTTGGGCACCGTCAATCCGTCATCCCACCACCATCGCTTCTCGCCGAAGGAGGCTCGCCTCTGCGTACGTAATCAGTGGCGTTGTTGCCACAACGTCGCTCGTCGATAATCATAATCGAGTCTTATTTCAATTCTTCTTTCTGATTTTCTTAGACAAAATGGCGCCCCTTTCAGTGGAAGATATCCTAGCAAAGCAGAGAAAGGAGTCCGAGGCGGCTGCAAAGGTTCGTAACTCTCAGCACCTTCGAACTCGCGCTGATCCATCGCAACAGCCCAAGTTCCTCAGTAAAGCGGAGCGACAGCGTCTTGCCCTCGAAAAGCGTCGAAACGAAGTCAAAGATCAACAAGATCGCGACGAGGCTGAACGGCTCCAGCGTGAAGAATTTGATCGAGCTGCCGAAGCGGAAAGAAAGAGACATGAACAGGAGAGGTATGGAGGATACCCGGGGCACGGGGCTGGAGCAAGTGGCGGCAGGTTCGGCGTCAATGGTCATGGACGAGACGGTCGTGAGGGATACGGAAGAGACAGAAGGGACGGAGTAAGAGGGTACATCGACAGAAGGGACGCCCCATCGAACGACGGAAGGGGACCAGGGAACAATATCCCATCTGGACCTCGAGGTGCGCCCCCCCCGGGCGGTCCACGGAACATGGCGGTCTCTGGAGGTCTGCCGTACATCGAGAATGCACCCAGCACTCCCTCTCATGCCTCCCCTCGTCCTGTCAATGGTGCGGTTGCCCCTGCAGGCACTGCCTCCCCATCCGCCCCCGGCGATGCTGCCGGTCCCTCGGAAGCCGAGTTATCAGCCCTTCGCGCTCGATATCTCGGTCAGAAGAACGGTGGAAAGAAGCCTAGACTAAGGAAGGCCACCGACAAGAAGATAATATTCGACTGGAACGAAGGGGACGATACGACAGCTTTGGATCAGAGTACTTGGAAGCAGGAAGTGCAGGAGTTGGTCCCGGGTGGTACCATGTTTGGTGGGAAACTGGCTGGCCTGGATGGCAAAAAAGGTGATATCCGTGCAGACAAGTATGTCCTCTCTACTCGTCGCTTCTTTGCTGACCGTGTCTGTAGCCATGCCGACGCCCTTGAACGCAGAAGAGCCGGTAAGGGTAATGCGGACGACCGACACTGGTCGGAGAAGCCTCTGGATGAGATGAAAGAGCGGGATTGGCGAATCTTTCGAGAAGACTTTGAGATTTCTGCTCGAGGAGGGTCTATCCCACATCCCATCAGGGGCTGGGCAGAGTCGAGTATTCCCCGTTCAATACTCGATACCATATCAGAGATTGGCTACACAGAGCCGAGCCCAATTCAAAAGCAAGCCATTCCTATCGGGATGCAGAACCGAGATCTGATTGGTATTGCCAAGACTGGTATGTCCTTTTCTCGAAAATCGTGATTCGTTACTGACGGTTTGGTATAGGTTCCGGTAAGACAGCCGCCTTCGTTATCCCCATGCTCGACTACATCGGTCACCTCGGCCCTCTCACCGACGAAATCCGTCACCTCGGTCCTTACGCCTTGATCATGGCGCCCACACGAGAGCTGGCTCAGCAAATCGAAACTGAAGCCAAAAAGTTTTGCGCTCCCCTTGGCTATACCTGTGTCTCTATCGTTGGTGGACGTTCAGTGGACGAGCAGCAATTCGCTTTGCGTAATGGCGCCGAAATTATCATTGCTACGCCCGGTCGTCTCAAGGACATGATTGACAAGAGCATGATTGTCATGAGCCAATGCCGTTATGTCGTTATGGATGAAGCCGACCGTATGGTCGACCTCGGTTTTGAGGCAGACCTCAACTTCATCTTGGATTCTATGCCTTCGACGTTTGTGAAGCCTGACGATGCGGCGCTCAACGGGCGCCAGCAAGGAGAGTGGCAAGGCTGGCGAGTGACCACCCTCTTCTCCGCCACCATGCCCCCTGCCGTCGAACGTCTATCGCGCAAGTACCTGATCAAGCCCGCTGTGGTCACCATCGGTACTGCTGGTGAAGCGGTGGACACTGTTGAGCAGCGCGTCGAGTTTGTCCACGGCGACGAAAAGAAGAAGGGCCGTCTAATCGAGATTCTGCGTACCATTGGCTTGCCTCCGCCTATGATTGTCTTTGTGAATCAAAAGAAGACGGCAGACATGGTTGTCAAATACGTACAACAAGCTGGTTTCTCCGGTACCACCCTCCACTCTGGAAAGTCCCAAGAGCAACGTGAAGCCGCTCTTCAATCTTTGCGCGACGGCACCGTCTCTGTCCTCGTCGCTACCGACCTTGCTGGACGTGGTATCGATGTCCCTGACGTCTCTCTGGTAATTAACTGGCAGATGACTGATGTCATTGAAAAGTATGTCCACCGAATTGGTCGTACTGGTCGTGCGGGCAAGACGGGTGTGGCCATAACGTTCTTGACGAATGATGATGATGAGGTGATGTACGATCTGAGAGTGGAGGTGGAGAAGAGTAAGATGAGCAAAATGAACCCGGAGCTTGCGAGGCATGATGCGGCGCGGACGAAGGTGACAAGAGAGATGAAAGTACGTGCCTAATACTGTGCGGTCATTGAAGATGATGCTGACTGTATCTGCAGAGGAAGAGAGGAGACGATGAGGAATAAGGTAATCTCCAGTGCTCCCAAGGATCCCACGACGCATTGATGTTGAAAGTCCAATCATGCATGGTAGAGCATTATCACGGTGAAAAAGATATTGCAGCACCCCAAAACCTACCAATGAGCCCAAAAAGATGTATCGCGCACTATCATAAATTGTATAGAAGAGATAGGAAGCCCAAAGAAAAAAATGGCGCTTGCTTGACTTCCGCGTATGATATGAAATGATAGTATGGAGCAAGAGTGACCACCAAAAGATCGTCTTCAGCCTCCCCGTTGCCTTCTTTGTGGTTCTATGCCAGCTATACTCTGCCTGCCAGTCTATCCTCGATGAGATCTGCAACGACCTTGCCCACTACGGTAATGCCAGTCCCCTGGAATCCTTCGGGATAGTCAACCTCGGGTAGGGCAGGAGATGTGAACGAGATGTCGTGTTGAATGCCAAAGTGGCGTATACCAAGGGCGTGGGCTGTCCATTGGTCTATACAAATGTCAGCCGGGGTCGAAAGAATAGTAGTAGGGAGAGGCTTACAGTCCCTGGCGAACCCTCCTTGAATGAACATCTCAATCACGGCGCTTCTGGGCGTCGCCGGCATCCATAGGAGATGGGTCAGGCCGTTGCCGTGTACTCCGAGCATGATCTACCACATCCATCAGCTACACTGGAAGGTGCACGAGCATATGTGACTTACAGTAGTTCTCCCAGCAAGTGCAAATTGCTCCTCTTTGGTCATCTTTTCCGCCTCCACAATTACCAACTCCCATCCCAACCTCTCCGCCCTTTCTTCCAACGCCTGGACCAGACCCGCGTGACTCTCTGCTGTCAACCTCCTTCGAGAGTTTTGTCTCGAAATGTAGGTGATAACAGGAGCATAATCACCGGGAGGGGCAAGGGGCTCGATAGGCTCAATTGTGGGATCGTTCAAGGTGACAGGATCGACAGCCCCGTACCCCTCCAGATTCCTCGAGATGATCGACTGTGGTACGCCGGCATACCTCAAGACGGTCCTTCTCACCGGCTCCCACCACCACCGACTCGCTTCCCCCACCTGCAAAGCCCCGGCTACTGTCCTTGCCGTAGGTCCGGTGAAAGGGCCACGGAAAGCAGCAGATCTGTCGGCGAGAATGGCACGGTCTAGGACGAAGGCCTTGGGTTTGGAGGAGACGGATTGCTTGGCGAGGTCGGCGAAGTCCGAGGGATACAAAAGGGAGGTTTGGGGGAAAAGGTTGAACATCAAGAGGGGATTGAAACGAGGGTTGTCTCTCCTTCGAGTTTGTCAGCTGAGATTACTTGAGAATGAACGCTGAGACTCACCATTCGTCCACTGATTGGTGAAGGAACCACATGCGTTTGGGCGCAAGGAGTGACGTCTCACCGGCCGGGCTGATATCTTGGTCATACGAGGTATAAGTTCTCCAAATACCCAGAAGCAGCTCGGCAGCAAAGTGATAGTAATGATCAATGACTGCTTCTATCAGCTTTCCTCAAATTTGAGATAGTAGGAGGACTCACATTGCCCATCATTGAAAAGGAACGTGGTTCCATCCATTCTATACACTCTTGGCCCCCAGAGCTTGGCAGCATCCATTGGAGATATGTAGATGATCTGAATGGTAGACTTAGTGCCCTATACCGAAAAGAAGGCGTAGAACATACTTCATCTCCCTTGGGCTCCCGCGCTTCACTATTGCCAGGTTCGTTGTTGGCTGGAAGACCGGTCGAAGTCATCAACCTCAGTTCGGGAAACTTTTCCTTATCCTCCCTAACGAGCGGCTATCGTCAACGAATAGCTTGTCTAGAGTCGCTTCCATACTCACGTGATGACATAGAAGCTCCCGTTGTAGATGTACAACTTTTCGAACATTGTCCATCCGGGAGAATGGCCTTTGAGTACAGTCGCCATGGATTCAAACTCGTCATCCTCTTCCTCTTCTTCACCGCCATCCCAAGAGTTACCTTTTCCAAATTCTACATCGGCAGACCCCACACCGACCGCCTTTACAGAGTCGGTGAAGAGCACTTCTCCGCTGCGGTCGTGCGACCGTGATGTGCCAGTGGATGACGGGAAAAAGTTGCTCCATCCTGGGATCCTATATCTGTTCCCACCTGAAGCGCTCAGCGCAACGGGGTCCGATGATGGGGGCGAGGAAAAGAGGAGGTAGGAAAATGACAGTGTCAAAAGACACAGGAGCACGTCGCGGCGTGTCGGTTTCATCGATGGAGACCCTCGAGGAGTGCTGGGAGATTCGCGAGGTACAAAGACTGACGAGAGGAAAGAGGGTCTTTCCACATGAGGCGAACGCGGGGGTGAGCCTAGTTGGAGGAAGGCGGGCAGGACGGAGACGGTGGGCATGGTAAATATATAGCCTGGTGGCCTGTTAAAAAGCCCGTTGGAGCCAAGAAAGTAGAAGAGGTTCCGGCACTGTGCCGATTATTGTTGTTGCGCGGCGGTGGCAGGGAAGGATGTGTGCAGATCCCTTGAGCTGTTTGTGTCGAGCGGCCTAGATGGGAGAACGTTAAGAATGGCCAGGGCGGGGATGTCTCCACTGGAGGTTACATAGACGCGACCAACCAGGGGTCGGTACCTGAGTGACTCTCTTTTCGGAAGTCGGTCACAATTATTATGGATGAGTGCAAAAATGCCAAGAGGGGGAATGCATGCTGTCTTTGCAGACATATATATTCTCGTCAGCAGCTACCGTCACCGGCCCCGTCCCTGTGGCAGGCATGTGCGCACCACGCTGTGTATCTCTGTCCGTGCGCTTTAACCTCTGCCCTGCAAGGCACACCGTTCCTGAGATGATCATTCATTTTCCGACGCGTCAATCAACGCCCGCAAAGTCCGCAAGCATCTGCTTCCGGTTCGCATTCGGGAGCAATGTCTGTATACATGCATAGCCGCCGTCCTTCATCACCAGCCAACCTGTACAACCTTGCGCCCGACTCCCTGGGACCAGTGCTTGACTGTCGAAGTCTGCGCGCCATCCTTCTCGACCGTCTCAACGAACGTCTGAAGATCGCCCCCGACGCCAAAGTAGAGCACCTGCCATGTCTTGTCAGCTTGAAATGCTTGTAGTTGACACAAGCACTGACCTTTGCGGCGACCAGAGCGTGACCCCTTGTGATTTCGGCTAGAGGTGCGGTAGCCCATGCCTCCTGGACGCTTAGGCTACCCAGACCGCTCTCGAGCTGCACCTGCTTGTGTCCAGCATTCCCTGCTTGCTTTCCAATAGCTTCTCTCAACACTCCAATGAGGGCTGGGGTGCTCTCGGGCGAGTAGATAGTCTCCGCCGTCAAGACCAAACCATACTTTTCATCCTGCTGCTCGAGCTCCTTACTCAACCCCTCCCAGTGCCCATGGCTGAATTTCACATCTATCCCACGTTCTTCGAGAAGACTTTTGAAGGCAGCAATCAAGTCTTCGTTGAGGCTGAGATTTCCGGGAAGCTCCATATCGGGGACAACAGTCTCGATGGGTTCGTCGCCTTCTTGAGGCAGGCGCAGGACGTCAGGTGGGAGGTAAGGAAGGGCAGCAAGGATGAGGTTGGGAAGGGTGACCAGAGAAAGAACCAAGGAGTTGTAATCTTGGAGATGGAAAACAGTCCGCGTCGGCGTCTCTGAGGGCGGTAAGGAGAGGAGCGAGCGAAGCAAGAATGCTGTCGGGAGAGCAGTGCCACAGCCAACCTAGGGTCAGAGTCAGTCAAAGTCCTGGTGTTTTCAGTCCGACTGACCTCTAGCACTTTTCCACCCCGTGCCCATTCTCCCACTTTCTGATCTCTTTCTTCTTTGACAGGGCTGAGTGATTCGGCAATAGTCTCGACAAGGTCGACGCCCCCTTCCCACGTCTTAAGACCTCCCTCATAGAAACCAGGAATAAGATCGGTCTGGGCATCAACATAGTCCTCTTCCTCTTCCCCTTCGGGCGTTGCGTCCTCTTTCTCTTCAGATCGTTCAGAGTCCTTGGTTAAGAGCTGAAATCTGGCATCGAAGAGGTCTCGTCGAAGCAAAGAGGTGGTCAAGACCCGGAGGTTCAAAGGCGAGTAGGAGATAGCTTCGGGAAGGGTCGCAATCTGCCAGGTCATTGATTATCGCCATCGTGGATATGGATGCGGTCATACACACCAGTTCATCGAGGGTGCTGCTGTCAGATCTAGTGTCCTGAGGTTTAGACGACTTTGAGGGGGCAATTGAAGGCTTGGGCTGGACAGATGGTATGATGGGAGCTTGGTCGTCCTCTTCTTCCTGCAAAGCCAATGTCAACCCGGCCTGCGAGCAACTCAATTGACTTACTATTTGGAAGTCAAACTTGAACATGGCGCCGGTGGAACGATGCTGGTATAGCGTATACAGAATGCAAAAGGCTGATGCAGAAGGTGGAGGCCAAAAATCCAGGCCCGGAGCATGCGTGGAGTGCGGCCGTCGCCGCCAGGTGTAGGGTAGCTTGAAAGACGGCCGCGGTTGTGCTAGTATTATTGTTCTGCGTCATCCGTCCTGCAATTCGCATCTCTTTTCTCATCCGCATCTCTCCCTCGACTCCCACACACCACCCAATGGGGGCCGTCTGCCAACCGCCCAGGCATCTCCTAGTCTTCGCAACGACCAGCAATGGACTATAACCCCGAGGCAGGTCCCTCCCGACCGCGTCCGCTCGAAGCAACCCCGCCCTCGACACCCACCGCTTCTGTCAAGGCCAAGCGCAGATCTTGGTTTGGGATCGCGTCGCCTGTAACTCCTCTAGGCAAGGACAAGGGCAGAGACAAGAGGCGCGAGAGTGTCGCTAGTACCGAGGAACTCGAGCTCAGCCCGGTCGTGACCTCCAGGCAAGACGAGTCCTTCGATGAAGAAGGACTCCCCAACCAACGTCACGGACAGGATGAGCTTCTGACGATAGAGGGCGAGCTTGAGCAGACGGCTAAAAAGAAGAAACGGAGATCTGGAGGTGTTGAAGAGCTACAAACTATGAGAATGGAGGACTTCAGCTCAAAGAATTCGTCGAGAAACGTCTCGGACAAGACTGTTGTACCGAGCGATGTGGACCATGCTGTGAGCGTTTTCCGAACGATATTCGCCAGCCTTGCTGAGGTCGCATGTAGCCACACCCCTTCGTGTCAAGAGCGTCCTTGCGGGCGGCGAGCGACAGAGACCCTTTCTCGCTGACCGAAACGCCATATCATCCACATCATCATTCTGAAGCCCCTCATATGCTTTCTTCATCTGGAGAGGATGCCCCTTCCTCCTTGATGATCAGACCCACACCCCGTTCTTCTTCCCTACGCTCCACGCCGTCTCCGAACGTTCCATTAAACATCGTTGGCAAATTACAGCCTCCTCTCCCCGTAAATATAGATCGGCCACTACCTCCCCTACCTCCACCCGTCTCCACACAGGCATCAGAGGCGCCTCAGGGTCCTTCGAATATAGTGATTACCCCGAGCACACCTCGCAAGCTTACAAAGTCTTCCACTACAAAGCGGGCACAGGATGGCGAAAGGCGCAGTAGATCTGCTGGGCGTCCGAGGAGTCATTCCCGGAAAAGATCACAAAGCACAGACGCTCCTAGGAACATAGGCCTGGGTCTCCCTTCCGTGCTCTCTGGACGGTCTCGCTCGACATCCCGGGCCCGGCCATCCACGTCCCCAGGCTTGCAGAGTCCCCCGCCTCCTGTTCCCTCCAAACCCCAATCGGTATCATCACCCTTTCCTGTGTCACCCTTCCCTTCTCGCCCGGCTAGCCCGAGTCCAAGAATTGCATTCGTCGAGCCCACCATACCGACAGACGAAAGAATGCAGTCCAAAGAAGCTGAAGGAGAGAGAAGAGGGAGGGTTAAGAGAGCCAGGAGCCTGTCGGGGCTGTTCGGAAAGACGTCTCCTATGGTTCCAACTGCAAAAGTAAACGAATCCCCATCGGTTGACATTTCTTCCGAAGCCGAGGAAGGGAATGAGCACAGCGGGGCGGGGAGAGTAGGAGTGCTGGAGTGGCTAGGGGTCCGAAAGACGGTCAAGCGAAAGACTTCACAAATACAGCTCCAGGACAAGGAGACTGAAACACAACAAGCGTCGGTAGACGAAGAAAGGCATGTTCGTTCGCCACCGCAGGATATACCCCTACAAGCCCCACCACCAATACAAGCTTCTTCTTCTGAATCTCAACGGTCTACTCCTGGTAAATTGTCCAGCATCTTCAACCGGCGGACGACTGGCAGAAATAACGCAGACGAGACTGAGCCTTTATCTATAAACGTGGCTCGGTCAAACGCCAAGAAAGATGAACACCCTCCCCCTTCGTCTAGCCATTCCCAGTCGTCTTTTCAATTGCCCACGGGCAATCCTGTATCCCCCTTCGTTCCGGAGGGAGGCACAGCCTGGGTATCGAGCCCTGGTACCGATCATGAGGAGATCATTCACAGTCCTGGGGGTAGCACACACTGGGGCCCGGGGGTTCGCCCCTGGATGGACGTCACGGATCATCACGTCTCCTCCAGGAACTCCGTGGCCTCAGCCCTGGATACACTTCCCGAGCAAGAGCAGTTGCCCGCGCCACAGGAGATGTCGCAACCGAATAACTCTGGCCCCTTGAAAGCACTTGCAAAGTTCGGAGAAGGCAGGGCTAGATCGTGGTCAGACGCTCCTCTACCAGCACGTCGCCCCGAACAAACTCTCATTTCGTCCAGCATAACCTCCCGAGAGACCCCTACGACACCCGCGACGCCTGTCACACCGAACACCCCTCAAACCCCCTCTTCACCTGTGGGAGAGTTCAAAGTACCCATCAGGCCAAAGGTCGGCAGCCGACAAAATTCGGGCAATTCCGTCATACTCGGTCGAATGAAGAGCGTATTTTCAAAGTCCACTAGCAGAAGCAGGAGCAACTCTTTGCTGAGACAGAGGAGTGGTGATGTTGATGAGTTTGGAGGTCTGGTGAGCCAACGGATGAGGCCGTCTACTTCATCCTCATCCGTCGCTTCGTCTGTGCCGGGACGAAATACAGCGGTGACTTCCGATGAACCGCAGGCGGAGCCTCAGTACGAAGGGAAAATTTTGGCCGGGGCAGAAAGGCCATCAAGAACGTCCATGACGCCTTCTTTATCGTCAAATAATTCTTCTCACAGACAATCCATCCTTCTGGATCCCTCGCATGCCCATAAACCCCTACCTCACCGCAGTCGTGTGCGGGCTTCTACAGTCTCTCTGGCACCGACGTCGTACCATTTTACCCCTTCCTCGCCAGTGACATTTCCTACAGCAGCCACTCCTCCTAGACGGCAAGGTACAATACGACGTCTGTCCAATGGACTCTTCGGGGGATCTACTTCGCCTCAGCCTGCGTCACTCTTTCCTCTTCCTCCCAGATCCAGTGGCTCAACATCTTCGATCGGTACAGGCGTACCCGGGGATGAGTCTTCCTTTGGTACGAGCCCAAGGCCCAGTACAGGTAGTTTAACAACGAAACCAAAGGCTCTGAAAGAAGCGGCGATTGTGCATGATGAGGAGACACCGAGGCATTGGCTGAATCGAGTAATCGCGACTGTTGGGAGGGGCGAGATCTCCAATGTTCTGGCTGCAAGGTGCGTGTTGACAGGAACACATGGCAGATGTCTAACTGTCTCATAGCGGCGACGACTTTCACACTGATGCGTTGCGGATGTACATGGAAGATTTTGATTTCAGCCACAGCGGACTCGATGTTGCCCTCAGGAAGTTGTTGATGCAGATGTCTCTTCCGAAGGAGACGCAGCAGATCGACCGAGTGATGGAGGCCTTCGCCAAGCAGTACGAAGTTTGCGAGCCGGGGTTGTTTGGTGACAAAGGCAAGTATTAATGCTTGTCAACTAGAGGGCATGGTGCTGACTAGTCTGTAGACAACGCCTATGTTCTTGCGTTCTCCATGATGATGCTTCACACAGATGCCTTCAATAAGCACAACAAGAACAAGATGACGAAAGCCGACTACGTGCGAAATTCTCGCATGGAAGGTGTTCCTCCTTTCGTGCTCGAGACTTTCTTCGACAACATCACTTTCACCCCATTTGTCTTCATTGAGGACGATGCAGAGCTTGAATGTAAGCGATCTGGCGGTGCGGTCACTCCCTCGTCATTTGGTCCCTCCACCCCGAACTTCTCGACATTGCTCAATGCGTCGAATCCATCAAATAAATTGAAGGTGGATGTGTACGATCTCATCGTCCGCGACATGTTGGATTCTTTGAAGATCGACATGAGCAAAGAGGTCCCTGCCGAAAGCCCCTTCTCTTGTATGGGTACAAGGCCCTTCCTCGACCTCAATGCCCTGAGCCAGACGTTTGCTACCGCCCACAATCTCCTTATACCAGCACCGCAGCTGCAGAGAAAGGGTACTGGTAAAATGGCAACGCCAGGTAAAAAACAACCAGGCAGAGCTCATTCGGAAGGAGATATGTCGCTGAGAGTGACCAAAGTTGGCCTCATCTCGCGTAAAGGTATGTCAATTTTACGTGGTCAGGTGCATATGCTAAATTGTCTTCAGACGAGGGCAACGGTGAAAATAGCAAGAAGATTAATCGTAAATGGAAGTCGTGGAGCGTTGTTTTGACTCAGTCCCAACTGCTATTTTTCAAAGACCCGACATGGGCTTTGACTCTCCTCGAGGCACGTGCTAAAGATGGCCATCTGCTACTCCCTCGAATGGCAATGTTCAAGCCAGATGAAGTATTCCCCGTCAAAGATTGTATTGCCGTTTTCGATCAAGCCTACACTTCTGTATGTACTGCTCGATTATCTGTGAATGATACTGATTATACACTAGCAACCAAATACCTTCCGCTTTGTCATCTCGCATCATCAGCAGTACCTCATGCAGGCGGCCGACGAGTTTGAAATGAACGAATGGGTCACACTCATCAACTATGCCTCTGCCTTTAAAACAGCTGGCATCAAAATGCACGGAGCCACGATGAGGAAAGACCAAGCAGTTCTTGCAGGAGCTGCCGCTGCTGCGTCTCACAGGCGAGACCTCAGAGGCGGTGAAAGCCAATCCTCTCTGCACAATGGCATCGGGTCTTCCTCTGGGAGAAGGGCTGTATTCGGAGATCCCGGCATTCAATCGGGACTTCAGCCGATGAAGCCGTCTACAGGCGAGGTCAGGGGCGTAGATGTAGATGGCGCCAATGAAAGATTGCAAGAAGGCGAGCAGCTTGAAGAGGTCTTTGGTGTGGTCAAGGCAGAGCTGGCTGCGGGGCGCGGGGGCGCGGAGTCGAACCCTGCAAGCCGCAAGCAATCGCTCCAGCAACAAGCAGACAGTCCTTATTCCCATGTCTCGCGAGTGGCAGTCATCGAGGTGAGTGATGTCCCACGACATATCTGGCAAACGCTGATTTTCTCTATCAGAATCAGCTCCGTGTCCTGCGAGAAAAGGTCACGCCTGTCGAAAGTGCCATCCGATCCTCTCTCCTTCTGGCTCGCAACATCCAACTCCTTACCCCCTTTCAGAAATCCACTCGTGACCATCTAAGCTCCCTTGTGCCCTCGATAGCCAGACGAGTGCGTACAGAACGGATGACGCTTTCCAAGCTGCATCTCTGGATCAACGTGCTCCAATGGGAAGCAGAGAGGGAGGAGCGTGAGTGGAAGGAGGTGCGGCATGTCGCTCTCCAAGCTGCTGCACGTAGTCTGAGAGAAGATGGCGTGAGAGGTGTTGTTCATGATGTCGCCAGAGACGAAGGAGAAGGTAGGAGCGTACCTGTGCTCGAACTTCCTGAGGACAATGACGACGCGGATGATGGGGACCACTTCAGCACCAGTCCGGGAGAGCTTCCAATCATGTTCCGTCGTCCGTCAGACGACGACCGTGACCGTCGATGGCGGCCAACTTCACGCGACACGACGATCAGTATCACCACCACCAGCACGGCTCCAAATTCTCGACGCCAGACTGTATCCTCCGACAATCTGCTCAGCCCCATGGAGTCTGAGCGCAAGTCGAGTGATATCAACGAAAGCCCTGTATCTCGAACAGGGACTCTCGACGATGCAGATGTACTGGATCGGCCGAAAGTACCGAGGAGGAAGGACAGTTATGGAGACATGTCCAGTGGCCGAATGACGCCCATGTTTGTCATGGAAAGCCCAATGGACATTGGCGAAGAAGGTGCAGACCGAGAAGATGCATACTTCGGTCCCCATAACGGAGAGTCATTACGGGATGGCAGGAGTAACGTCGCGCATGTTGAGGAAGAGGGCGATATGGGAGAGGAAGCGGAAGATTGGCAGAAGACGAAGGCGGCTAAGCGCGTTTCTTTAGTGCGCCCGGGAGAAATGGGGGATTGGACCACCATGCGTCAAGTCAGTGCAGGAAGCAGGGTGGTTTAGACAAGGAGAGAGTCAACGAACGGCAATCGCAGTTGTATCATAATAGACACGAAATCTAAAATGGGCCTACAGGCTTGATAGGTTAGATCAGATCATTTCGATGCTTTTCTGCCTCCTTGTATTCGATCTTGGGACAGTGTAATCAACTGTTGTTCGACTTTTCACGTATCGATAGTAGCAATGCAAATGCTATTGTGAGCGATATTGCCTAGGCAGACTCCGGGCTCTTGACGGGTGGTGAATTGTCAACATAAAAAAGTCAAACGCGTCAAATCATGGCGGACTCGGTGGAGCTGCGGTGGCCGGAGGCCGACCGGAGGCTCACGCCAAAGCCGCTGCAGAGCCGATATACATCTCTCTTCCTTGCCTTCATTTGCTCATTCCCGTACGCCCAGCTGCAATACCAGCAGCTTGCACAGGCCATCACCTACATCACCTATACTATGACTGCGTCCCGTGCGAGACTTCTACGTCAGCTCTACCCTTACAAGCACCCATCCACCTCTGTCGACCATCTTGTAGTGGGTGGCGGGGTTGTCGGCCTGAGTGTGGCTGCGGCTCTAGTAAACCAGACTGGGAGGGACAGGACCACGTTCGTGGTTGAACGACATGGGCAGGTATGCAATCTATCAGAAGGGCTAGAGCCTGCAGCTGATATTGCGCATTCAGTTGGGCCAAGAAACGACGTGAGATCCGCAACGGAACAATGTCCTGTCATATAGCTGATGATGACAGAGCTCGAAACTCGGAAGTTATTCACTCTGGTATATAGTAAGATGATTGAAACCAACAAAATGAGTAGGATCTGACCTTGACATAGCTATCCAGTAGGGAGTTTGAAGTCGCGACTGTGTATCGCTGGGCGAGACCTGCTCTACAACAGATGCCAGCGCCTTCAGATTGGATACAAGAACACTGGGAAGGTGCGTGTCAGCTCACAGCCGGTGCAGCTCGCTTTCCTGACCTTCAATGGCGCCAAAGATTGTAGTCGCGACTGCAAAGGACCAGGTTCCTTATCTTCATAAGCTTCAAGCCCATTCGGCTCACTCATCGTTTCTTTCCGACCCATCCGATAATACGTCTTCGAGAATTTACGCGGAATTTCTCCCCGGTGATGAAGCTCGGAATCTTGAGCCTGATCTATCGTCCAAAGTGTGCGCAGCGCTTCACATACCTTCTACTGGTATCGTGGATTCGCAAGGCCTGGTCGATAGCTTGGAGTTGGAAGTGGAGGACCCTGACTACAACTCGTCTCCATCTGGAGAGCGACGAGGTGAGGGCGTGATAGTCAAAGGGACGAGAGTGGTGAGGATAGATAGGGAAGAGAAGGGCGAAGGGTGGGTGGTGCAGATGGAAACCGGCTGGGAAGATCTGGGAGAGGGTGAAAAGGGGGAGGTGGAAAGTGTGAGGGCTGGGGTCGTCATTAACGCTGCTGGTTTGAACTCGGTGAGCTTATGCGAAGGTGTGGTTCCGGAGGACGAGATGGTTCAGCTGTGGCCTGTCAAAGGTCAGTCAATTATACCCTACGAGTACAGTATGACACAAAGGCAGCTAATATCAGCGGGTCAGGAAATTACATGTCGTACAAGGGGCCGGGAATTGGCAAAGTATCGAGACTCATCTACCCTTGTCCCAGCGCCAATGTGGACCATTTGGGTACCCACCTGGTGGGTATATCATCATGATAATCGTGTACGAAGACCTGACCCATAGTACAGACACTTGATCTTGATGGCCATGTCAGGTTCGGACCAGATGTCCAGACAATTGGTACAGCGGCCGATGCAAAAGCCAACCCGGATTTCTGGCAATCCCATCTGGCCGCTATCGACACTCCTGAGGCAATGTCTCTGTTCGCTCGTTCTGTTTCAGACTACCTCTCCATCGATCCCAGCGGATTAAGCCCAGACTATTCTGGAATCAGACCCAACATCGCCCCTCCGGGAGCAGGATTCTCCGACTTTCTGATCAGACACGGAGAGGACAGAAAGGGCTTCGTTGAACTTCTCGGATTCAACAGCCCTGGTTTGACGAGCAGCTTGGCTGTAGGGGAGTACGTGGCGAAGATGATCAGCAGGGACGTTTATAGAAGCAAAAGCGAGTAGACCCTTTACTTCGAATTATCAACGTATATGTATACCTGCTTTCATCTATCTTCTTCCCTTTGTATATTTTTAGCTACTACTGTTGCCGACTTACGGTGCCCTAAGATGGAGTGGCATGAGTTATACGTGCTATCAGTATCTGCATCAGATATGAAGGACACTCTACTGTACGACTTGTATTATATGTCGAATGCGCGTATAATAATACACCAAATCAGACAGATATAAAGTATGTCTCAAGGTACAGTGAAGACGGGAGAGCGCGGCGTCATTTCGCGCTCAATCCCTTATTTCCGTGCTGTTGCATCCCCTGCATCTCGAAGGTCTGGCTTCTTGTTCTGTTTGGAATTCATTATACACTTTGTGCATAGCCACAGAGGGCATTTCGAGACAATTCGAATCGGAAACACAGCCCCAATCGACATCCCGCTCCTGCACCCAGCAGCACACGCGCGTCGTGACTCGTGGGCCTCGCTCACGCAGACGCGATTCGCTTTCGATCAATCTTCCCTCGTACTATCTATCGTCTGCGCAATTTCTTAACTGCCATCTCATTTCTTCGCCTCCCCGCGACACCACCCAGTACCTGTACTCCACGCATGTCCCAACCAAGTGCTGACTCAAACCTGCAGCTTCCCGCCCCCCACGATCATCTTGACATCTATCAAGTGCGTTCTCGCGTCTTGCCTCATATAGTCGGCCAACGAGGCTCATAGCTCTATTTGCACGCAGAGGTAGACTCCTTCCTTACACACTCCTCTGCAACAAGCGCTGCCGCTAGTCCTACGCGCCTCTGAATCTCCTTCCTGGCCCGCTGGCGCACCGTCACAGAAAGTAGAGGGTCACCGGTACTGGGATACACCTTTGTAAAAGTGGTTAGTCGAGGTCTATTTCACGAATGGCTGCAATTGTATGGTGGCGTGTCCTTTCCTTTCTTCGTCGGGTTCGCTCTTTGCCCAAGGGCACCTGGACCTCCTTCAAAGCTTCGCGGCGCCTCCTTTACGGCTGCTCAAACGAGGCTAGTGCATATACTCAGCAATGCGTCCCTACAGAGCCGGGCTCTCGTGCGTGAGGAACCCACAGAGACTGAACAAAGGGAAACCACCTTTTGTTCTCTTTTAGACGACTCTGCGTACCGTACTCGTACACCAAAGACGCTGACAAAACGTTATCTAGACCGTTTGCTCACTGTAGCATCTTCCCCACCGACTTATTGGCCTCTGCAATGCAGGGAACACCGAACACAATGGCCTATAACGACCTACCCCAGACCGGCGGACGCGGTCCTTCGTCGGGGGTGGCATGGACGACTGATGGCCCATCATTACGCATGGAGGATGCCGTAGTCGAGACTGTGTGAGTACAGACAGGTGCTCGTTTTCCCTCTAGCTGACACATATATGCAGTGTCACTCATACTACCCGTACTACAACATCATTCCAGCCTATCAGTCTTCCCCGCGTCTCGTCCCCGACGAATCTCAGGCTCCCGGATCATCTTTCCTCTGAGACTTATCCTTTGGCGGACCAACCAGCTCCTGCAGACCTCCGAATATTCACAATGACTCTTGGTGGGAGGCGTGTGGTGGTGCAAGATGACAGTGCCGGTGCCGTCGAGAGCGAGATCTCAGGTCCAGGCTGGACCCGGAAGTTGGGTTCTTCTCGAGCCATTCCTGTCCAGTCTTCTACCGAAGAAGTTGTCGACGAAGAGGTCGGCTTCCTTCAGGCTCTCAATCAAACAAAGGGGAAAGATAGGAAGAGGAACTTCTCTGCGGAGTCTGTCCGCGACGCTCCGACGCCCCCAATCACGGGGGATGAAGCTGCACGTCACAGTCCTCCGCGAAAGAAGGCCCGTGGGCTGGAGGAGATCAATATTCCCCATCACCAGAGTGGTCGAGCTCTGTTATCACCTTTGCCCTCGCCAGACCATGCCGCGGCAACCCTCGGCTCGTCTACACCCTCTTCCATTTCTCCGCCCAATCTCGGATCGGGCTCTGAGCTTGCCGCTCTCTTTTCGCTTCCGTCGCTTGCTTCACACTTCGATCAGCTCCCCGATAGGCTCCAACAACACTTCCTCATGCACCTTCTTCGACGATCCCGCATGCCTACTATCCAGCGCATATCGAGCTTCATCTCAAATGTTCTACGCCGAGACTTCATCACCCAGCTTCCTCACGAGGTTGCTATCCACATATTGAGACACGTCGACGGCAAGAGTCTTGCGAACGCGTCGAGAGTGTGCAAGAGATGGAAGAGAGTCATAGACAATGAGAGGGGTGTTTGGAAGCAGAGATTGCTCGACGAAAAGCTGTGGAGTGGGTTTGGAACGGAAGAATCCGAAGAGATGCTCATCCGGGAGCGATACGAGGCGATGGACCTTCACGAACAGTTTGTGGAGAGGAGCCAATCCGACCACGATGATAGACTCTCGCCTCAAGCCAGCCGCCGCAGTCTTTCGGACCGACCCACCCCTCTGAAACACGTTTACCGCAGACGGTACCAGGAGCAGAGAGACTGGATACATACTAGGCCTGAGCATAATTCCTTCATTGGCCACGGCACCAATGTTGTGACTTGCCTTCAATTCGACGATGACAAGATTGTCTCCGCTTCGGACGACTCCTCTATAAACGTCTACAACACGAGCGACGGTCAGCTTCGCCGTCGTTTGGATGGGCATGAGGGAGGTGTGTGGACCCTTCAGTACAAGGGCAACACCCTTGTCAGTGGCAGTACGGATAGGACGGTCCGGATCTGGGATCTAGAAGAACTTCGAATGACCTACGTGTTCACCGGCCATACGAGTACTGTCCGTTGCTTGCGTATCGTGGACCCTGTTTGGGAAGAGGAGACGCAGTCTTATCAACCCCCTGTCCCAATGATTGTGACTGGCTCTAGAGATGCGACTTTGCGAGTGTGGAAGTTGCCTCAGAAGGACGACCCTTTGTATGAAGGTTCTGTGAGTATCGTCCGTACCCTGTGGAAGCAATCGCACTAACAAGGTGTACAGGTCAATCCCGAGACAGCTGAACAGACTTCTTCCGAACAGAATCCATTCCATGTTCATCTATTGGAGGGCCACTCTCTCGCTGTTCGGGCTATTGCTACCCACGGAAGAATTTGTGTTTCTGGGTCATATGACATGTCCGTGCGAGTCTGGGATATCGTCACTGGCACTAGCTTGCACCATTTAACCGGGCACGAGTCCAAAGGTGAGTTCAATTGGGAGCTCAATCAGTATGGAACAACTCGCTGATGTCTTCCAGTCTACAGCATAGTGTACGACCCTTACCGTAAGAGATGTGCTTCTGGTTCTATGGACAACACTGTCAAGGTCTGGGATGTTGTATCTGGCGAGTGCCTCCACACTCTTCAGGGCCACACATCACTTGTCGGTCTCCTCGGCCTATCCCCCAATTACCTTGTCTCCGCAGCAGCGGATTCCTCACTCCGTATCTGGGACCCCAGCTCGTGTGAAATGGAGAACGTCCTGACCTCTACTGGCGGAGCCATCACATGTTTCCAGCATGACGAGGTCAAAGTCGTCTCCGGGTCCGACGGTACTCTTAAACTTTGGGACATCAAAACCGGCACGTTTGTCCGGGATCTGGTTGTAGGCATCAGCTCGGTGTGGCAAGTGGCTTTCAATGGCAACCTGCTTGTCGCGGCTTCCAACCGCAACAGCCAAACGGTCTTTGATGTCTTCCGCTTCGGGCAGCCGTCGGACCACCCGGTCGATGACTCCTCGCTCGATAACCTACAGCCTCCCAGGTGGGAGAGATGGGCCATCGAGGAGCGGAAGGCAGCTGAAAAGGCCAAATGGGCCACCAAATTGGTTCCCAGCAAAGGCCATGGCAAAGGGTCTAGCAAGGGGAGAGATATCATGCAGCCTGGCGGAAGCTCTTCGATGGATTGGGATTTGCCAGCCAAGAGCCCTACGCGCCAGAAGGGCAGAATGTGGTCAGGATTCAGCACCAACGATGAGACGACGCCCATCCCACGAGAGCAAAGCCATCCATCAGCTTCTATTGCACCCTTCGATGATGCTCCCGAGCATAATCCTGATCATTGGTTGAATCCCAGCACCTCTTTCAACCCGTCGGCGCGAGATGCCAGCCCTACCCCTGTGGCTGGATCAAGCCGTGGTCGATCGAGGGGAACTTCTTCCCGATCAGCAGCGCAGGTGGCAGAAACCTCTCTGACCCAGGGCGAGGGCCGACGCAGCTCAATAGCAACCGGTACGTCACAGGGTCGGGGAGGGGGTAGCTCTACGTCGTGGCTACCAGGGAACGTTGCGAGTAGTCGCTCCCAGTATACCCTAGCTGCTCTAGACGAGAGCTTGGGATCGGATTTCGGTGGAAACGAGGAAGAGTTCTACGGAATCGAGGATGATGGGGCAATGGACGCCGACGATCAGGTCATGGAAGACTTTGGCGAGGAAGAGGAGTGAGGCGGAGTTTTAGTCGTTGGTAGAATTGTATTGGACGTAGCGAGTAGAGACTGAGATGACTGGGAGAAGGGGGCGGCTTTCATTTTCTCATCGATGTCGGCTTGTAGAATGTTGCATATATTATCATGTCGGACCTGCTATCCTGATTGCTGGTACATCAGTCAATGCCTGTGCACAATCAATGATGAATGATTGGGCGCCAGCTTTATCTAGTTGGCTTGGGCATGAAATACTGAAGTGGTCCGACTTGCCTCCCGCGCACATATATGCATGTATCTGCTCGGTGGGATACGTATCAATCTCCCATAGAGGCATTGTGGACCACTGGCAGAACATTGGAGATTTGTAGCACGACAGGGACACCGCCTCCCTCCACCGCCCACCACAGGAAGTCAGGAAGGAAGAGTGTCTTGCCGCCCACAAACATTCCATCCACCGTCTATCCCACTCCACGACCGATCCCAAGCCATGTCGTCCGCCACACGCCCTCCCCCTCCCTCCGGTGCGTATACCCCTCTACCCCTGCCCTGCCTTCTGCCCCCCTACCAGCCCGCACAGCGCCAGGGTGGTCGTCGGACTGGCAGCTGTCACCATGACAATCCATGACACTTTTGCTGACGACCAACTTTCCCCTGCCGCTTTATCCCTCTCATTGCCCGGTGTCTCTCTGCCTGGCTTCTACGCCCCCAACAAATCCCTTCACGTCTCCTTTCACCACATCGACCCCTCAACTTGCCACGGTGACGCTCTAATAATATCTTCCTCGCATTGGAACACCGCCTCCCTATATCCATTCGTCCCATACGGCTGAAATCCAAATTTCTCATCTTGTATCCAATTGTCTCACCAAAATAACACCCTCACCACAATGGTCTTTCCATTCCGTGCCAAAACCGCCAACACTCCCCCGCCCCCTCCTCTCGCCACCGACAACAACATGCCACCCCCTCATCCTTCTGCCATTGAAAACCATGTTTCGCCATCAACAGGTCCTCCACCCCGCTATACTGCCGTCGTGCGCAGGGTCTACCCTTACACACTCAGACCTATCGTGATATTTGTGTCGATAGTGGGGTTCATCTATGGAATCGCTCTGGGTGTAGAAAGTATTAAAGGCAGGAACGATGATGGAGGTGAGTGGCACTCTATCTTCATCTTTGAAAGGGATACTGATAGTCCCGAAAGAAACGAGCAAAATGAAGGTCTTCGATATCATTGAGGCCATAATGTTCTTCGTCATTGCGGGGACGGAGCTCTTTGTCCTTGCTGTGGCTATCATGGTGATTCATCATATTCATATGAATGTACAGATCAGTACTGACACCGCCAACAGCAAAGCCTCCAGCTGGCGAGGTTATTCATCGTCCTTGTTCCTGTGGGCGTTTTGGTCAACCTTGCAGTCAGCATCGTGTCCATCATTGTGCACTTTACTCTCAAGGTTCGTCCCATCATTTCTCCTACTCTGGCATGATCTGACCTTTGTCTCAGTCTGACTTGATCAGCCAATGTGTGACGAATGAGGAGGGCGATTCTTTCAGCGACGTGAGTGATACCTAGAGCTCTATGAGATACCACCACTGAACATCTCTCTCAGAGCTGGAGTGGCTCGTCTTTCAATGTCACCAACACACAAGCCAACACTAGTAAGTGGTTTACCCGACAAGGCTATAATCAATGCTGACCAGATCAACAGTCTGTAACAATTCGTGGAACCGCGGAACTTGGGGTGTCTTTGCTTGGTTGCTCATCACTCTCGGTATTTCTGTAGGTTTGCATGTGGTACATCAATGCAATGGCACTGATGACCCACAGCTCCTATTCGCATCGACGTACTTTTCCTACTACCACCAACTCCTCGACCCCACCTCCGTTCGGGAGCGACAGAATTACCGACAGAATCAAAATCAAGCCTTTCCCATGCAGTCTAGCTACCCTCCCCCTCCGGACGGACAGCAAGCATGGATGGTGCCACCTTATCCTGGGCCTCCCGCCCCCCCTGGTCACTACGCCAACAATCCTCCTCCTCCTGCCGGGTACGAAAAATCTGACTACCACCCCGGCGCCGAATGGGCTCAGGGAGACTATGCGCCTCCTGCAGGCGCGCCTCCCAGGGAAAGAGACATTGGGGAGAACAGGGCTGAGGAGGAGGCTTGGGATAGGGCTAGATCACAGGGTGTCACGGCTCATCTGACCGGACATGGATTTGCACCTAGGAGGAGCTCGGATAGCTTGAATGGAGGGTACGCGATACCGAATGCTGAGGAAGATGAGGCGTGGGAGCGGGCGAGGAATGAAGGTGTCACTTCGCATTTGACGGGCAACAAGAGGAACGGAGAGAGAGATGTATGATTGGAGTTAGGCAAGGTAGTATTTCAAAAACGCTATGTAGCTTTCATTTGTACAAAGGTAACGCTGCGGTCGACGGCGCGCTGCTCTCTCGTTGGATGCCCCCAGGTACCAGATAGCCCGCCTCTTGCATACATATAATGCATCAAACGTCATGGCTCGCGCCAGGATACCAATCATACATAGCTTCGTGGGATTGCTTCTTGTCTTGTTGCCTGGTTGTACAGTTGAATAGCCCCCGGGACGATGTTTACGTAACAGTTGAAGGGCTACTCTGTTCAGTTGACATTGCATGTCTCCAACATGTCTCGCAGTACATCCCATCCAAATCCCGCCCCATGTCGCCCCTCGCCCCCGCCCCAGACAGCCACCCACCCCAGCCCGCCCCCTCAGAGCCCCCCCTCATGCACACTCTCCTCCGCCAACACGACAAGCCCCTCCTCACATACTCCAGGCGGGAGCTGCTCCTCATCGCCGCCCAGCATCCCAACCCACCCCCGCCACAGGACATGGGTCCCCTCGAGTCCTGGTTCGGGTGAGTTTCCGGCACATCCATTCAGTCCCACTGACACCCTGCAGGACGATATCGAAACCGCAAAGTAACAGCAGCTACGAAGACCCCGCTATTGCTTCCATTGGTCACCAGAATGGCCGACGCAACAACAATGGCGGGAATGGATTCGGTGAAGGGTTTGGCTACGGAGGCGGTATTGGCGGTGGGAGTCGTTTGAACAATGCGAGAGGAACGAGGAATATCGGGTCCGTGGTGCGTCTCATCTCTGGACTGTGCTGACACCTCGGTAGACTGAGGCGACTGCCAGAAGGACTCGACTTGCCCCCGCACTTGGCGCCGCCAACCTCGGGAGGCGGGGGTGATAAGGCGTTTGGTGGGCAGATGGGAAGATTCAATGTGAAAAATGGTAGTCAGATGCGTCTGGGAGGAGATGAAGTGAGTCCAGTCTACCTTGTCACCCCTGTCTGGCTGACCACACCCAGCCCAAGAATAGACGCAACAACAATGAGGCAGACAGCCAAAACCCAGAACCTTGGAGAAGAAACAACAGACAGCAAAACGGCTACCAGCGCGATAATGTCGAGCGCCCGTACACCCAACGTGGTGAAAGAGACCACAGCAACCATCAGCAACGCGACCGTCGGCCCAATAATTGGCATCAGCCTCAGCACGACGAGGATGCAGAGCCAGAGTGGATGAACGACGCGCCTGCGCCTGTGGACTCTGCTATCGTCAGCGAAGCCGCGGACCCGCTCGTCAAGTTTACCCCTGGAGAGGACATGATTGCTGCCCACAAACGCGCAATGAAGACGAAAAATGCCAATGATTGGCGAGGTGGCATGCCCCCATTGCCGGCATTCTTCTCAGCGGACCCTGCCATTGCGTCCAACTCTCAAGCTGCTCCAGAGGCAAAGCCTAAAGAGATGAATGCCAACAACTATCTCATGCAGAGAGAAGACCCTGTAGAAGAAGAGCCCCAGGAGTCTGCTCCGCCCCAGGGAGGTTCGGCATTCTCCAGTCGGTTCCATAGGTTCTTTGGGAATCCCGGAGGGGAGGATCCTGCTGGGAGTGCAGGAAGAGGCAACGGGAGTGCGCCGTTGCAATCGCAGACACCCTTGCAGTCGCAATCCGTGCCAACGCCGCAGCCGCCGGCGGATCATGTGGATCAGAGAAAGGCTACTCTGATGGGATTATTGTCTACCAAGGTGAGTGCGCTCATGTGCTCGAGACCAGTGCTAACAACTCATAGACACCCACTCCCAAGCTCGAGACGCCTTCCCTTCGACGTGGCGACACACCCCAGCAGTATTCCCACACACAAATCACCTCGCCCATCGAAAACGTCCCATCATCCATGTCCCCCAACATGTACCAAAACTCATCCCAGTACCGCGCACCCACTAATCCGCTGTTGCAACAAATCTACCAAAACCCCAACCCTCCCATCCCCTCTCCATCACACAACAGCCCGACCGACCCTCTCCAGCTTCTCGCCCAGGCCCAAGCACAACGTCAGAGCCAGGCCCAGCGCCAATCTCCCGCTGGCGCCTACCCCCCGCAACACATGTCGCTTCCACCACAGTTCCAGAGACCTCCGCCAGGGTTCATGCCATCTCCTATCGACGGCGTGCCTCATCCCGACATGCAAGGCTTCCCGCCCTTCATGCGCCCGCCCCCTGGTGCAGGCTATCATCACCAGGGCCCACCGCCCCCTCCTCCAGGTATAAATGGCGGAGGCTACATGCCAATGCCGTTCTACCAGCAGGGTCCTCCCAGGCCGCCTGGCATGGGTCTCGGTAGCAATGGACAGGGCGGCAATCAGTACGGAATGCAGCAGGCTGTCCCCCCGGGGATCATGGGCATGCAGCCCCAGGGACAGAGGGGATATGCCCAGACGCAGGGGCAGTTGAACCATTCGCAGCAGGATATGCTGGCTACGCTGTTTGCCGGGCTGGAACCCAGGAGTCAGATGTAGATAGACATCCATCGGTCGCGCCATGAGTTTGAGCGCTCGTCACCGTATCTTCAAATGTTTAATCGCGTCCAGTTCAGTAGTATAAATAACGCAAGCCTTCATCTGTACCCATTATGTGACTATCGGAGTACTGGTCTATCTGGAGACATATCATGCATGCACTAAGCACGACCGTTTTCGTTACTGCTTCTGTATTGCACTCCGCCGAACAAGATTCGCTTATCCCTGACCAGCATATCTCCCTCTACTCCATCCCTTCCACAACTCGGCCCAAAGCTCCTTTTCTCCCTCTCCACCCGGTCCTTCTCCAAGCCCAAATGGTACCCCCAGCCCTTCTCCTTCTCTTCCCCTAGCACCAGCCCGACCACCACTCGTTGTCAAGTCGCACAACGCAAACAATCCTATCTCCAGCTCCTTTCTCACCGCAGCCTCGTACCCTTTCGTTGGGTCCGAACACGCCCGCACATAGGCCACGAGTATGGCAGGGACGTGCTTGGCGAGGGGGCTTGTCTCGTGTGGGTTGTCGGAGCGGGATGGTTTAATTTGCGCCAGGGAGACAAGGTAACGGGCGAATAGAGTCGATGAGGCGGCGGAGAGGGGTCTCTCGGCGCTGCCTTGAAGAAGCGCGGCGCGAGAGACTTGGAATCTGGGAAAGATGTAGCATACAGTTTGGACAACCTGCGGCAGAGTGGCAAAAACCAATTCGGGCCTTCGGCGATCGATGATGGTGAGAATGTTGATGATGGAGGTGAATGTTTCATTGCCGATGGGATTGAAGAGGATCTCGTAGAGGGCGGAGAGTATGAGAAGAGCATCGTCTGTTTGAAGAACTGAAAACTTGTCTTCGACAATGGATTCGATAAAGCTGATGGCACGAGCAGGGCTCGGTGCTGATGATATGCCAGTCTGAATAACTTGCCGGATCAATTCGGGCTCTAAAGTTGACGTCAGTATCTAACAGGGCGTCACAAAAATATCACTCACTATTGCACGCTTTGGTCATTGCCCGCAAGGCGCCTAGGATCGCTTCTTCTCGGCCGGAATTGGCCTGTAACAGATGAATGCAAGCACCCATAGCCTCGTCTATGTGGTCCTTGAAAGTCTCTCGGACAATCTCATCAAGTTGCCCACCAGGCAAGACCGTATAGAAGACGACAGTGACTGCCAGAACCTGATCGAGCCCTTCGCCCTCATCGAGCAGCAATCCCAGCACACCCCTTGTCGCCTTCCCCGCATCTTCTCCTCTGAGCCTTGCAACACCTGGGGCTAACTTGAGACCAGCCTTCTCCTCGGAGATTGGCACACCAGACCAACGGGCGAATTGCCGAGCGACGACATAAACGGGGACAAGATGGCTCAGATTCAGAGTCGCGTGGGTATTGTTGAAAAGGGAAGGAATAATGGCAACAAGTTTCTCGGACAGCGCAAAGAAATGGGTTCTGTTCGTGGATGGAAAGCTAAGAGTGTTATAAGCACGCATCGCATGGTCAAGGTTTCCACAAAGCATACCTCTCCAATGGTCCAGCAGCCATGGCTTGTTGAGCAGTTCTAGCAATCATCTCAAGTTCCCCCGGGAACGTCCAATCCTGGGACTCCTTCCTTGCCCTCAAGTTGTCCAGATGATGAACAAGGAGCGTGTCAAGCTGGCCAGAGTACTGTAGCGGAGTTTTCAAGAGACGTCTGAAGGGCAAATCAACACAAGTATCTGGCTCGTCACAAAGAGACTCACAGCAGGATCTTCGACCAGATCTTACGAGCGTATTCTCTGTCGGCATTGGGTTTTTCGGCGATCTTGATAAGCCTCAAGAAAATGGTGTCGTCGCTCAACTGCAAAAGACGATTAGCATGGTTTGATACCGGCTGCTTGGGCAGAACATACCACAGGCCCGGTGTAATCAAAGTATTCCGCCATGATACTCAAGAAATGCACCCCTTGATCCAAATCTTCATGTTTCCACAATGCGTCCGCGGCGGCAGTCCTCACATGCTTTGAGAGGTAATTCGGAGGCGTTCTCTCGAGGAATGCGACGAGTTGTGTAGCGCTGATTTCTTTGAGATAGTCCGAGAGACCTTCGCATACACCTGTCTGAATACGGTCCAATTCCCAGAATCCAGCGTTGGACAGGATGCTAGAGTTGTGGTGAGTAGCACGGATGACGGTCATGGCGAAGCGTTTCAGTTGTTTGGGGGTAGCGACGAGACTGCGAAGGTATCATCAGCTTGCGTATAGTCGACAGCAGCAAGGACCTACTCGATGATGGCAGCATTGTCCACGACGATCTGCCAAAGATCGACCGAATCGACATTTTTAGGAGCGTTACTCTTGGATGAATTTTGGGCGCGGTCAAAGGCGGGTTGTTCAACGCCTGAGCAAAACTCCACAATAGCGTCGAGCTCGGAGGGGAAGGTCTCATGGACCTTGTGATCGAGCTGCAAGTTCAAAGCGGCTCGGTGGAAAGATAATTTGGTCTGTGCTTTGTCAGTTCCTCGCATGCACTGATTGGACTTTGACTCACGAGCGCCAAAAGCAGTTCCCTATTGGCAGTTCTGGCTGTGAGAGCAGCATCGACTCCCGTCTCCGTTGTACAGCTCCTGTTCAATAACTTTTCGACGGCGATGGTCAGCCTCAAACGCGCAGCGCTGTTGACACTCCCAGCCTCTGTCTTGACGTCGTTTGCTCGCCCGGGTATATTGAGCGGTGCCTGAGCCCACTTGTCGAGGAAGGTTGCAAAGTCGCTGACTACGTCGCCCTCTATCTCGCCATCATAGGTAGTATCTACGACAGCCTCGATACACCGGGTGATCCATCGACTTTTGATGCCAGTCAAAGCAGCAGATCTGGCAGAGAGTTGGCCAGAAGAAGTGGCCCATGACGGTTCGGTGAGGGCTTGCAGACTGGAAGCCAATGCAGTAAAGATACCAGTCCACTGAGGACTTCGCCTCTTGCCGGGATTGGTCGTCTTCAAAGCAGATACAAAATCCTCTCTGATGGCTCGCTGGCCAAGAGGGCCACAAATGACAAGCCTGTATAGGTGCGGGACAGCCTGGTCGGGAATAGAGGGGTCGAAAAAGCCTTCGACTGTCGTGTTGAGCAATTCGAAGAGTGAAGGGAGAGTGTGGGTGAGTTGATGATATCGGATGATGGAGGAGAGCAATGGTTCGGTGTGATCAGACTGAGCTGTGGGAGCCTGCAGATCATTAAGCATGTGAGATCGTGGTCAGCAGTTGGACTCACGGCAATGACCCATCGCATTAGATCGGGACCTATGTTGGTCCTATCGTGATCCACCTTCTCAATGATGGACAAGGTCTGGATAGCAGCCCTCAAAAAATTCTCGTTGGTAGCAGTAGGTTGTGTATTGAAATTTGACAACACTGCCTCGATACGTCTAGCCGTGGCATCCACAAGTCGGCCCCAAGGCTCTTCCCTTTCCATGTAACCTCCCCAGTCGGCGAGAGCCTTCCAAGTCGCTGCTCTGCTCTCCCAGAGCCACACCATGCCTTCTTCAACTTCCGAGCTGGCGGGCAAGTTCTGCAATCGCGTCTCGAGTGTCTCGAGAAAGACGAGGACTCGATCCAGGGACTGACGGACAGAGTCCCGTTCTTTGGAAGCGACAAAAACGTCATGGGGCAGTTTGCTGCTAGACGGTTGAGCAAACAAAGTCGAAGAATTTTGGTGGTAAGTGGAGGTCAGGCTTTTGAAGATGGGAGGCAATGCCAAGAGGCAGCCGTGGGCTACAGCAGCATCGTTCAATTTGGGTTCTGCCGCCGAGAACAGCCCACCAAGAGGCTCTGATGCCTGAAGGACTGCAGTATTGAAAATGATTGATGACAGGGTATCATTGAGTTGATTTCTGAGGTAGGCATGAGCCAAGAAAGCCTGGCAGTACACCGGGAAAATAGCATTGGCTGCTTGAGCATTCTTTTTCGCGCTGGTGTTTGAATATTGGCTTCTTTCAATACCAGAAGCGATCAGGCCAGCGATGGTACTGATAGGCGCATTTTGCTGGGCAGAAAAGGACTGCAGAGACAAGAATTGGACTAGACTAGTCCACGCATCTACCCAGCTCTCGGTTTTGTAGGTGATCTCTTGGGGGTCGAAAATGGCTGCAAAGCTCTTCGCAGTCGACTTTAGAAGCGATATTGTGTCTTCGTTCTGTTGCAGGGAGGAAAAAAATGTCGAAAGTATTTGGAGGGGGGCAGGGGATGCGAGATCATGGGTCTTTCCTACTCTGAGTAAGAGGCTGTGATACTCTGTCTTCAGGATGGCATTATTGCTGTTACTGTGACCGTCTCGATGAGCCTTCTGCTGCTAAGGGCTCGAGAAAAACTCACTTGGCTCTAGCCTTGGACCAAGTCTCAAGGATCCAGTCTCTCAGTATCTCTGCTTTCCGGGGGATATCAAAAGTCTTTGCGTTCCAGGCTTCGAGAGCTATTTGAGCCTTGGATGGGCCGGGGGAGACGGGGGGGTCGTTGCTTGCTCTGAGCGATTTGATGAGTGCCGAGGCGGACTGGAGATACTCGGGTCCGGACGCCATCGCGAGTCTATGGTGAATCAGAGGCGTGGTTTATTTTGAATTCATAGCAACCAAATAGTTGCCCAAAAGGTGGAGGCCGAAAAGTGGAGGAGAGCTTACGTAAACATCCCTGGGGCATCAATGCTCCTGCTGTATCGCTCGTCTCGTCAGCACCATGGACGTCCTCGGCAGCCTCAGCAGCGTGCAGAACTACGCGAACTCCCTCAGGTCCACCCAGATCAGGCATCCCGGAGAGTTCTTCGACTACCAGCGCGTCTCCCGCCCCAAAGACACCCAGGAGTATCTCAAGCGCGCCAGCTACAATGTGTCAGTCCTGTCCACCTATCCATGCCATGCCCTGACAGTCCATGGCCAGTCGCTACTTTTCCGCCAACTATGCCATCGTAATCTCTCTCCTGGCAGTCTACAGTCTCATCACAAATCCTCTCCTCCTCATCTCTCTCGGATTTCTCATCGGTGGTTTCCTTGCCATTAACCGCTTCGGTATGTATACCATGCGGTATACTCAGGCGGGCGTGACTGACCTGTCCAGTACCTGAGCCCATCCAGTTCAATGGCAAGACCATCACCCCTCAAAACCTCTATGTCGGTCTTTTCGTGATCGGTATGTCTCATTCAGTCCCTATGTTTCCTGCTTACAATCGCCATCCTATACAGGCATTCCCCTGCTGTGGTTTGCGGCCCCCATCTCTACATTCTTCTGGCTTGTTGGAAGCTCTGGATGTCTTGTTGGCGCCCATGCCGGTCTTTTGGAGCCTGGAGTCGAGTCGTGAGTCGTCGCTCATCCATAACCGCAAGCGGGGTTGCTGACATGCAGCGTAGCGAGTATGCTGGGCTCGATGCTGTGTAGGTTCGTGCAACGCGATGGATATAGAGAAGTGGTTCCCTAGATATGTTTCGTCAAACTATGGGGTCCTGTCGTCTAGCATGTATGACTGTGGTCCCGAGAGGTGTATCAGAGTCTCTTCCTCGTCTTCTCTGGTCTGCAGATGGTGCAGTGTGCTATCTCCTTGATGAGCGTTGAGCGTTGAGCGTTGAGCGTCCCGTTGATGCGCGCTGAGCTCCACCGGTGGCGTCCGTCGGACCACTTTGTGCATTCGTCCATATCCTCTGACATCTCCATCTCCCCGCGCCTGCCATGGATGCCCCCCAGAAGCCCTCCCTCTTCGCCTCCCTCTCCCTCCCCCGCACATCCCGCCACAAAGAGCCCCTCGCCCACCCCCTCCTCGCAGCATCCTCCCCCACACTCGCCGACGACACCCCGCCCACCGCCCCTCCCAACCTCCGCCACAAGTCATCCGGCTCATGGTCAAAGTCTTCTCCCCCCGACACACTTCCGCTGCCGTACAAGCCGAGGCAAAGACACGGCGGCGGTATAGGGTCCGTCAGCAGCACAAATAGCATTATCGGGACATCCGCTGGCGGGTCGTCGCCTACGCTACAGCCCGCTGCTCTGCCAGGCAGCAACGCACCGCCATCCCCAGTCACACCAACAGCCGTATCGGCCCCGCCCACAACATCCACTTCCACCTCGACGACATTTGCTCTCCCACCTTCCCATTCGGATCCTCCTGCCCAGGCGAACGAGTCGGCGGTACCTATCACCGCAAGCGCTACCGGCACGAGCTCTCTCACAAGTCGGTTGCAGCTGCAAAGCCTCAAGGCTGCAGCCCAAGGTGTAGGGCTTGGTAACGGGAGTATGGGGATGTCTATGATCGATGCCATCTTTGACAAGGGACAGTTGGGACGGGCAAAGATGGGAGAGGGTGGCGATTGGGGCGAGCTGTTGCGTATCCTCATAGGCGGCCAGGTGAGTATGGAATACTTGTGACTACCGTGCTAATGGTGAATAGGCCATTCTGCTACTTCCCACAACACCCTCTTCATCGCTTCCCATGACACCACAAACGTTGAGAGATCACGTTACATTCATCTCCCCTCCTGTCCATTCGGGAGAACAAGAATCCGTCAGCGTCATCGTCACGCTTTCTGGTCTTATCGGGACCCTCAAGGGTCGTAATATCACTATAGAATCTGCAATACCACCAGACTCGCCTCTGTTGCGCTCGCTGAAAGACCCCGCGACTCGCCAGTCCATACTTGCATCCCTTCGCCCGGCCCAAACACCATCCTCGGCATTCCCTTGCTTGACCCTCTCTCCAGAGTCAGCTGTGCTGTCTTTCCCCCCGCCTTCCAAAGCACCGCCTCCTCACACTCCGGAAACAAAAGAAAAGGAGAAGGCTCAACCTGGCAAACTCGGGCGAATCAACCCTTTCGCTTCATTGTTTGGCGGTGGAGGGTCAAATCACGCTAGCCCGGTACATGACAATAAAGCGCTTGCGACTTCTCCACTGCTTCGCCCGGAAGCTCTCCAACCTGATGTGCTATCTCCCCCGCGCTCTCGGCCTTCTTCTCCTGGTCCGTTGAGCCCAAAGCCATCTACAATCAACCTCGAAGCAGACGCCTCTTCCATAATGTCTGATTCAAACCGCAACGGCGAAGGGTTTACCGTATCAGCATACACTGTTTCCAAAACAATACGTTTCCACGAGACCCACAAGGCGCTCTCCAAAAGTGTGAGGGTGCATATCAAAGAGAGCTTGGCGGGTCTTCCCGAGAAAGCAGTGGACAAGGTGGTGAGGTTGGGGGTAGCCAATGTTTGTCCTACTCCCCAGGGATCCGAGGAGCTGCTCAAGGGGCACAAGTCGGGACATCATGGGGTGGACCTGGATAGTATCCTGGCTCTCAACTTTAGCGACCCCGTCGAGACTGGCGAGAGACTGCAAGATTTCATGGAAAGCATATACGATGATCTGTTTACACAGTATCGGCAAGATGCGAGCGAAGGATTGAAAAGAAAAGCCAGTGGGGGATCGTGGGCCAGGTCGCAGCCACAGGAGAAGGAGGGCGAGAACGAAAAGGATCCAAAGGCGAGAAAGGAAAAAGAGAGGAGAGAGTTTGAAGAGATGATTGAAAAGGAAGCAAGTGATGGGACGGAGCGCGTAGAGGGATTGTTGGCGAGGCTGCTGTACAATAGGTAGGTGATTGTTTCTGCCAGGTCGTTACTGATTTTTCTAGACTCTTCTCCCCCTGGGAATCCGACGATTCGCGGCATGATGAAGCATTGGCTTCCCGGATAGCCGCGCTCAACATGCTGGACCTGTCACTCGATCATTTGGGGTTGATCACACAGCCGGATGGAGAAGAACCCGAGGGCACCATTGCAAACGGACTCTACAATATTGTAGAGTCTATCGGCGATGAGTTACAGAAGCTGAGCCGGGCAGACTGTCTTACACCAAAGGCAAAGACTGACGTCCTCATCAAAGCTCACAAGATTGTTGTCGGTCAGTCACTCATTGCGACCTTGTGTATCTAGCTGACGTGTCCTAGATGGTCTTGACAACCTTCCTGCAGTGCAACTTCGGCCAGAAGGCGAGTCATATAAAAAAACTAAAGAGCCGCCTTTGATTCCTGAGGATCCCACTATCCTTGAACCTCTGCCTCTAACCCAGACTTCGTCCCGCTCCTCAAATTCATCAAAGAGATCATCAAACTCTAATAATCCCAGTACCATGACTAGACAAAGCTCTGCATCCTCTGGCGACAGATCGGTGAAATCGGCTGTGAGCGACCCTCTATCTGTCTCGGCGGTCGACGACGTCGAAGCTACCCCTCAGGCCGCTGTCCTGAATCCTGATCTCAACAAGAGCCCATCGGTGCCCCAGCTGGTGCTGGATGATGACGAGACTTCCGAACCTGCTGAGGAGGCACAGCTTGCCGAAGCAATGTCGGATTCTGTCACCACTTTGACAGAAACCTCGTCTTCTGTGCCCCCTCCAAAGCCACAGTCCACCAAAGCAGGTACCACTTCCGGTGCCGACCTCATGTTACCCATCATAATTTACGCCGTCGTCAAATCCAATCCCCCCCAGCTCGCCTCTCAGCTTATGTACCTCCGTCGCTACCGCTCTGCCATCTGCCTTACTGGCGAAGCAAGCTACGCCATTGTCAACTTGACTGCCGTGGTCGAGTTCCTGGAGCATGTAAACTTGAATGAGCTCGGGCTCGGAGGCGAGGAGGACAAGGTGATGAGTATAGACGACTTGTCGCCCATCGGGCTGGGATATATGGCCGAGGGGAATGTAGATGCGGCCAGCATTGCCAGTGCCTCTTCTCGTCTCAGAGGAAGAGTTGGAGAATTTGCTGGTACGGCGGCAGGCTCGGCCAACAAGGTCATCAGCGAGGTCATGGACTCGTCTTGGTCTGCCTTCAGAGGTTTCATGGGCAACAACAACGTCGCTCTCAACGGCGAAGTAGATGAAAACGCCTTGGCGACTTCTGCGGAAGGAACAAGGCCGGGTATGCGCCCACGCCAAGCATCGACGTTTTCTCTTGCGAGCGTGACTGCAAGCGTGGCGGGTATTGCAGCTGCTGCGGCAGCCCGCAATCGCTCACGAGCCACGTCACGAGCGAGCGAGCAAGTTTGGGGCGGTACTCAGGAGCTAGTAGAAGTGAGCTCGAGGCCGGGGTCGATCCGGGAAAGGGAGAGTGATTACCCTTCGAGTGACGAAGAAAGTAGCGAGGAAGATGAGGAGAGTAGTGAAGAAGAGGAGCCTGAACTAAAGGAGAAGGGAAAGGGGCAACCGCAAGATGGGAAAGAGAAAGATGATACACCCAAGCAGGAGAGGGTCAGCTTGAGTAATCGACTTGCGTCCATAGGTGTGCTGGGTAGGCTCGGCAGCTCGTCAAACACACCCCCTGGCGACAGTACCCCTGCGGAGGCCCATCCAGTCAACAAGGTGAATACCTCACTTTCCTACAAGAGCCACACTCACGCATCTACAGTTCTTTTTCCAGAATCACAATCATCCTCGTGCTCATGGCGCTAGTGACCAAGGTCATGGGCGCCGGTCATCCCTTCTCGGCGGCAACCCAATCGAGTCACATCTGACGAGAGCCGCCAACTCGCCAAAGGGAAGCACTGCCTCGCTTTCATTATCCAATTCTGGTGATGCTCTCGAGCCTCCCATCGAGCGGTTTATGACCTGTAAGTGCCATGTCGCTCATGTAGCATTAGCTGAAGACGTACAGGTGAAGCTGGAGACATCCGCGTCTCCGAGATAGGAGTCCTCTTGAGAGACTATCGACGACTCGGGGCCATTGTCGACGCGCTGAACAAACAGACAGGTATATAGCACTGGCTCACGATCCTCATGACCAGTAACGAACGACCTTGCGTGCTCTAATTTGCAGTTCATAGACTATGCATTGGACTCGGAAGCTATGGAATATCAAATTACAACAAGACTGTATATACCGCGTACTACTTTTGATTACTCCTAAAAAGGACGAAAAACAATAGACAGGAACTGTCTCTATCGACCCACCGACCTCCATACCGCCCCTCTCATCAACTCATCACACAAAGCTTGATAGATAGTGCCTCGCTCATTTCAATCCGAGCTTAATACCACGGCATATATATCTCTCCCATTTGAGCAAGGTTAATTGCTGACGTGGCTTGAGATATAAGAGACACGATGGCATGTACCACAGGGGGTGCGCTCGTAGACTAGCATTTGTATCAGCCACTGTCGTCCATCTGGTGACCAATCAGACTCACTCTATCACGATTCTCGCCGATATAACCCATGGTGCTAACTCTTCGAATGAAAGAGTCTACATTCCTGTACACGTGACCAAGCAAGGGCTTGTCGAGACGAGAGTCCTTCAAATAGGTGTTGTGCCAGATCAGAAGCTAGACAGCCGGGTAAGTATATGCTATGCTTGTATCGAAGAGATCACATACCTCGTCTCTGATGAACAGACAGAGAGTGCCAGATAGATCGAACTCCGGCGAAGTGAGGCATCTCGCCATCGCAGTACAGGTTCCCGTGATGATACCTTCGACACCAGCACGGGTCACAAAGTTTTGCATGTTGGGCGTGAGTCGGAATGGTACGCTCTCCGAAGAGCTGATGAGCGGTTGTCCAGGGGCAAAGGCTGATTTCATGCGCGTCAGTTGACCACGCTAATTTGAATGCATTTGTGCTTACCAGGCAAGATCTCCGACATGTACATCAAACCAGTCTTGCGGCTGACATAGAAGCGAGATGGCGTTCTATTGCTCAGGCAGCACACGTATGTAAGGAACATTGTGGCTGCGGTCTGAGCAGCGAATTGCTTTCGCATAAGCCAAAGATTATCGGGGCCATTCATGGATTTCATCATGTACTGCAGGTCATTAGCATGTATTGGCAATTCGCGATCAAGCTACGCACATTTGTGATGATCGTCTCTGGTACCATTTTTACTCGAATCTCCTCCATCAATTCGGCTCTGAGCTGGATATACCTGTGGTCGTTCTTTGAGAGGATCAGCTGCTGCCTCCTTGGATCACTATCATGGACTTACTCTGGGAATGGAAGGATCGTGAAGCTCCTTGAGCCTATCGTAATAGGTCAATACCGTTTCCTCTCTGGCCATCTTCTTCGATGCCGCATAATCCTCGAATATCTCCTGCATGCTGACGTAGGAGGAGTCGGATTGCACGAGTCGCAGTTGAGGGGCAAGGGGAGTGGCAGTGGGAAGATGGATTTGAAGACCTCGACGACGAGATTCTTTTCGTTTCCACAAGACACTGACAGAAATCAGTACAGAGTCCATGACTATGGTTGTTGACTCACCTGTTCATGATTCGGAACAACTGGGTCAAACGCTCCTCTCGGCGACAGTGTCGGGCCGCAGGCATCTGCACATGGAATGTGTACGATTGCCCATTGTTGCCAATCATGGTGATACGGCGGAAGCAATATCCGTGTCCTCGACCGAGCTCCGCCTTGGGGGCGAAACGAGCGATCTTGATGAACTCCTCGCTCTGATCAACGTGCTGGAGAAAGAGTAAGATTGAGCCGGGTAGAGTCAACACGGTACTCACCTTTACATATTGCCCGGGAATTTCCACGTCATCGAATTTAGAGTGGTTAAACTCAATAAGGGTACATCCACCTTGGTCCAAAGGTAACGTCTTCGATCGGTCGTCGAGATTTCCTTCATAAACATCTCGCCACCTCTGGAGGAGTCTGATATACTCGCGCAACTTTGGCATGTCAGCCATAAAGTCTTTCTCGATCATGACCTGTAAAAAGTCAGCACATGGGACGGGTAAAGATATCGCTGTACACTGACCTTCAGATCCCCGTTCAAATTCGTTGCAAACTTGGCAAGATTGTCCTTGGTTTGAGCATTCAGTTCACCATCATCATTGTGAAGTCCGCTCCTTGCGCCCCATTGCTGCATGGCATCCGCCAATAGCGCTGAGAAGAATCGATAGATGTCTTCGTCGGAAGCAGGCTTTGCTCGCACCGAAATCTGATCGACCATTTTTTCCATCGTAAGAGCCAACAAAGGGAAAGCTGTCTTGAGCAGGTTCATGATCTCGTCAACAAGATCCCAAGGCTGTCGAGGGGCTTGGGATTGTGACTGTGACGGAGGCGGCATGGACCCGGAGGCAGGTGGTTGACTGCCGTTTGCATCGGCACCGCTGGCCGCGGGTTCTTCTTTGACGTCCTTCTCAGCAGTCTGAGAACCATCGGCAGCGTTTGCCGTGGCGGCCTTGGCCTGCCGAGCGGCCACGTACTTCTGATGGAGCTGCTGTTGCTTTTTGACGGTGACGAAATCCTCTCGTGAAACTCGCAAAGGGAAGAATAGTGCCTAGGTTATCGTCAGTAGTGTAATGTAGCGTAGATGGAAGAACTCACCTGAGGGAAGGCCTTGGCAATGCGAATCAATATCAACCTTGCGTGCGTAGCCTCTCGATGAGACAGAGACATGATCAACTGAGGGATGAGAGTGATCCAGTACCATATGACCAAATCTCCTTTGTAGTTCTCGAACGCCTTGGAAATCGTGCTGTGGCTATCATCAAGACCGAGCAACCACAACACCCTCAGCAGGAGCCCTCGAGATTTGTGATTGTTGTAGAGGCCGGCAGCTTGTAGATAGCAGGAGACAGCACTCGAAGCAAGGACAGATCTATCTTGGGAATAAGATTCCTGCCACTGGGCGTCTGTCATCTTCGGTTTGCCGGGTTCGCCATCTGGAGGACCAGTAGTAGGGACCTCTGGACGATCTTTGTACAGCTTGTCGTTGAAACGTCCCCATTCGGCCCAAGCTTTCGGGAGGTTCCAGTCTGTTTGGATAGCATGAGCGAACTCAGCATTGGCCTCTTCATTCTGACCCAACCGGGCGATGAACATCCCCTTGAATGTGAGGAATTCTGCGCGTTGGGGTTGACCAAAGAACTTGAGATTAGTGGTGCTGATGTTCTCCAAACCTTCGTTGAATTTTTCAGGTTTCTGGAAGAAACACAAAGCTTGTTCTCGGAGTTTCAGGAATGCTTCAGAGATCTCGATGTTGGGAAGCATGTAGATCTTGTTGAGAGACACGCTGCAGACATCGAGAAGTCCGTGGCGTCGCGCAACTTCTCCAAAGCGATTGATCATCCAAGCGGTCTCGTGGAAGCCCCTGTAGCCATACGTAGCATTGTCGGGCTGCGCGACGAGTGGGTGATATACCTTGGTGACAGCTTGGAAGATGTGCTGTCGCCAAGCCAGAAGATCGCTCCAGACACTTATATCATCCCAGAAGTTGGGGAGACGATCTCGCCACGTCTGGAAGATGGGCTTCAGGTCACTGTTGCAGCGCAACTCCAGATTGGTCTGATTGGTCATTTGTAGACTATCAAACACTCGAGCTGCCTCACCCAACTCCACACATTGTTGGCACATTTGGAGCAGAGGGAGATGGGCACTGGTCATATGAGCAGGCAGACTGATCCATTTACGCAAAGTGATTTGCTGAGCCTCGTCGAGTACGCGTAGGAACTCGTTGGGGGGGTCGCGGTTGTTTTGAGCCTTCAAGAGAGCTAGGAAAGCCTCGAATGTCTTGCGACGAGGGGTGGGATGGTCAACAACCCTCGAAAGGTTTTCGTCAATGGCCAAACGGTCACTGGAGGCCCAATCCGACAATCGCCAAGCGCACTCCAATAACAAATCCGAGTCATTGTCGATCCGCGCCAGCTCGGTCAAATTTTCCCAGTTCTGCAGCTTTTGTGCGGACAGAATCCAATGATCTTCCCAAAGACAATATTCGCCTTCGCTAAACGGAAGCATGTTGTTGCGTGCCTTTATTTGCGCCTGTTCGTAAAGCTCCACGGCTTTTGGCCACATGCCGTTTTGCTCGAAAGTCAACGCGCCTGTCGTTTCCGGGAACTGGCAACGGCTCCGGGCAACGCCGTAGTACATGTCTTCCTCGCAAAGCTCAGCATAGAGTTCACTCAAGCAGCTAGCACATGTCTCTCTCAAGCCATCGTCCCCGCGGTAGACATCAGTCAGGCGAGTGAGGAGCTCGAACCCAACATACCAGGCGTTGAAGTTTTTGGCTAGGAATCTGATCAGAGTAGGAGGGAGGGTGACAGGGACGGTACACGCAGCCAAACTGTCGAGGAACGTCTGGACAACATTGGGGCGCATGTCGGTTTGCTTCTGAAGGTGAGACTTTGACAGAAGTTTGATAAGGTAGGGAGTAAAGGTCATTTGCTGAGATCGGCTAAGAGACTCCCAGCACATCGAAAAGATCCCGACCCAAAGGTCATGAGAAAGTTTGGGGTCGATATGTATGAGGTTCCTGGCGGGGCGGATGATATGCCCCACGGTGGCAGTCTCTGACAAATCAAGCACGGAGTCGGAATCAAGAACTTGGGTGAAAGGAACTTGTATCAGAGCCTCGTCGACGTCCACAATTCCAAGCAACTGGCTCAGGATTTGAGGGATCCAATAACCATCGGAGAGCGTGTCCCAGTTCTGCAGGGAGCACAAATACTGAAGCCTCTGTTCCAGAGATCGTGGCAAATTGTTCTCCAGCTTGTCAAGGAATTTGGCACGTTGCTCGGGCTTTCGAGACCTTGTACCCAGCAGGAATGCGGGTTCGAGGCGATGGGTGATGTCTGAACCTCGGAGCTCGTCTTGCTCATAGATGTCGTATACAACGTCCAGATACTCTTGGAAGAGTACGTCATTCTTGTTCTCGAAGTTCATCATGCGGAGTAGGATGGACGCTTTTTCTTTGCCATGAACTGCCGCATCAGGACCTTCGATGATCCAGTGACGCATGAGCTGCAGAAGATACCGACAAAGAGTGAGATTCGCTGATTTGTCGATCAAGGAGGTGACGCCCAGGTAGAGGGTTTTGCGGTGCTCTCGCAAGTCAGGGACTCGATCTCGTAGAATGTCTAGGACAGATATGATGAGCCTAACGAGGTCAGGCTCATTGGCGGCACCAGCAGCTTGATTGGTAGTTGTGTGCAGCTTGACCGTATTGCCTAGCACCTTCAAAAGTGCGATGCTGATGCCCTCGGACTGGAGTATCTTTGGGTGGGTTTTCAGCCAGGTGCGAAGCAGGAACAGGGATCCGGGTAGAGACAGAGTTGAGCGAAGACTGGCAGCCAAGCCGTCATTGACGGCATTCTGTACGAATGTCAACAAGGCTTTCGCGTCCGGCTCAGCCTCGACTGTCTCATCCGCAGGCATCTCAGCAAATAGATCTTCCGTCAATGAAGTGACCACTTCGTGCAGGTCCACTTCGTGAGAAACCCAGACTTTCTCTAGGAGTTTTGACAGTAGACTGAGGTTGGCCTTGACCCATTGCGTGTCTTTGACAGCAGCGGCTACAGCAGCGATGACTTCTGTTGAATTGGCGACAAGCGGTCTCGTAGTCGCGTTGATTTCCTACGATGTGTTAGCCGATTATTTGACAGACAAACAGAGTAACTTGCCTGGATCATCGTCCTGTGGAAGAATCCAAGTTTCACGTGCACGTTGGGAAGCCCTTTTGGTCCCAATATCTCCTTGAACAACATCAAAGCTCTCTTTGTCAATCCATTTCGAGTGACGGGATCCGCGGAAGTCGATACTAGTCGAAGGAGATGCGCTGTCATGAGTTCTCTGACTTGACTCGGCGCTGCCCACCCTCCACCACTACTGACAGAGATGGCCGTTCCTGCTCTATCTATCCTCAATTTCTTGGACGTGCCTTGATCCGACGAAGGATCGGCGCCGCGCTTGGATCCTTCTTCGCCTTCGGCTGCATCACTTTCCTTCGCAGCCATTCGACGCTTCTCCCAATTGAATATCAACTCCACGATGTCGACGGTCAATTTTTTCAGCTCAGGTGTAGCTGCTTGGGCGAACGCTAGCTTGCCGAGGGAGTTGGCGATGTGGGGAACATACAGCTCTCTGTAGTCGAAGAACAGGTCGGGATGGTGAACTAACAATTCGCAGACGGTCACCAACTGGTTGGTGGCGTGACCCTCCTCGATGAGAACGGTACGCAGCAGCTTTGCCCACTCTGGTGCACCACTAGCTGGGGGCGGGTCTCTCATTGAGAGGGACGAAGCTAGCGTGTCTATGGCCTGGCGGTAGAGGACACGATTGTCGGTGTCTTTGAGGCGCAGAACACCTGTCCACGTGAGACGCACGAATTTGACAGGGGTGTCGTATGTCGCCATGAACCTTGCCGCCAGTACATACGCCATGAGCTTCACCGTCGGCTCCAACAGATTGATGCCCATCCATGCCAGTTTAAAGATCTCCTTTCTTGCCTCGTTCACTTTGGAACTGCAGTGCTGAACCAGAAGAGTGGTCAACGCAAAGACCTCGATTAGATGAGTGTCCTCCCTCTGTTTGGATGATGTAATCACAGCGAGAGGGCGCCACATCAGACTTGCAATCTTTTGTACCAATTGAGGAGAGATCAACGATTGGTCGTGGTTCGGGTCGGCAAAGTGGACGCGAAGAGTCGGGTTGACGATCACTCTCAAAGCGTTCGTTTTGTATGCCCATGGAACGTCTTCAGACTCATACAAGTTGAAGAAGTACTCGATGACTTCTCGGCGGTAGTCGACCGACTCTTGCAGAGCGACTTGTTGGTAGAGGAAGAATGTCACGTGGGACCTTTCGAAGGCCGCACGGACTTCGTACGCTTCGACGACGTGGAAGAGAAGAGGGATGTGCTGTTGCTGCTCGAGGCTGCTCATGAACATTTCGAGGAGAAGCGAAGGCATTTGCTGGAAGTGGTAGCTGGTGGTGTCTGCCTTGGAATCACGGGACTTGCTGACGATCATACGCCAGACGCCGACCATCGGCTCCAGGACGGGCTCCGCGTCCGACAGCCAGCTCGATTGCACTCGCGACAGGTCTCTGACCAGAAGAAGACCTGGGAGTACCAGGTCTATAGCTTCCGTGTCACCAAAGCAAAGTTGACAAAGATTCTCTGCACGATTCGCCAATTCCTCCACCAGATGAGGAGCTTCGCCTGAAGTTATGATGTTACGATATGTCCACACATAACGAGGGTTGCGAACGTTGTCGAACAAGTTCTGGACAGCATTCGCATGATATCTGTCCAGATATCGACCGAGATACTCGGTGAAGGGACCAGGCTGCGATTGGTGCAAGATGGTTTCTACCTCGACAACATTGGCGACGAGATCGTTCAAGTATTGTATGGCACTGGCAGGTAGAAGTCGGAAGATGTTGACCAAGCGAGACATGCGCGCAATGTTGTGATTGTCTTCAAGTGGAGCAAAGGCCGCTTTGGAGAGCATCTGATGATCTCCGAGGGTCTTGAAATGGTCTAGAAGTTTGACTCCGATCTCGACCTTGAAGTAGTTTGTCAACAATTCAAGGAAACGAGCGAGACCATCGAGGCCCGATACGCTCAAGCGCTTGGCATCGGCAAGGTTGACCAAGATAGGCCGCAAGCCCTTTTGAAGCACATCGCGCGAAAGTCGGTTCTCTTGTTGCAGTACGTCTCGAAGGCCTTCGTGCGCGACTGCAACGATCTCGGGGTTTTGCGAGTAGACGTGCTTGAAATACACTTGGATGATTCTAGCGGTCTGGTGAGCTCAATTCCACAAACATGTAATTCACGTACCTCGCGCGCAGCTGTCCCTGGTTTGGCTTATTCATAAAGTCTGGAGTAGCCATAGATGACTTCAGCAACCTAAGGCAGCATATACGCAAAGCTTTGAGCCACGACTCTTGTTTGTGAGTCGCTGGCTTGGTTATGATATTGGCATCATCGATATCCGCCAGAGCCAAGACTTCGTGCAGTAACCGCACAAACTCCTCAGAGGTTGCCTCCACAGCCGAAGGCCGCAAGTTCATCAGATACGTCACCGCACTGATATTGCCAACCTGCATCGCGAACGGCAAGGCTCGGAGGGGTTTGGAGTAGATAGGGCCATGTTCGACGCTCAGCAGCTTTGCCTTTGCAATGTTGGTGATGAGGTCGGGTACTGACTGCGAAGTCACCTCGGCAAGGACCTCGATACACTGATGCGCAGCGTCCCGAGCGAGCTCACTCTGACTGTAGAGCTCCCCGACCAGAGTGTCTGTGATTCTTGCAAGTCGAGGTTTGCCGTCTTCTTGAGATTGACAGGTACGGATGAGGTGCTTGATGAGCTCAACAACATCATCTGCTGTCCTTGGGACGTCCTGGGGAGCATCACGGAGACAGAACAGCAAGGCTCTGATAAAGTCGAGCTCGAGGTCAATGATGTTCTTCCGGCTAAGCTCGATCTTGTGAGCAAAAGTCGAGATCGCAGCAACACCGGCCATCTTTTTATTCCAGGCCTCTTCGTGACAAAGCGTAATCAGGCGGAGTGCAAAGAAAGTCACCATACGGTCGAAAGAGCGGTGTCCGTCAACGACTGATGCGAATCGAGGGCTCAAAGCCAGATCCTTGAAGACCATGACAATGGTAGCAAGGAGGTCACTGAGTCCCTTGCGCTCTGACGTCTTGGAATTGGCGAGGGTCTCGAGGAAAGCATCCGACAGAGCGTTTGTAAGAGGCAGGAATCGCCGACGAGTGTGGTCGAGAGCCGATTTTGCAGTAGGCTCGGCACCGTCTGCCTTTCGGTCTGCTCTACCAAGTTCAAGGGCAAAAGCTCTCCTGCAGACATCGCGGACAAATGTGGAAGCCTTTTCACCGACGACTGGCTTGTCGCAGGCGATGAATAGCCTTGTCATGGTAGTCAGGAATGTGGCATTGCCTTCAGCGACCGGTGCTCCCTGTATTGAGTTTAGTACCAGGTCTAGCACCCGAGAAGAAAGACGGCTCACCTTTTCAAAGACAGTCAGAGCCGAGTACATCAACACCTGCAACCCATCCTCCTTCAACATCTCCGCATCATCATCAATCGCCATCCCAGCGGTCTGAACAAGAGACATCAACTCTAATTGATGGTGCGAGCCCTCAAACGTGATGGGCATTGTAATTTTGTCAGACAAATGCTGGTACTCGAGGCTGTCGTAGACCTCCTGGAATCTCCTATTCCTACCGCCGAGCTTTCCGAGGATCTTCAAAGCGGCATTTGCGTGTTCCCGGTTGGCCGGTACAGGCTTGAGCAGCTGGTGTAAAGCAGCCATCAAATCTCGGAGGACTGGCAGGAGCGTCGGGTCGAGGAAGTCGGCAGTAAGGTTGTCGATACACAGTTCCAGAGTCCTCAACCCTTGGCTGACCAGGTCGGGTCCCGCGCTGAGGGCTCGCACAAGAGGCTTCATGAGGTAGCTCAGGTGCGGGAGGAGGTTGGTGAGACGGACGGGAACAGTCAGCATGAGCTCGACAAATATGTCGGACTGAACCTCATCGGGAGGGTGGTCGAGCAGATAGGCAAGATGGTCGAGCATTTCTTGGAGAATTGGAAGGACCTCCTTGTAGAGAGCCTCGAAACGACCACCACCAATCGACCTAATCACTGTCAGCCACCGCGGAACCTTAGCATGAGTGAAAGCTTACCTGAACAACGCTCGGAGAATTTGATAGTAGAACGAAGAGTCTTCCGCCTTGGCCGCCGATTCGAACGAGCTCATGATGAGCTTTTGCAAATGGGGCACCAAGACACTCTCGTTGCTGTTGATATAAGTGTTGATGGCCAAGAAGGCAATTTTGAACATCTTGAGGGTCAAACTGGAGTTCGCCTTGTCCATGCTACCGACCTTGGGCAACTTGGCCATCAAGAATTTGAAAAGGATCGACACCAATTGGTGGGACACTGCCTCATGGGTGATGACCATTTGAAGCAAGGAGAACACCTGACTGTTGGAGATTGAGAGCTCGCTGAAAAACTCCATGTGGCTGCTCCACACCTCGGCAAACACATGCGGCTCGAATAGCAGGATGATTTCGGACAACATCTCCAAAGCTTCTTTCGCCTCTCTCGGGTCGCGGTTGACGCCGTCAAAGATGGCAAAACACTTGAGACTGCACTCGAAAAAGCGGCTAAGGACTTCTCCATCGGGTTGAGGTGGAGGGTTGTCGCCTTGCCGAGTGTAGGAGAGAAGGGTGCGGAAGGTGTGTAGAATGGTCTTGAAAAGATACCGAGAATCTAGTAGCGATATGAGCAATGGTACACTAGGGCGTAACGCAGACTGACCTCGACAGAATGTTTCAACAGATTCGTTTGCGTATGCAACAGAGTGCACCGGCATAGCCTGCTCGATATCCCTCCATCCGTGAGCCAATCTATCCGCTGATGCCTCTGACGCATTCGTGACTTCCACATCTTCATCCTCTGTCTTTTCCTTCAACTTTCCCTTCTCCTTTTCTCTCACTGACAGTCCCTTCAGTCTCTCGTGCGCATCCGACATGGCGGAGAGTTTCTCGAGGAACGTGAAGAACATGCCCTTCAGGATCCTAGACATTTCGTTCGTGTCGGCCTTGTGGTAGATGGAATCTATGATAGTGTTGAGGAGTTTGGCGCACATGGTCTGGATGGAGCTGGAAAAGGTAGAGTCGTTGAGATTACAGGAGAAGACGTAGACCACGCGGATCAATTGTTGAAGTGGAAGCTCGTTTCGTACGTGGTGGATGAGATCGGCCACTACCGAGTACGCCAGGGGTCTGAGCATCTCCCTGCTTGATACACCAGTACCGACCAAAACTCTTTCTTCAAGGAGAATGTCGATGTAGGGAATGAATGACGATCGAGAGTCGACCGTTAGGATATGCCGAGTAGCGACCAACAACTCTTTCCTTGTGATTACATCCTCCGGTGGGCAGTCTCTCAGAAGCCTGGCACAGGCCTCAGGGAAGACATTGACATAGTCTCTGTTGTTCCCCTGATTGCCTCTAAGAACGTACGCCAGAAAGGCCATCGTCTTAACCTGCGCCTTGACCAGCTCTGCAAACATCTCTCTGTTTGTGATTCCACTCGCGACACCCACAAAGATCTCTCCCTTCTCGCTAGCCTCCTGATGAGCCAGCCTTTGAGGCTCGGGCTGTATTTTGATGCTGTCGATGACGAGGGGATAAAAGTCGAGCATCGCTGTCTGCATGATGGATTTGTAGGTCTGGAAGATGAGGACGACAGCGATGGGGCATTCGGTGAGTACCTTGGGGGAGTGGAGAGCGTGGGGGAGGGTGGTGTGGGATTGCCCGTTGGCGGCCGCTTCGCCCTGGGCAGCCGAGGCCTTGGGTCCGCTGCCCGAGGTACCGAATTCCTTCTCGACTACAGCCTTGATGTTGGCATACATTTGCTTGACCAGATCAAGGAAGGGCTCGGTATAAGGCTCCATCTGGTCCTTGTTGCTCCTGAGCCCGTCAATCATGATTTTGATACAGAGCAAAGCGTTCTCTTCATTTTCGATTTTGAGTAGCTTGACACACAGTTCCATGACCGAACTCATGTGATGGCGGAATGGTTCCGTGTGGGGCAAACGCTGGAGAAATGCGAAAAGGGTGTGTCGGAATCGCTGACAGGGTGTCAGCTACAGCAGGGCCAAAGATGGTGCGCTCACCTGTTCAACATTGTCTTTAACAAACGTGATTGACTTTTCGTCGCCCAATATACTGATCAAGGCGGGGACAAAGACAGACAGGTACTTGTCATAGAATCCAAAGTCCCTGTTGTTCTCTGCCGAATCCCTCAACTCGAGAGCAATCTCGAGCTTCTTGCGCGTCGGAAAGGACGGCTCAAGCAGCTGGGACGCGAGAAACTCGCAATCGCTGACGGACATGGGCCCATTGCTGGTATGGCTTGGAGGTGGCATGCTGGTTGCGCCACCTCCTGCTGCTGAGGGGGTGGGTGTTTCTGAGGGATGGGGATGTGAGGCGGCGGTGGATGCTTTGCGGGGTCTTCCTGAACGGTTTGTAGACGGCGCGGAGGAAGCCATGTCGTGCAGTCCTGTCCTACTGAGGCATGGGGGGGTGGGAGGGGCTGACGCGAGGCGGGGGGTGCCGCGAGGGGGATGTTGAGTGATTCGAGGATGCGCGAGAAAGAACCCGCGGGCGTCCACCGGCCGTTCAAGAGGCCACTCGAGAATTCAAGTCAAGTCCAGGCACGCCGCGGCCATCGCCGTGTTCCTGGCCCCTGGCTTCAAGAACGAAAGATCAAGAAAGATCAACAACAAGTGACGATGGTAGATGCATTCGATGGCTCGATCCCATGGAGCACGTACTCGCCACCAAAGCACAGGTAGATGCCCTCCTCGAGTCTGCCACCGCCTTCCTGACCAACACCGCGCCCGCCGCCACCTACCACGCCCCCATCATCGACTGGCACCATCCCCACGCTTACCGCCAGCCAGACATCACAGGTCTCAAAAAGTTCATCAGCAGCGTGCAGAAGGAAAAAAGTCACCTTGATGGTCTAGTTGCGAGCGGCCGTCCGCCGAAAGATCTTGCCACGAATGCAATACACCTGCTTGCCGTTTGGGAAGAGGTCCAGAGAGCAGAGTGGCCCATCGGCTGTATAGCGCAGGTGCTGGAGTGCCCTGATGGGAGCCAAGTCAAGGTCGATGTGGTAGCAAAGGGTGGTCAGGAGTGGATCAAAGTCAATACGTAAGTCTACTTTGCCACCTTGCTATGTGTACCGACTCATCGGTGCCAGCATAAAAGAGTCTCGTCTCATGGCCGAGCTACGCGAGCACGACTCCTACTGCAACTCTGACTACTCTGACAGTGACTCGGAAGGCGAGTCCAGGCCACTGAATCGCCTCACAAACTCTGCCATCGAGCAAGCTGCCTCTATAGTCGAGTCCGCCAAAACCTATCCCCGCCTTCCCCATTCATCACCCCCCAAAGTCAGATATGTTCTGAACCGCCTAGAAGAAGACCCGGAAGGAGGGTATAGAGATCCTAGGATCAAAGAGACTTTTGAGACGATCCGAAATCTCGGCGCAGACCTTGTCCTTGCCTCGTCGGCTCGCTCTCCATGTCCTACGCAAGTGCACCCGCCCCCGCCAAAGCCCACCTCCAAGATACTCCTTGACCTCTCGGTCGTGGTAGCTCTGTGTTGCGACTCCACCCACCGCCCTCTTCCCACATCAGATGTCGAATTGGAGAGCCGTTTTCGGCCTTTGGTCCTTGGTGAAGACGGGCAGCTGGCTTTGGCCGCTCATGTACCTGTCACAAAGGATCTCAGGGACCAGCTGCGATGGGAGAGCCAACATCCTCTCATACAGGAGCTCAAAGAGAGGCTGGCGGTGTACGAAGGGACGCATGAGTTCTGGGTAACGGAGGAAGTTAGGACACGGCTGCCCAACATTGCGGAGATCATCGGGGGCGAAGACGAACGCCGGCGGGCTAGGGCGATCTTTACCGGCGATGGAGACTTTTGGGAAGGCAGTCGCTGGAAGGGAAACGAGGGCATACTGGGATCTCTAAGGCTCCACGTCTTGCCCGAAGAAGAATACGCCGAGCTGGATCCCCAGTTGTTCCAAATGTCTCCTTTCAGAGGCGGCTTCGCGACAGTCTGCCAGATGATGCTCGCCATAGTCGAACAACAAGCCTCCGCCTCCTCCCTCCCCCCTCCACCGCCTGCCCCAAAGACCAACAAAACCACCTCCTCCCGCCCGGGACGTCGATCCCAACCTGGTATCACCATCGCGTCCCGGCTTCCCAGCAATCATACCCTGCGGAGTTTTCTGGCCGGGCTCAAGCACGGTATGACAGTGTTGACAAACAACAGAGGCGCGGTAGGAAAGGTAGTGCGGGAGATGGGAGTGAATGAGGGCATGGCGTATGGGCAAGGAGACCAGAACGGCGAGGCGGTCGCGTGGGTAGTCAACCCTAGCAGCTTGTCGGAATGGAGAAGGAAAGAAGTTGAAGCTGAGAATGAGAAGATCAGGGGAACGGGACAAGGGGTTCAGAGCGATCTACCCAGTACAGTACCATCATAGCATCATTGATCGCAGCATATAGCATAGAAGAAGACGCATGCACAGCATTGCATGGCAAGGGCTGTTGACGGTCGGCCAACCTAGGGTGATGTTGATTCCCAGGTCTTCGCTTGCCTCCTTTCTGGGGTAAATTGCCTTCTAATGCACCCTCTTCGAATGTCCGATCGAAGGACACACTTCTGAGAACGGGTTATAGAGCATACAGAAGATCGAAGACCGCTCACTCGACTGCACGCTCGCATTCATCCCGCAACTCCTCCCTCGCTCTTCCTCTCTTCCACTATCTCTGAAAATGGACAACATCTGGTCTTCTCTAGGTCAGCACTTCGACCTGTCAAAGCTATCTTCTCTGCGCCAAAGGCGTGCGGCAATCAATCATGGCTCGACGCGGAGGAGTGTGGTGAGCGACGGCTTTCAGCCCAAGTATCGACATCCATATTTGACGCCATCTACTCCAAATGCGACGGACGATCAACGATCGACAGGTTTGAAGTCACCCGCCTATTCGAGCCACGCCACTTCTCGTTATGAGTCTATTGATCCGATGGCGAGGGTTGAGGAACTTTCCAGTTCCACTAATGACTGCGATGCACCGGTGGCTTGCCGCTATACACAAATCGACATTGCTCAACCAGATCCCGAAAGAGATATTGCTGGGAATTGATGATCCGGTCGAGATTGTGCGTTTCGCCGAGCCTTCATCCCTCGCCGCGATCGGCGATACGGCACCACCGCTGGTGTATGATACGAACTGCAGCGGGTCGGAGTCATCTGCTGGGTCCTCTTCTTGCTGTGATGACCAATACTCTTCTCGTGGAGAGGTGATTGCAGATCTCGCAGATGAGGATAGGAACATTTACCAGGTCCCAGGCCCGTTTCGCCAGCTCTCTGGTCGATATCTCCAAGCAGAGAACAGTCGCGTCCGGGCTGAGCAGAGCTTGCAAGACTCCTTACACGAGCTCGAAGAAGCAAGACACATCATTAGCGCCCTAACAGCCACTCTTCACAAGCTCGAGAATCACAGTGATTATCTCTCAGGGACGATTGAATCACTTCAGCAAACTCGATACCGTGATGACGGAGAAAGGGCAGAGTATCAAGCGAGACATGATGCAGATGAAGCTGTAAAGGGGTCGATATATGGGACCATCCGAGATTTGGGGGCGCAGATCTCACAAATGAGACTTGCGTCGACCATGGACAGGAGGCCGTACTTGATGAGTCGGGGTCGTTGGGACGGTGGCGATGACGAGAGGGGGGATGCTATACATGACGAGAACAGAGAATACCGTTAACATTTGTTTGATGACTCGCTGTGTCGCTGGAGTATGTATCCTGACTGTGTCAATTGAGTCAAAACAAGTTCCTTGGGTGCAACGAGTCGAATTCCCTGGGCCGAGAGATACCGCGCGAGCCCGCCGGCCGGCGTTCGGCCCGGCCAACAGGCCAACAAGTCCCAGAGATGGCAGAACCATATATGTAGACCTTCGACATCACTCGAGACTTGGGTCAGATAAACGAAACAACGCTGAAGCAGTCACTCGATATGCCGCGATTTCTCGTCTACGCCCCCGACTATCCCGACTATCTCGAAAAGAGACTCGCCGTGAGAGCTGAACATCTTGCTCGTGGCCAGATTGACACGGATTCCCGCCTTGTTCGTAAGTTTTCCTAGCTCTTTCGCCTTCCGCCGCTGACGAGCACGTCTTCCCAGTGTACAGCGGCCCCATACTTCCCCGGCCGGGCACCAAGGCTCGAGAGGCGACTTTGCCGGAGGGCGTCCCAAACATCGCGGGCAGCTTCATGGTCTACAAAATGGACAGCCTCGAGCAGGTATGGAATCGATTGAAGGAAGATGTGTATTGGAGAGCCGGTGTCTGGGATCAGAGCAGAGTCATTGTGGAAGAGCTCTTGAATTAGACGCCTCGAGGGGAGCGAACGACGCTCGGATCACAGCTCCGCATCTAGTCTGAAAGTAGTACTCCTGTCCAATGCATATAAACCTCCAAGTGTCATTTTTTTACTATCGTCGATATATATCCTGCGCCTCAAGGTGAATCATTCACCACTGTGCCACCTCGCCCGCATGCTCCATAGCCTGATCAAATATTCCCAAAGCGTCATCTCCTTCCGGTCTCTCCGGTATCCCTGCACTACCAAGTGCTCCATCGAATAGTCGCTCGCTGAACATGACATGGTTGGAGGGGGTCTGTTGGCCCTCATGTGTCCACTGTCGCATACTTGGAAGGTCCCTGGACTCGTTCTCGCCCTGAGCGTAGGCATTAGCGATGAGGTCTCCAGGGGCTCTTTCAGCGAAAGATCGTCCATCTTCCCTCGAAGCTTCCATCAAGGGAGGTAGTCGGTATTCCATGTTGTGCTGGGCAGGAACGCCCTCCATCTCGTACCCTGGCGCATAATAACCCTCTTCCATTGCATAGCCTTGCTGGGGAGGAGGGGCAATGTCTGGTGCCACACCGCCTTGCTCCCAGTAGTCCATTCCAGGAGGCGCCTGCCATTCGTACCCGTTGCCGACACCCATCATACCATCTATAGGAGGCAGGCGGTACATCTCATTCTCAACACCCGTGGGTGCCGGACCGCCTTGAGCGATACCTCCGTAGGCTTCGCCTGAATAGCTGCCACCCATCTGGAGTGGTCGGCCGTCCATGCCATAGCCCATCTGCATGTAAGAGTCCATGGCGTACTGCATGCCTGGGTGGGTGTGCCCATGAGGCCCGTTCATGGCCCCATTGGGGGGAGACATGCCAGCAGCGGCGGCAGCATCCTGCCGAGCATGATAGTCATTCGTGCCAGTCGAGGATGCGAGGCGTGCGTTGGCGGCGTTGTAGAGAGACATGTTGAGCAAATTGGACCCGAGAAGGTTCTGGCGCATCTGCTTGGCACGGGCTTGAGCTCTTTGGGCACGGACGGCACCTTTGGAAAGCTGTCCAACTTCGCGTCTTCGGCGGCTTCATCTCTGATCAGCACGTGAACAAAAGATAAATCAGTGAAAGCTCACCTTCGACTTTTCGTAGAGGTCTCCGACTCGTTCTCGCTAGCATCGCTCCTTGTGACCAATTGATCTTTGATCTCCTTTTCCAGCTCGCCACCTGCCTTCCCCTTGATCAAAGCATCGGCCACGGCATCGACCTTTTCATCTTCAGCAGGATCCTTCCTCACCCGGCGGCGGATGATGTCAGTACGACGAAAGACGGGCTGGTATCGGTATCCTGGGTACTTCCGTTGATGCTCTTCCTTCTCAAGGCGAGCCTTTTCTTGAAACTCTTGACGTACCTCTTGCGGAGCTTCTTTCCACATTTTAGCCGCCTGTATCGCATTATAAATCATCACGTGCAAATGGATGGCAAAGTACGTACCACGACAGAAATGTTCTGGTGCTTGACCTCCACGCTCGGAGGAATGAGGTTGGAGTCGGTGATATGTTTCCTGAAGAGGATGAATGCATTTCGAGCTCGCTTGATGTGGCCCTCGGGTTGCTATAGTATAACGTCAGCATCATGTCGATTCCTTTGTCCTTGTTCAACGTACCTTTCTCGCGTGACTCTTCTTTTTGGGAGGGGGCACCCCATCATCCCTCCCTGTCTCGAATCCACTCTCGCTACTGGCGGCACTCTCTCTGATGTTGGTGCTTTTGCCGGCATTGCCGCCTTGCTTTTCAACAGAGCCAGCAATAAGACTTTCCAGATCAGTAGCGTTATCGCCGTTCGACCAGTCTGCACTACCTCTTCGAGCAAGAGGGGAAGAGGGTGACTCGCTCGTAGACGATGGTGGCTGGGTAGAAGGCAGAGAGTTGAAAGCGGTATTGATAGGCCACAGAGGGTTGGCACCGCCGCTGACAGCGGCTGGAGACTGGTTGTTGGGCGCAAAGTCGGGGAGCCACGAAAAGTCATCCAATGCCGGGTCCTGAACTTGCAGATCTTCGGGTCCAGCAGGGAAGCTATCGGAAAGGCCCTTGAGGGCAGGGTCTATGGCATCATCGGCTGTAGCAGTTGTATAGGCGTTAAGGTTTTGAGCAGAGGTCGTCTCGAGTAGTAGAGGGGCTTGCAATGTAGCTTGGTTGCCAGACTGTTCTTTTGGTGGGGAGGACGAAGGCGTGTGGTTACTCTGCTTTGAGGGAGAAGGTGATTGATGGGAAGAAGGCGGGGATGTCAGAGGACTCGAGCTGCGTCTCTCGACTATGCAGGTGTCAGGTGTTGTTGAATGATCGCCATGAACATCATACGCACCATCACTCTGGCTAGCGCCGGATACGCTAGCACTGGATCCACTATACCGATCAACTGACATGTCGACAACTATTTGGTAATGCTGGTTGAAGTGGCAAAGGAAGAAGCTGGCCTCTGGTGCAACGGTTGACTCAAAAGAGGTTCAAGGTTTGTATACCGGCTTATTCTCGAAGACCTGAGTGGCGTGTCGCTGTTGTCTCTGTGGTGTGGCCGATAATCCGTTCAAGTTGTGTCCCACAATGGTAAAGGCGAGTTTCTTTCACGATGAAGAGAAATATGGGGATGAAAGGTTTGTGGGCTTGCTGTTATACCCATCGGAGAACGGCGATGGTCAACTCGCGACCCGACTCACCCTAGCCAGGCCTTCCTTTGCCCTTTCACCCTTATTCTCCGGGCTCCACAAAGTGAGCATGCACAAAGGATAGGAATAGAAGTCCGAGCATGTTTGAGAATTCCTTGAGGATCCAATGTTGAACAAGGAGAAGGGCGAGGCTTTGCGTGAAGGGGGAAGGCTACGGAGCATGAGAAGATATACAGGGGTGTCTTGTCAAAGGAGATTAGTAGAGCTCATTAGCAGCGTTTCAAAATATTGGCCTGGCGGATCCTTTGTTGCTACCTTGTCACTCACTTCCTTTGGCTGTCAAAAAAGGGTCGTTAAGGCGTTATACATCTCGGCCGGTCCGGAGCCAACGGAAGGCTTGTGATACCAGCTCAGGCAAAGTGGCTTTGAGGAGGGATGAATAGACGAGATGACTACGTAGGAGGATTCAGACTGGACACACTGTGAAAGGAGAGGAAGCGGATAGATAGGGAAATGGGGGGACATCAGACTGGCGCTCCTCTTCAGGGGACACTGTGGGTGTAGCGGCAAGGATGGTTGTCGCCTTCAGTGTCCTTGCCGACTATTACATCCATGCCGAGTGACTGCCGGTGGTAAAGCAACTCGGTAAGGATACAAGTATGTTATCGGCGTCCAGCCATTGAGCAGCTTGTTACACATCTCCTGTTCCCTGTGAGCACCGCCGTAATACAGATCCAAATTGGGCGACATGCTTAGCTGGTTACATGCCATGCAATGATAGACTAAGCGCATGCCCACATTATTCTTCTGTTTATACTTTTGTCCGTGTTTTCTACTCCTCCTTCTCAGCAGGAGAGTCACCCTTCTCCTCGGCCTCCTTGGCCTCGGCGGGGGCGTCGGACTTGGTAGCCTGCTCCACGCTCTTCTTTTCGGCGAGAGAGTCATCCTTCTCCTCGGCTTCCTTGGCCTCAGCGGGAGCGTCAGACTTGGTAGCCTGCTCGACACTTTCCGCCTCCTTCTTCTCCTCTTTGGGCTCGTCCTTCTTCTCCTCGTCCTCGGCAGCCTTCTGGACCTGAGCCGTCTCGTTGGCGTTGGCGCCTCCGTCCTTGGCAGAAGGCTTGGTCTCTTCGCTGGGCTTCTCGCCTTTGCCCTCCTTCTTGGTAGTCATGTCCTCGGCGGAATGTTCAGCATTGGGGTGGGTGTCCTTGGGGTCCTCGGAAGCCTGTATGCATCGTCAGTTAACCTTTCACCTCAAAATCCTGTGCACTCACGACAGCCCGCTCAGTAGTGTTGGGAGACTCTACGGGGTCGTCACCGGTGGAAGCCTTGGGCGCAGACTCGTTGGTCTCGGCCTTTTCGTCATCATGAGGGGTGACTGCGTGGTGGACAGTCTGTTTTGAGGGGACAAGGATGAAGGCGGTCTTTGACCATCGCGAATCAGCACGTGAATATGCCCACAAACACGCGCACTTACGAGACCACCGAAGCCGACCAAGGAGCCAGCGATCCAAGGAAGGTCGCTTGAGGCCTTGTGACCGCCCGCAGAGGTTGAGGCAGCTCGTCGAGCGACGAATTGGGGGGCGACGGCGGCACGCCTGGAGGCGAGCCTGGCAGAGAGGCGGAGGGCAGATCTGGAGAGCATGGTGGAAATGGATGGGCTGTGGTTGGACGAGCGTGGTGAAAAGAAAGAAATCGAAAAGTGACCTGCGAATGACGGCTGGGTCGGATAGCGCCAATGACGAAGGTCGCCGCTTTTGATCCCGTTATTCGGCCGCTCAGCCCTGAGCGATTTGGTTCCGCTCACTCAACATCCTCCAGAGGCAAGTCATAACGGGGGCATGTGTACATATGACAAGCCATAGTGTTGCAATATGGGTCCTAGCTATCTCACAAAGGCGGCCTCTCCGAGTGTTTTCCGACGCACATCCAGATGTTGCCCACCGGCAGCTAATATCCTCTCCGTCGCGAGTTCGCCCAGCGCCTGCAGTTGTGGCAGAGAAGTCGCGAGTTCTAGGGGCACGGACGACTCTGCAATGGGGTTATCGAGTAATTGCATGACAGCCTAGAGAGTTGTTAGTGAAAGATGTCAGATGAAGAATGGGCGACGTGCCAGCTTGATACCCCACCACGTTCTTGTCCGACTCGTGTTGAGATTGCTGGCCTTCCCGCCCTGCATCTCTGCGGCCCGCAAAAAGTGTTTCAACGAAAGCTGGTAGTCCCTGCACAGACTTGTCAACAGTTGCTCGCCCAGGACAGGAAAGGCGTACCCTAACGTATACGCGACCTCGCCCGACCTCCTCAAGATACCGTCATCCCAGTTGTTGATTATCGACATGTGCCCCAGAGCACTGAGCGCTTGCGGATACAGGCCTTGCTCACAGTAGAGCTCCGCCAAAAGTGACCAAGCCATGGGGTCAGCGTAAAAGGTATCCAGATAGGACAGAAGGAGAGGAATGGCCGCTGATGAAGGGGCCGCAAGGGAGATGAGGCGTTGGTGAGCTGTCTAGATAGAGTGTTTCAGCACACCAGGAATACTGTCGTTGGCCATTCAGACCCACCACATCAGTTTCGTCATCTTTCAGAAGCCTTTCATAGACCGCTTTGGCCCTGGTAGCATCTCCGTCCGCCTCGAACCTCAATCCGTCCAGAACTCTGACTCGCGGTGAGCCTCCAAATTGCTTGTGCAAGATGTCTATTTGCGTCTGTATGGGCGACACATAGTCAGCAAAAGACACATTGCAAGATTCGCAGATTATGGCGTACAACGGCTGAATTGATCCGCCCCAAATCTAGAGCTGCGATGGCAAGCTGTTCTCTGACTGCCCATTCTACAGGATACATGTTCAGCACGCCATTGATGGGGATGTCAAGTACCGCATAGGCATACGCACCTTGATCGCCCAGGGTCCCGGAGGCCAGCACGCGTGTTGCGAGCTCTACTGTCTGTTCCGAGTGCCGTGCTCCGAAGGTTCTCCACTCTGCGAGCTTCTCGAGGTCTGTCTTGGCCATGGCTGCGGGTGGCGTGTTATGTATATGTATAGCCTGCCATGCCTCATAATCTGTTGTTGTCAGTGATGCGTCGCGGCGGTGTTACATAAGCAGCAAGGTCCGGCCGGGGGTGGTGGAGGTTGACCGGCAAGCGCGCTGATGCCTGGGAAGGGACGGAATCTTGACGGAATCACGAGCAAGGCCATCATGTATTAAACATCTCGTCATCCATTCATTCATACTGCCACAGCACAATGACCACCAACACTCTCCACCACTGGAAGGGCGTCCTCCCCTCCGCCCTCGACGCCGTCGGCCACACGCCACTCGTGCGCCTCGACCGCATAGCCAGGGAGGAGGGGCTCAGCTGTAATCTATGTAAGCGCGTCCGTCCATCTTTCAAAATAGGAGATATATTAGTGAGGCATCAGCTGACGGTCCTTGTCAGTGGCAAAATGCGAGTTCTTCTCAGCTGGAGGATCTGTCAAGGATCGCATCGCCAAGAGGATGGTGGAACACGCAGAGAAGACGGGCCGGCTGGTTCCAGGCAAGAGCGTTGTCATTGAGCCCACAAGTAAGCTTTGAACAAAGGAAAGGAGTGGTATAGAGTGGCTGACCTTGGCAGGTGGCAACACGGGAATCGGTCTCGCTCTCGCATGTGCCATCAAGGGATACAAGTGCGTCGCGTGTAGATCCGGATTTGAAGATGGCTGAGGTAATATCATAGATGTATTATCACGCTTCCAGCCAAGATGAGCCTCGAGAAAGAGGTCATGCTGAAAGCACTCGGGGCCGAGATTGTCCGTACACCGTGGGTTCTCATTGACGCCGCGACCATGAGGGGAGACTGACATCAGTCATACAGGACTGAAGCTGCGTGAGTCTGCTAATTCTACCCTTGACCAAATTGTCTTGACCAAGGTCGTCAGATTTGATAGCCCTGAGAGCCATATCGGAGTTGCACGAGCTCTGGAGAAAGCCATTTCGGGTGCCGTCATCCTCGACCAGTATTCGAATCCCGACAACCCTCTTGCTCATTACTTTGGTACATACGAAGAGATCATTGTAAAGTGACCACACGTAGACTGTTACCCAATACTGACGTGTCGGACAGTACTCTCTCGAGACCTCCGACCTTCCCCGGAAGAACATTGTACTTCTTGCCGCAGGCGCTGGTACTGGAGGCACAGTCTCCGGTATCGCCCGCGCTATCCGCGACTCGGAAAAGACGGAAGAGCATTTCGAGCATGGCATCGAGAATGGGCTTGAGGAGACCAATATGTCAGGTCAGCGGGCGGTCGTGCTGGCTATAGACCCTGAAGGATCAATCTTGGGCGGCGGAGAAGTTGGGAATTATGAAGTGGAGGGTATTGGATATGTGCGTCCCTCGCCATATTGGTTTAGGATGTCTGCTGACACGTCTGGTAGGACTTTTTCCCCGAGGTGCTCGACCCTAAACCGCCTCTTATTGACGAATGGATCAAGACCAACGATAAAGACTCTTTCGCTGCTACCAAACGCGTCATGTAAGTCATACCCTTCAAGAGACCCGCTTACGCAGACAGTCGCAAGGAAGGCCTCTTCATCGGCGGATCTTCCGGTTCCGCCCTATCTGGGGCCCTCAGATACCTGCACTCCCCGTCTGGCGCTTCCATCGCCCAAGATCCCTCCGCCAATGTCGTCATCCTCTTTCCTGACGGCGTCCGGAACTATATCAGCAAGCCTTGGTTCTTGGAGCAGGAAGCTGGAGAGGGAGGGCAAGAGCTGAGGAACCAAATTAGGAATGTCCTGGGTAGGGATCTGGGGGATGTTTATGGGACGAATGGAAAGGTTACCAGCAACTAGAAGAGGTCACGTAGAATTCAAATCGTTAATCATGTCATTGTCTGCATCATGATCGTTGTTGGTAGTGCTCAGCACCGGTCTACTCCTCGTCCTCACTCTCATCCTCTTCGTCCTCGCTGATCTCCAAAGCCGCAAAGAATCCCCCGGCCTGCTTCATCGGCATCTTGTCGTCCTCTTCACTCCCTGAAAGCTCTTCCTCGTCAGATTGGCTTTCACCATCCTCCACATCCTCGTCCTCGTCTTCCTCCGCCGTCTCCTCTTCCGCGCTCGGCCCGTCAGCAGCCCCGGCTTCGTCAACATCATCACCCAGCCAGATACCTGCACCTTCCTTGCCAGAAGTCTTTGGTGGGTAGAAGCCCCAACGGACTTTGCCATCTGCCAGTGCACGCATCACTGCGTATTGCGTGAGCATCCAAGAATACAAGGTGGGGAAGGGTACTCACTTCCGTCGGCTGCGCGATTGATATCCGGTCTACCGCCCTTGGCAGTCACTACCGCCTTGCGTCAATGATTCAACTCTCCTTTTCGCCAAGTCACTTACTGAATCCTTTATCAATAGCCCTCTCTTCCAACACACCGCCAACGCTCCATCTATGCTTACGCTCCTCATCCCTCTTTCTTGCCCTCTCTGCCTGCCACTCATGCCTATACGTCTTTTTGACCTCTGTCTGGAAGAAATCATCCTCTGGAGCCGGGCGGGGTACCTTAAAGATGGTTTCAATGGGGAGGTGTGAGGAGGCAAAGGTGAGACAGGAGGGGAGGGAGGGGATCTGGGAGATGGGAATGACTTGGCAAAGATGAGTATCAAATCGTGAATTATGAGGGAAAGGACGTACTACCAGCTAAGGCTTGCACCTCCAACCCAGCCAAAGAAGGACAAACCAGACCTGGGCAATCGACAATCTTGACTTCCTTCTTTGAGCCCCAGAACATGGTCTGGAAGTGCTTGGTCTGTCCAACAAGTCAGTGGATGTCATTCACAGAACGATCATCTCACCTTTCCGGGTTGCCTACTTGCCCTGACTTTTTGCTCACCCAACAAGGCGTTCAATAGAGACGACTTGCCAACGTTGGGCTGGCCTATCAAGCCCAGCGTGAAAGGTTCCGTAGCAAGATCCCTCCTGTACCCTTCCCCGCTCGTTTCTGCCTCTGACTCATCCGCCTCTTGCGCAACTTCGGCAGCGACTTGCATCTTTTCTTTTTTCAGAGAGAGTACGACCTCGCTTTCTTCAGTCAAAGCAGCCCAGTCGACAGTGGGGCGGGTGGGAGCTTTCCACGATTTCAGCTTCTCGGGGTCGTCTCGAACTCGTGCTGGGGGCTGGAGAAGGCGCTCGTGGGCGGCTCTAAGAGCCGAGATGAGCTCGTCGAGGGACTGTTGAGGAATGTCGGGCTTGTGACGCCCTTTGCCTACAAACATATTAGCCCAAGCGGACTTGATTCAGTGGTAGACTCACCCTCTCGCAAGAGCTCAATATCGTACGATCTCACACTGACGACCTGAACGCCTTCCTGTCCCCACCATCCCTTGACCCACTGCTTCCACCCTTGTAAAGCTTTAGCATCGACCAGATCAGACTTGGTCAACACCAAGATGATCTCCTTGTTGGGACTGAGAGACTGGAGGTGGGTGCGTAGAGAAGGCGGGCAGTGTAGAGGGGGACACCTAGTGTCCATGAGAAGCAGCAGTACTTGTGACGATTCAGTGACTCGCCAGCTGTCGTCTAGTCAGCTCGGCTCCTATATGAAAGAAATGGACTTGCAGTTGTCTCCACACATCTAGGTTGGTCTCGAACCACGTTGGTCCTCGAGGAAGATTGAAAGTCTCGTCTTCTGTTTCGACTTGTTCCTCTTCTCCATCGACATACTCTTGCACAACTTCCTCCACCCCCTTCAACCACTTTTTGAACACACCTTCCTCGTTCTTCTCCACTTCCTTCTTCGTTTGGCCATACCTGAATTTGGGTCTTGCTGGACAAGTGAGACGTCTTTCAGGGTCTCTGTCCTCGAGAACGCCAAGAGGAAACTCGGCACTTGACGCTGGCAATGGTCGTTCCAGAGGCAGCGCATAGGCCAGCTCTCGAGTCCTCACCACATAGTCCGAGGACAAAGCAATGAACTTGGACTGTAGCTTTCTCGAGCTGGCATCTACAGGTGCATCGGAGCGAGCGGCGACCTGGCCTGGGCGTTTCTTCTCTGTCTTGAGCTTTTGCTGCGAGCGAAGCTGGTCGTGCTCCTCTGCAGTCATGTCGCCTCTTTTGAGAGCGCGCTTGACGAGGAGCTGCTCCTTGCGGCGTTTGTTTGAGATGGGCACTTTGCGCGGCATGGTGTGAATGGGATTGAATAGATGCACTTCCAAGTCACAAATTATATCTATGTCGACGAGAATGACGCAGAAGCCGAGAGCATACCGGAACCGAAATGCACATCCGGACATGCATAAACGATATCCGGACACCAAGGCCCGATGTCCGCGGCTGCTATCTTATCTTTTGCACAACTTTTGCAGCGACAACAACGGACTACTGACGACTATATATGCGATACAAACGTCTTTTCATCGTCCACCCATCCACCATGTCCGCCGTCCCCTCCCTCGAATCCCTCAAAGACCCCTCTGCCCTCACCACCCTCCTCGCCCTCCTCTTCGAGCCCTCCCCGTCCCTCCACTCCCTTCTCGTCCCCTCAGTCCACAGCCAGCTCGCGACGTCCACTAGACTCGAGAGCTACAACATCATCATAGACCTTTGCCAAGCCACCTCCAGCCGGTGGAGCTGGCAGGAGAAGGCAGACTTTATCAGTGGACATCCCATGATTGGTGAAGTCACGGGGCTCAGTAAGCTCAGTGGGAAAGAGCAGGGAGGTGGTGGAGCCACGCCCAAAGAGGTGCTCGATAGGTGGGTTTCTTTCACAGTATAACATCCCAAAGACTGATCACATCTGCAGACTTGCTCATCTGAATCAATTGTACTGCAAAGTCTACCCAGGCCTCCGGTACATTACTTTTGTCAACGGCCGCTCCCGCGCCGAGATCATTCCAGACTTCGAGTCCGTTCTTGGTCTCCCGGCGTCCACCGGTGACCCCAATGAGCCACCGATAGACTCTGAAGAGGTAGAGAAGATGGTCAAGGCTCCTGAGAGCGAAGAATGGAAGAAGGAATGTTCGAGAGGTTTGGCAGATGTTTGGCTCATTGGCCGCGCCCGATTGAGTGGGATGGGCTTGAAATAAAATTGTATTAAGTATCAGTCTGTATCACTCAGATGAGTCAGAGTATGTAGTCCAAAAAAGTGTAATGCATACACCTAGGATCGGCGAGCGGCCAGACTGTTGTATCTCTCCAACTAGTGACCGCCCTCGCTGACCGGAACCAGAAGGCATCTAAGAGCCTAGGAAGTGTACTCGAGTAGTACATTGCGAACTCAATATATGACAGTGGTATTGTAAAAGTTGTTTGTCGTGAGAAACACCCTCTCTAGTGTATACACAAACAATGTCCATCAAGAGAATCCCGCAACCCTTCACCCTCCCCAAATCTCCTACTCCCCTAACCCATGTATCGGCACGTAATCTGGGTCAATCTCTCCCGGTTTCATGTTTTCCAATAGCTGCAGGATGAATTTGGCCTCGAAGCTGGAGTTTGTAAAGACAGTGACCAGAGAATCAGAAGTGGTGCGCAGGATATTGGGAGCAAGGACGAGCGCTGGAAAGTAATGTCAGCTCGGTCGGACGCCGACTGTAACAAGCACTCACCCAGGTTCAACGGGCCCATCTTGGTCTGCTTTACAACGTCCGCCTTCAAAAACATCTGCACAAAGCTGACAACAAACACCAAGACTCTCTTGTTATACAGTGGTAATCTCTGGACAATGTCAAACACTTCTGCGTACGAGCGTGAAGCGAGAAGGGCGTCATTGTAAAGCGTTGTCGGAATGATGGGTTCTTCCAGTTCACGTAGCCATAGCTTGAAAAGGGAGGCTGCCACGTGAGGGTCGTCGATGCCTTTCTGCTCGGCAGCTGTCAGTACCCTTTTTCTCCAAGGTGAATAGACACGTACCAGTTGATAGTGACCTCTGTCCATCCTACTTTTCAACTCTGCCACACAATCGCCGTCTCCCGGAACTCTAAACACCCCTTCGCTCTCCATGCCACCCAGCGCCAAAATCCCGTCCGCCAAGAATGGGAGGACCACAGGAACCTTGAGCTGAGGGTAAGATTTCTTTTGGAGGTCCATGATCCGGGCAAGTGATTCGCCGTATATGGAGGGGTAGAAGGCTGCGTCAGAGGCATGTTCAATTTCGCCGACAGTCAGAGATTTAGCGCGACCGCCCTTGGTGGAGAGTGCTTCGATCTTGGTCATGGAATCTTTTCGGCATCAGTGATCATACTCGCATGAGCGTTGATGTACTCACACTTTGCCATGATCCCAATTCCATCACGTTGGTCACTGAGGTGCTTTTCTAAAAAGTTCTTGACGAATGGCTCAAAGTTCTTGGTGGGCCCGAACGCATTCACAAAGACACAAACCAGTTGGAAACCCAATACCACAGAATCACTGAGAGCCTCTGTCAGCAAGGGACCAAGTCACATCTACAAGACTCACTGATCGGGGTTTCTGGTCAACTGCTTGACGACTTGGCTATACACTTCGTCCCTCATCTCTACCTGCGCCACCGCCAACTGGATCAACCATCTAATCTCCTCAAGCACCAATATCTTCTCGCTCCTTGCCTGCTGGCCGCCAGCGTCTGACCCACCAAAGTTTCGCACACTTTGATTGAGCCCAGGCCTCACTCCAAGTTCACCAGCCTGGCCAGACTCTTCGCCTGACGCAGAGCCCTGACCTCTGAGGGAGGAGTTCAAAGCCAGCCCACTACTTCCGGCTTGTGTTGGTCTAGCGCCTTCCACTCCCCTATCCCTTTCGCCCATCACATGTTGAATGACTTTGAAACTCTTTACAGCTTCCTTGTTGAGACTCTTATCAGACAGGACGAGTAGAGAGGAGGTGATAGGGGACCTTTGCCATTCCATGATTCGGTCAACAGGTATGCGCGTTCTCAGGAATCCAGTGCGCTTAATGGCAAAGTACTTTCTGGAAAAGTCATCTTTCTGGAAGGATTGTATTTGCGAGGTAATCTCAAGGGGCAGTAAAGGGTGAAGGCTGTCTCCGAGTCAGTAAAATTCAATCGATCAGGATTCAGCTTACCCAGTGCTCATTCGCTTGGTCCTCATGGACGCTTGTCCAGGAGTCTCGACATATATAGGCTCAAGAGGCATGTCCTTGGGCAGATTTGCACTGACCGAGTTGAGCACCGCGCTCACCTTTGATGGGGACACAGCTGTTGGGTTATTCGAGTTCGAAGTAGTGCTCGTCTGCAGCCTATCCCCACTGAGTGCCCTACTCGGCGTCTTTCCCTTTCCTTTATCTCTGCTCTCGGTTGACTTTTTTCTGCCCCACGCCTTACTCCTTCTCTTGTCCCACCATCCACTTGTCCCCAGACCATTGTCGCTTCTATCGGCATCGCTTCCGCTACCCGTACCGCCTTCCCCTGCTGTGGTCAAGCTTCCAGTGTGAGACTCGGTCTCTTCAAGCACAGGCAAAGAGCGAAGCGTAGTATGAAATTGGGGCTTCTGCGGGGAGGTAGAAGGCATCGACATGGGTGAGTCGGGAACGCCATTGTGGCTGTTTCCGTTGGCATAGCCATTCTCAAAGATCCTTGAAGATGAGGGAGTAGTGGGCATGGCGTTGTGGCTCGGAGCGGGTGAATACAGCGGGATGGGGATTCCTTCACTGGGCGTCTTGCTGGGAGTCGTCTGAACGGATTGCGTCGTATAGTGACGTTCTCGGGAGGGAGTGGTCGGATCGGGGATTGTTGGGAGACGGGAGGTGGACGCTGAGGTGGCCAGTCGGGCGTTGCTGTTGTTCTTGGGGCGCGCCGGCAGAGCGTTTCGCTGGAGAGAAGTAAGCCTCATTATGACAATGGTAGGTGTAAGAGTACAACTCGCCTGGATCAATCCCAAGGGGATCACGAACGCGCTTCCACCTGGCCGCGTCCATTGTGTTTTGCCTGTCAAAGTGTCTAGTTTGGTGAACGGAGTGTCAGTTGAGCACCCTTGAAAGCATGCCTTTTGTCCCTGAAGAAGGGATGAGAAGCGTATACGCACTGTAGTAGTATGACCGGTTGCTCCTTGTAGAGTCTGCGAGCTCCCACCACTCTCCTTCCGGAGACCTTGGAACACTGCGGCCAAGATGTCAGCGGCAGTCTCTCACAGATGCGTAAACCTTACACAAACGCTCCGACAGGAGGATCCCAGCTACACTGCCCCGAGGCAGGGTTGGCAAAGAAAACGTGTTGCGTCTACATGGCCGGCGACATCAGCTTTGCAGACCCCAAGTACTCGAGAGACGTACTAGGGGATCAGCTAGCGTAACCCAAAAATGTAAACTCCATCCAAGTGTTGGATCTTCGCACTTGGCGAGCGCATCCTGCACATCCAGTCCAGAAGGAAGCAGCCCTCGGTGTCCGACCTGCAGGTTGTCTGTAGAGAGTCTTCCAGTAGTGCTGGCGCCTCCCGCAACCGACTGCTGATCTTGACTTTCTCTTCGCGAATTAGTAGATGTGCGGGGATGTGGTGAACCTCCAGCAGTCGCTGGTCCCCGTATACTACTGCCTCCGCCCCTGGAGCCAGTGGAGTTGGACCCCGAGTGAGAATTCGAGTTGCCGGTACCATTGGGAGGGCGGTTGTCCTGCCCGTCGTGCAGACTGGCCGACTCTCTCGGGTCTATGCTCTCGGGCGGCAGTCTTGTGGGGGACAAGTGTCCCCTGTTCCTCTCTACTTCGCTGTCCATTCTCCTCTGTGCATCGCGCAATGCCTGCTTTTCGGCGTGCGAGTCAATAGTGGCTGCGCGGGGGCTTGACATGTACTGCGACGAATGAGGTGCGCGGGGCAGGGACGCATAGGAGGGTGGGAGAGTGTCGGTATGCTCGTCGGTAGGGGTGGGGAGCTGGGGATTGGGACGTGTGTGGTGGATACGGGCCTCGAGAGGGGGAGCATGGACCGCGGAGGCAAGGGAGGACGACATTGTTATCGTTTGTCGCGACGGGGTGTGATGGCGGATGCAGGGGACTGGGGCACGGATATGTGAGGTGGGGATATGTGGGCTGAGCTGTCCCGTCCCGCCTGGCAGCTAGGGGCCGAGGAGAAGAGCCAGAGGAGAAAAAGAGGGCTGGTGACGGCGGTGAAGACAAAGACAACAAGCTTCCGGCTCAGGTGCACTAGGGTGGCAACACAAACCCTATCCGCCACATTCGCATCTTCTTCTCCACCTTCCTCGTCCTTCCCCTTCCGCCCGCCAGCGCTGGGCAGGCCCTATTGGGGAGTCTACTTCTACTCGTACAGCCCTCTATGTCACTGGCGCGACGCGTGCTTTTGTACGTGATATGCATGCGCCGAGACGCGTAAAACGCGTCGCAGGCCCCTGTAGCTTTCCCGCTCTTCCGTAATGAATGTTCCTGCTCTCCCGACGTCTGGCAACAACAATTAACCCTCTGGTGACAATGTCAGTCTTGGATCTTGGAATCAATTATAATCGGGACTGATTTTTTTTCGCTCGGAGGATCGTATGCACTCGTACAGTACGTGCGTGGTGCATACACAAAACATATCGCCCGGCTGACTCAATCATCGTCAGCCGCCGGATGGTGGCTTGCTCCTCGGCGTTTGGCCCTCCAAGGTATACCGGGGATACCCGACGCCTGGATACACAAGACACCCCCTCACAGCTTGGACAGTCCAGGCTGATCCTGCGCAACAGATTCTGCACTCGAAGGAGCAGCGATAAGCCCATCGACCCATTGGGTAACAAGCTGGATGAGCTCGGTTGGGACAGGCTCGGCCTCGTTGTGTACTTCGTGGTACATTTCCTGGCTTTGTCAGATGGTTGACCATGTAGCTGCGTCGGGCAAACTCACATCAAACACCTTGATAGTCTTGTTCTCGGCCTTGACATTCTCCACAAACCTTTTGCTGGCCTTTACGTCACAGATCTTGTCATCCCCGCCATGGTAGAGAAGTAAAGGGAGCTTGGCGGGCCAGCGACCCCACGCATCCGAGCTGTCGAGCCATTCTCCGCCGTGGAGAAAGTCGGCTACGCCACGTATGGAGCCTGATTGCTCGCAAAAGGGATCATTCTTGGCTTTCTCGTTGATCTCGGGGCTATGCGACAGGTGCTAAACCCCGGCTTAGTGAAACCCGACAATGATCGCTGGACGACTTACCGTATAGTCCATGGGCGTGGGAATGAGAAAGTTGCCCAGTCCAATGTTGGCAGCAAATGTGCCAGCCTTCACCTACCCAATCGTGTCAGTTCACTGTACGAATCGCCCTCTCCCACGGACTTACTTGGATAGCCGGGGGGTTATTGGAAAGCCTGATGAGTGGTCCACCAGAGATGACACCAGAGAGCTTTGAAACAGTGTCCTGGGACGGTGGGCCCGAAGGGCGGATGGGAAAGGCGAGTGATTGTCCACCGCCCTGTTCAACGTCAGCACACTGCGAACCGCCAACCTCACAAGCATCCAACTCACCATACTGAAACCCCATAGGAACACCGGCTTTCCGTCTGCCGATTCAATCACATTCTTCAAGAACCACTCCATGTCTGTAAAGCACTGCCCCCAGCCCCCCGTCCTTCTCTTTGCATTCTTCTCGAGCTTCACTTCCTTACCCTCTTCCTTCCATTTCTTCACTTCTGGAGATTCAGAGGTAAGCGGGTCCTGGGAAGTCCGGCCGTGGCCGCGTTGGTCAAATGCGGTAATGTGCACGGGGTAGGTGGCGGTGAGAGAGGTGAAGAAGGGAGTATATCGTTCGATGTGCTCGGCGAATCCGTGCACAAACAAGATGTAGGCCTTTGGGTCTGTAGGGGGAAACCACTGTGAGAGCAGTAAGCGGGTGGTAGGAGGCGTACGTCAGCCTGTGACCTACAGTCTTGGTGTAGAAAGGGGTGTTTCCGGGGCCGAGTACCCATTGGGGGGTGACTTGTGGCTGGGACATTATGGGTCTGTTGATTATACGACTTGCGGCAGAGAAGGAGCGGGACAGGGATGGCATAATACAAACACTGAACCAAGCATGCCTGCTCCCCGAAACGGAATCAAATTGCATCGAACCTCCTATATGCTACTTGGTCATACTTATGGGCCATGACTCACAGTCGACACGTCTTCCGGACTGTTTGTGAGATTTGTGGCTACCCACAGTAGCTCATGATTCGACCGTGCAATACGGAAGGAGAGCGGTTCTGGCGCCTCGACTTCAGTCTGTCACTGGCAACAAAAACGATCTTGTCCGTTAAAATATTCAGAGCATGTCGTCGCCGCCTTCCACACGGAGTTGTCTTCTATACTTGCGGGACATGGGATTGCCTAGTCATGGTTAAAATATCAAGTGGCGTCCCTCATGAGAGTAAAGGCGTAGATATGTAGACGAGCAAAATTTTCGAGTTATGCAACTTGACCACAACAAGCCAGCCGAATTAGTGGTCACATGTAGCTGATGATACAATCCCAACCAGGCCACCTCAAAGAACCACATTGCGCTTCGACCGAGAGCAGGTAGCCGTGAAAGAGTCTGCATTGCCGATCTACAAACATCCCCTTAAGCCTCCTGAGCTCGCTGACGCCTCCTCTGGTCACGCTCCTCGGCGATGGAGAGCTTGACACCCTTGCCCTTGGGCAAAGAGACCTGGGCCTTGGCACCCTCACCAATGACGAAGATGTTGGAGAGCCTATCAAAGTATGAGCAATGACGATACAATGCCGATGCACGCTACTCACCTGGTAGAGAAGGTCCTGTCCAAAACATCCTTGACGTGGACAATGTCAAACCCACCCAAGTGCCTCTCCCTGTGGACGATCACACCAGATCGACCCATGTTACGACCACCGGTAGCCATGACGACGTTTCCGGGCTCGAACTTGATGTGGTCAACAATCTTGTTCTGGACAAAGTCGAACTTGACAGTGTCATGAACCTTGATGGCGGGGTCGGGGTATCGGATGGTTCGGCCATCGTGGGTGACGATGTAAGGGACACCCTTGGCACCGAGCTGGTGCTTCTTCACCTTGAGGAGCTTGAAGGTGGACTCCTCAGGGGAGATTCGGTGGATGGTGAATCGACCCTTGACGTCGTAGAGGAGACGGAAGTGCTCGCCGGATCGCTCAATGGAGATGACGTCTAAAAGCAACATTAGACACTGCACTCGGCACCCAATGATTCTCCCACTCACCCATGAAACCAGCGGGGTAGGTCTCGTCGGTCCTGACCTTGCCGTCGACCTTGATGAGTCGCTGCTTGACGATGGCAGTGACTTCTCGGCCGGTAAGGGCGTACTTCAGACGGTTACGGAGGAAGATGGTGAGGGGGAGGGACTCCCTAAGCTTGTGAGGACCGGGGGAAGGTCGGGGGGCCTATCGTTGTATTAGGTTTTGTGTGAAAGTGTCGCAAGACGTGTCTACTCACATAGGTGCCGCCCAACTTGTCCAACATCCATGAGGAAGGAGCTGCCAATCGCTTCAAATGCTTCTTAGGACCTCGACCCTGCGCGACTGTCAGCGCCCATTCAACAATCCAATCTCCATCTTCAATCCCCCCTGCCAGCAATTCCAGCCACACCCGGTCCTCTTTTCTCGTCCCGCTTGCTCTCCGTGTGCGCCGCTGATTGTGTGCCGTGTGGTGGGGGGATCGGTGCTGTAGGGGACTGCCAACTCACCATTTTTGATCTTGATGTGTAGAGTGAAGGAAATGTTCGCAGAAGCCCCAAACAGCGGCCTGCACCAAAATGCAATTTCCGCCAGCCTGCGTCCGCGTGGCGAATTATGCTTCCGTCCACCGCGGACATGGCCGCATCTCTAATCGCCGACAGACCCGTAATCGCTAATGCGCCGGTGGAGGTTGCCAGCTTTTGATGCATGACGCGCCAGTACAAGATACACGCAACGATACATGCTATTATCACAACTGGGAACTCGTGAATTATGCTTTAGAAATGACTATGCCGATGCTCAGACCCATGCCGATGACGCTGTCCTCATATCTCTACCCACTCCTCCCCAATGCCCTTTCCTCGTACACTCCTCCCCTGTTGCGAATTTACGTCACGCTCTTTCAAGGTCCTGTCGCCTTCTCGCTTTGACGCAGAGCGGGGAAGTGAGGGACGCTCGACGATGAAATCTTCGTCACTAGAGTAGGCACCTTCACCGTCACCTTCCAGGCTCTTTTGCATATCGCCTCTGGCGACGAGAGGATTGAAGCTCCAGCGATCTTGGTAATGCTCGTGCTCGGGGCATACTAGAGTCACTTGAGCGTCTGATCATGCGCGCACGAAAAGAAAGGAGGCTTACAAGAATCTCGGCTGGGAGGGACTCCTTGACCAAACTGCAAATCTTGAAACACGGGATGAAAGTACGCCTGGTGTCTCCCTCCCTCTTCCGAGATGTGCAACTCCCCGCACTTGCCTTCAGACGGGTGCAATACCTCATCTTCTTCCTCTATACCATATTCCCCCATAGCACCAGCGATGAACGCATGGTTCAGTGCTTGAGCAGCCGTCAGCCGCTTGGTAGCGTCTAATCGCAACAGCTTGGTGACCAAGTCAAGCGCATCGTCGATCGCCTCAATGTGCTCTCTGGCTTCGGCAGACGTGGGGTTGGGGCTGTGGGGAGTGTAGAGATGCGGATTGAGTTTCAAAATGAGCTCGGTGATGGATGCTGGAGGGTGGTCAAGTGAGGGGACGTTGGAAATTATAGTTCGATCTGTAACGTGTCAGCTGGCAAGTATGCCCACGAGCACCGATACTCACTGTGTAAAAGAGCACAACGCTCGAGCGCCGTCTTGCCAAAGATGGCCGCAATCTCCATCAAGGCTTCAATGTCGTCCGACGAGTTGAATGCTGGGAATTTCTGAGTGAGAATTGAGAATAGTATCACACCAGCCGACCAGAGGTCCAGCGCTGTTGGGGTTCAGTTGGAATCCATGCCACTACTGAACGAAGGACTTACCGACTGTCTGGTCTGGACACTTTAACAATACCTCCGGTGCTCTGAACCCTCTGGTCCCCGCCCTGTTGGTCCTGATAGTCGGCCTCTTGTCCTCTTGTGGAAACCCGACACGACCTTCTCCCAGCCTGGATCTCTTGCGCGCATCGTACAGAGCTTGCTCGACTGCAGGTGTCTCGGCTGTCTTGATCTTGGATCCATGAAGACAGGTGAGGGTTGCAGGTGCATGTTGGCAGGTGGGTTCGGCGGGTGGGACATAGCGCTGCGACATGTCAACAAGCGCTTCTCTTTTGCTGCCATATGACTCACCTCGGCGAGCCCAAAGTCTACCAAAACACCATGTTCGTGCTCATAGTCAAAGAGAAAGTTGGCAGGCTTGACATCACGATGGATGATACCGCGCTTGTGTATATCCTTGAGCGAACGCAAAAGATCTCTCATGTATGATCTGATGTGGGTTGGATCCATGTGTTTGAAAAAGTGCTGAATCGGGGTCAGCAAAGGACAATGTGGGTATGAAAGAACTCACCCTGAAATCGTCACTTTGGTGATAGGGGAGAACAATGATGACCTGATCCTCCTCTCGGAAGGCCGTTATGAGTTGCGAAACGTTACGACAGCCCCTATAGGTGGTCAGTCGTGATCATTTAGCAACTGCACACTCACCGAAGGTTCTCCAAGATGGCCAGCTCATTCTCAATTCTGATCGCACTACTCGTTACCAGGATCTTTTTAAGTGCGACTCTGATTTGCCGTTGATTGTGTGCCTCTGTTCTCAGATTCGGCAAGCCCAGCCAATACTCGTTGTCAAAGACGCGATGCAAGCAATCGTGGGCAAGATAGACGGATGAAAAGGTACCTGATATACGTTAGCAGGCATTCAAAATCAACTACTTTGGACTCACCTTCACCCAGTCTGTCAACGACTTTGTAGGGGATATCCATGCCTGCTTCTGTAGATCCCCGCGTCAACAACTCCAAGCTCGCAGTAAAGTTCTTGATGTCCCTCTTGATGGCTGTTCTCTGCAGTACCGGACGATGCTCCATCTCGAAATCGGCACTATCTCCCGAATGGTAGCTTGTATCCGACATGATCTCGTCGTCTTCTGCTACTGGCGAGGACTCGTCCAAGTCAATCTCGGCAAAGGACCGCTTCTTTTGCTTCTCGAGCACCATAGTCATGCGATCAGGTCTCCCCGAGTCGGATGTGGAGGCAGTGAAGGGATCATTGATAGAAGTCGAGCGCCGAGGCCGCGTGTGCGATGGCGGAGGCATGGCCATACGATCATCGACAGCCAAGGGAGCCATGGAGGAGGTGGTTTCGGGGACGAATTCTTGATCGCCTTGCGTAGTGGCGGCAGAGTTGCGCGTCGTCGCATTGTCTTCGAGCATAAAGTACTCGTCCATGCCTTCATGGGTTTCACGCGCAGTAGCATCGACAACGACTATGCCATCGTTCGGCATCACGGTGGTCTTCTCAGAGAAGAGCACGCTCTCAGCTTCACTCGTTGTGGCTTCGGCATCGACCTGGCGTGTACTCGGCCCTGCCTTCGCCTCGGTCTGGCTCGTAGGAAGCTCAGTCTGTCCCGAGTCTTCGGCATTCAAGAGAGTGGGGTCATCGAGTCCGGCCACGGGCGTTGCCTCGCGGCTGCGTCTAGGAGAACGCGGGGTAGGTGATTGGACTGTGCGTTTGGCGGTGGCCCGGGTGACGCGGGGGGTGGGAGGATCATCGGCCACCATTTTGGAGAGTATAGTAGGGATACGGGGAGAATGGGGAGGTCTGCAGGTAGGATTGGATGATTTCAGGAGAGGTTGACTGGATTTTGAGGCTACTTTGAGGTTTTGTTGTTGTGCCGAGAGCAGGCGCGTGTACATTTGATCCCGTCTACGCGTCGTGTTAATCAACCGCTCTCGGGGTCTGACATCAGCAGGATCTATCTCGTTCCGTCATGTATGGCAGACATGGGCTGCATGATGGATAAGCCTTGGATAGGTTAGGATTCCTTGGCTACCGCCGGCGATCCGTATCGTATACAATCCCCGAATGTCTTTCAACAGAGACGCGTTCATCTATGTTGACCGACTGCGGATCATCGTTGCCGGCGATAGCCCCTTGTCTCTGGGTGCCCGCTTCTGGCCAACGACATACCTACCTACTGCTACGCGCTCTCGATACGTACGTACTACACCTTAGCCCTCGAGTAGTATGCATCTAAATTCTAATGTGGGGATTTCAGAGCTAGAGGGCTCTTACATAAGCCGTCTCCGCGGCGGGCCCTGAAAGCTTCTTAGGCACGCGCTTCCTTCGCGTCATGGTCTGCCGTCTTTGATTGTCGTTGACGCTGCACCTCCCGTCTCTGCACGCACTGTATCCCATGGCCCCCCTGTAGCGACACGATACCACACCCCTGCCCCAACACATATACCTCCGTGAGTTACAACCCAGTACGAACCCGCCCCATCACCTCCTTCCCGCAACCTAAAGAGGAAAGACATCGGACGTCGATCTTTTGGACTCGACATCGGAACCTACCCAAGGCAGCTCTTGCGACCCCATCGCATTCCGCTGCCATACTTTTCAAGGAAAGGGCTGCTTTCCGCGGATAACGACTTCAGGTTTGACGACTCCCCAGCGGCTTTCCATCTCTGCATAAATAGCTTGCATCAACCACGCCTGGCTTCCCGTTTCTTCTGTCGATGTCTCCCGGGTGAACAAAGACTGATACCTTCATATTCAGATCTTGATAACTGCATCTGCAAGCTCTGATCTGCATATATACCATCGATAAAGGAGAGGATCTGTAGAGAGTGAGATTGCGTCAGGGTACGTACTGTATCTGGCTCTTCCGCATTGCGGGACTTGTCAGTGACCATAAACCCAAAGCGCTGAACATCGAGTTCAAGCTTGATCCCCTGTACATCCCTGAAACCTATAACACCAGAACTATCCCATAATGGACGTTTACACCACAGCTTTTTCCTATCCCGCACCCCACTCGCCGACGCCTGCCCATATTCCCAAAGACCCTCTATCGGTGCCTCCACAAGCAGGCGGAACCAGCTCTGGCACACTCGCAACATCCACCCCTCGTACCGCTCCCGCGGCTTTCACTGCCGTCCCGCTTCCCATTGTACCAGAAGCCCCACCGGCGAGTGCAGACTGCACACCGCCCAAGTCCCCTCAGAAGGTGGAAAGGGAGTGGGAGGCTGTTCAGAAGCTGGCTTCCGACATTACTGCTCGCGAGGGATGTCTTGTCACTGTCACTCGAGAGAGCACCGATACCATGGCCAAATCTTCTTCGGTGTCCGACCCTCCTGCTACGATTTGGAACTTTCACTTGTCGGGTGTTTCAAATGCAGTCTTGTCTGCTCGAGGCTCCATCTTACGCGATGCGCCTCAAGACAACCGCATCACTGTCAAAGTTCCTCGCTCCGACATCCTTGAAGCAAGTCAACATGTGTTGAAGCAAGAAGTTGTCCGACGATTAGGAGTCATTGCGATCGACAGCAAAGCATTCATATCTGTCGTCAGCTATGATAACTCCTCGAATGAAGGACAAAAAGTACTGGCTACCGCTAGTGAAGACGGTGTAAAGACGCTGGAGAGGGAGAACGGCAAGGCTGGTTATGACAAGTCGAGCGGCCGTATGGACAATGGATCCGCCGCTCTGGAAGAGATCGGCTACAAGTTCATAGTGACTGGCCCCATGGAATCTGTCCACATTGCCAAGGTCCGACTTCTAGTCATGATCGATGAGCTTGTGAGTGTTTCTGAATAAATTGACCGATCAAGCTCACCCTCTCCTAGTCTGGTCTCCACGCCGAGATTTGCGATATAGATTACAAACTGCACAACATCATCGGGGGCCGCAAACGTGCATATATACAACAGATTCAAGAGGAAACCGGCACCAACATTTATTTGCCGACTTCTCTTGTGGGTGTCATGAACGACCCTCCACGCCATCAAAACTTGGACTATCAAATGACTGGCGTCGGAATGCGCGGGCAACCCACCGGTCCCTTGGGTATGCAGATGACGGGGATGAGCCATGTGAGCGGGATGGGTGGCATGCCTATGGTGATGCCTGGCATCAATGGCGGTTTCAACCCTCAAAATCATTCCCGCCAGGGCCCCCCTGTTTACAATCCCCATCAGCACGTGCATTATCCGTACCAGCCTCAACCCCTCAACGTCGATCCATCTGCCACTCTCGGGGTGCCTTACAATGGCCCAGGTGCGCATTATCCCATGCACGCGCCGCCCCCCATGTCGGTCGATCACACCGGAATGTCAGCGTTGCACGGTGGGTTCCAAAGCGTTCCGCAAAGCCGTATTGCATCGCCAATGCCTCCCCAATCTCACCATTCACCTCTTTCCGGGGCGACTGGTATGGGTTTCAACACTATGAACCACTCCAATCATCTTGCTCCGCCTTCCCATCAGTCACACCCACCTTGGCCTCAGTCGCAAAACTTCCATCCTGGCATGCACAACATGGGACACAATGTTCCTATGGGAGTCGGGGGAATGCCGATGGGTATGAACCCTATGAATCATATGAACCAGTTTAGGATGGCTCATCCTGGCTTGAGTATTCATGGAGGAGAGCAAGGAAAACTGGGGAAGGCGAACCAAATCTGGATATCCGGAGAGTTCTTTGGGGTCCAGAGGGCGAGAGACATGCTCTTGAACATTGCAATGCAAAAGGTACGAGACACGTCCGTACTTTCTAAATCACAATACTGACTACATTGCAGTGCAAGTTGATCATCTCCAGAGACGCAGCCATCCTTCCTAGAAAGCTGGACTGGTTGTTGACTGGCAAGAATATTGTTGAAATCAGAACCATCATGAACGACAATGGCACTTATGTTCAAGTACCTTGCGTTGGTGGTCAGACGAGCATGATTTCGGTCTTTGGTGATCATCGAGCCAACATTGAGAGGACGATTCGAAGTATCATGGCTCTGGTGGGTTGTTCCCTGTCATCAAGATCAGAATCGCTGACGTTTCCAATAGGCTTGCCAATTCTATGTGGCATCTCTCTGGCTTTTACCGCCACCCGTTGAAGTTGGGCCTCGCGTGGTTCTTAACCCTGCTCAGATACAACCTGTCGTGAAACATATTTCTCATGTCACTGGGGCAGAGATTGTATACAAGCCCAACATGTTTGAAGTCAATGGTTTGGAGCGACAGGTCACTTCTGCCATGTTGCTACTCATGGATGTCGACGTCCTCCATGTGAGTATCGTCCATCAAGTCAAACGTGGGCATGCGCTGAAAGAGTTTTAGAACTTTGTACCCGAGGTCCGGTTCCGAGTGGAGCTAGCGAACGAGCAGCGGGAATTCTTCAGTGGCAAGAAGAATGGCAAGATCAACAAGATCATGAAGATGACCAACGCCAAAATTCGCTTCGAGACTCTCAACGACTACAACTTCCTGATCGATATAGCGGGGAAGAATCAAGATGCTCTTCAAGGCCTCTCTCTGATCCAAGAGGAGTTGCCGGCTGAGATATCGTTCTACGTCCCAGAAAGCTACCACAAGCGAATCATTGGTGTGGGTGGAAAGAACATCCAGAAGATCATGAAGATCTACAATTCTTTCGTCAAGTTTTCCAACGCCGAAGAATTCGCATCGCTCGGAGGCTACTTTGATAACGAAGACAATGTGTACGCCAAGACCCCGTCGAAGAATGGGGCAAACCTGCGGGAGTTGAAGCAGGCCATTATGGAGGTAGTCGGTCTGAAAGTAAGCCAGAGTCTACGGACAAGAGTGAAAGTGTTAATGTCTCGTACAGGAAAGAAATTTTTACACGGATTATGTTTCCATCCCCAGACCCTATCACAGGACTCTGCTGGGAGAGAAGAGTATATTCATCCACGACATTGAACAGAAGACGAATACAGTTGTCAGATTCCCTTACAAAGAGACTGGGAGTGATGTGGTCTCGATCTTTGGCCCTGCTACTGAGGTTCCTCTTGCTGCAACTTTGCTGCTCGTGAGTTCGTCGCCATCATAGGATGGAGCAAGCTGATGCGACTGCAGGAGCATGTGCCTTTCGACGTCAGTACCACTCACGTTCCTCGGCAGGCCGTCCAGCTAGAGCAGACCGAATCTCTGTTTGGCAAAATGACACTTGATTCTGATACGAACGGTGTGAATGGCGCTGGATCCAAGGGACTGCCGGTTCCTCCATTGAGCTTCCATCAGGATCGCAGGATAGAAGAGCTCTGGCCTATCGTCAATGTGAGTGCATTGCATCGGCTTGAGCCATAGACTGACTTGTTTCAGCCTGTCTCGCAACGTCCGGCTCCTACTCGTACCGAGAGTGATCACCAGAAGCGAGAATCCGACCCCATCATCAACGACAGGATTCGACAGGCATCCACTGGTCATGTACCCGCAGGCTCGCACAGTGGTGCTCTACCTCCTCACCGACACCATCCTCACAGCCAATCCCGCATAAATGCCAATAGACACCAATCTTTGGACATTTCCCAGCTCAACTTTTCTCGAGCGTTGTCCGGTGGCAAGTCTTCGCCGTTTGGAATGATGCCTGGGTCCCCTCCCACTCTTGATTCCAGTTTGAATACGGCCACGGGTGGCTTTATGCCTCGCGCGCCTTCTCCACCAGGAAGGCTGTAGCGCCTCTTGTTTTCATTATTATCGTGTCTGAAAGGCATACCTAATTATCGCATCTCTCGTCTCTTTGTCTTCATGCCTGTCATTATGCAAACACATCTCCTTGGAACGTGGACATGGTCGGTGGTTTCATACTTGTAATTATAAAAATGGTATGGGTAGATAGGGCTTGGAGGCATCAAGATGTTGGCGCGCTTGTGTCGACAGTACAAATCATGACAGCATCCTTTCCCATGGTTTCCGTGTGTATGGTTTGAAGAGCTGGAAGACCCTTGTCCTCCCCCTACAAATGTCAGCACAAGTGGCCTATGTCAGAGCTGGTTTACTGACCTCGGGCACTACCCCTATACCTTGCCCTATGAACATTGGTGCGACCGTGACAACCACACTATCGACTAGTTTCGAGCCGTCTTCGCGTCTGGGAGAGTGAAGAAAGGTGGACAGGACGCGAGAACCGCCTTCGATCATGACACTTTTTAGGCCGAGTTGGGTGAGGATGCCGGGTAATGAAGCTGGGGGAATGTGGCCTTTGTTCGATAGTCAGTATGTGTATATATCAGGAATCAAAGTGGGTTACCTCTGGAGTCAAGGCTGACGGTGACGACTTTTGCCCCTGCATTCTCGACCATCTCTATCTTATCCCGAGCAACATTATTTCCACACAGAATCCACGGTTGCTTCAGAATCCGTCCTCGGAGAGCCGGCTTGGAGTTCCATTCGTGGAGTATACGCGAATCGAGCGGGAACCGTAGAGAAGGGTCAAGGATGAGGGGCTGGGGCGGCGGGGAAGCATGAGATGGCGGCAAGAGGTTTGCTGCAGGACATGTGAGCTTGTGGCACATCACCAACTACCAATGCGCACTTTGCAGACGAGGATTGTCGAGGATGAGAGTCTGCACGCCGATCAGTATAGAGTCATGCATCCCTCTGAGCCTGCATCTCTTGTGTCAGCGAATGCCCGACGAGCGACCCGGGACTGACCAGTGGGTCATGAGCATGCTCTCTGGACCACTGAGCAGGACGCGCTGGCCGCCTGGACCTGCGATCTTGCTGTCTAGCGACTGGGCCCAAGTGACGGTGACATGGGGGCGGCCCAGGGGTGCGTCTGGGGCCGGGAGATGGTCGAGGAGGAACTGAGGGGGGGCCATGGCTGAGCTGGAGATGGAGATGGCGGAGAGATCTCTCGCGCATCCGACTTTTTCCATCTCCTTTCTTCCTCGTCTTCTTCTTTCCTTGCAACAGGGAGATATCATCCACCCACCCTCTTTCTGTCCCAGCCACCGCCTGGGATATCTGCACGTTCCTTCACCCACCCCTCCGCCGTCATCACCGCGTCCTCATTCGCCATCCCCTCTTCCCCTGTTCACCTCGTACGTAACCACCATGGAGCCGGTACTCCTTCCAACTGGCCCCAAGTCCCACTCGGCACCTGTATCCAGGTCGGAAAAGATCTCGGATGGCACTGCTACTCCAGGGTCCGCGTCTTCCACTTCGTCTTCTGCGCTGAGCTCTGCCGATCCTTCCGACCTCGACGCTCCCACAGAAGGTCAGCATGATGAATCTGGGGACTATGCTCCGGACTTTTTGTGGATGACGACCGAGGAACCGCACCGTTCAAGACGGATCGCGATTCTCAAAGCCCACCCCGAGGTCCGTCTTTCGTGTCACGAGTTGGAGCGACACTGACAATGTTTGTATAGGTCCGTAAACTCATGGGGCCTACTTGGGTCACTGTCCCTCTCGTTTTCTTTATTCTCGGCACCCAACTTGCCCTCTCTGTCTACCTCAGTAGATTCCCTACCATCTCTCTCCCTGTCCTCCTCACAGCCTACGTTGTGGGTGGTGCTGCCAACCAGAACATCTTCCTCGCCATTCACGAAATCACCCACAACCTTGCGTTGAAGTCTATCAAGGCCAACAAATGCCTTGCCATCATCGCCAACCTGACGATTGGTGTTCCCTACGCCATGGCGTTCAAGGGTTACCACATCGAGCACCACAAGTTCTTGGGCGAGGATGGAATCGACACCGACCTGCCTAGTCGCTTTGAGGCTCTAGTGCTGAACAATGTCGCCGGCAAGACGTTCTTTGCCACTTTCCAGCTCTTGTTCTACGCCATCCGCCCTGGTTTTATCCGCTCCCAGCAGTTCACCCGTTGGCACGCGTACAACATCCTCAGCGTCGTCGCCTTTCATCTTGCTTGGTACCATATATTTGGGATCCGTCCTTGGGTCTACCTTGTACTCAGCTCTTTCTTCGCTGGATCTCTTCACCCATGTGCTGCGCATTTCATTGCTGAGCACTACCTCATGGAGGGACCCTTGCCTGTGGGAGAGAAAGTGGAGGGTGACGATCTCATCAAGGGATTGGCTCAAGAGACGACTAGCTACTATGGGTGGCTGAACATTCTTTGCTATAACGCGAGTCATTCGTTCACGCATATGCCCATGCACCGATGCTGACACTGCATGCAGGTCGGCTACCACAACGAGCACCACGACTTTCCTTCTGTCGCCTGGACTCGTCTTCCCGAGCTTCGCGCCATCGCTCACGAGTTTTATGACCCCTTGCCGGCTCACAAGTCGTGGCCTTACGTGACTTGGAAGTTTATCACTGATCCCAGTGTGGGCATGTGGTGTCGAGCCAAGCGAGAGAGCAAGGGCGAGAGATTGGACGAAAAGATCTGGGCGCCTGGAGGTGCTGAAGGACTGAGACGAGGAAGTAGTCGGGCGCAAGGAGAGGCGGAAGATGAAGAGGAGGAGAGGGGCTATGCCAGTGATAGGGAGGAGAAGAAGAAGAGAGCGTAAAGGTCGCTGGCCGACCTTGACTCTTGATCTGGTGGAAGGGACGCTCCCCGCCAGGTATTCCATACCTCCATTATCTCTCACGACCTCCTGCATGCGCTGTATGTATCTACGACATTCATCTTTCCTAGCGGACCCGACCATAGTCTCTCGTTGTGCGGTCTGTTCACGATATTCCTCTCCAAGTACTCGAGTACAGTACGAGTACTCTACATTGGTACATCGTTTGTGCATGTGGACCCCTAGTGTGTCAAAGGACATCCACAGTTCTTCCAAGATACCCATGTGCCCCTGCTGTACCCGAGAAGTGGTTAACACGGTGTGGTGATAAATGATAGAAGACAAACAACATTTGGTTCCGTGGGTCTGGACGCGTTTGAAAGACCGGCGAGTCCCGTGCGTGGTCTATTTGTTATCTCCATCTGCACATCTCTCTCTTTTTTTCTCTTTCTCTCCCTCTCCCTGACATCCTGCCTCTTGTCGCCGACCGCCTGCCCGTCACCCAACATGAGCTCCACCTACAACAACAGGCCCCTCTACACCGCCAGGCCCCCTCCAGGTCTCAGGCGCAAGCTGTGGGACTGGTCGTGAGTCTTGCCCCTTCCTCCATGTTGGATGATTGCTGACCCCTACACTTCACTAGAACCAGGTTTGAGGTCACCTTCGCCTTGAGTATGATGCATCCCTGGGAAAAAGCGGTCATTTGTATGTCTTTTCAGTCATTTCGTCTTTCGCCGCCCATGGCTGACCGCCTTCTTATCTCCAGGGACCACCCTCGCGCTCATCACCCTCCTCTTCTGGTTCTCCCTCTATTCGTATCTTCCCGCACACGTCACCTACCTCCAAAGGCGCTACGCCTACTACGTCTATGGCGATGAGAATGTCGAGTTGGATTGGTTCATCGGTCGTGTCAAGGACTTGGTTGGGACCCAGATGTTGAGGGGTGCCGGGGAGGTGCAGAAGGGGATGGGGATGGCCGGGGGGCATAGTTTGGAGCTTTAGAATTCTCCACGATTCTTGGCTCCCCATAGAGGCCACGGAAGGCATTGCATATCGATATTATAGAGAAGTTCCTTGTACAGTATGTTAGCTGGGCCTACCTGGCCCCATATTCACCCCGCATATGTATCCATTCATTCCCCCAACTGGCTCGTGTGTATGTAGCCACCGAGACTGGGATGATGCCCATGGACGGACTGGGAAAGTGGACCAGATATTATATTGGTAGGGCTGACGCAATGCCTTCGGCGGCGGGCGCGCTAGACTGGCCCGAGCGCCCGTCATACAAGACATTGTCAAGATTTTTCATCATATCACTGAGACTTGCAAGAGCGAGAGAGGAACACCCATGCTTGGGATTAGGGGCATATGCATTCTCCACAATCCCAATAATGCAGGCCTCGGGTGAAGGCTCTGAATTTCAAGAGACATGCTCTTCTGTTTGATGACGATGCAAGTGCGCTGCGACGGACCTCGGTGTCACCGCCTAGGACTTGCCGGTTTACATTCTGGTATATGGGCTGCTCTCTCCGAGCAGATATGCAGTCGACAACGGAAGGGGCAGCTGTTGATATGTATGGTGCTCAACGGCAAAGGAGCTGTACTCGGATGCTAGCAAGTCTGAGTGAGCCTATCTGATGGCAATCAACGTCCCTTTCACACCGAACCACCATCATGACTTGACTCAGAGCTATTACCCTCGATGTCGGCGTGGTGTAAAGCCGGTGGGATAGTCTACAGGTGCCTGGTGCTCTTGAGCCATCATGATACAGAACAGTTGCTATACATGATATGAACGTCAAATATACAAGGGCGAAAGGACACATCAAGTAGTCATAAAGAGTGGTCGTAAAACATGTACAAAGTTCGTATAATTCAACTGTGATCCTACAAGAGTCAGGCGGACGTTCGCCAAATAGGTGGATGCAGACCATACGTACCTTTCAGATCACAAGAGGTTCGTCGTCAAGCTTCAGGGAGAGATCCAAGTCGAGATCCAGGTCAAGATCAGGTCCTAAAACGCGACTGTAAACCATTGATTGACACGAGTGGGAATGAGTGGAACACACCGAGCTCTGGCCTCATGAGGGACGGCTCATCCGGACCAATGTCAAGGCCCAAGTCAAGGTCGGGCTCACTGGGCATTGTGAAGATACCATCGTCTTCTCTGGAGAATTCCATGGCAAGTGGTTGGTAATCTCTTTCTGCAAGTGATGTCATAATCAGCTGTGAACAAGGAAGACATGTACTTTAGCAGGCAACGACTACATACCTCGGACAGGAGATGGCATGTACTCGAGAGAACTGTGTGCTACCTTCTTCCGTGTCTTACTGGCCTCTTTGGCTGGGGTATAGATACTCAGCGTCTTCTTGGTCTTCGCTGCACTAGCAGGCACACGGGCCTTGGTAGATGGGGTGGCGACGGGGATTGAAGACTTGAGCCCGGGTGTTGGTTTCGCGGCTGATTTCTGGGAATGCTTCGTGGTAGTACTGGCGGATTGTCCGGCACTTGCTTGCTTGGATGCGAGGACTGGGCGGAGAGGAGTCCCGGAGACGGCAGAGAGGGCTGAACGGCGGGTGGTTGTGGGTTTGGCTGCTAGGACGTCGTCAACAATGCCCCTCGCACGGAAAAGGGTATCTCACTAGATGAATTTTCCAGCTTCGCGTTCTGTGCTTTTCCCGACTCTGCCTTGGGCTCACTCGCAGGGGGCTTGTTGCCCAAAGCCAGAGTCTTGGATGAGGCCCGAGGCGCCTTTGCCCTGGCAATGCTGTTTTCATCGGGCCCGCTCACTTTCTTGAGAGCATGGGCGCCCACCGCGGGCCTCCTTGTTCCGAGGACGTTTTTGTTCTGTCTCCTGGCCGCCATCGTGTATATTGTCGACGCTGAACGACTTGAAGCTGACGAGAAGACGCCCCAGCAAAGTTGCAGCAAAGTCACTCGCGTCGCCGATGGAAATATCGGGCGGCGACATTTTCTCGCTTTTCTCCGGAGCTGGCCACCTCCTGCACCAACGCACTGTCAACTGATATATGCATCCACAATTCACATCTCCATCTCTCATCTGCATCTCAACCTTCTCAAGCGCAACAAGCGGACGGACTGCACACAATGTCCGACACCGAGATCAAAAGTTCGCCCGTGGGCTCACCAGTGGAGGAGAGAGCGGCCGGCAAGAAGAGGGTGAGTCGGGCTCCCGGAAGTGCAAAGTACGGAACTGATATCCCAAACAGGCTAGGATCGTGGACCCAGATGGTAAGGCTAAATTGAGAGGCTGCTGCGAGTCATTGAAGCTGATCAGTCCGACATTGATTTGATAGAGACCGACGAGGAGGTAAGCTGCCGGAATATGGCGCCGGATATGTACTGATACATCCACAGGACTATGATAATGCCCCCGAGGAAAGTAATGGAGGAAAGGACCAAGAAGAAGAAGAAGAGGAGCCGAGCAGAAAGAGAAGCGGCGACGATGACGAAGACGACGAGGAAGACGAAGATGAAGAGGATGAAGAGGACGAGGGCAGAGGTATGTCTATAGTCCGGGAACAAGGACCAAGCTTATCCATGACAGGCCGCCCGCGGAAGAGACCCAAGAAGAACAGCAAATTCAGGTTCTTGGATGTTGAAGCTGAGGTTGATGATGAGGACGAAGAGGAGGATGAGGATAATGATTTCGGAGATGGTATGTCTGCCGCTCATTTGTGATTATACCTTGTCTGACAGATTTCCAGTGGCGGAATTCATTGACGAGGCCCCCGACGATGCTGTGGCCAGGGATGATCAGCAACACCGACGCCTTGATCGCGTGTTCGGGCGGAACGAAGATGAGGATGTGCACGACATTGTTCAGAGATTGAAGGAGAGACATGCTGGATCGGGAATGGCGAGGTACAATGGAGACAGTGATGCGGTCCCTCAGCGATTGCTCATGCCTGGTGTCAATGACCCCAATCTGTGGAAAGTCATTGTCAAGGTGAGTTACTGTCTATTAGCAAAGACCCGTCCTCATTAGCTGTAGGCTGGTCGTGAACACGCTATCTGCGCCTCCATCTTCAGGAAAGTCTTTGCCCAACAATATTCTGCCAACCCCATCGACGTCATCTCTGTCTTTTGCCGAGACTCCATTCCCGGTATGATCTTCATCGAGGCCCGACAGTCGGCAGCTGTCAGCGCTGCCGTCAACGGTATTGTCGGTATCTTCATGTCTAGAGGAGTCTCTCTCGTGCCCATCGAGGAAATGGCACCCCTACTCAAGATGAAGAAGAAGGACGTCAACTTGACACCGGGCATGTGGGTCAGGATGAAGAGGGGCAAACACGCCGGCGATTTGGCGCAGGTGGTTGATGTGGACCAGATCACGAGTGGTGTCGTTGGCATCAAATTTATCCCTCGTATAGATTTGACTCCCAAAGATAAAAGGAAGGAGCGGATCGCTGCTGGAAAACCAGGTGGTGTGCGACCCCCGTCCCGCCTCTTTGCCTACGATGACGTGCGAAAGATCTACGGCCGACAAAGTGTCCGTCAAGGGCCCCAAGGAAGCTACCAGTTCGAGAATGACGAATTCATCGACGGTTTCTGTATCAAGGACGTCAAGATCCCTACTGTCGCCACAGAGGACGTCAACCCGTCTTTGGAAGAGATCTCCCGATTTACGGGCGACGACGAGACAACTGCCAAGTTTGACCTCTCCGCCATTGCCGACGCCAACAAAAACTTGTCCACTTCACTGCTGTTCCCTGGAGACAAGATTGAAGTGTACGAAGGCGAACAGACGGGACTGTACGGCATTGTTGAAACCGTCACGCCCGATGTCATCGCTATCAAAGCAGAAGGCGGTGAAGTACACGGTCAGATCATTGAGGTACCCGCCAGGAGTGTGAGAAAGAGATTTGATGTTGGTGAGCACGTGAAGGTGCTGGGAGGCAAGCATGTGGAGGCTTCCGGTATGGTCGTCGAGGTCAAGGGCGATATCATCACCTTGATGTCCGACCAGGGCGAGCAAGAAATCAAGGTCTTTTCTAAAGATTTACGAAAAGCTGCCGATACCAGTAACCTCACCGCCACCCAAGGTCTTTACGACGTGCATGACATGGTCATGCTGGATTCCACGACAGCCGCCGTGGTCACCAAAGTCGAAGGTGGTTTATTGAGGGTTATCGATCAAAACGGCGCACCCCAAAGCGTATCTCCCGAACAAGTGACTCTGAGACGAGACAATAAGCGCTTCGCTGCGGCCACTGACTCTCAAGGAAATGAGATGAAGGTCGGAGACAACATGAAAGAGACCGAGGGCGAGGTAAGTCTATCAATTTAGGATTGGTGGCGGCTAGCTCAAATCTTCCTCAGTTGCGCCAGGGTGAAGTCATCAACATATTTAGGTCTCTCTTCGTCTTCTTGTATAACCGAGAGTATACCGACAACCACGGCGTCTTTGTTGCTCGTGCAGGCTCTCTCATATCTGTCACCCCCAAGTCGGCGGTCAATGACCTTGGCAAGATCAATCCAGCTCTCAATCAACAGCTTCCCTATGGTGGCGCCAGTCTGATGCCTGCACCTGCTGTCAACGCCAACAGGAACAGGTTGATCAATACTCTGGTGGTAGTGACCAAGGGCACCAACAAGGGCTTGATTGGTGTTATCAAGGACGTCCAAGGTGAGACTGCGAGAGTGGAGCTCAAGACAAGCAACAAGACATTGTCCATCGCTCTAGTATCATTGAAACGAAAAGAGTGAGTGCTATCATTCTACATGTTCCGCAACCGCGTTGATTTTTCATGAAGCGCAAAGACCGGTACTACCTTCCCTCTGGAATCTGGGGGCAGCTTTGCTGCTCCAGGTGGGTTCGGTGCACCTCGCAACAACCCTTACGATGTCGGACCATACGGCGGACAGACAGCGATGCACCCATCAATGGTGAGTCATGTCCTCTAGAATTTACAATGACAAACGATTGACGCTGTAATAGGGTGGTGCCACTCCTGGGCTTATGGGCGGAAAGACTCCTGGTGCTCGTTTCGGGCAAACACCCAATCCATATGCTGTAAGTTCTTCGTACCAATTGCGAATCAGATCTGATACCTCGAAGGCGGGCGTTGGCAATGGCAAGACTCCTAACCCTTACGCTTCGGCGGTTAGTGGTGGCAAGACGCCTGCGGCTGCTTACGCTGCTGGTGGAAAGACACCGGCTTGGGGCGCCAACGGCGGCAAGACACCAGCGTACGGTGCAGCGAATGGGGGAAAGACTCCTGCCTGGGGTGGTGCTGGTGGTATGGGCGGCAAGACGCCTAATCCTTATGCCATGGGCCCTGGTGGCGGTCGCACTCCTGCTCACTCTGGCTACGGTGCCTCAAGCAGTTCGAGACCGTATCAACCCATGCCTCCGCCTCCAAACCCTTACGGCGCGCCTACGCCAGCTGCCAATGGGGCTCCTACTCCGGCTGTACCATCTAATACCTACACTGCGCCTACGCCGGGTGCTGTCTCAGCACCCTACACTGCACCAACACCTTACGGTGCTCCTACGCCCTTTGCTGCACCAACACCAGGCGCCGGCCTCTCTGCTCCTACGCCTGCTGCTGGTGGACCTATGCATGGCGCCCCAACACCGTTTGGAGCTCCTACACCGTATGGTGCCCCTGCTTATGGCGCAGGTCCATCACAGCCACAATCAGGTAAGTACCCGCAATCTTGTCTGCTACAAGGCCCGTGCTGACAGGGTTTACAGTAATGGATTACGACTGGGCTCTCGACTTCCGAAACATCATCGTCGAGATCGGACAATCCTCCTTGCGGAGCTCGCGTAATCCTTTGCATTATAAACGCGGTGCTTATGATGGAAGGAAATTCGGCTATGAGAATGTCAATGGTGAGAACTGTGTCTGTGTACAACTTGACGACCCCTCGGTGGTTGAAGAGATCCCCGCCGAGTACCTTCGTCCATCAAAGCCCGATGGACAAGGACAGGTGGTCGTTTGTATCGGTGGAGACTTCAAGGGCCAGCAGAAGGTAACGCAGTATGAGAATGGCGGTTCTTGGATGATGGATACTGGGGGTGATCTGGCGCCGCTGGTCATCGATGGGAATGACTTGTGTAGGATCTGGAAGGTGTAGAAGTAAATGTACATCATGGTCTCTATCGACACCTTGAAATCTTGTCTTTGTTAGCTCTATGCATGGTTCATACATAGTCTTGGATTTATTTCGTTCGGCGGTGCAATGGGCATATGAATAGTGATGATATTGTATGTGATAATGCTAGTCCAATTCTTCCGAGTGCTCCCCCTCGACCGCTCTATATGTTTCACGTTGGTGTCTCTTTTCCGCCATTCTCTCTCTACCCTGTGCTACCCCCTTCATCCTCCATTTCCTCCTCTTGGCTAGCGCTCCTGTATATCCTTCAACCACCCATTTCAGCCTCCGAACGGACCCGAATCGCTTCTCCTTTACCAATCTCTGATGAAGAGCTTGGACATCGCTGAATAGCAATAGCGGGGGGACGTCAGCCTCCGGGGTGGTACTGGGAAGGGCCATCCTGATCGAAAGGCCTGCCTCTGGTATAGGCTGATATGACCGGCTTATCTCCTCCGCTGGGAATCTTCTCACAAAGTCTTCCAGGATCTCGAGCGCCTGATCCACATCCCCATGCACACTCTCCAGTTTGATGGCAGCTTTCCAAACCCTTTCTACCTGTCTGTCTCCAAGGCCCATAATCCACCTCTTGCGAGCTTTGGCAAGAGGGTGTTCGGCGGTATAGTTTCTTTCAAGATAGGAGGATGCGATAGAGTAGAACGAGAGGTAAGAAGACCAGAGCTCTCGTCCCCATGACACGGCCAGGGGTCGTTCAGCAGGAGATATGACTCGAGCTCCAGAAGAACATTTCTCCAAGAGGAACATATATGACCACCCATTGGGCTTGACGGAAGACAAGGACGCTTTAGCAGCATCCTTCCAAGCCTCGTCATGCACCTCTTTGAGGCCTATCAGAGATGTACCGTGCACCAGGTGCACAGACAAATATGAATTGATCAACCTTGGTGATGGACGGACACTTTTGAAAGGAAGGAAATCGCTACTGCCTTCGCGGACAGCTTCGTTGTCGGAGAGGATGCGGTTGAAGAGGGAGGTACACTCGCGTAAAGCGTCCGCGCTGGACAACGGTGTCGTAGGAGTCGAGACAGGAGGCTCGTTGAGGGTGAGTTCGTCCATGAGCGGCTCTTGGGTGACGACATCTTGGACATCCTGCAAGACATCCACATCGAGGTGAGCTGCTTCTTTGCTCGCATCGTCCACAGCAGCTTCGGCGGCAGCATCGCCCAACTCAGCCTCCCCGCCAGTCCTCAGCTTGAGTCCCTGCTTCTTTACGACTGGTTTCCACGCTGCGTACGTCATGAAAACGGCCGACAAAAGGCTCTCGTCCGCTCCATCCTTCCATACTGTCACCTTCAAGGCCTGTCCAGCCCTGGAGAGCTTGAGCACTTCTGTCAATACCCATCTCGCCCGATTAATATCACCGGCTCGCTTGGCGCCTTCCAATACGGCGTTGAAAGTTTCGAGAGTGGGGACAAATTTGCTGAAGCGAGAAATGTCATTGTGTTCTTCAAAGGGCACGAAGGTTGCGTCATTGTGCTTGACAAGCATTTGGCGTAAGAGATCAAAAGCTTCGAGATAATCCTTCTTGGTGCTCCCCAAAGCTCGAATGATGGCATTGTACCCCTCACCGTTCGGCTCCAGTCTCTCCTGCTGAGTCATTTCGAGCCAAAGATCTCGAGCTCTCTCCGGCTGAGGCTGATTGGCATCCCCGCAGCTCCTGATCATCGTAGCGTACATTTCTCTCGTAGGTGTTGGATGGGCCTTCAGTCGCATATGGGCAAACAGATCCCAAGCGAGGGAGCGCGTATGGGCGTTGGGATGGACGTCTGGGGAGGGGGTAGTGAGGTGGGATATGACGAGTTGGTATGAAGATTGCGGGAAGGGGGTTGCTGCTTCTTCGGCCTGTCGAAGGTGGGCGATAGCAGGGCGGGCATCGGATGGGGATTGTTGCAAGAGGGACAAGACTATCTTGTCCTGATGGACAGGGAGAATGGCGTCTCCAGCTATACCTGGGATTAGTACAACACCACGAAAAGTCACGGTGCACACACCAGCGGCAACTTCCAGCACAAGGCGTTTGACCTCATCCGGGCGCCCTTGCATAGCATGCACATGCATGATCTCGTCAATCAAGTGCAAGTCCACGGGCATCCCGTGAGCCTTTAGCTCGTCAGCCGGTAGATTTGCGAGCAGAAGGAATTTACTGACGTTCATGAGATCCAGCACGGTCTCGGCCGCGATGGCATCTTGTCTTTGTATCTACACCAGATCAGTCAAGACACACATCATACGAACTGGATTACTCACAAGCTCTTGAAAGAGAGCATTCCATTCGGTGTTGTTGACCAGCCCCAAAGGAACATCAAGCCTCGCAGCCACATTTTCGACGGCCTTGCCTTTGCTGGTCTCACTCGGTCCGCTGAGGACGGCCAAAGGTGCCAATGACTCTAAGATCGCATAAGGCAGTCTTGAGAATGAGACTTTTCCCCGGTGCACTGGCGGAAGACTGGAGGCCTCATTGGAGTGGTCTTGGCCTTGGCCCAATAGCCTCGACGACATCTTCGCCAATGTGCTTCGTCTCTGTTCGTCGCTCAATAATTCGACCTGGTTCCCAGGGGCTTCGATAGCTTCCAGACTCTCTCCTTCTTTGACCCCAGTCTTGACCAGATCAAGGTAGAAGGCCCGCAAATCCTGCTCGGACCATTCGGGAATATCCTCTACTGCTTTCTTGGTGACTTTGCGTTTCAGCTGTCGAGAGAGGCCTTCGTCTGTGGGCAATGAGTCGATCATTGCTTGGGTGATGGGTGGCTCCCTCTGATACTCTTCGCGTCGGTACAAAGGGAATCGAGTAGCGATGGGGGGCTCGGAAGGATGTTCAGACGGCAGAGGGCTGTAAGAGATGTTTAGGAGATGCCTGTAAGATTCCCGAGATGGACTCACGAGTGCAGACCCCTGTATCCCAGCCTGGCCGAGCGGACCCGGAGGACCTTCCTGGCTATGCTAGGCCTGAGCATGGTGCTGTGATTTTGGCAGTGGCGGTAAGGATGCAGACGCAGAGTCGACCTTGTGAATTTTCGTGGTCACGAACTTGCGGACGTTGGAAAAATTACATGCCGCCCCCGACAGAAAATGGAAGATTCTGAAATATCTCAGACAGCCTGTATCGCAGCCCCACCGCATACTGCTCTCTTCACAGGTCGTCATCCTGGAAGACCCGACATTTTCAATGCATGCACTCGAGAGCTGCGGTCGATGAAAGACTCGGGATCCTGTGGCGGAGCTCTCTGGTTTGTTTGGTCACCCTTGGCGGGGAACTCGAGACGAAGCTTTGCTGTCATCACGAGGGACGAAGACCATCTGCGCCATAGCATATATCGAATCTATATGCATACCATAAATCGGTATATCCACGCAAGAGAGGACTGGAAGATGGGATGAGGGTATAGACATGATGCTGGTATTAGAAGTGCAAGAACTTTGTTTCTGCCGGTCGCGTTCTATACTACAACTGCTGAGTGCGTACTTATACAATGGGGAGAGGGAGCTATCCTATCGTCAGCTCTCTTCATGAAGGCTTCCGCTTCACACCTACGTTGTACAGGGAGGGATGGGGAGGAGGGGGAGGGGGAGCGGCTTCGCCAGCAAGTGGTGGCTGCATGGGAGTGGTGAGTGGACGGACGCTTGGAGGCATGGGCATGGGCATGGGCGGACCCCAACCAGGCCATAGAGGCGGCATAGGGGGCGCTGGGGGCTTCTCCTTGGGTGGCTCCTCCTATGCAAAATGTCAGCTGAGATGCCCTTGGCCGGGTGCGATACATTGCACATACCTTCTTTGTCTTCTCCATGAACTTGGGGTCCATAGGGTACAGCGCGATTAGATCACTATATCTTCGTCAGCTAAGATCATATTGAACACAATGCCGTGCTCACCCCTGGGACTGTCTGTTCTTCATCAACAGAAGCTCGGCCAGTTCCCTAATGACTCGCTGTCAGCCGATGCTCCTGCAGCATCCACAGAACCTTACATGTAGAGCGCCCTCCTGGACTCGCGAAGATTGCCGACCTCGTTTAACAGCACCCTGACTTCACTTGACAACGCCTTTGAGAACTCATCAAGGCTGAAATTGTCAGTCAAAAGTCTATACACCTGTCCACATGCAACTCACTATCCTGCAACATTGAACCCGACTTGCTCGCGCGCGGACGCCTTGACAGCAGTCTGAGTCTCTTTGTGTTGGTTGGACGAGTTCTCCATGAGTTCTGTCGCAAGTTTCTTCAGGAAGGCAGCTTGGCCTTCTCCGGAATTCTTGAGAGCGTCCAAGATTGCTTGAAAACCTGAGAGGCGGTGTCAGTTTTGTAAAAGTTTCTTCAGGAATCGACTCACTGGGCTTCTTTTCGTCCGCGACAGCCTTCTTCTTTGCATCCTCTCTATCGCCCATGAGTTTGTCCAAGGCCTTGACCATGATCTCATCTCTCGCCGCCTTGTCTTCTCTCCTCTTCTTCTTTTCTTGTTCTCGGTCACCCTCCAAAGATTTCGAAGATGCGTGGTCGGACGATAACAGATCCTACAAAGGCATTAGCGGTCTGTCTCCTCATATAGTAAACAGATCTTACAAGCATCTTCTGCAGATTGGTCAATGCCTCCATGTTTTGCTCGTGCCTTTCATCCGCCAGCCGCCTCTTTTCTTCTTTCTCAGCCATCTTCAGATCTCTTTCAGACTTTTCTGAGGCTGCTTGTTCCGCCGCTGCCTTCTGTTTGACTGTCGCACTCGTCAGTGACTGTTTGATTTTGAGCATCTTCCACTTACCAGCGAGTCTTCTGGCATCCTCCAAAGCCTCCTCCTCGAGAGAAAGAGTAGGTGTCTTGCTTCCCTTGCTCAGCCCGCCTCCTACCGAAGGCTCTCTAGCCGTACCGTCGTGCATATTGAACGGATCTACCTCATCCTGGTGGTGCGGGTGTTCAGAGGCAGGCGTGTGAACAGACTGTGCGGAAAGCGCTCTGATGGTCGGGGCGATAGACCTGTGAGAGCGGGGACCAGAAGGTGTGGCGGGCTTGCTGGTCGTTCCCGGGATAGCGTCACCCAGAGCTCCGTTCTGATGCTCACAGGCCTCTATGGGAATCTTGTTCTCCAGTCGCGCACCATGAGGACAGCAAACACTACAGTGACCACGTCCCAGATCAGACTCACTGGGGCCATGGCTGTGAGCGCCACCCGCTTCCGACTTGGGAGCGTCGGCCATGGTACCGATGGGGGCATCTCTATCGCTGCCTACACCGGGTGGGGTCGTTCTCAGGTGACCAGTCGAAGCGGTGAGAGCACTGGGAGGTCGTGTGCCGAGTGGTGCGACTTCATGGTGCCCTGCGTGGGAAGTATCATGGTCGTCATGAGGATGAGAAGACGCTGGGTAGTTGTGAGCCATAGCAGAGCCTGGTCTGGAAGGAGCCAACGCCGTGCCAGGTCTTGAGGGGCCGAGGGTCGTAGCAGGATTACTTCTCACATACGCCTCTGTGCCATCAGGTAGAGTGACCTTCTCGAGGATAGGAATGTCCGCAGACTTGTGGGTACCAGCAGCATGAGAAATCTCTGACGGATCTTTAGCGGAAATGTGGTCACCGTGAGAAGGTGTGGTATGACTTCCAACAGGAGCATTCCCAGCCAGCTCTCGGGGATCGTGCATGCTTCCTTGACCGGGGGCTGGGAAGCGCTTTTGGAGCTTATTGTGTGAAGCAGCGGAAGCTGGGCGAGGTGGGACGTGAACGGTCTGCCCTCCCGGATAAGCTGTGAGATCCCGACCTTCACTTTGAAGCTCAGCCATAGTGGGCGGTCCAGCCACATGCGCCGTATCGGAGACTCTAGTGTCTTTGTCGCCGGCGTGTGTCGGGACTGGGTGACCAACGGTGGAGTGATCAGGATGAGACGCGGTGTCGGCGGGTACAGTTGAGACACCATGTTCAGATTCGGGCACTGGCTTGCGAAGAATGCCTGAAAGTGGCGATTTGGTGTGGGGCTCTCCGGTGTGAGCAGGCGCGGCAGGGGTGGCAGTATGAGCATCATCACCGTGCTGACTTGCAGCAATGGCTGGGTCGGCCGGAAGAGCTTTGTCGGTAGGGTCGGAGACGCTCTCACTGGGGACATTGGACAGCTCTGTGGCAGGGGGTAGGCTAGGAGCTGAGGGCCTGACATCAAACGATCAGCTCGGAAGTATGAATGTTCTGCTCGACGTACTTTGGGCTTCGTCCAGGAACCAGAGGAACGTCCTTGATAGGCATTCTATCGCCCCAGTGGACTCCGTTCTTTTTAGCAGAGTCTGAAGAGGCAGCCACAGAGGGGTCGGCCATCGCTGAATGAGGATGAGTAGCTGCAGCACCATGAGGAGCATTTGCCGGGTCAGCAACTTGGCCAGTGGGAACATTGGAGAGCTCAGTGGGCTTGTCGCTGACTGGCTTGGCGTGGTTCGTGTCCCACAATTCCGGCCCGGCATGATGGCTGGGAACGTTGCTGGGAGCGTGAGATGAGGGAATGTGTGGGTCTGCAAACCCGCTGGCAACGGATGGGGCGGCAACGGATGGGGCCGCAGTCGCAGCCCGAGATGGGACGTTGGCAGCTGTAGTGGGAGCATGGGCAGGAGCATCTCCCAGTTGTGTTGGAGCTGCTGTTGGGTGGGCCGCATAAGAACCAGGATGCTGGGTATGATGGATCGAGGCATTTTGTGTATCGATTGGGATAGGTCCTGGTGCCATTGTTGCTGATTCATGGGCGCTGTACTCGGCGGGAATGTTTGGTGGCGGCTGTGCGACAACACTCTGGTGGTCAGAGTAGTGAGCGCCGGGGACAATATCTGGCGCGAAGGGCCCACCGGCGTCGCTTGACGGAGGGTGGACGGACATGGGAGGGATGGTATGAGTTGGACCAGACGGATGGCCCGCAGGGTCGGCAAAGACTGTGGCTGGAGCGGACGGGTGGGCGGAAGGGAGTGGTGCTCCCGTTGGGAGCGCAGTTCCGGCAACGCTGCCCGGCACAACGCCGCCGGACCCAGCAGGCTGAGTGCCAGGAGGGAGTTGAGTGTAAGTGCGACTTGTATTATGGGTGGTGACTGGAGGTCCTCCTTCAATAGGTCTGTGAATGATCTGACTCTGTATTAGTGTTTGTCGTTGCCCGTGAACGCACTGCACTCACTTCCTCGTGCTCCTCTCGAATGAGCTGCTGGGGATGAGTGGGCGGGCCTTGGAACTCTGATTGTATAGGAGACATCGTATGCTGGGAGAGAGCTGTAGGGATCGTCAATGGTCGTCCAGTTCTAGGGTTGATGCGGGTCGGGGTCGGTGATCCTGTATGCGAGTCAGCCTCTGTTCGGTTCCGCATCCAGCCATACTCACCCACGACAGACGGATCTCCCATGACAGTTGGTGCAGCCGTTCCGGGGTAGGCACTTCCAGCCACCGTCCCAGGCGCCATAGCTGTTCCAGGATACGCACTTCCAGCTGCAGTACCAGGAGCGACGGTACCTGGGTGTACACTACCAGGGGGCATTGTGGTACCTGGATGAACGCTTCCGGCGATTGTACCAGGAGCCATAGTACCTGGAGCCGACGGGTAGACGCTTCCAGGAGGCAAAGTACCCTCAGCGACGACAGTACCAGGAGGCAAAGTACCCTCAGCGACGACAGTACCAGGAGGCAAAGTATGAGCTACCGTACCCTCAGCCGGCAAGGAGCCGGCGACGGATCCACCGATAGTATCGCCTGGAGCAACAGTCCCAGTCTCTCTAGCCAAATCTTCTTCGAATACGACCTCTTTCTGTTTTCCATGTGGTCCTTCACGAACGATCTCGCGCTCTCGGATGACGGTACGATCCTGGGATGACTTGCTAGGGGTGTAGAGAGGTGCACCAGCAACAGTGGGGTGGACAGATGGACCATAAGCGGTAGGAATGTAAGATCCTTCAGGGGCGACGGAAGCTGAGGGTCCCAGCACAGTAGAGGCGGTACCAGGAGTGGTAGCAGCATATTCGGTTGGGGCAACAGCTGGTGAACCATTGTTCCTCATGGATATGACCTCTTCCTCTTCGAATATACGGGTCTCTGATCGGGGCGCACTGCTTTTGATGAGTTCCTCAACTATAGGCAATGTCAGTCAGGTCTGCTATATTGTGCGGAAAACCTACTCTTCTCTTGAAGTTCGGCCAGTTTCTTATCTTGCTCCAGATTCTTGTTCTCTTCCTCTATGATTTCTTCCTCAAGTGCTGTGACGGCGGCAAGAGAAGGCGAGGGTGCAGAAGGAGCACCCTTGATGCCATCGACAATCCTGCCGCCGACCATGACCGTGCCATCAGGCAATATCCTTCCTTCTACATGGGTTGCGGTAGCAGGGGGTGGGGGAAGAGAAGGAGCACCGGCAATGGTAGGGGCAGGAACTCCTCTGATGCCGTCGATAATATCGCCATTGTCCAATGTCACTGTACCATCCGAAAGGACTCGAGCAGCTACATGCTTGGGCTTGAGCTGCTCACGAAGAGCAGCAATGTCGTTCAAGATGTTTCCGAGTTGGTTCTGAGTAGCATGCGTGCCATCCGCGATCTGATCGCTCATACCGTGAAGATAGCGGGACATTTCATTCTGCTGGTCACCTTGAGCAAGAGCCATAGCGGTGTCCAAAATACCACCGGAACCACTGTCCGTCATAATAATTTCGTTTTCTGACGCGGTCATACCGTCTGTCATAGATCCGGGGGTAGAAGGAAGAGCCATCGTAGAGGCACCAAGCGTAGTAGGCGCGGCTTGTGTAGGGGGTGCAGTGGTAGTCACAGAAACGTGCACAGGTTCAGCCATATGCGTGTGCGCAGTAGCCGGGGTGACAATTTCTTCCGTGAGTACAGAAGGTGTAGAGACCGTAGATTCCGTTGTCGTATTACCAAGACCAGTGTCAGACGTGCTCGAGAGGTGCGTACGAGAGATAGGCGGTGCGAGACCCTGTGGAGCATCAGGACCGCCTGGGACGTTGTTCAAGCCTTGATAAGCAGCAGCAGGGAGACCGTAATCGCCAGTAGTACTGGTGACACCAGGAGGGAAGAAGCCGGGACGACGAAGACTAGGATTGACGTTCTGTGGCAATATGAGTGGTTTATCAGGCTTGGCCTTGGGTACTTACAGGACCGAGCGGGCCACCATAACCGTTGAGACCAGGACGAAGACCAGGCATATGCGGACCCATACCCTGTGACCGTCAGTTCAGATAGAAGATCATTTCGACCACACTTACAGGACCAGGGATACCCATAGGGCCGGGAAACATACCCATTCCCATGGGGCCAGGGGGGAACCCTCGTCGGAAGCTAACATTCATCAGCGCGTGAAGCAAGGCAGGTGTTATCACTTACTAAGTAGTAGAAATAGGGTCTCGAACACCGGCAATCCTAGGCAAAGAAGGTCTAGACATTTCGCTCATACCAGGACCAGGAGGGAACATGCCAGGGCCGGGTGGGAAAGGCGGGCGCATGGAAGGACCGGGTTGCGAAAATTGGGGTGGCATGTTCCGAGGAGAGTTGACTGGAGTTGGAAGATCGAGTTTTTGTGGTGCGGGCAGCTGTCGAGTAGGGTTTCGATCATACTGATCGTCTTCAAAAGGCCGTCGGTCATCTTGATAATCATCTTCAGTACGGTATGGGACGGGAGGTTGAACAGGCGACTCTCGGGGACTGATGTCCTTGAGAATCGGGACGGGGGTGGCTTCACGCTCGAGCGCGGCTTCAGAAGGCTCATACTCGGTCATGGGCTCTTCAGGCTCTTGCTCAGACTCCTCATCTTGGTAGTACTGGGGTTCCTGATATTCCTGCATGGGAGCGTGCTGGGGAGTCTGTTGAGCGCGAGGCTGTTGTAAAGGAGTAGCCATGTGAGGAGCTTGTCGAGGATTGCGGTGCAAGAAGGTAGGGGGGCCATGCAGCTGCCGAGCGACAAATTCTTGCGGGGGAGTGTCGGGGGGTAGACCTGAGAGAGCAAAGTCCTCGTCAAAGTCTGGCGAGCCCAGATGTCCTTCGAGAAGAGAGTCGGAAATGCCACTGAGCGGCCGATTTCGGCGCTCTTGCTCCGAAGTGACACTGTTGGCAGGAGCACGCCTTCCATGCCCAGCGAACTCTCCAGAGTGGACACTGCTACTACCATCGTAGAGGGAGCCATCCTTGGTACCCATAGTCTTTGGCGTCGAAAGATTTGAGCGAGCATAAGCGCTCATCTTTTCGTCTTGGATAGACATGTACTCGTCGGTAAACTCGCTATCCCCGACCTTGTTCAGGACTCGCTTGAGCAAGTCCTCGAGCCTCATCAGTCCAGGTGCGCGTTCGGGAAATTCGACCGCGAGGTTTCTTCCCCGGGCAATCTCCTGCGCCATAAGCTCCTGGCGACCCAAAATATCTTCCTGGCGACCGATGAGCGTACCCAGGAGGTTTCGCAGGTCGTCAAACTGTGAGTTTACCACCTCGGGGAGTAAAAGAGGAGGCGGGGTAACCGGACGTGCCGTCTCGACAGACGAAGTCGATGAAGCAGGAGACGAGGGAGGGGTGGTTTCATCATCAGCGGATTTGGAAGGGACCGGCGGAGGCGCCAAGTCTCGAGCCATCACGGATTGGTTCTCGGCAATCTTTGTCATACCACGCTCAATCCTGTCGAGTTGGTTGCCCATGCGAGTAGTCTGGCCAGATTTGGCCATTTCTTGACCTTTCAAGAAATTCTGAGAACCATGTCAGATGTCATTCAACATTCATGAACGAGTACTTACCAGAAGGCGGAGGACATCGGTGTTCTCCTGCGCTCGGGCCGTCCTACTCGAGTCTGTAGTCGTGTATGAAGAAGTCGAAGAAGAATGACCAGTATGAGATGTCGGAGAAGGGGGCGGGGGCTGAACCACTTCAACTGGTGGTGGTGGCACTCTGGCTATCTTTTTGGGGGAAGCCACCGAGGACGCTGTAGAGATACTGGCTTGCGGAGGCTGCGGAGTGGCCATGGGATCGTTGGTAGTGTAATACGAGCTAGACCAAGTTCAGTTACCTCAACAGTGATATATATTGCACTTACATTATGCCGGGAGCAGTAGAGAACAGCGTTGCTTGCGAAAGGCCCGAATGGAAGCGCGGGCTGTCCCAAGAAGCAGGTGGGGCATATACACTCTCTCGCATTGTATTGTACGCCGAGTGCTCCTTTGCGGCAGAGAAAGCGGTAGGAGGCACGGGTATAGAGAGAGTCTTGTTTCTCGAAGCAGCACTACCATTACTGGACCGCCTCTCGAGCTCGGCCAGCATCTCGTCATCCGAATCGGGATGACTAACCTGTGTCCATGCTTTTGATTCTCGTCGGAATGATGTGACGTCCGCGTCACGCGTATTCGTCCCAGTAGACTGAGCGTCGTGGGAGATGGGAGGGGGGGGGGCTGTCTGCCACTGGGACGAGCGAGGACTTTTTCCTGAGGATGTAGGAGCTGTCTCAAGCGAGGCAGTAGAGCGAGCTTCCGACCTCGCGTCGGTATATTGATATGTGGCTGTCGGGGTCACAAAGCTGGATCTGTTGTCGGTTACATAGAAGGTATCCCCATGCGAAGGCGAAGGCTGCAAATCGGTTACAAAAGTCTGATCGTTCCCTTGAGCGGCATACTCGTAAGCGCCAGAATGACGTTCACTGAAAGATGGGGCAGGAGCGTCGTACAGCTGATAGCGTGGAGTGTCAGCAGGAATGCTGGGTGCTTTTCCAGTGCTCGCTTTCGAGCTGGGGCCCATCGAGGCGGTAAAGTATTGCGAATCCCGGGAAGGGACTGGAGGCGGCGCCGACTGGTAAGAGACGTCGCTCGACTTGGAAGAACGAGAGCTTGGCCTCTCAACAAGAGCCTTGGGAGTTTGCAAAGGCGATGCCGTCCCAGTGACAGCAGCAGTATAGGTACTACTGGCCCTCGGCAGGTTTTCTACCGACTGGAAGTCTGTAGCAACAGGAGCAGTCGTATACTGAGCAGAAAGTCCAGCAGTAGACAATGCCTGACCGTTTCTATAAGGCGTACCGGGCTCCGCTGTCCAAGCAGGGCGCTCGCTAGCCGCAAGCCGAGCTGTCCCAACGCTTCTTTCGCTAGGAGAAGCACCCGTGACCGCGACTCGAGGTAAATCGACCCTAGACGAAGCAGCTTGGGGAGTCTGCATATGACTAGGCTCGCGCCAAGTACCTGTTGCACCAGGAGTGGAAGGCGCGTCTGCAGTGCGATTTATACTAGCTGGCGGGGCAGTATCAGCATATGTGCCAGGCCGAGCTGTATGGCTGGATGTGGTCAATCCTTCTGTGTCCACATCGGATAGCCCAGGGGCTAGGACGGCTGTAGGTGTGGCAAGTTGTCGAGCGGTGAAAGCGGGGTTCAGAGAAGGACTGGCAAAAGTAGCAGCCGGGCTTAGTGTCTCCGAGACGGGCTCTTCGAGTATCTGCTCGGCTGCTCTTGGGGTGTCCTTTCCAGGCCGGGCGGTCTTCATTGAAGGCGCTGACCAAGACGAAGCCGGCGTCGACAACATTGCTGATGTGTATAGCGTACTAGAGCCATGGCCCGTTGAAGTAGTAGCTGTAGACGGCATGGGAGGCATCCCAGGCGGAACTCGGGCAGTACTCTTTTCTGAAGGAGGCAACTGCGCCGCCGTGTAAGCAGGCGTGGATGCAGCCATACTAGGCGGTCTAGCGGTATACATTGTACCGCCATGAGTAGAAGAGGGCGCTCGAACGGTATGGTCCGAAGGAGGCGCCTCGCGAAAAGTCGAAGCAGTAGTGAAAGCCGACTCTGAGGGCGGCGCTCTTGGAAACGTCGAAGCAGGCGTATGGGGAGAGAATACCGACTCTGATGGGGCTGATCGACGACTAGACCCTTCGAGAGAGTGGAACCCAGAAGCGGGGGTCAAAGTGGCACCACCTTGCATGGGTATATTCCACGTACTCGCCACTTCACCCTCCGAGGCCATCGAAGGGGGTTTGATGCCCCTGGCAAATGTAAAGTCTCGTGCGGTAGGCCTTTGAGCATTCGCGGCTGTAAGTGGCAGATCGTGAGTAGTCGTGGTCACAGGCATAGAGATTTCGCTGGCAGAATCCCGGAGGTCTGCTTCGCTCGCGACCCTTCGTAAGGACCGGAGCCGCTCCAGACCTGGAGCAGCGAGCTTTCGACTACCCCGCTGGACTATGGGAGCATGAAGACCGCCAGAAGTCTCGATCACCGCATCGTCGGTAGTATACGAGTTATGAGAAGCACTGCTGTGAGGCGAAGGATGAGGTTTATCAGTGGCGAAGTGGGTGGAGGAAGAGCCAGTATCGCTGGCGTGGTCAGATGATGACTTGTTGGCGCGGAGAGACATGTCGCGGTCGAGCGTAGGAGCGCGAGTGTGCTCGAGGACGGTCCAAATGGCGTTGACCCAGCGGACTCTGTCTCGGGCACTGTCACAGGCAAGGCGCTCGACTCCATCATCGTACACCTATATCCAGAGTCAAAAGTGCCTCACATAAAGCAGAGTCGACTTGCCAGTTTAAATGGATAGAGGTTATCGGCCAGCTCGCCCTGTCTCCTCGCAGCAACAGCTCCGAGATCTTCTTTCGCCATCGGATTGTTCGGACTATACGTACTCGCAACCTCTACATTGTCAGCCAAAAATCTCTTCTGATCATCAACTTACCATCGCAATTCTCCAGATCGAGTGTCACATTCGCAGTCCCCCGTCCACTAGTGACCCAAGAAAGTGTTATCCCATCGTTATACATCCTACCGTCAGCTCGAATCCATTCAAACTCGTCTTTGGTCTCATCGTGGACGTTGAGATAGTACAGCGGGCCGGACCGGATAAGCTAAAGATGGTCAACGCAGCACAAATGCACTGGAGGCTGCTTACATCACCGGTGAGCTGTTTCGGCTCTGAGGCAGATCTTGTCGAAGACTTGAGCGAACTGGTCCTACTGGGCACCTGTTCTTCCTCCCCCGATACCTCTTTCTCTTCTTCTTCTGATATCATAAACTCTGCCTCCTTCCTATCCTTCTCTGCCTGCTCGGCCTGATCCTGCGCCTCCCTCTCCGCCAGCTCCTTCTCGTGCCTTTTCCTCCTCCTGATACTGACGTTCCACCCCTTATCACCACCCCTCGAAAGGCCCGGGGAGCTCTCGCGCGAGTTTGCCTGGCGCTTGCCACCAAACCCCGAGCCAGAGCCAGCACTAGATTTAGAGCGCCAAGAAGCAATCATGGTGCGGACTGACGACAATGGCGAGCCAGTTTTAGGCGGTGGAGTGGGGGCTGTTGTGGGTCTAGAAGTGGGAACAGGGGGTGGGTTGGGGAGTGTAGGAGGGCTGAATAAGGGGTCGGTTTTAATGGGCGTCGGAGGGGGGCGGGACGAAGGGGAAGGCGGAGCACGGGACGGCGCAAAAGTAGGCTGGGGCACAGCCGGTACATCGCCCTTTCCAGGCGTAGACTTGCTCTCAAACATCTTGATGAGGTCGCTCGTCTTTTTCGGCGTAACTGGAGCTCCAGCGCCAGGTGTCCCTGTCGTGCGCGGAGGTCTAGAAGGACTGGGTGGAAGAGGATATCTTGCCGCACTAGCGTCGGAATGAGAGCGTATTTGGAAAGCTCCCGGTACGGTAGGGCTGAGCTGATGGCTCATGCCTGTCATTGTACTCCGCTCTGTCCTTTCACTGACTGTCGACAGTCTAGAGAATTCTGATGCGCCATACTGCCTTTCCTCGGGAAAACTCAGGCCAAGCCCGACAAGCGGCTGGCGGAGGGGCGTTGGCTGCCAGACGTTGGAACCAGGGTCGGATGCGCCTCGGGTGTGAGTCGGGCGAGGAGGAGAGTTGGTTTTGGCACCAGCGAGCACATCGAGCTGTGAAAAGACGCCATCATAAGCCGCGTCGATGGTCGCTGTAGACTGGCCAGTGACTTGAGGGGGTATAGGGTTTGTGGGCGTCACCGTCCCGGAATTGTTCGAGCTGGTCTGCTCTCGCGCTTCATCGCATGAGCCGGCGTCCAGTTCAGAAAAAGCAAAGGACTCACGAATGGCTCGAGCGTGGGCCTTGCCCAAAGTGGAAGACGCGTCCTCGCCAAACAGTCGACCGCGACTAGGCGCCAGAAGCGGACTGAGCGTGGCGTCCGACCTGTATGACTCGAGGGGTCGCTGGGGCGAGGGCGAGGTGGTCCTGATATCGGGCGTGTCTCGCTCGAGGCTATCAGAAGTGGTCATATACTCTACCTCTGCCTCCTCCTCCTCCTCCTCCTCTCTCTGCTCTAGAGTGCGCCTCGTGGCGCTGGTTTTGGGTGTGGCCCAGTTGGAGGAGCCGGAACTCTGGGTGTAGGACGATTCAGATGGGGGCAAGGGGGGCAGGGTGATGGTGGCAGAGTTGCCTCCTGGCTCGTAGGTGTTGAGGAGGGACGCAATGTCGGGGTGGGGCGAGCCTGTGTTTGCTCTCCAGCGACGGGGTGTCGGGGAGAGGGGCTGGGGCGAGGTGGGCATGTCTGGGGTCTATGACATGCCCCTGCTACAAGATACGTTGGTGGATAGGATGAGCAAGAAGAGATGCAGATGAGGGAGAGATAGAATGCAGCTCGCGTTGTTTGCCCGCTGGAAGAGCACACAGAGCGAGCCGTGCGCACACACCAAAGGAGGGTGCGTCCACGCGTTTCATCCGCGCGTCCACGCGTCGCGCCACATTCCCTGCATTCCCTATGTTGAGTGATCCCCCCCGTACACAGAGCAGGCTGTTTGCCAGGGTATCTGTCTGTGCATCCACCCATGAGCATCCCTGGCACCTCGCGCGACTCACCGCTCTCAGGGGTATCACAGCCCCGGATGTTTGCAAGGGGGTTCTGTTTGCGTCCACTCGAGCTATGCGTGTGGTCAGGGAGTGCTCACTGCCTTGCAGCCCTTGCAGAGCCCTCGATAGAAGCGATGCGTTCGAATGGTTTGAGGGGTATGAGCAGGTTCAGTACGCGGCCACGGTAAGCTGTGAGCTACTTGTAGGATGTGGCCAAATATCAGCTGAGCAATGTCGAAGCGTGCAGGCTAGTGAATGCAGGCGGCATGTATGCTAACGTCAGCTATGCCCCCGAAGCAGCGACATGAAAAGAACAACAGATGAGTTGGAGATTAATTATCGTCGACGGCGGTCGGTCGGGGCTACGCGCGCCTAATCATCAGGCCGAAACGTCAAATGCTTGCACGCAAGGCTCGCGCACCCGTCATCCCAAAATCTACTAATCTACTACTAATCTACTAATCGACTACCATGCATGCTATGAGCAGCCTGAGCTATAACCAGCTATACGCGCAGGAGGAGACTTCTGGACAACACCATGCATCTATGCTCTATGCTTCTATTATCCCAAGACTCAGAACGGACTGCCCGCCCCTAGATACACTCTCATCTGGCTAGCCGGCACCTCGATGATCCTCGCCCTGATCGTCTCCCACTGCAGCCTCTTGGTCGCCTCATATCTATGACACCCACCCATCGCAAAGTAAAATACCTGTGCTGGGCCTGTCGGGTCGGTCTTGAGCGGAGCTTTGACTTTGACGACTTCTATCGGGGTAAATGCGTCGCCGCGCTGTGACCGAGTCAGCATCTGCGACAGCTTCAAAGGACACAACTTGCCTTCATCTCATCCATGAACGCCTGCACCTTGTTTTCGTCGAGTTCTGACGGAAGGGGACGGTTGATGACTCTCATAGGGACATTGTGCACGGGGGCGTCTTCTGAGCGGGAAAAGACGGAGGAAGTGGGCTTGTCTGGTTGGAGCTCTGTGGGGAGGCAGGATGCGCCTTGTTGTTGTTCTTCGGTAGACATGATTGATATAGTGTGAACAGAAATTTAAACAGTCTGGCTTTTATAATCACCCAAGCAGCGCGCACAAGTCTGACGTAGCGAGTGGCAAAAACTCGGCAAATGCTCAGATTGCCGCTATCAAGTCGGCCGAACTCATTCCCCGGTCTTGACTCGCAAAAGTGTGACAAAGCATACAACAGGTTACATCCCACTGTAAGAGTGTACCTAACATGAAATCTAGACAAGAGTATCTGTACAAACCTTCACCATGATAAACCAAGAAAATAATATACTTCTTTGTACTACCACTCTCCATCGCTCTCCATCCCATCAAGCCCTTCGTCCATCAGACTAGCTACTTCGCCCATATTCATCCACATCTCTGGGCTCGGCACACGGCCATAGGCGCCCATACCAGGCTTGGGCGTTTCTCTGTCCGGCCTCGGTGTCGCATCCCACTTGCCTGAAGAAAGCAAAGGCGTGGGCTCTTCGTCGGACGAATATTCGTCGAGGTGGATAGTGTTCAGCCCTCGGTGCAGGGACGCACGCGAAGAGACGGAAGAGTATGACCGGACTGAAGTCGGGCTGTCGTCTTCGCCCCACGTCTCGTCATCCAAAAGGATCTCTGGCTTGCCCCACCCTTCCACTTCTTGCCTGGGCGCAGGCAGCTGTCGCTTTGTGAATATCTTGCTATCCTTCTTACTCAGTCGCCTGCCCTTGTCAGATGTGGAGCGCGAAAGAGAGAGGGAAGAGAATGAAGTGGAGGAAGGGAGGGATCGCTGGGAGCCTGGGCGACGGAATGCTGCGCGTACAGGCGAGTTGGGCGGTGAACTGGCGCCCCATGGGAAATCGCCTGGACCAGCCAAAGCGACACCGATGCTGGTCACGCTGATATCGGAAGTGTTTGATCCCTTCCTGTGCATATCCACACTGTGGGCCGAAGACGGGCAGAGGTTGGGCAGCATCAAACTTGTCATGGGTGTCTGAGGGAGCTCGGTGGATGCGGCGGTGGAGGTGGACAACGACGACAGACGTTTGTGGGAGGGCGAGCGGGAGGTCGGGGTGAGAGAAGGCGACATGTCTGTCGAGCTGGGAGGGAAAAGACGAGAAGACTTTGGCGTGAGGTCTTGGTCTACATTGATCCCCAGCCCCGGGCTAGGTGTGGCACTCGCTCTTCTCGAAGCAGCCGCTGCCGATGCAGTCCTGCGAGGGCCAAACTTTTTGCTCTCCTTCATCCCTTGCCATCCCTCCTCCTCGCTCTCACTCCCGCTCCACCCTTTATCGGCTCCGAAAGAGCGGAGAGGGACAGAGGGGGAAGATAAGGTGCGTTGTTGAAAGTGGGCTGGGCGCTGGAGCGAGACGGGGGGGAGGGACGGGCGTTGACGAAGAAGACGCGAGCGGGGAGTGAGGATCTTGGAGCTGAGCGCGGCCTGGATCAATGGCGCTGCCATGTCTAGAGATTGTGAGTATGGATTCCCTGTAGTGTTACACGACTTACCGATATCGCTCTCGTCCGTCTCCGAACCATCACATTCAGACACACTTGTCCTTCGTCTCTTTGCGCGAGTAACGCTCTTGAGGAGATCGCCCAGTTGAGGACTGAGAGGGCACTGCTGTGTCTGCTCCTCCACTTGCGTTTCTTCAGAGACAGTCTCGCCCGTCATATAAGGCAGCGGCTCGTCCACAAGCTTGTCCTCAATGATCCTCGGTGGCTCCGGAAGAAGCAGTGGCGGTGGCGTACGCTTCTTCTCAATCCTATCAGGCGGTATAGGAAACGCCATGATGGCGCTCAACGTCGAATCATTTCTCTGGTGTGTTTTGACCGCTGGCGACATGGGCGGGGATGCAAGTATCTCTTCGACGACTTGGATCTCTGCCGCAGGGGCAAGGACTGGCTTGGCCAGGGTGAGAGGCGCAGAGAGGTCGACCCAGACTGTGCTACCGTCTTCCTTCTCACCATCGTCTTCTTCAGTCACTTGCAAGACGTGGGTAGCGAGGGAGGAGCGTCTTCGGGGTGCGACGCCCATAGCAGCAAAGGGCGAAGGGTAATTTCTGTGTGGCAGTCCGCCAAACTGGACCAGAGGCGAGTCGATATCTGTCGGCAACGATGTCGAGCTCGAGGATGAAGGGGTATAAGAGAGGGAGCCGGGGGAGGAGATGGTGGACGCAACCGACAGACGGGCAGCGCGAGAGTAGACAGGCTCCTTGTCGGCAAGAGGTGAATGTGGTTCAAGTGATGATGTGGTGCTCAATCTCGCCAGCGAGCGGCCGATTTTGGGATATGGCAGAGCCTGGGGCAGGAAGGCCAGTTCGGGGTCTTTGAGCAAATCTTCGCCATCAAAGTAGCTGGAGGACCGCTTGGACCACGCCGAGCTGATGGACGACGTTATGGAGGCGGTCGAGGTGCGTTTGGTGACGCGAAAGGAGCGTGATGCAGAGGCAATGTCATACCGGAGGCCTTCGATCGAGGACTCGCGACGGAGCATTCTGCTAGTAGAGGAACAGCCCAAGGAGGCCGTTTCGGAGGGTCGGGCATGGTCAGACGGGAGGCGCGAGCGTTGTCTTGTGGAGTGCGACGTAGAGGCGTTGGGGTCAAAGTCGCGCAGGCTAGTTGAGGGACTTGGGAGCGGGGGCAGGGGGAGCGAGGGCGCAGGCGAGCTGGGGGTGTAAGGGGTGGCGGGAAGGTGGAATGAAGGAGGCGGACCGTTGCTGCTCCTGCTTGAGCGTGAACGGAGCGAGCTTGTGCGCGACAGTGACTGCGGGGGTGTAAGCATAGCACACAAGGAGGAAAGACCAACTCACGTCCTCGTCGACGCTCTCGTCGACAGAGGGAGCATTGCTCAGCCTATGCCTTTGCCTGGGCACGGAGCTGTGTCTCTGCAGCTCTGCTTCCTCCCTCTCTGCGTCGAGGAATGCCTCCCTGGCGAGGCGCATCTTCTCGCGGGGGGTGAGGTCGGCGTATGAAAACATGGAGAGATGAGGAAGAAAGAGACGGAATTCAACAGGCTCTCCAGTATGCTGCCGGTGCCCTGTGCAGTAGTATCCTTAGGTATCCGAGCGGCGCCCAAGGAAGAGACTGTTCTGTTGTCAGCCATTTTTATTCAGAAAGAACACGCGCGACCCCCCACTAGCACCAGGACAAATACTCCGCCCTGCACTAGCACCCCGCCCGCCACGGAAAGCCGAAGTCCTGCCAGGGTGAGGGGCAGGGGATGCAGGGGAATGCACTCACAATGTCGCCCTCAGGGCACTCTTTGTGGAGTAAACACAGCTACAGAGGGGTGTAGGGGCCGTGCAGCCGTTGTTGGGTTCACCGGAGCTCGTACGGCGGGCCAGTGCGGCTGGGCGAGGCAGTCGTAGTTTAGGGAGGGCAGGGCGTTGATTGTATCCTTTTCGATTATATATGCTGCACTGACCGTGGCTGGCCAGGCTTCGGGCTGCTTCTGACGGGCGGGAGGGCCAAGTTTTCGGTGCTCTTTGCTCACAGTGTGACACAGACAGAGTGACGGTATGGCTCACGTTGGCACGAGATGCCGATACCGAGAGGATTATTACCAAACCAGCTGGCGTCCTCGTCGTACTCTGCTCTGCACGTTGCACCTGGCGACCGGCGAGTGTTGTTGGAGATGGCGGATCTGGAAGAGAGAGATGAGAAAAATAATTGTATCCATGCAGATCCCAAGAGGGCGATCCCCCAGCGGCACGGCTCGGAAGGCGACGGCGAAACCCTAACGCCAGTGTGCCGTCTCGAGCCTCGCCTCGACTTGAGCTTTTCTCTCCTCTATCGCTATCGTTCAACTCTATCCATCATCAACTCTATCCCCCGCTGCATCGGGCGGCAAGGAATTGCTGAAACCTGCCGGATAGGGCAACAAGACAATGGGACGAGGACAGGCACAGGCACGGGCAGCCAAACAAGGTTCCCTGCCCATTAAGGAAGTTTCCGACGCAATCGGCAGCTTACGTACACCGGCGAGCGCCGCTCCCGCTGGTGCTAGGCGGGGGCGGTGTCGATAGCGCGGGGATGCATGGGCGCACGGGTGTATGTAGGGAGGGGGAGGGGGGGAGGGGGAGGAGGACCGCCTCAGCCTCTCGTGCGGCTTTTCGATGCGATGCTGGGCAGTGCAGGACCCGCACAAACGACGTCGGAGGCGCTGCCGAATCGTCAACGCGTCGGGACTGTCCGTGCCTCAATCGTCTCTCTTTTTATTGTCTGTCTTGACTTTCCATAATAAAGCGGTGTTCGCCCCGTCTTCGTCCCCCCTCCGCTGTCAAACACGATATAGACCATTTCTAGCAACAGCATCAAACCATACCATCAAGCATCTCATCTCACCATGAACCTCCCAAGCAACGGCGAGTCCAGCCGCCCATACGCCTACTACTCGCCCCCACAGCCCCAGGACAATAATGCCGTGTTTGAAGCATTCGAGGCTTACTCGTTCAACGACGACCCTGAATTCAGAGTAAGCCATGAGGACGATGCGATGGGCCAGGCTGATGGAACGTTTCCCAGGCGGGTCTGCCGGCAGTCATCAGCGCTATAAGAGGGCAAAAGATGAACCCAGCGAGTATCGACGAGATGCTCTCCAGAGCTCAGTGGTTTTACTTTACCCGGTATGTGGGGTCGCTGCTCCTTCATCTGATCATTCACTTTACCATTCCATGCTGACTATCGTCCCGTCTATTGCAGAAAGCGGAACGTTCAAATCCCCTGGGAAGCCTATGTCCACTACTCGCGCCAACCCCACTCGTCTCCTCCTCGCCAAATAATCCCCCGAGAAGGGCTCCGCCAGCTCGACTCGCTAGCAGAAGCCAGGCGGATGATGTCGGCAACGTGTAATGTGGGCAATGAGGGCATGAGCTTTGAGATGCTTGTACGGCTTATACATGAAGGGAGGGCAGATGAAGTGCCGAGGGAGGATGTGCCAGATGGAATTCATGTGAGTCATTTTAGAAACCATAGACGGGCGGCTGATGGGCGGCAGGATGGCCCACCATCACAGGCCACGATGGCGCACCGACCAAAACCATGGGAGTCCCAGACCCTCCTACCAGACACTTCCTTGACCCATTCCTTCTTCCAGCCCACCCCTCCCTCAAACACAAACACCTGCTCCACTCCCTCCACTTCCGGCACGGCCTCGGCCGACCCAAACGCTGAGACAACCGGACTGGCCTATCACGGAGGCGTCTTTGATCTCACAGGTATGCAGGGCTATGGCGAGATAAGTGAAGAGGATCTAGCAATGATACTAGGTGGAGAGCACAATGTTGATCGGGCTGAGGGGGAGAGCAAGACGGATGGATGGTCGTGGCTGCAGCCTCCATGAGGCACGCGTTCGCCATTCGAGTTGTGTCGACGTTGAATAATCATATTGTAGCTATTTACTCACCCTTTTATAAAGCTCTCATAGTCACACTGCGCTGATTGGCGCTCATATATATTTCTTGCATCATTATCGATCGCATCGAACCCCCACATCTGTAGCACACATCGGCATCTCTACCTAGGGGACCTCGCCAAGTCATCGCAACCTGATCGCCATCAGGTTAAATCTCACCACAAGCGGACAATAACAAGGTTCAGGTTAGACTTGCAAGCATCTGGTACAGCACCGTCTTTGACGACCATCAGCCATCTGTCGACGTGCGCTGTCTCGTAGACTACCATCATGTTGAACCTTGGCCACAGTAACCGCATTACGCGTTCCACGTTTCTTTGTCTCTGGAAGCGACACTCCCAGCGCTCTTCCTGCATCAATCGTCAGACCAGGGGCAACAATCGACAGCAGCAGTGACCTGTATCACGACGCCCACAAGTCGAATCTTTTGTCGTCAACGAGAACTAGACCCTACTTGCACCACCATGATTTGATTGTAGTCCGTTGACTCTGGATCCTCTCTCGAGGTGGCCTCGTCCTGGATTTTCTACTTTATTGCGACTTACCGAGTCGTACAGTACATTGAGCCTTCCTAAACCCGCCACGCTGACCGCGGACGCTCGAATCTTATCCTCGTCCACCTCACAAAGAAACCACACTGAAGCTCTTTATACAAAGCATACCTGCTATCAATCTTTGTCTACCAAGCTTCCACTGAGCCGGTGCCATGCTATCGAGACAAAAAAGCTGAGCGCGGAACCAAACAATGCGACTGAAGCCGCCCGGTTATCGGCGATAGCCGACTGGCAGTGTCTACGATGGATGCCATTCCCATGCACTCTCTGCCAAACAGAGCACAATGAGCCCCCCACAAATCTCCAGGACAGGGCAGTACTCCCTCCTCGTCCTCGTGCTGGCCCTCGTCCTCGCCCGCTCCGACGCCCTCGACGCCCCGGCAGGCATCCTCAACGGGTGGCGAGATGAGAGGAAGCGACGGCGGCAGGAGAGAAAGAGGCGCGAGGCAGAGACGCCCCTGTAAGTCCCACTTTAGAAGTATGAGTGTCCTGCTGATACCGATATAGCAATACCCCAGCCCTCGAGAAGAGACTGGTCGACCTCTACAGCCCCGACCCCTCGTCCGACTCCCGCACCCTCCTCGTCCCCCACATGGGTCGTATATCCAAGGTCCAGATCACACCCACATCTAAGGAGCTATACAAAGAGCATCTACCGCTGTTTCCCAGGCTGAAAGCTGGAGAGAGGCTAGGCGTCAACAAGAACTTTTGGAGGATGCTAGGGGCGGTGCTCAAAGTGGCGTTTGCCAAGTAAGCGCTTTTCTTGTTTGGTAAAATCCCACTGACGATGCATAGTAGGGGTGGGAAAGAGGCATTCCTGCTGCTACTGCACACCTTCTTCCTCGTCTCCAGGACCGTCTTGAGCGTGATGGTGGCAAGGCTGGACGGGCGGATCGTCAGGGATCTCATATCGGCCAACGGAGCTGGTTTCCTTCGAGGACTCGGGTGGTGGTTTGCTCTCGCTGTACCGAGCACCTATACGAACGCCATGATCAGATACCTGGAGCGCAAGCTGGCGTTGGCCTTCCGAACGAATCTCACCCGATACATCCATGATCTCTATCTGTACGTCTTGATCAGACGGCGTGACCTCGCTGATTCCTTCCTAGAAATGAGAACCTCAACTATTACAAGCTCGGGACTGGGGTGGGCGGTCAGGCTCCAGCAGAAGGGGGCGAAAAGTCTGGAGAGACGGGGGCAAGCGAAGCGTCTACTGGAACCGCTGATCAGTTCATCACCACTGACGTAGCCAAGTTTTGCGACTCTTTGGCAGCTCTCTAGTGCGTAACCATATTACAATCGTTCACAGCTTACGAGTATCAGTGGCAACATTGGCAAGCCCACACTCGACATGATCATATTTACCTCTCAGCTATCTGCCTCTCTGGGACCACTGGGCACTATCGGTCTCTTTGCCAATTACGGCTTGACAGCTTATATCCTACGATCTGCTACCCCGGCATTCGGCCGGATGGCAGCAACCACCGCCAGATTGGAGGGCCAGTACCGGGCAGGGCTAGCGAGGATAGGGCGAGACGGGGAAGAGGTCGCATTTTACAACGGAGGCAAGAGGGAGAAGGGCATTCTGGTGGGAATGTTTGAGGCGCTGAAAAAGCATGTCCATTCGGTCTTCAAGGCGAGAATACCTTATGGGTGCGTAATCTCACTTGCCCGAGGCAAAAGCTCATGATAGTGCAGTATGACGGAGGACTTCGTCATCAAGTACCTCTGGTCTGCTGCTGGTTATGGTCTCATGTCTATCCCCATCTTCTTCCCAGGTGCGACCAAAGCCTTGTCTACTGGTGGATCAAAGCCCCACGCCCACCATGCCATCGCCGAGCGTACCGAGAGTAAGTGAATGCCCCCGTTCAAAGCCGTATTTTAATCGCATGAGACAGGCTACATGTCCAATCGCCGTCTCTTGCTATCCCTTGCAGATGCAGGCGGGAGATTGATGTACTCTGGCAAGGACCTCGCAGAGCTGTCAGGATACACTAGCAGAGTTTACTCTCTGCTGGCAGAGCTTCACGGTTTGGACAACGGGATATATGCTGCTCAAGCTCGTCCAGATGACTTGCCTGCTGATCAAGTGAGAATCATCGATACCCTTGAAGACATCACGCTGACATGATATATAGCCTTTCTATGACATGGCTAGAGTGGAAGGCGTCACCAGTATCGGGCCAGACCACATACTGCTCCGTGGTGTCCCTATCGTCGCCCCCGCCGAAGGCGCAGGTGCCGAACGAGGTGGTGAGGAGCTCATTAGAAGTCTAGACATAAGAGTAGAGAAGGCAGAGCATACCTTGATCACAGGTCCCAAGTAGGTCGTCTCTACTAAATTTGAGAGATAAAAAGCTGACGTGAGTTTCACAGCGGCTCCGGTAAGACTTCTGTTGCGCGTATCATCGCCCAACTTTGGCCAGTCTGGAAAGGCCTACTCGAGCGACCTGTGCAGGGCGAAGGGGGAATATTCTTCCTGCCTCAGAGACCGTACCTGAGTATTGGTAGTTTGCGAGACCAGGTCACTTAGTAAGTGAAATGCCTTTTTGATGATTCGATATGGAGCTGACAGGCGCTGGTCAGCCCCCATACATATGCCGAGATGAAAGCCCATGGGAGGACAGAGACGGAACTGATGGGCATCCTGAAGGCTGTGCATTTGGAGTATCTACCTGGCAGAGAAGGAGGCTGGGAGACGAGGAAAGAGTGGAAAGACGTGCTCTCGTAAGCGTTATTAGTGCCTCACTTTGGTCGCAATTCACTGACAAAGACTCTTGTGTAGAGGCGGCGAAAAGCAGAGAGTAAGTACATCTTCAAGACGGCTGTTTACCATAGGCTGACATATCTTGATAGATGGGTATGGCGCGACTCTTCTATCACCGTCCCTCGTTCGCCATCCTCGATGAATGCACCTCGGCCGTCTCGAGCGACGTTGAGGGATTAATGTACGAACATGCCAAGGATCTCGGTATTACCCTCGTGACCATATCGTGAGTCACATGCTCATTCAATAGTCCACCGATAACATCCACTTTGCAGGCATCGTCCTGGGCTGTTGAAGTACCATAACAGACACCTTCGTCTGGGAGATCCCGGTGCGCCTCAACCCAGCCGTCTAGCATCCCGAGCTCCTTCCCGGCATCAATCATCCCTGCATCTCCCTCTGGCTCCTTCCACCCTTCATCTGACTTCCCTTACTTCTAGCCTCCCATCGCCTTATGCTGAACTACCCCAAACACCCCTGGTAGAGAAGGGTTGGCAGTTCACGGTCATGTCATCGGGTACAGATAAGGAGAAGCTGGAGCTGGATAAAGAAATAGAGATGCTGGAAAGTATCCTGGAGAAGGAAGTTGGGGAGTGGGAAAAGAGACTGGGAGACATCAATGGGGAGCTGAAAGGCCAAGTCAACACCACATGAGCGAGGGTGGAACACGTCGCCGTCATTCTCCGGTGCTGGTTTGCAGCATTGAGCGAGAAGGCGTGTTTTGTTTTCTGAAGGTAACTCGAAACAATCTACATACTGTAACACAAAGACTACGAGTCGTCGGTTGGCGCCCAACGTGGACAAAGTCCCTAGCCTGACAATCTCCATCACCTCATCTGTTGTATATCGCGTCTACTTATGTATCTTTGGAATGTACAAAAAGTGGACTCGGCATGATTCCATCTCTGCTTGACCTTCTGTGTCCTCCAGCGACATTGATTGTTTACTTGATCATTCTGGATGATTTCTTTACGGCCAGCGTCCACAGCAGGATGATACATCACAGCCAAACCACATAATGCCCTATCATTGTCGATTCAGGTAGATGATAACAGTTTCCCCTTGACTGCCACCTTTCCCTACCGCCACCTCGATCCGGTTCTCATTCTTGCTCAGCGGCACAGCCACTGTCCACTTCATTCCTTCCTTCTCAACTACCCTTCCTGTACTAGATACCACCCCATTCAGGTGCAGCGTCATATCTTGTTCGTCCTGCTGGTCCCCTCGCTCTGCGGCCAGTGCCAAGTCTGGGTACGCTGCAATCTCCAGCTCGCTGGTATTGCAATCCAGCAAGATGGAATGCGCTACCACACCTCTGGAATTTCTCAATTTGATGATCTGCTGCTGAGAGCCAAAAGCAGAAGGTGAGGTGTAAGAGAGATCGAGGTGGGAGATCAATGGCTGCGGGGGAGGCGGTCTTCTTTCTGCTTGTGGTGTGGGCAAGGCAGGTGTTGAAGCACCACTGCGGGCTGCGGGGCTCGGAGATGGCACGTGGGAAGGAGTTTGGGTTTGTGAGAAGGATTGGTACATGGCCTGAGCCTGGGCATGCGCCTGCGCTTGAACACGCGCCGCATTCTGAGCTTGTACTTGGGCCTGAGCCTCTGCTTGCGCTCGAGCTTGAGCTTGGGCAGCGGCCTGTCTCTTCTTCTGTTCGACAACCACGTTGAGTGAACGGTACGTGGCCACACCATGAGGCGGGAGGCTATTCAGCCACTGCTGTTGTTCGTGTACCGGGTACCGGTCGAGAGAAGCGACGACTTCCTCTGTGACCACGCCCAACGGAAGTGCCGGGAGGTACGATGATGAGCTTGTATGAGACATTCCCGGACGGGGAAGTGAATGTGAGCCATGGTATGGTGACTGCGAATATGACGGCGAAGGTGCAGGATAAGCTGTTTGAGGGATGGAGTGGTGTGCCCCAGGCGACGGGGTTGGTATTTGCCCTGGGAACCCATGGGAGCCTCGAGCAGTCATATGACCCGACATGGGCATGGTGGCAGTGACCGGTGAATTGACCGTAGCAGTCGAGGGAGCATACCCCAGATGGGGATTGGCGACTCGCACGGGGATCATGGCGCTGGCCTTCTGACGGGCGGAGAGCTTCGTACCAGGAGGTAAAGTAAGCCGAAGCTTGGTCTCGGCACGTTGCTGGGGGAACATGTCCTATGAAGGGTCAGTCTACGTCGACAAAGCGTAGACATCGCGCACCTTGATCCTCTTTGCGTCCTGGAATACCGCGCTCTCATCCGTATTGTACTCCATGGCATTGTTGCACATGAGTTCCAAGTCGTCAAAGAATTCTTCCCAGGTCTCGTACCGCCTTCCGGAGTGCTTCGCCTCAATCTCTTCCAATGATATAGGAGTCTTGATGGTCTTGTAGTAGTCGGGCAGATCCTTGCGATCTGGCAGTTGCATGAATACGTCCGAGATGAGACGACCGCTTCCGCTGAACAAATCGTTAGCATGAAAAGACCAGCGGCCGCGATCACCCACTCGTAAGCCTTGGCTTCCTTGATTGCTTTGAGCACAGGCTTGATCAATTTGTACACTGTCGGCCCCTCCCTAGCGACATAGGGTCCCTTCTTCTTCTTGTTGAGGAGTTTGGCGTCATCTTCGTCTTCCCGCGCACTGCTTCCGTCCGCATCAGGAGGCAACGTCTCGGTACGCTCCCTGTGGACAGGTTCAGACGTAAATTCATCTTGCTCGTCTCCCTCAGAGTCCGAGTCCTCCTTGGCTTTGCCGGGATTGGTTTGATCGGCATGGAAGACCCGGGTCATTTTCTGCAGGCGTTATTAGCATATGATTGGACAAGATAGCATGATACTTGCATGGAGTTTCTTGGCCCATTGGAAAAGCGCCGATTCTCTGACATTGTCTGCATTTGTCAGTACAAGGCGTGAGCAATGTCAGAGCCTACTTACATCTTTTCGCATTGTTGAAGATTTGTCCAATGTCCGCAACGACATCTTTGAGAGTATCATATTCTTGCTTGTCAAGCCTTTGTTTGACGATTTCAAGACTCATGGGATGCTTTATGGTCTCGTAGTAGTCCGGAAATTGTCGCTGTGCGTTAAAAGTCAGATAAGGATGGGCTAATGTCAACAAAGCGCGTCGCGACGCGTCTTACCTTGGGAGGCAGCTTGACAAAAGGCTCAGCCATGGGCTCCCCACTGTGCATCCGTCAGCCAATGCTCGAGTCAGCCCTCGGGAGCTACTAACTCTTTCGTCTGGGCCTCCATAATCTTTTGCCAAATCCTCATCCCCAGTTCTTTTGCCCTCGCCGGGTCTTTCGGGTCGGCGTCCGCGTTCCCCTCTTGCTTTGCTACATGCGGCGACGGGCTTCTTCTCCTCATTGATCTTCCTCCATCGGCAGGAATAATGAGGCTGGGGTTGACATCAAGCTTTCTCTTGCGCAATCGGTTGTCGGCCGTGGTGGATGCAGAGGGGTCATCGGAGATGACTGACTCGGAGGGGAGGGGAGGCTGGCTGTCGGCGTGATTTGCTGAGATTGCAGGAGGTTGGCGGGCGGAGCTCTTTCTTTTGGCCCCCATGGCGGGCAGCTGTATGGCAGGGAGGTGGTTTGTGGAGAGATAGAGAGAGATGAATGCATGTGAGACGCGTTTCGACTTCTTTCTGCACGCATTCCAAGACAGGTTACGTAATACTGCTCTCATCCTCTCGCATCAACAGCAAGGGAGCATTGAATCTGGGATGAACAGTTGGCTATCGGCCGCTGGAGCTATGAGGGCAGAGGGCGATGTATGTATCATGAAGTAACAGAGGTCCGGGCAAAGAAAGGTGGCAAATTGGGGGGATGTTGGTAGGGTCGTGGCCGCTGCATCTATACGTTAATCGTCAGCCCTTGCAATGGCATGACAGGCAAAGCAGGCGTTTGAGATGCATATTCCTGAGAGCCCCTGTAAATTGCACCCCCTTGTAGGTGGCTCGGTGCAAACAAGGTAGGAATACGCCGTCGCGTTGACGCGTTCATCGACCACTTTTGACTTTTGACATTCATCGTTCTTGCCTCCGGGACCACCAAATCGCATCTCTTTCAGCGCCATCAATCCATCTTGGAGTCCTACAAAGCGGCCATCTCAATACTCAAGATCTCGTGAGGCGGAGCAGCCCGTCATGGCCCAGGCCACCCCCCTGGGTCTCTTTATCCAGCCAGCATGTCTCCAGCACAAGTACATCCGCCACCCAAATGCCTCACATATCTTTGAGCGCCCTGAACGTCTCAGAGCTGTCCTTCTCGGCGTGGCAGCGGCAGTAGCCAGACTCGAACAAGTGTCCCCTCAAGCGGGCCAGGAGGCTTCATCCGCAAACGACGACCTGTCCAAACTCCTATCCTCTCTCTCGATCACCCAATCTCCGTCTCAGCCCACTCCCCATCTCCACCTAGTCTCTGCCCCGCCTTTACCATTCAAACCGGGAAACATCCTTCTCCACCACCCCGCCGTTCAGGTTGCCCACTCTCCTGTAGGTGAAGCGCCTTTCCCATATATCGGCGAGGGATCGGCAGGCGGCGCGGGGGTGGGCTGGCCCCAGTCAGACTATTTGAAGGATCTTGTAAAGTGGTGCGAAGGAGCCGTGGAAAGAATAAAAGAGACGGGGTGCGAGATACCAGAGGGATTGGGGTTGAACCCGGGGGATCTGTATCTTGGGCCTGGGAGTATTGTGGCTGTCGAGGGGGCTGTAAGTGAAATTCTGTCGACATACGAGACGATACTTACTCCATCAAGATTCAAACAGTATGCCAAGCGATTGATACCGTTTTTATGTCTTCAAAACAAGCCCCCCGGCAAGGACCAACAACGCCCCCCGTCTCGCCACCTTCGTCAGAAGCACTGGATCTGCAAAAAGCTTTCTGTGTGATCAGACCACCAGGTCATCATTGTGGGGAAGATGCTCCATCTGGGTAGGTCACACCAGCATCTTGCAGATATACGATTGACTCCTGGCAAGGTTCTGTTACATCAACAATGTCGTTACTGGCGCTATGCACGGTGAGCTACCATTAATCCACATCGCTAGATACTGATTGCCTGTCAAGCGTATCTCCAACATGACGTTGATCGTGCTATCATCATCGACTTTGATCTGCACCACGGGAACGGCACTCAGGCCCTCGTTATGCCTCTCAATGCCGCAGCGGAAGTTGAAGATATCCAAGTCAGGGCTGGCAAGCCTCCCATGATGCGAGGTAAGGAAGGACGTGCCAGGAGGGGCTGGAAAGGATTCTACGGCTCAGTGCATGATATCGTAAGTTACCATCATATCATATGAACAAGAGCTCAGAGGACTATAGTATAGCTACCCTTGCGAGGACGGCGACCTAGATCTCATCCGCGACGCTTCCATCTCTCTCGCCGCCCACGGCCAACATATCGAAAACATCCACCTGAAACCATACGCTTCCGAAGCCGATTTCTATGAGCGGATCTACCCGCTCTATCTGGCTCTATTGGACAAGGCGAGGGTATTTATGAAAGAGGAAGAGGCGAGGCCGGGCAGCACAGTGATCTTTATCAGTGCGGGATTTGATGCTTGTGAATGGGAGCACGAGGGGATGCAAAGACACCATAGAAGAGTTCCTGTGAGTGAATTCGCCTCTTCTGTGCTCAAAGCTGATTTCATAAAGGTTTCCTTCTACTCGAGATATACCCACGACATTGCAGCGTTTGCCAACATGTATACCAACGGCAGAGTTGTCTCTGTACTCGAGGGCGGCTATAGCGACAGGGCTTTGACAAGCGCTGCTATGGGACATATAGTAGGCATGAAATCGGCTGGAGAGGGTCAGGATGGCAAGCTCCCTGAAGACTGCGATGCTTGGTGGACAGAAAAAGAGTTGATCAACGTAAGTCGCCTGCCAAGTATACGAATCAAGCTGATGTGACGGCAGCTGGAAAAGGCTGGCAAGAAGAAGCGAGGTGCCACCTCCAAACTCGCCCCCCTCCCCTCCGAACTCGCTCAACATTCTCATCTTGTCCGCACCCACTCCCTCCTCTCCACCTTTGAAGGCCAATCCATCGAAGTGACCCCTGCTCCGTCCACTGAAGGTACACCGCAAGGACGCACGAGAATGGCACTGAGGGAACGGAGGCCTGTGGCGAGCACTGAGGGGACGCCTGTGGCTGCTAAACGAGGCGCGAGAGGGAAGGTACAGACGACACCGGGATCGAAGCTGAGAGGCGACGCTACGGTAGAGCCTTCTCCTGCCAAGCCTCTCGTCGAGAGCACAAATACGTCCCCGAGTGACGCCGCAAAGGTCGCGCCTGGGACCCAGGTTATACCATCGCAAAGAGATTCAGCCCACCCTGCGGCAGAACGGCCACTCGAGAAATCGGAAGACGGGTTTGACGGGGCCGTGGAAGGTTTAGCAAATGTTTCATTAGGAGCTACTGCCGATACAGATCCCGCGCCTCTCGTTGCCCGAAACCATACATCTCAGCCTGAAACACAGTCCCAGTCTGCCCCAAAGATTATCCTGCGTATCCCAGCACGCTCCTCATCCAGCTCTCCTACTCCGTCCCACAAAGGTCTTGATTCCAGTGACCAGGAGGTACCTTTGGTCAAAACTGAAGCAGAGCGACTTGAAATAAAACAGCCTGTTGCAGAAGCCACATCTTCAACACAGGGACCGACTATGCTCCGCTTCAAGATGCCACAGGTGTTTCCTCCTGCCGCAGAATGAGGCGAGTGTGTTTGGTTGGGGTCGAAGGGGAGACAGAGGTATACAGGGGGAATGATGTGATGGATGGGATCATACGTTGGGATCTTGCACATAGGTGTTTTTCTCCAGCTTGGCGTGTATCAGTCTAGGATCTTTGAATATGCAAGAATATGCCACATACCTCGTCCTGGAGAGCCTCTTTGACATGTTCCACGTAGTCCTTCTTGATCAACACCTTGTTTTCGTCTCCCCCTGTAGTACAGTCAGTATGTGCCCATGACAATGGAAAATGACTTACAGTCAAGAGCCACAAACTTGTTGTTGCCATCGCGGAGAGAGTCGAGATGGAGGAGGATTTGTTTAGCGGCAGAGTCGCTATATGCAGTGAGCAAGGCACATTCGAAGACTGCATGACTTACCAGGTTACGAGAACGCCTGATGTTATCTTGACCCTGTAGCTGTCGGTGTTCATCGCATGGATAGAAAATGGCTGAGGAAATGATAGAAACCGAGAACGGATGAATGAATGGCTAAAAGAGTCAAGACCGGGCGGTGGTCGCCGAGGGAGCAAGCGAGTCGACAAGGAAAGATATGTCAACTCGAATGCTCCACTCGAGATCACATCTACAACACAAACATGTCTGAACAGATCAAGAGAGTCTTTGCGGACAAGAAGGAGCAGGTAAGCATGTCCAGCCCCCAGGTATTTCCAGCTGACCTCGGTGCAGGACCAGGCGTACGTTTTTCACTGATCCTAGGGCTTCGGTACTTACCCCTTGCAGTGCTTTCGTCACATTTTTGACAGCTGGTTTCCCCCAGCGGGACTCTACAGTCCCTCTCATGCTTGCCCTTGAGGCCGGAGGTGCCGACATCATTGAGCTCGGTATGCCCTTCAGCGACCCTGTCGCTGACGGTCCTGTCATCCAAAAAGCCAACACTGTGCGTCACATTGCCAGTGCCACACGATCGAGAAATGTACTCATAACCATTCCAGGTTGCTATCAACAACCACGTCAGCTACGCCGACTGTCTCGAGTATGTGCGCCAGGCTCGTGATCAGGGTCTCAAGGCTCCCGTCTTGCTTATGGGTGTGTCATTTGCGTCTCCATCGCCGTTGCTAGCTAACGATCGGCAGGTTACTACAACCCCCTCATTGCTTATGGTGAAGAGAAGGCCGTCCAGGATGCCCTTTCTGCTGGCGCCAACGGTTACATCATTGTCGATCTGCCGCCAGAGGAGGCCATCAAGTTCCGAAACATATGTACCTCTTCCGGTGTTTCTTACATTCCCTTGATCGCTCCCTCGACCAGCATCGACCGAGTCAAGTTCTTGACCTCCATTGCCGACTCCTTCATCTACGTCGTCTCCAAGATGGGTGTCACCGGCTCCTCTTCCGGTGAGGCCATCTCTGCCTCCCTCCCCGAGCTCGTCAAGCGCATCCAAACCTTCACCCCCATCCCCCTCGCCGTCGGTTTCGGTGTCGACAACCGTACCCACTTTGACTTTGTCACTTCTGCCGGTGCCGATGCTGTTGTTGTTGGATCCAAGATCATCAAGCTTGTCTTTGACCACGCCACCGATGGACAGGCGGCAAAGGAAGTGGAGGCGTTCTGCAGGGAGATCACGCTCAAGGACCAAAACCCGCCTGCGTTGAACCGCAAGTCTGCCCTTTCATCCGCCCCCGCTCCCCCTCTCCCTATCCCATCCTCCACTCCCCTCGCCGAGGCCGAGACTAGAGTCACCGCCCCCGGCAAGCTCCCCTCTCGATTCGGTCTCTTCGGAGGTGCCTACGTCGCCGAGTCGCTCGTAGACTGTTTGGCCGAGCTCGAGGACGCGTACGTCAAGGCGAAGGATGACCCAGAGTTCTGGAAGGAGTTTGAGAGCATGTACGGGTACATGAACAGGCCTAGCGAGCTGTATCTTGCAGAGAGGTTGACTGAGGAGATGGGTGGTGCCAAGATCTGGCTCAAGTAAGTGCGCCTGTATGTGTGGGTCAAGCTAACGCATCTCAGGCGAGAGGACCTCAACCACACTGGTTCTCACAAGATCAACAATGCCGTCGGTCAGATCCTTCTTGCCAAGCGATTGGGCAAGAAGCGTATCATTGCCGAGACTGGTGCTGGCCAGCACGGTGTCGCCACTGCTACCGTGTGTGCCAAGTTTGGCATGCAATGCGACATCTACATGGGCGCTGAAGACGTCCGTCGACAGGAGCTCAACGTCTTTAGAATCAAGATGTTGGGTGGTAACGTCATCCCCGTCACTTCTGGTACCCAGACTTTGAAGGATGCCGTCAACGAGGCTATGAGGGACTGGGTGACAAGACTGGACTCTACGCACTACCTTATCGGATCTGCTATCGGTCCCCATCCTTTCCCCACCATTGTGCGAGACTTCCAGAGGGTGATTGGACGAGAGATCAAGAGCCAATTGTATGAGAAGACGGGCAAGCTGCCGGATGCTGTGGTGGCATGTGTTGGTGGTGGTTCCAACGCTATCGGTACCTTCTTTGACTTTATCGAGGACGAGAGTGTGAGATTGGTCGGTGTCGAGGCCGGTGGTGAAGGTGAGTGTTTTATCTTTTACGGCGTACATGATGCTAATGGACTCAGGTATCGACACTGAGCGTCACTCTGCTACTCTTACAAAGGGTGTCATGGGTGTCGTCCACGGTGCCGCCTCTTACATCATCCAATCTGCCGACGGCCAGCTCGTCCCAACCCACTCCATCTCTGCCGGTCTAGACTACAACTCTGTCGGCCCGGAGCACTCTCACCTCAAACACATCGGCAGGGCCGAGTATGTCGTTGCGGACGACATTCAGTGTTTGACGGCGTTCAAGATGTGTACGCAGTTGGAGGGTATCATTCCTGCGCTTGAGAGTTCGCATGGTCTCTGGGGAGGGTTCCAATTGGCGAAGAGCTTGCCCAAGGATCAGGATGTTGTCATGTGAGTGTGTTGACGAAGTGCTGTGATGATCGCTGACGCCGGGTGTAGCTGCTTGAGTGGTAACGGTGCCAAGGATGTGGCCGAGGTTCTCTTGACCCTCAAGAAGAAGGAGTACGCCGACAAGCTCGACTGGCACGTTGCTCAATAATGTGCAGAGTCGATGAAGGGATTTTAGCACGAAAAGCATTAATCATATGCATCATACCATGGTCTGAATTCAATTGTCGTGGGTTTCAACGAGCAATGAGCGGATGTGGCATCAACTTGGAGCAGATCTGCAACTTGTCCCCCGAGATGAATGTCATTGCCACCTCAAACCCGCTTCGATGTACTGCAGGCAATCTTGCCGACAAAGGAGACAGAGCCCCACTTGTCTTCTTGCTGATAGATCATCCTCCAATCTACGCTCCTTCCCCGTTTGCAACCTGGCTCCGAGTATCACTCCAAAAATGAGGGGGCAGTAATGCATGATCTACGCAAATACCACCGGGCTCGGCGTAGGATTTCTAAAGAAAAACGAAACGAGACGCTTAGTCGAAGAGACCGAAGCCCTGCAGCCAACGTCAGCACAACGCAACACCCAAGAGACGAAAAGTACGCACCATGTCGTCGTCAGACTCCTCCTTAGCCTCCTCCTTCTTCTCCTCAGCGGCGGGGGCGTCACCAGCGGCCTCGGCACCACCAGCGGCAGGGGCACCACCGGCAGCGGGGGCACCACCACCACCGACGTTGGTGAGGAGGTCCTTGATGTCCTTGCCGTCAAGAGCCTTGGCGAGGAGGGTGGCCCAGATGGGCTCGACCTCGACCTTGGCGGCGGAGGTGAGGGTGATGAGCTTGTCACCCTAAGCAGAGCGTCAGAATCCTGTATCCCATTTCCATATAATTTCAACTAACGGTGATCTCGATACCCTCGTCGGCGAGGATAAGAGCGGCGTAGGTAGCGGCGAGTTCGGAAGACTACGGGGGTAAGCTGGGCCATGGGGGCGAGGCGGTTGACATACCATGGTTGATGCGTAAACCTGTTTAAGCACTTTTGGCGGGAATGCGCAATGAAGAACCGATGGATTCAGTCGTCGAGATCATGAACAGTTTCGCGGCGGCGCTATGCAAAATACAGTGTGGCACTTTTGCTCCCGAGAATGGTCGCAGACTTAATTACAACTTAACATGCGGGGGTCGCCGCGCTGCTGCCACTGTCGGAGTTTGGCGGTAATTTCGATTTGTCGTTCTCGCGCAAAGAGGGAAAATACTTGCCCACCAGCCGACTCCATCCGTCAAGTATCTAAAATGGCCGCTTCTACCACGTACGTCCTGCCCACGATGAGAGGAGAGACCCCGCTGACAGCCCATAGCGTGCCTACTGCCGAGGTGAGCATCAGAGAAGGACTGGTGGACCGCTTGGAGCATCTCGACAAACACCAACATTCCTCTACGACTCACACGCATTTCCTATCCCTCCAAGGCTGCCACCAGATCCGAGGGCAATATGGAGAAATGAATGGGAGACTGACTGAGACCTGTAGCAAATCGCCGTCCCCGAGACTTTGCTCAAGAAGAGGAGGACCAACGAGGCCACCCGTGAGGCCAAGTTGGCTGCCGCCGCTGAGGCCAGGAAGGTGAGCATGCTTCCATCTGGACCACTACGAAGAGACAAGGAATGGACCGCGCAGAAAAGCAGGAGGGGAGAAGAATTTGAGGTGGATGTGTGTTGGTCAAAAGTTTTACCTGGCGACCACGCGCATCTACAATGATGCAAAACCACCGACAACTCGTCGGCATACAGCTAGCTTTGGCGATGCTGCTTGTAATTAACCATCTTTCGGGGCTGAACCAAATTTTTCGACCTTCCTTGTCTCTTCCGAAACTTGTACCACGGGGCGTGGCGCTGACTTTTGTGTCGTAGGCTCAGAAGGCCAAGAGAAAGGTCATCTTCAAGAGGGCCGACGAGTACGTCAAGGAGTACCTCAACGCCGAGAAGGAGGAGGTCCGACTCAAGCGAGAGGCCAGGAAGACCGGTGACTACTACGTCCCCGCTCAGCCCAAGGTCTACTTTGTTGTCCGACTTAAGGGGTAAGTGCGCCACATCCTTCTCGTCATCGCATCTCACGCTCTGTGAAGTATCTCCAAGATCGCCCCCAAGCCCAAGAAGATCCTCCAGCTTCTCCGTCTCCTCCAGATCAACAACGGTGTCTTTATCCGTGTGACCAAGGCCACCACCCAGATGCTCAACCTTGTCAACCCCTACATCACCTACGGTGAGGTCAACCTCAAGGCCATCCGTGAGCTCGTCTACAAGCGAGGTTACGCCAAGGTCGACGGTCAGCGAATCCCCATCACCGACAACGCCATCATCGAGAAGCAGCTCGGCAAGTTCGGTATCATCTGTAAGTTGGCTCCACTCGGGTATGTGACCCACCCTGACATGTTACAGGTCTTGAGGACATTGTCCACGAGATTGCCACTTGTGGCCCCAACTTCAAGCAGGTCACCTCCAACCTTTGGCCCTTCAAGCTCTCCAACCCCAACGGTGGCTGGAGGCCCAGAAAGTTCATCGGTTACGTCGAAGGTGGTGACGCTGGTAACAGGGAGAAGGCCATGTCCAAGCTCGTCCACCAGATGGTTTAAGAGTTTTAGTAGTGGTAGAGGATGTAGCTTTTTCCTATTCTGCTGTTCTCGTCCATTCGCACCATTGTCGACATGGCGAGTGTAGAGGGGAGAAGTCTGTAGAGGGCAGGTCGGGGGTCCATGGTGGTGACGTTTCTCTTTCTCCTTGCATGTAACCCAAATCCAAAACAAACGGGTGGTATGGTTACATTCAGTCAGTCTACAAGCAACAACTTCTTTCTCTTAGTCAAGCAATCCATGATGCTCGTGGTAGCTCCCTGTGCCATCTTCATCCTTCCATCCAACGGTACTCACCCCAACCATCGCCGTCATGATGCGCGGTTTCTTTTGCCCTCCGGAAGCTCCCTCACTTCCGTGGATTCCCAATGCCGCACCTTGCTTCTTGAGATCGTCCCAGGTTACTCCGTCGATAGGTGCGCCGGGAATCAGCTCGGGGTGCTTTGACTCTGTCTGTCGTGTTGTCTGCATCTGCTTTGCCTTTTCGCATACCTTGTCCAACTCTGTCTGACGGATCTTAACTTGCACAAGCGGCAACACATCACTGATTGCTCCCGGCCAGGCCTGCTCAAGCACCCTGAAGAGTACGCCCTCTACAGATTTCTGGGTGTTGCCGTCAAAGCGAAGGTTGAGGGAGATGGCTGAGGGAGGCAGATGCGCAAGAGAAGGACACTCGCGAGTCAAAAGGTCAATAACCTCCTACGCAATGTCAGTATACCACCCATGTGTCAGACAAAGGACGTACAGATTGACTGGGCATGACTGGCCCGATGAACGACTCGTCCTTCTTGGGCAAGAGATATCTCGTCATCCCGGGCGTCTTCTTCTTTGGCTTGATAGCGCCCGCGGGCATGGTATGCGCACATCGGCTGATTTTGAGCTTGGCATTCCCGGGCTTGGTGATGATAGGCTGGTCGGGGGGAGGGACGATAGGAGGAGAAGGTCGCTGGACTTTTGCCTTTACCTCCGGGGGTGGAGGAGGAAGGGGGTGGCATTGGGTGTGAAACTTGGGTGTTGGCCTGGCCAAGGAAGAAGGAGGGGTGGCGCGAGTGACGCCAGAGGAAAGTGTGATGGTAGGGAAGTCCCGTTCTTCACAGAAGGAGTCGAGGTGGTCAAATTCCATTTCGCTGAGGGTCGGGCTGGACGGCGTCTTGTTCATTGTCTGTTTCTTGATCACTTGTATATACCTATCGTCTGATAATCAGTCGGAGTATGGAATATGAGAGAATTGGGCGATACTGGCAAAGTCTTATACAGTCGAGCAATGCATTTGATGTAAGGATGGTCTAGTAAGCAAACAGTGTCGGAGACTTGAATGGAGGAATAGTAAGACTGTCACAAAGGGAGGCCAGACTCGAGCATACTACAAAGGCGGTAGTACCCTCATCAGGAGCCTTCCTTCCAGTTGAGAGAACGAAGGTTTCTAGTGCAAGGTCCATACGCATCAAAGTGCTCTAAAAGGCAACGTAGCAAAGGATTGATTGTAAGGGAACCGATGAGCATCGCGTGCGTTTCAGATAGTGTCATGTGGAGGTTCCGGCACTGTGGGTCAGTAGCTAGCATGCGCATGTCCCCAAGCAAAACATTCGTAGTCTCGTAACATGATCATAATGAGCAAATTATACTCATACCGACAATCCAACCAGATCCAGAAACCCCCAGAATGCCCACTCCAGACTCCTACCCCTCACACCCACCTCGCCTCCTAAAGTCTGCACAGGGTTCGTTCTAGCTAGCATGTCATCTAGGAACCCATGTCCACTCAGCGCCATGACTCGTAAGACGGCATCAAATATTGCCAGTCCGACACTGAGGAGCGATGCTTGGCGAGCGCCTGGAGCAAGGAGAAAGTGCATCCTCATCCCCGTGAGCGCGAGCTCGAGCGAAAGAAGGAGGATGCTGAACCGTCCAAGATGCGAGACAATCTGCTCCGAAGGGGGAGTCAAGAGGAGGGGCATAAACAGCATAAAGCCGAGGCGGAGGGTGAAGAAGAAGAAGGTGAGGACCTGAACAAGTTTGGGCAGAGTCCATCCCTGCTTCTTGATCACATCTTCCTGCCTCACATTCTGCACTTTTGGCGCAGAGCCCTCATCAGAGGCACCCTGTCCGCCAATACCCCAACCAGAAAGGAGGTGTTCCAAGCCAGTCTCATCGTTACTGGGAAACATGCGCTGTCGATTGGTCGCAAAACTGTCCCAGTCGCTCTTCCTGGGAGGCGTTGTGCCCCCCTCGTCCTCGTCTTCTACCCCGTCCCACCCAGAGGGTCGAATGTAACTACCACGGGAAACACTCGGTGAAGGCTCCCAATCCATAGGTTCGGAGCCGGCATCTCTGGTCGGCGAAGGGAGGGTAGAGAGGAGTGAGGTCTGGCCAAATATAGGATTGTGGGAAGCGGGGGGATTGGAGGAGAGAGATAAAGTCGAGAGACCCGTCGCATTTGGCGCAACGGTGGCTACTTGCGCATGTGTTGACGGGTTCAGTGAGACAGGTCTGACCAATTTGATAGGTATTGGTTCAGTTATGCGAATACTGAGCAACGCATGGATGAATAGCTGTGAAAAGTTTAGTGAAATTGACAGCCGAATGCCCGTATACTCACAGCAATCTCCGACACAAAAGTGACTCGAGCAAATGCTACAGGCGCAAACGCAGTGGACAAACGAAGAGCCACACATGTTGCTATTCGCAACAACATGATCACCAACATGTCTCTCTGATACTTCTCAGCAACGGCCTTAGGCACATCTCCGCACGACTCACCACCCAGGTATCTCGCCCGATGACCTTTGTCCTGTCCCTCCTACGCATACGGCGAAACCACGAGGGATCCCATGCCATCCAGAATATCGACAAGAGATGAAAAGACATCATGAAAGTGGCGAATGACAGCCGAGGGGCGAAGGGTACGGATCGCTCAAGGCATTCGCGAGAGAACTCGTGTGACGACGTGACTGCTTGGCATCAGCGTATGGTTCCTCAAATTGACGACACACTGACCAAGTAGCACACCTGTACACAAGCTTTGTCCTATCCCCCAAGTCCAAAGAACTCCTCTCAGCGCCCAGATGAACACATCACCTTTCCCAACATCCCAAGTACCATGTCCGACACCTCCGCCTGGATTGACTTCTTCAATGGCTTTTCTTTTGCCTCTGTTTAAAGCTGACCCCCAAGCTTCCATCTGTGCCTTCTGGTCCGCCTTCTGCAAGATGTCGTCTACGCCCGGTTGACAATTAGGGCAGACCGGTGGATAGCGCGAGTGGAGAGATTGCACGTATGCTGGGAGGTTTGACGATAATTGGGGGTAGGTTGGATCCTGCAGTATTGCACGTCAGTGAGTTTCGTTGGCTGTTGAGGCTGGGCTCACATCATCATCTGGGAGATAGTTGGCCAAGAGATTCATGATCAAAGTTTGGTTCGCCAGGCAGTTGCGACAGAATGGTGTTGATGAGGCCGTGGATGGTAACGTCGGAAGATGATTGGAGGATGGTTGGGCTTCAAGTACTTGTCAGATCTGTGCAGACTAGTGTAAACATACGGCACCTGCCTCTTAGTGAGAAGGACCCCGTGTTGTAATTCGAGTTGTGCATCGCCGGAATATCTGAAACCATTTCACCAGACTGTGCATATTGTAAGTTAATGAATGCTCGATGATAAAGAGAGCATACAGCATCACGGATATTCCAGCAATTGCACCGTTCGCACTGCCAATTCCACTTTGTCCCAGCCGGCGCTATGCCCTTCCCACTGCCGGTGCCAGGAGCTGGGTCGGTATGTGGGGGCAGGATGGTTGTGGAGAGGCAAAAGAAGCATTGTACAGGGGCTGGGCGGGTCGAGGAGCGGAGGAGGGGCATGATATGTGGTGGGAAAGCATACCTCTGGAAAGTCGAGAAAGCGAACGCGCATGGAGATGCGCGCAAGTGGAGGTGTTTGGGCTTCACCCCCCATTTAGCACACGCTCACACCTCAACAAGCCAAATTTATCTCCTGGCTCTTCTTTATCTTTTTTTATTCAAGAATGCCCCCCACGACCCTCCTCGCCGCTGTACCGACGCGAGGGGTCGACAGTCGTGGGCTGTCTACCAGCAGCGGCAGATCTGAGAGCTATATGGGTGCTACTTTGGCTCACCAGGAGTCCGCAAGGACTATGATCATGGCGAGTCACAATGCCCCAGACACGATTATACCGGATGTACACACTTTGTTTCTGGAGATATCAATCTATTCTGCAAGGTGCAATACTTGAGTTGTACGAGCACGCCAGGGTGACCAGGGTCTAGGGGCTTTGCTTTACCGAGTGCACTGTGCTGTAGCATGGTGCCTCGTCTATCTTCTGCATGCTGCACTTGATGCATCAACGCTGTATGTCTATGCACACTGCTACTAGTATCCATCGGGGTGGAGCAGATGAGAAGATAGAGTTGCCAAGCTCGAAGCCACGCGAATTCTGGTGCAGGATGTGGTTGACGCGCGATGATGATAGTTGCATTCCATCTCACCTCAGCACCGGCCATGGCCACCATCTTCAACAAATTCCGCAAATCATCCCAGTCAGACGCTCGCAGCAGGCGCTCCGCATCTACCAACTCCACCTCGGGTCCTCTCGACGACGACGACGCCCCCCGCACATCCACCGCCCCCTCCCCCTCCCCCAGCAGGAGGACAGGCGCCTCGGGAAGCCTCTTTATCGAAGACTTTGCCCCGCCCACCACCCCATCCAGCAACGACAACACTGCAACATCGAGCGGCGCCACTGAATCGCGTACTCCCAACAGACCAGGTGTCCTCTCAGTACCCAGCTCGGCGCAGCAGCAGCCTCTTGGCACTCCCAAATTCACCCTCACGCAGGACGGGTCCAACAGCCCCCGAAGCTTTGACGGGAGCCCTGTGCAGAATCGCAGCCCCGCCATGAATGACAATGGATCCAACGAAGCTGTGGGTCTCGGCTTTGGCAAATCGAACCCCCGATCTTTTGATGTCAGTTTGTGTCCTTGTCCTCATCTGCATTTCCATGATCCCCCCAAGATCCCCACTATGAGCCTTGCAGATGCTGACGCCAATACAGCAAGACGACCTCGAGACTCCCACCCTCGACTCTAGCTTTCCCAGCACCTCATCCAACCGCGTTTCCGCAGTGTCTATCGCCGCTGACCCGTCGTCGCGTGAACGAGCCAACTCCCTCGCATTCGCCGAAGGCGATGTCCGATCGCGCAGTGGCTCTATGGTGTCCCGTATAACCCACAGACACGGGCCTGCCTCGCCCAGTAGTCTCATGCCCGCCGATCAGAAGGGCTCGGTGTCGAGCAAAAAGTCGCGCAAGAAGAGGGACCGTCGAAGGTCGGTCACTTCGACTGCATCGGGACAATCTTCATTGGCGGCGCTTGCAAGGGGTGGCCTGCAGATGGCTGGACCTGGGACAATTGGGGATGAACTCCATATCAAGCAGCACAAAGGGCGAAGGGTCACAAGTCCTCTCAAGAGGAGCCCTTACCTCACTCGAGGAGAGGAGGGCGATGGGGACGAGTTGGACGACGAGTACGGGGAAGGGCTCGACGATGATGATGACGATGATAGCGACTTGGAAGACACACTGTCGGTGCTGGGGTATGCTGTGGCGAGCAACAGGCGGAACGCCGACTTTCATCAAGTGTTCCCTGGCGTCGATGAGGGGGACTATCTCATTGACGGTACGCCTTGCCCTCCAATTTGAAACCATGCTGATCCATCCCAGACTATGGCTGTGCCTACGCCAAGGATATTCTTGTTCAAGGTCGCGCATACATTTCTGAAAATTACATTTGCTTTCATGCCAACATCTTTGGCTGGACCACTGACGTAAGTTTCCGCCGCCTTTGTGTCCTTGCTTCTTTGACACGCTGCAGCTGGTCATCCCTTTCACGGAAATAAAAAGTATAGAAAAGAAGATGACCGCCCTCGTCATTCCCAATGCCATCGGCGTAAATACCGCCACAGCCCGAGTGCGTAGCCGCTTGCCCGTATACGATTGTCTCTGACATGTGCGTGCAGTATACATTCGCATCCTTCATCTCTCGAGACACCGTCTACGATGTCATGATGAACATCTGGCGCCTCTGCAATCCCAACGCAGTCATGTCCTCTCTCTCCCTCCCCGGCACGAATAATTCCCGCCCTGCGTCCATCTCTGGCGAGCTTGCTGACGCCGAAGGCGATGCGTCTTCGGGCGCCTCGCCTGGGCAACAGATCATTGGAGCGAGTGTCAAGGGTGCTGGATCAGAGACGCACAAACCCACACAATGCGCATGTGGGAAGGACGGGAAGCATTACCCCGAGACAGCGTTGGAAGCCACTTTCCCGAGTACACCAGAGAAGGTTTACAACCTCATGTTTAACAGTGGATGGTTGAAGACCTTTTTGAGTGATAGCCAGCAATTACGAGGTGAGCTCTGATGCTTACGTAGAGAGGGCAAGCTGACAAAGTGTAGACATAGAGTACTCGGACTGGCGCATCGGAGAAGGGTCAGACCAGCTCACCCGCTCATTATCCTATATCAAACCTCTCAATGGCTCCATCGGCCCAAAGCAGACCACCTGCCACATTACTGATTCGCGCGACCATTTCGAGCCCGAAGATTACATTGCGATGGTGACTACCACGAGGACACCGGATGTGCCGAGCGGAGGCGTGTTTAGCGTCAAGACGAGGACTTGCTTCATGTGGGCCCGGGGAAACTCGACCAAGGTTGTCGTTACCACTGGGGTTGAATGGACTGGAAAGAGTTGGATCAAGGGTAAGCGGCATCCTGTATGTTGGTGAGTCTACTGACCAGAGCGCGCAGGAATCATTGAAAAGTCTGCCATAGACGGCCAAAAGACTTACCATGACGACCTCAAACTATCCATGCTCTCCTACATCCAATCCCACATCTCTGAATTTCTTCCTCCCGGTACCCAGGCATCTGTCGATACGCCGGTCCCTGGAACTCCTGCAGCTGAAGTCGCCGCTGCCGCCGATAAGCAGACTGAGGCGCAAGAGTATGCCGAAAAGGCGAGGAAGGATAGACAGGAGCAGGACTGGGGCATGGTGCAAGCGGGAGTCGATTCGCTCGTGGCCGGAGGGAAGGGCGTCGTCTCTGGATTCAAGTTCTGTGTGGATGGGTTGAGCGATTTGGTCTTTCCCTCGGGGCTGTCAAAACAATCTGTGACGACCGTCGTCATCATCATTCTCGTGATCTCCAACGTCTGGACATACATCGCCTTCTCTGGTGGCCAGCAGCGTTCATTTCTAGAGCGTCGTTCGGCTAAACGCGGGAATGACGAAGTGGCCGAGGCGGTCAAGATGGTGCTCGGGCAGAGGAGGGATCCGATTCAGGAGGCGCAGGAGTTGGTCAGAGTTTTGGACTTTGTGGAAGGGAGATTGGGCAAGTTGAGGGAAGAAGCGAAAGAGCTGGGTGACAGTGCGGTAGGAGGTGGGGAGAACAATGGAAAGGATCTCGATTAAAGATTGCCTTTTGCGTGTTGAATGTTATATCTTTGTGCGCGGAATGGGTTGTGCGTTCCATTTGTATAACTATGCCGACGAGATATGCCGACGAATTTGATGCATCTGGATGACCTTGATAACTCTTTGATTGCCGCGCTCAGCAGACATGCTCAACCTTCCCTCCGTCCCCACTAGGTTCCCCCAGATCTCTAGCAACCCTCCTGTTAAACAGCTCCATCATCATACCAAACAATGAACGGGTAAGGGCAGCGTCCCAACGACCTTTGGATGACTCGTCACGAATGAATGCGTGTTGGGCTTGGACCTCGAGGAACTGTAGACAATGTCAGCGAGATGCACTGGGTGTGTGAGGTCTGGAAACGACTTGCAGTGAAGGTGACGTTGGCAGCATCGAGGGTGTCTCGGATGAGTGATCGGCCCTCACGGTCGACATGGGTATCCTGCTTGCCAAAGACCATGGCAACTTCGCCCTTGCCAGTGAGGTCGCCGTTCTTCACCTTGATGATGGTGTCGTCAGACTTGCCAGCACCGAGGGTAGCAGAGTGCACACTGGACCGAGTCAGTCTAGAGATCTACGGGCATGAAGGAGACATACTCGGTAGCAAAGTAGCAGAATGTAGCTTGGACTCGAGGGTCAAAGGCCGCCTGAATCTCATGTCAGCGTCATGTGTCCGTACTCATCGGGTTGATCCACTTACACGTAGAGCCAAGTGTCCACCAAGACACATTCCTGTGGAAGCTATCCTGCCTGTACAGTTGGGAAGGCTCGTAAGCAGATCGATAGACAGCGTGGCATCCTCGTCATACGCCTCGACAGTCTTTTCGATCTACCATACCAACCACTCGTCAGCTCTGTTTGTTGGTCAGTAGGACTGTCAAGCTACGCACCTTGTAACGGTTACCCCTGTCGGTACCATCCGTGTCATACGGGATGGCTTCGGGACCCTCAAACTCGTGGAACGAAGAAGGGAGAGCAACAACGTAGCCTTCCGAAGCAATGTTGCTGGCAAACCTCTCTACGGGGCCGGTGACTTGATAGATCTCTGAGAACACCACGCCTGTCGGGGAATCAGCTTGCGCCTTCCTATTAGAGGAAGAGGTAATTTACAGCCAGGGAACTTGGCGTTGGGGTAGCCGGGGAGACTGGGCTCGACAAGGAAGATACGGATAGTACCCTTCTTGCCGTTGGCGGTGGTAGGGACGTCTCGATAGGAAGTCTTGACCAACATTGTGATGTATCGAGTGTCAGAGACGGACAGTCGTACAGTTCGGAGCGCCGGTCGAGACTCGCTGATACTCTCGGCGATATGAATCGGGCGGCACTTGGGAAATGAGTTCAGAGTGCATGCATAAGGACAAGTCGATGTATCTTGTATGCATATGGCACAATCGTCGCCTGGAAAAGAACGAAGAGCAGCGCAAACGCAATCCATGAGACAGGTCTGGTGAGCGGCGGATCGTGTTGATGGCTTGCGACTGGAGCTTTGCATGCACACCCTGCCACTGAGGGGCCATGGACATCTCACGGTACTCTTCGACACTTTCAGGAGAATAATCCTCGAAGAACCCCTGCATAAACAGGTTGAGTGACAGCGATGAGGCTATCGGCGTTTCAGGAATGGGAGAGTGTGGCACTAATGACATCTTGCAATCTCAGCCACTTTGTTACTACAACATCCTCCATCCATCCAACCCGCTCCCCATGTCAGGCTTCTTCGGCTTCGACACTGCTCTCCCAGAGCATCGCCCCAATCACGGCCAGCAACAGTTCCCCCCCCAACAGTCCAAGTTCCAGCCCTCCAATGTAAACGCCTTCAACAACACCGGCTTGCCCGATGAAGATGAGATGGAAGTGTACACCTGGGGTCAGGGTGCTGGACAGGAGCCCGAGGAGGCGGATGAGAGTAACGATGCTACTTTCGGGGCTGAAATCGGTACCATCAGTGAGCACATAAAGGACATTAGGGATCATGTACTGAGCCCGCGTCCACAGAGAACACCGCCTACTTTAACTTTGGCCATGAAGAGCCCTCTTCTTCTTACGGAGCACCAAAGCAGCAATCTACTCGGGGCCCTGTGGCGTCTACTGCCTCACGATATAGGCCCAAGGCCGCAGCGGACCCCTTTGCTTTCTCGGAGGACGATTTCTACTCGTCTCGATCTCCTGCTAGGAGTACGTTCAATTGCCGGAAATGATAGTGCAGGCGCTTATATGATATCCAAGAAACTCCAGCCAAGCCCAAGCCCCAGACCTCTCAATCTGCGCTCACAAAGCCCGCGGGTCAGACCACATCTTGGGGTACCGCCCCTTCGGCTGGTATGTAGTGTCGCGATCTAATGACTTCTGATCTAACATCATCCCAGCTGTGAAACCCTCTCCTGCCCATCACGCTTCGCAACCCGCTCCGGCTGGGCAGATCAAGACCCTCGAAGAGATAGAAGCCGAATTCGCCTCCATGTCTGCCCCGAGCGCCCAAGTTCAGGCTCAAGCCCCTACTCAGCCCCAGGCGCCTGTCCAGCAGCAGATCCTCACTTTGGAGGAACTCGAGCAGCAGATGATGGAGGAGATTCCCGGCCAGGCCCCTCCCCAGCACCAACAACAGGCTCAATATCAGGCTCAGCCTCAATACCAAGGCACACCTCAACAGGCGCCGGCTCAGTATCAGGCGCAGCATCAACAGCAGGCTCAGGCTCAACAAATTCAGCAACAGCCTGCTCCTGTACGAGAGGTGACTCCCAACCAGGTGCCGGGACTTGCTTCTTCTGGTTACGGCTCTCAGCAAGCTCTCCTCGATAGCATGTTCCCAGAGCTCGGCCAGGGACCCTCTCCCGCCCCTGCTGGGCAACCTGATCAGTCTGCTACCCAGGCTCCCGGCCCTTCCCCTGAGGAGCTCGCTCGCCAAGAGCATTTCCGTCAGATCTTTGAAAGCAAGGTCCAAGCCATGTCCAAGCACAACAACATCATGGGCAATTCTGACAAGGACTTTATCACCCGAATGCAGCTTGCCCAGCTTGCCTCCAACGCTCCTTTTGTCTCTGATTTCTACGCCCAAGTTTTCTCCGCCATGGAGAGCAGCCGACGGGCTCATGAAAGCGGGCAATTGGACAGGCCTACAGTGGTACAGATTGCTGCTGGGTTTGGGCTCGGTGTTGGCGGACCCCAGGGCAACAGGTTTGGTAAAATGGGGCAGAACACGATGCAAAAGCTGTCGGTGCAGGTAAAGAAGCTGGTGGAGAGCAGGGCTCAGCATCAGAAGGCTGCTAGCAACTCTGGTAAGACAAGCGCAGACACCCACAGAAGGTTTGCTGACGACATGTACAGCTGCTCTTCAAGGTGCGCTTGGTCGAGTGACCCGAGGTGGTGCCGCCGCTCCCCGTCCCGTCCTCGCCGTCCCCACCCACGTCAAATCCGACCACCGCCCCGTCTCCCACCTCAACGAGCAGACAAACATCAAACGCGACCCTCTTACCCGCAAGCAGATCATGTACGCTCTCGAAGGCCTCTATGCCGACGTGCTTGAGATTGAGCAGCTGCGCCGAGACCCGCCACCTGTGACTTCTGCGCACGATGTCGAACTCTGGAGTGCAAAGTGCAAGGAGAAGGAAGAGTTGATCTGGACAAAGTTGATGGTACAAGAACCTATCGAAGTGTCCAACCCGCACCCCTTCATCTCTTTGGTCAACCCACCCAAGGGTCAGCGATTACTCCTCCGCATCATCCTTCAACTTCCCGACCAAAAGATCTTTACTCTTCTTTCCCTCTTGCTCGTCAACTTTTACCAGCTTGATGTCGTCGCTCGTGCGCCGCCACCTCCCGCCGCCGACGCCAGTCTGTTGACAAAGGCCGACAAGCTTGATAGAGCCAAGAGAGAGGCTGATACGGATGGCTTCCTGTTCAACATTGTTCCCGCCATCGACATGGCCATCAACAAGTGCAAACTTGGCCTGATTGGCGGTTTGCTGGTCACCGCTGTGCAGAGGTTGGATGTAGTCAAGATTGCTTCTACAAGGGTACGTCCGGTACAACATCAAGTGAATTTTGCTTACATCTCCTGCAGCCCGGTATCGTACTCTTTACCGCGCTCCTGTCGAAAGCCCAATCTCTCGTCCGCGCTCCCGTCTCTGACCCCATGAACCCTATCGCCGTCCCCCATCCCGACCCTGCAGAGGTTCAGCAATGGCCCAGCCTCTTCTCAATATTCATCAACGCTCTCCTCCCCTCTCTTCCCGACCTTTTCCCCTCGTCCATCGCCGCCAAGCAGGCCTTCGGCCCTTCCGCTTACCTCCTCTCCACTATGGAACATCTACCCGACCACGAAGGACTGGAGATGGAGCGCAGGGAAGCAGAAGCATGGGGCTTTGCTGCGGCCTTGGCTGTCAATTCAAACGAAGAGGAGCAGACGGCTTTGGTTGCCGCATTGAGAGAGAAGATTTTGCATACTGTGCAAGGAGCGAGGAGTACGGCGATCAGCCAGGCGAGGGCGGATCTGAAGTTGAGGAATGTCAACATGTTCTTGAACGGTTTGGTGAGTCGTGCCAAGCTTAGTATCTCAGAAAGTATACTGACAAATAACAGGGTCTGGATGCTGCGATGATTGAGTAGGGTGTGTCGGATTGGTACAATGTCTCTCTAGGAAAACTCCCACGTTATTAGCAGTTTTCAATCTCGAAACGAAATGCAATGTAAGAAGTGCTTGGCTCCGCTTTTGGATAAAGTCCTACTGGCGCATGCATGATAACAGACACGGGACAAACTAGACATAGTAAATAAGCAGCCCAATCTACCAAAACCCAAAATAAAGAAAAAGTATGAAATCTCTATCATAGTTCAATTGCCTTTGCAAAAGGCCTTCCAATTGTTCTCACACTATGCTGACCTTCCTGCTGATGATACCGGTCCCTGCTTCCCTTGTGGGCTAGCCAGTCCAGGCAGCACATCCACCATACCCATCTTCATACTGAATATCTCCACAGGTGTCTTGACAGCAAACTCCCTAGGTGTCTCGAGAGAGTGTTGGGAAAAGTTCAAGCTCGGCAAAGAGGTGATCCCCGTTTCGTCCTCTGAGCTCGAGAAACTGTCTCGATCAGACCCTGACAGTTGCTTGGAGAGAGGGTATGCGGAGGGTATCACGATACCGAGACCTTTTCGGGCGCCCTTTGCCGACAGCTTCAGACTGGTTTTGATCCCAGAAGGGATGCTGCGAGGCGAAAGTGAGGGAGAAGTGGAAAGAGATGGGGGACAAAGTTCCGACACGCCCCCAGAATGGAGGACAGAGTCCTTGGAAAAAGAGGCGCCAAAGTCTGATGCCAGCACTGTAGGTGCGGTACTGGGCCTTCGGCTGCCGCGAGTGGCTGTCTGATTTTTCGACTTTGGAGGGATAGAAAAGAGCTCCGCAACAGGAGTGCCTAGTGTCGGGGACGCAGACTGTGCACGGTCCATCTGCACCGGTAAGGGAGATAGACCGCTGCGGTGAGGGCTGTGATAACCGCCTGGGCTGATGGAACGAGAGGGGGTCCCAGGAAGGGAAAGGGGCACAGGGTAGCGGAAGGGCGGGATGGCTCCGAGGGAGGGGGTCGAGATGGGCCCACTGAACCACATTGAAAGGTTGAGCATGTCGCCGTTCGGCGCTGATTTGGGAAAGAAGAGGGATATAGGGAGACTATTGTCAGAGAGTGCGATGGGCTCCAAAGCTCCTGGTGGATATCTGCGTCGTTGATCAGTAAAGGAGCAAGTGAATAACAAAGGGCACTCACGGCCAAGGCATCTTGCCGTTCATCAATCTTCCGAGCTCGTCGATGACCGTCATCTCACTCTCGGTCATGGCAATCTGCCATAGAGTCACATTCTTCCACAACTGAGAGTCGTTTCCGCTAGCTGTGAGGAGCTCCATCTTGAGCTCATTGACGGTGATGTAAGGGTCTACATCCACAACCAGAGGGGGTTGCCGAGTCTCAGGCATCGTGGCTGGGCGACATTTCGAGGGCGGAGAGGCGAGGAATACTCGAAGTGTGAGGGGTTTCATGTCTATAGCTCTACATCAGCTTGGGTCCGTGGCACGCGGTACCTCACTCACTGACTGGGACGCCTCTGAGAGGTCTAGCTACCACATTGACAACGTCACCGGCGATGTGATTCGGAAACCAATGTCTGATCTTGAGGTCTCGTGGACTGCCAGCAAACGTCGGGGTAAGCCCCCTGTGCTGGGGTGGAAGGCTGAGCTCCAGCTGTTGAGGATCGTCTAGATTGAAAGCAGGGAAGTTCGCTAAAAGGTCGACCGCTTTGCCGTACTCGGCCGTATAGGCTTGTGCTTGCCGGTGTGCTTGAGTAGGTATGGCGACCTGAGCGCACGCTTCGTATCAGCAGATGATCGCACTAGCGCCCAAGGGGTAACGACTGTGCTCACTTTGAAAAGGCTCATGGAGCTATGACCCACAGACCTGGCAATTTCACGGCGAAGGGCAGCAACGCTCTCTTCGAGGCCCACAGTCACGTAGAAGATGCTTTTGGCACCTTGGTTTGTGGGGGCTGGGTCGACAGCTACTCTCAGAGTGATTATCTCCAGAGCTGATGGCAGAGGAAACGCCGACCGGGAGCTGTGGTCGTACAAGGAGAGGGCAGAGCCAGGGGTCGGGATGGTGCTGGGGTCCGACCTTTTACGCAGTGAGAAAAAGCCCATCGTTGAGATGTAGCAAGCGTCGACGAGTAGAGGGGTGGGAGCGTGGTGGGGAATATACAGTGCTACAAAATGGAACCAGGTCGTACAATACAGGAGATGATATGAGAAAGACAATGGGGACAAGGAATTGAAAAGCACTGGCCTTCATTGTGCGCTTTTGTACACACGACGCCCGACGCTCCGACGGGGCTATGTAGCTTCAAACAACCTGGACTCCTTGAAAGTTGCTGTCTCACCGGTTTCATGCTGTTCTTCTTCAGGTAGGGAAAATGATCAGAGCTTGACTTCATGTCGCTGATAGACTATGTCAGTGGCGTTCACATCTGCTTGCATGGCCTGCTTCATCCAGCACGAATATTCGAATTCGCCGGGATTGCAGGACGCCAGCTCGCACCAGTTGCACGAAGTCGGCCAAGTCGGTCCTGACTTTGTTTGGCGCATTGCATGGTCTCAATTGATCTTTTCGGTATCCGAAGAGGAACAGCTCCCTGAGGCCACATCGCCCGACCACGACAGTTCGCGATGATCAGCTTGATCGCTCATGCAAGGCGAGCCTGGGCCCTGCGAGCAGGGTGGGCCTCTCACTACGCATGCGCACTCCTCTGAGCTCTCCGTGAGCCACCAGCCACAGTCGAGGGTCTGTTTTACGTCCGAACGACAACGCAGGGGGGCCGGAAGAAAGAACAAAAGAACAAAAGAAAGAGAAGATGAGCGCCAGGGTAAGAAAACCCGAAACCTGAATGATTTGGTGCGTGCCTCGGAACTTCACTTGCGTTTCGGAACTAATTCCTGATCTTGCGTCCAGGGTCAGGAACCGGAACACCGAAATGTCAACGTCAGCCCGAATCAAGAGCATCATGGCGAGCATGGCAGCTCTCCTGACGGCCCGACGGCTTGTCCTCACAACGGCTGCATCTCCACAAGTATAAATGTCTACGCTTGATCTAATGACCCTCACCGCTCTGCCAGTATATCGTCCTCATCCTTTCTTCGTCTCCCATGAATCCCATCCCCCAAGAGCTAACCACAGACGATCTGAGTGCCAACACAGGGAGCTGTGGCGTTACCGCTGATCTCTCTGCCGTTGTAATTGTTGCGAGAGAGACATCATCCATCGAGGAAGATATGGAATTGGCTGTTTGGGGTGTGATGGGTGACATGGGTGGAGAGCGTGATGGACCACTCGGAGACACCGAGCCTGTGGATGCTTCTCCTCCCTCCATTATTCTCCCATAAGGAGAATCAACAGTAGCTGCTAGCGCCGCCACTTGCCCATTCCCGCCCTTGTCCGAATTTTGACTCTCGACGTCCTCATACCTCGCCAACAAATCATCACCGACCCACAGCCTGGGAGCGATGGCTTCGGGATTGAGATGGAGCTGAGGTACATGCTTGCCAACAGTCCCGTGATAATGCCTACTGGCTGGCCCCTCCTCTTCGGAGGAAGTTGATGGAGGATTAGCTGGGGAGCTCAGCCCAGACTGGTTTGGAGAGAGAGCTACCTTGTTCTGGGAGGGTATCGGCAAGTAGAATGGGTAGAGGGTTCTAGCAGTGCTCGTGCCGGAATGTGAGGGGTAAGGAGATTGGGAATGTTCTTCTGACGAAGACTTGGCGTTTTGGGAAGATGAAGGAGACGTTATAGGCAAGGCTGCCGGGGGTGATTTACGAGGGAGTCGGGCAGGAGGTGGTCTGCTGTGTGGCGGAGGGCCCTCTCTGACGGTGTCGTGTCTGCCATACTCCCCACGGCTCATCTCATTATCCATGTAGCATGGCAAACTGTTTCGCTCGTCCTCAAACTGCGATTGCCTGATCCACTCCATCACTCTCCTCTCTTCAGCTTCAGTAGAAGTGGGAGGCTGCTTGTCCTCTTCAACGATTTCGCCCTCTTCTCGCATACTCGGCAGGACGAAAGCGGAAAGCCTGTTGCCTGACTTTCTCGAACGCCGAGAGCCAGCCGACCAGCGCTGAGTTTTGGAAGACTTGACACTCTTTGGACTCTTGGGGTGAGATTTGACAGAGGCACCATCCGCCTCTGACGAGGCTGGGGGTCTTCTGAGCGGTCGAGAAAAGTTGAGGCCACCATTCGATGATATACGTGAAGGAACAGCACCGCCGAGCGAAGATACGAAGAATGACGAGATGGTGGACAATCGAGACTGGCGCCGGGCAGAGGCAATATCGATGTCTTTGGATGCCAGGTCCAGTGTTAGCTGTGCATTGCGTCAGCCAAAATGCTATCAGTTGTAGAGTATGTGTAGAACGTACATGTAGCTTCCTGCTAGACCTGAGATCCCACTCATCCTTCTCCGCGCCCCCCTCAACGCTGCCACTTCCTCCCCCGGCTTCCAGAGCTCTGAATTTCCTTTCCCAGTAATCTCCAGCATCGTCTTTCTGTTCGCTTGGAAGCTCTGAACGTTTTCTTCTTCGTCGTCGGCAACAAAGCAGTAAGGCAAGCAGTGAGAGCAACGCCAGCACCCCGCCAACCACGCCGCCAATGATAGCTCCATGGTTGGAAGAAGAGCCGCTAGAAGCAGCATCATGGCGCCAAGCGTCCGACAAACCGTCGCTTGTGGATGATGTAGAGTGAGAGGAGGACGCAGATAGTGTACCCGTCGAAGATGGAGACGCGCCGCTCATAGTGATCGTGTGAGAGGCCGTCGAAACAGCTTGGGAAAGTGATCGGGTTGCGCTCGAGCTGCTTTGCGATAAACCCAAAGAAAATTGACCAGTCAATGACCCATCATCGACAATGATGCTTGACGGGAGCGGGCTCGTGACGGGGTAAGCACTGGTAGTGCTTGCCTGCATCTGCGTGCCCTGTTGGGTAGCGGCAGGCTGAGACGAGTCAGAATTCGCAGTAGCAGGCAGAGAAGTCGCTTGAGAAGTATCTGAACAAGGGTAGTAGAGTGTGTTTTGGGGAACGATGCTGGTGAATACGACCTGTGTCTCCACTGCACTACTCCCAACACTGGTCTTCATCATTGTGACCGTGTTGACTCCTACACTGGTGGAGGACGCACAGTCGTCGTCATCGTCGCAAGTGCCAGGGACAATGGAAGTGGCAGTACGCGTGATCTCGTCGCCAGGGACAAGAGAGGTGAAAGTTGAAAAGTAGGAGGAAGTGCTGGTGATCTGGGTAGTTCCCCAGATGGTGATAGAGGGGATCTGTTCGCAAGAGGACATGGTGGGCTCAGTACGCGGGATGAATGGGGGGCGGTAGGTTGGAGGAGGACCCAGGGGGCTTTGTGAGAGATGTTAATGGGGTGAAGCGAAGCTGTGAAGAGGCTGGTCGGGGGGGAAGGGGAGGATGATGAGGTAGACGGGGGAGAGGTTTGCCCGAGTGGCAGAGCAGTGAGTGGGAAAAACGTCAAAGTCAATCATCGTTAGACCCATTACCTTCACCGCTATCGCAGCGAATGGCCCACCTTCGAACAAAGGAAGAAGTGATCTCGCATTCGACGCGCACGAGATGCAAAGCTGATGGGATTGACTAAAGGATACCTTTAAGTGCACCAAGTCGGCGAAAGGATGGTATCAGCATACAGTATGGGGTGTGAAGGACGGGACAGGGAGTCCACTCCTGCGGCGGTTTGCTGGGGCCAAGCCTGCCCTCAAATTGCTGGGCCAAAGACTATGCCTTGAAAGTCGGCGTAGGGTTTACGAGTACATTATAGGCCGAGTCAACTCCACTCAACTTTGGCTGCGATATCGCGGATTCCGACATAGTTCTATACATGAGCAATGGCACTAATGAGAGAAATGTTATGTATGATACGAGAGTGCACTGGCCTTTGAGAGTCGTGTATATCTCTGCCTGCAATGCTACAAGTCAATATGTACAGTGATCCTTTCGTGTATGCTGATCGTCAATTGTCTACCGTGATAGAAGATTACAGGCGATTAGGGTTGGCGTAGGCAAGGATTTGGAAGGGGCGGACCCAAACTTCTCCGCCGCCGTATCCGACACAGGAGTGATCGTCCATGGTGCTGCACTTTCCGGGATGTTGGCCCCTGAGTCGTATGTCAGCGCGAGCAGTGTTATGAGATGAAAGACTAACCCCTCGAAAGAGCCTCGACACAAAAAGATCGCTCTTCCGTCCCTCTCTCGGCCACCTTCGACGGGCTGCCAACCATCCACGACTACTCTTTGACCGTGGGGATAGTACATCCACTTGACGAGATACGGCTCATCGATAGGGCCACAGAAAACCTCGTACGTGCTGTGGGTGATCTCACCGCCGCCGTATGAGATGGATGCACCGTTATTGATGTGATGGCCAGCTCTGACAATGTCATCAGATTACATACTAAACAGATAACCGTACTCACTTTCCTAGGTGAAGGCCACCTTGATGCCATGTCCGCGCCGAGTATAGAACGGACCCGTCTCTCTCGTTGCCGATCGGGAGGGCATCGGGAGGTAGTCGCTGCCCGGGTTCGACCAGCTTCCAGGTGAATAATGGTCGAACATTATGAGGACCCACTACAGAACGGCGTATAAGCACATGATCTCAAGCAGACGTGATCATCACTCACAGTCGCCGTTCAGAGCACCATTGTCGATATAGAATCTGGTCCTTTCACGCGCAACTTGCAGCCAATCATCTCTCGAGTGCTTCTCGGACCACTCTTTCCAGACTTTTTCCTTGACCCGTTCCTCCTTCTGATCCGTGCTGTACGACCATATACCGACACCGCCGACACGGAACAGGCTCGATCCTCCCACTTCCTTTTTCAACTCGTCCTTGTTTCCCACACGTCGACCTTCTTCATAGATGGCAAGACGGCGCGCCGCATCATCGGCCTGCTTGGAGAGTCCCGGTGCCTGTCCAGACGTCTTCTCATTGGGATAAGAAGATCCAGAGGCAGGCTTCTCACCAATGGCGGGATACTGGGGTGCGTGAGTAGAACCTACAGCAGCCTGGTAGGAAGGGACGCCACTAGCCTGTTGCGAAGGTGTCCCATAGGATGGTGGGGGAGCGTTATAGTTGGAACTTGATCCATTGGCTCCAATGGGCGTCCATAGATGCAAGTTTTGAGTGGGCTATATGTGAAATAGTGTCAGCAGCATCCTGTCTCAACGAGGTATACGTGACGGTGGTCGGCCGACAGAATGGTCACCGGCAGCTTCACATTACAAGTACCGTATACGCCCTGCCAATCTTTGAGAGTGTACTTCAACAAGAACGACTCACAGCACCAGAGGGCTCTTGACCGCTTGTGTGGGTGCTCTCGCATCGCCAGATTGTTCCGTTGTAGCCTACGACGGCACCGGCGGGATAGGTGATGTGGGAGCCCCAGCCCGGCGGCTGTGCGAACGAGTTCTGTGGCTGCTGTTGAGCGACGTCTGTGTTGATATGGGGGATACGCATGGCGATGGATGGAATAAAGCAAGAGACAGTCGTCGCCACTGCCCAAGTACAGCGGCGGGTGGCGGTGGAGGCAGGCTCAGGCACGCGGCTCGGGAAAGGACAAGGCGGTGAGCCAAGCGATTCCAGTCGTATTCCTGAGCAACTCTATCTCGGGCCCAGGGGACATGTTGGGCCATGCATGCACAGCAGCGTGCCTCCAAGCTCGGATCCATGGTCGGCCAGGTGCTCGTACGTACACGACTCGTACAGTGGTCTTTGACTCTGGCAGCAGACAATCCTTGACTATTGCATCAAAAATCATTCGAAACATGAGAATGCAATACGAGACTGTTGGCTATCGTGATAATGTTGGAAAAAGGCAGAAATGTTGATGAAAGAAAATGTCTACCTACTAGTACCTATTGTTATAATGATAGCCCTGGAGCCACTATGTTATGTGAAAGATCCAAACACGACCAGCACCTCCCCCTCATTAACTCTACACGCTAAAGACACATACAACCGATCTTCCATCTTTCACCATTCTTACCGTCTCTTCGGAAGACCTCTAACTCTTCTACCACCAGGACTACTAGGAGCCTCGCTCGCGGCTATACCCAAGCTAAAGCCATTGCCCGCGGCGGCGTCTGGGCCCGGTGTGGGGCTCTTGAATCTCGACGCGGAATCACCAGCGGGCGCACCAAAGGTAAACGGCGCAGCAGCAGGAGCAGCTGCCGGCGCACCGAAAGAGAATGCCGGGGCGGACGAAGACGGGGCAGAGGGCTGCGATGGCTGGCCAAAGCCAAAGGTGGATGATGGAGCCGCCGAGGCGTTGTTGGATGGTTGGCCGAAACCAAACGTCGACGTCGAGGGGGACGGTGTAGGGGCGGGGGCGCCGAAGGCGAATGGAGCAGGACTGCTCGCTTTTTGCTCTGACTGCTGACCAAACGGATTGGGAGTAGGCACAGAAGAACCGAAAGCAGTAGAAGCTGGCGCAGCCGTGTTACTCGCTCCGAAAGAGAAGGCCGGGGAGCTCGAGTTGGCAGCATTGTTGGTGCCGAAGGGGTTCGCCGGGGCAGCAGCTGGAGCACTACTCGAAGGAGCGCCGAAGGAGAATGGCTTTGCAGCAGGGGCAGCGTTGCCAAAGGCGCCAGCGGGCTTGCTGGTCCCTGTACTGCTGGAAGCCCCAAAGGAGAATGACGGGGTGCTGCTTGCTGCAGGTGTAGATGATCCTCCAAAGGGATTTTTTGCTGCGTCACCATTGGTCACAGGAGCACCGAAAGGCGAGCTTGCACCATTCGGCTTGTCGCCACCACCAGCACCAAAGCTGAATGTAGACGCCGGCTTGTCTGCAGGTTTCTCGGCAGCTTTACCAAAGTTGAACCCGCCAAAGGCAGGAGCAGCAGCGGGAGTCGTGGACCCATTGGTAGTAGAATCCTTCACAGCACCAAAGGTGGGTGGAGGCGTAGACGCAGGGGTGGTCGTCCCGCTCGCAGCGCCAAAGGAGAATGCTGGCTTTGAGGCTGGGCTACTGGGAGCAGTAGGGGTACCAAAGGCAAACGGCGCCGCCGCGGTCTCAGCAGGCTTTTCGACAGGCTTCTCAGTCGAAGCTGCAGGAGCACCAAAGTTGAAAGCGACCTTTGGAGTTCCATCAGTCTTTGGCTTTTCAGCAGGAGCACCGAAAGAGAAAGCAGGCTTGGCGGCAGATTCTGTGGGCTTTGGTGCTCCGAACTAGATATTATTAGCAAAGGTCACAGACCAACAAGGCGGACACTTACAAAGAACGAGGACGACGCAGCCGGCGCAGGAGAACTCTCCTTGGGAGCCCCAAAGTTGAAGCCACCGCTAGGGGCGGCATCCGTCTTTTCCTCCTTCTTATCTCCACCGAACCCGCCAAAGCTAAACGCAGGCGCTGTACCATTCGTCTTTTTTGGTTCCTCCTTCTTCTCAGCGGCAGGAGCACCGAATGTAAAGGGAGCGGGAGATCCGGAAGATGGAGTGGGCGCACCGAACGAAGGCAGTTGAGCAGGCGGCGCCTTCTCCTCTGTAGTCTTTTTCACACCAAAGCTGAACGTAGGCACAGGGGCAGCGGGAGCCGGGGTGCTCGAGCCAGACTTTTTGCCGAAAAAGTCGGGAACGCCCCCATCAGTCTCGCCGGCAGGCTTGCCAAATGAGAATGCAGACTTCTCGGCCGCAGGGGTCTCTTCGGGGGTGGGAGGCTTTGAGAAAAAGGTGGAAGCTGGAGGTTGACTGGTAGAGGAAGCGCCCGCGGAGAGGGAAGATGATGGCTTCTCGGCAGGCTTGTCGTTGTTGCTGAAAAGAGGAAAGATGCCACCCGCCGGAGGCTGAAGATCATCCTTTTTGGGTGGAGGGAAAGTGGGAGGCGAGTCGGGAGCAGCAACGATAGATCCCCCGGCAAGAGGAGAAGAAGCCCGGGGACGGGTCGAAGCCACACCCAATCGAGCGAGGGGACCGCCAGCTCGGGGCAGGCTCAGGGGAGGCTGGGGGACGGCAGGTGCAGCTGCCTTGGAAGCAGGCGCGCCAGCACTCAAGTTGTCAAAGGTGATGCCAGAGAAAGAAGGTAGGCTGATCTTGGATGCCTGTTCCAGCTCTTCCATATCAGGCAAGTCTTCGTCTTTGGCAGAGTACCGCCCAGAAGAAGGAGTTTGACCACGAGAGTAGGTAGCGGCACTCTGATGCGCTCGCTTGCTATCCGACTTGGCACGCAAGGAAGAAGAGCCGCGGGGCATTTCTTCAGCAGCTCGAGGCTGATAGTTGGAAGAAGAGCTGGGCCCGCCGGGGGAAGGAGCAGTAGCAGTGATGACGGGCACTTCAGGTACCGGTGTAGGTGGCTCTGGCGAAGTACCACGATCCACCGTTGTCTTCCTAGTGCGTCGACTTGAACGTTTCGTCGGAGCCTCTTCGGCGATGGACTCGGGTTGGTTCGAGTTGCCCCGTCGGGTGTTTCGCCTTGATGCCTTGGGTGTGGACTCTTCTTCCGCAGTGGTCCCTCGCTTGAGACGAGAAGATCGGCGAGGGGTAGGAGGAGCAGGCGAACGTGAATCTCTGGAGGCGGCAGAGTCCATATCGATATTGCTGACGGTATCGCTCCTAGCGTCCGATGGTGTCACCGAGAGGCGTTGTTCTTGAGGCAAAATCAGTCTCCATCATCAAATGTGACACATCAGACTCACCTCGATCCTCTGCTCTGCTCTGTCTTCTCACTTCCTTGGCTTCCCTGTCCGCAACATTCCTCCTCCCATAAGGACTAATCATTACCGACACAGAGTCGCCCAATCGCTCCTTATCTCTCCTCTGCTTGGCACTCTCACCGGCAGCAGCAGTCGCCAAAGGCACATTTATAGTTTTACGAAGCGTTCGAGAAGATTGACCAAGTAGGGGTGGGAGATCGCCTTTTCGGGCGTCGGTAAGAGGCGTTTTGCGCATAGCCTCGAGGGTATAGAGAATCCGCTCGGCTTCGTTTTTATGTATGGGGTTGGGATGTTGAGCTATGATATTATAAGCAGCTGAATGGATGAAAATTGATCTCACTCACCAGTTTTGAGCTCGCTTTCTCTGACAAAGACCTTGTCCTCCTGATTCCACACCATTTGGCCCTTCCTGATGGTAGACGATGAAGAGGGAGCAGCGGACGTTAGTCTTCGAGAAGAAGCGGCAGAAGCAGGGGCGCCAGGTTTGTCCCAGCGATCCTTCATGAACCAATCCTGCACGACATTAGTAAGGGTCATAATGGAAGAGCAAGACGCACCAGGACACTTCCTTCTCTACGCCTAACACTATCCCCATCGATAGTCATAGAGTCGTCCTCACCAAGCACACTCTCGCCAAACACGGAAGAAGATTCTGGTTCTCGCAAATTTCTGATACTGACGCTCCTCCCAACCGGGCGACTTCCCGAAGCCATACTGATATCAGAAACGACACTGGATTGCCGACCGAGGTTGGCAGTGGTGGCAGAACGTGTCAGGCCACTTGTGGACTGTCGGGGGCGGGGAGAGGCAGGAGGTAGGCGAAAGGGCGAAGCAGAAGGCATGGCGTACTGCTTCAAAACGTCAGGACAATGACAGGAACAAGCTCGGCCACTCACGTCGGTCAGTGCAGAAGATTTTCTAGGCGTAGAACCTCTAGGTATAGCAGCTGCGCTGGCGGCAGCGCCAGTAGCTCCGGCATATTTTGAAGCCCACGGACTCCATTGCTCCTTCTCCATGCCCTTCTCGGGCATCTCTACCAATACTCCTTCCTCTTCCAACTCATCATTTCCCAATGAAGCCAAATCCACCCTCTTGGACCGCGTCAACACTCCCGTCTTGCGGGGCGAAGCCATGGATTTCAGAGTGCCGGACGACCTGAGAGCCCGCGAAGGAGGGTCGAGGTATGGCATGGATTGGGAGGAGGTGAGGGGTCGTGAGAAATTGGTGGGATGAGAAGGCAGGGGCTTGTCGGTGCTGGACTGCTTGGGTTTCAAGGTGACATGGGGAGAGAGGGAGGGGAGCATATAGCCTGACACGGCGCGACCTTGGACTTCGTGATCCGGCCCATAGTCGCCTTCCCGGTCTACAAACCCGTTGGTCTTTTTCTCTGGAGAGAATCTTCTTCTCCGTTTGCCATCTCTTCTGTCTGATGGAGACTCTGGGTCCTCGAGATCATGGCCGAAGGAAGACAGGGAGTCGCGTTTCGAGCCCTGACTGTCGGTCGCTTTCGCAGGCGTGGCCGACCAAAAGGACCTGGAAAACAGAGACTTGGCCACAGAGAAGAGCGAGGATTCACTTCCCGACCTCGTCATGCCACCGGAAGAAGTGGACGGCGACTGCACTCTCGAGCTGGGAGGCGGTCTGTGGGAGGCTTTTGTTGGTGTGTCTGATCCACTGGGCAGGCTGGCGAGATCCCCCATGGCGAGAGAGGGCCTGTTGTATGGGCTGCTGAGTCTGTGGATGCGGGGGTTTGCGCTGGGGCGGTGGGCGCCGGCGAGGGCGCGCTGGAGGTCGGACATGGCATGCGTGTTTGCTTCCGGCTCTCTTGCGGACGCTGTGGTGCAGTACGGGCGACGAGGACACGAGAGGACACCGGCAGTACAGAAATCTCGACCAATATATATCTGCCACTTTCTCCATTTTATCCCGCCGTGTGGCACCCATCAAACAGGTGCAACAGCCTTTCACGTCATCATCCTCGTGCATCCACCAGTCCCAAGTTCATTCCTGTAGATATGCTGGCATATACCATCTTCCTTCCCGAGCTCCATTCAACACACAAGATATTCAAGACACATTTCTACAGATTCAAGGTGGCACCGCCGCGTCCCCATTGTCCGTCAACTCTTCTCCCAGGCGCCGCAAGTCTCTCCCGATCGCCTCCAGAAAGGCATCTCTCTTTACTGTTCTCTGAGGAAAGTAATAGGTGGTGACGGCGGTCAGGTTTGACTAACAAGCGTCAGAAAAGACTGGAAAAAAACAAAGTTGATCGACCTACCCTCACGTTCGTGACAAACCCCTGGGCATCAGCCTCCATATCCTCCGTCATACCCGACATGCCATTCTGGTATCCCTTCTCAACTCTATCCTTTGGAAAGCTTTCTCGAGGATTGGTGGCGACCACGACGACTGGCTCACGAGATTTGCTGAGATCTGGAGGTTCCCGAGCTACGACCGCTCGCGCCTCTGCTGATTTGTGACGATAATAGGTCTGGATGTTGTCCCACTGCTCTTCAAAGGATCGAGAAGAGGTTGTAGCCGGAGACGCCTTTCCAGAAGAGTATGGGTGCCTTTTGCGCCTTCTTCGAGAAGGACCGACGTCACTATCCCAGTCATCGTCGTTCGACTCGGTCCCGTCTACGTCTCCGTTCCTGCTTCCTCGTCCCGTCCTCGACCCTCTTTCAGGCTCATAGCTCATCTCCCTGTTCTTCTCCGCCTCGTCAATCATCAACATTGCCTCCTGGAATAACGCCATTTCTTCCCTCAACGCGAGTTCCCTCGGGCTAGCGTGCGATCCGTCGGCCAAGCCCGCCCTCGCGGGAGGTACAGCAAGAGGGGCGTCATCGTCCACTACATGTGCAGACCCAGCACGGCTGACGACTTCGCGATCTCGAGTGAGTTGCGCTCGGACGCGGGCCGCGGGAAGAGGCTGGCGGGCTGGCTGGGTGCGGCGGACGGTTGCAGCTTTTGCGACAAGACCGGGTGCGGTGACGTTCGGGGTGGTGGCATCCACTGGTGTGGGTGCGGTGGAAGTCATCATTGGCGCCGAAGGAGCAGTGATAGGGGTGGCAGCCGTGGAGGGCGTGGCGATGGGTGTGATTGATACAGTCGGTGTTGGGGGAGCGGCAGGGGTGAGAGCGGCGATGGCGATGGGTGCGGGGGTGACGACGACAGGAGCTGGGATGACAGGATCTGGGATGACAGGAGCTGGTGACTCTTTGCGTCGTACTTTGCTGCGATGCGCATCGGTGTCGGAGGGGATGCTGACGGGTTCTTCGACGGGGGAAATATCTACTGGCGGGGACGAGTCAGCCTTCCTCTTCTGTGGGATGTGAGCCCTGGGGTGGGCCGAGGGGGAGTGGGTGGGAACGAGGACGGAAGAGCGGGTGGTGGTCATGGGGGGGTACGGTGACAGAATATAAAATATGTATGGAATGAAAAGCAGGATGGAAAAGCGGAAAGAAAGAAAAGGAGACGTTGAATGACCCCGCAGCGCCATATCCTCACTGCGACTCACCGCTGGCATCCTCGGCGGGCACCTCTGCGCCGGGCGGGCTCGACTCGTGCACCCGCTTCCCCAGCACACCCTCCTCCAGGGGCACCGTAGAGGCTGTGAACGCGGCAAAGAACATCAGTCAACAGACATGCCACACGCCCTTCTATAGCACTTGCCTTGGCTCTTGGGCGTCTGCACCTCTTCGCGCACCACCTTTTCCTCTTCCCGAGGCGTCTGGAGCACTGTATCGGCAGTGGTCGTCGCAGTGATCACCACAGGCGTCTGAAATTCAACGGGAGGGCCACTCGAAGAGGCGTCCCCATCATCGACAGCGACGACCTTTTTGCCCTTGCCCGCCCGACCATCCTCCTCATCCGGTATATCCACCACGTTCCCATTCTCATCCTCTATAACCCACGCCCACCCCTTCATCCCCCTCTTTTTCTTTGGCTTGTCTTTCTTCGGACCCGTTCCTGGAGTCGTGACGCCCCCAGCGGCAGACCTGGCGCTCCCACTCCCGTTTGCCCCCGTACTGCTCCCGGCCCCAGCAGGCGCTGGGCTGCTCCTGGATCCTTCACTCGCCCCGCGCAGATTACCAAGCGAGATCGAAATGGAGAGGGGCGACTTTGCATTGCCCACTCCACCGTCTCGCAGATGACTTCCTCCACTTGCCGATGCAGTCGATGCCCGGGCGGCGGAGGGGGCTGAGGGGGGTAAAGAGTGTCTGCCTGAGCGAGTTGGGTGGGCAGACATGCTTTGCGGGTTAGATCTGAAGGCCGGGGAGGCGATGTGGCGAGAAACGGTGAAGAAGGGTTGAGAGACGACGTAGTGATCGCTGAAGGCCTGAGGCGCGGCCGCGCAGGATTTGTTTTGAACCCAACTGCCACTTTCAATCATTTCTTCCTTTGCTCTGCCCGTAGCGCCGTACAGATTCGCCCGTGGATTGCCATGCACCGCTCTCCCCCTTTATAGCCGTCCCTTGCACTGCTTGGATGGTTCTGAGCCTTCGATGCATGATACCGTAGGAGATAGAGCGGACATGTGCTGGCTCATCTTCAATGGGTTTCACGGGTGACTACTTATGTGTGGCGGGCAGGACGGATAGTATCAAATCGGCATGTAGCATTAGATCTATCAATATCATGAAAAGATGTTCCCTTCTGCATAGAGAGAGATCTCTTCCCGAGGACCTCGTTGACAGATCCAACGTAATAAACTTCCAATCGCCATCAGTCTTTGTGTGGTACATTTACATACATCCCGCAGACCAAAACACGCAAATTGGAAACTAGCAGGTATGCAGATGGTTTACTACTACTAATAGAGAGACAAAGAGCGTGCTCTAGTATAACTTGATGATGGTAGAGAACGAAACAGGCCGAATGTGTACAAAAGTCATAACTAGCGAGGCGGAATCTGTTCTCTGCGGGAAGCAGGAATAGAGTCATATCTGTCCAAAGGTCAGCGCACACTCTTGAATCGGATTTCGTACTTACGTCGGCGGAATTTCACTGCTGTACTCGTCCTCCACCGCACCACCATCCTGATGCACCGTCACCCCAGTCCTGTCCGTCGTTGTAGGACTCATAGGCCCAGAGGAGCCGGGTACACCTTGGTACCCTTGATTCTGCACGTGATACCTGTTTGCTTCTTGCTGCGCCTCTCTCTGCTTGGCGCCCATTGTGCCAAGACCGGCGGCGGGCGACTCGACACCAGTGGGATTAGCAGAGGGCATAGGCATCGGTTCCATGTTGTAATCGTATCCGCCAGCGCCACGGCCTGCAAAGCCAGCGGTAGAGGGTCCACCCGAAGACACGGCGCCGTAGCCACCGTCAGAGGTCGTAGCAGCAGAACGGGGGTATTGCGCCATTTCAGGAGAGGCAGCGGTGGAAGCAACGCCCGGAGCATAGTAGGGTTCGACAGTGGGAGCGCCACCGTCGGGACCAAGGTCAATAGGAGCCTGGTTTTCGGGCCGTCCGGGGTCAAACTATACAATGTCAGACAAGGTACCAGACAATGTGAACAATGACTCACCATCATGTCGTCAAAGTCATCGCGGCGAGACCTCTTCCTTCTGAGAAGGAACCACAGTAGAATAGCAAGGAGTGCAAGACCAGCGACACCACCGACGACACCGCCAACAATGGCACCAGTGTCTACTTTTGTCAGCCCGGTGATTCATTCATGTGTGGACGACTCACGATTAGATGAGCCACTTGATGAGCTTCCCGATGATCCACTGTCGACGGTCGCAGTAGGCGAGACAGTCACGACGCCATCGCTGTTGGTCATGGTGATGTATCTATGGCCGGCCATCAGCACTCCGGCCAAGTCTCTTGGTATTCACTCACACTGTGCTTCTGCCATCAGACCCAGTCGTGGTCGCAACCCCAGACGATGAAGATGCCGAGGCAGGGACAGTAGACGTGACCATCCCGCCCCCACTTGAGACGACAGTCGTGGAGTCGCCCGAGGCGCTGGGGCTGGCCGAAGTGCCACTCGCACTCGCGCTGGCGCTCGCGCCCTGGCTCGTCGTCGCACCGTTGCTTGTTTGAGCCTGAGAGGTCGTCGCTCCATCGCCCCCGTCAGACGTAGACGCACTAGGCGACGAAGACGGGGAAGCGGACCCTGTTTGACTTGTCTGACTCGTCCCCGAGTCACCCCCGTCAGAGGTCGTGGGAACGGCGCTGCTGGTGGCGGGCTCGGAGGTGGTCTGGGCGGAGGATTGGACAGTCGATGATTGGGCGGCAGAGGAAGAGGCTATTGCAGAGGTACTGGCGGCTTGGGAGGTGGTGGCTGCGTCGGATGTGGAGACGTCGGCTGTGGAAGATGCAGGATTAGTGGTTATTCCAGCTGCTGCCGAGGATATATCGGAAATGAGGTCGGCCATGCTGGGCGACAGTAGAGTAATGTAAAAAGAGAGTGGCGTGTATAGGTGGAAAATGAAAAAGACAAAAGATGACAGATCAAGTTGATGAAGGGTTGACGATCCGTGCGGGCAGCACTGCCTAGAAAAGCTGCTCCCCGTGGGCCCGCCGGTTACGCCCTCACGTCCAAGCGTGCGATAGGCGGAGTATGGGAATGTTTGCACACTCCCAGGGGCGTTATTGACTTATTGTAGAGCGCAGGGGGCAAAGAGCGTAGGCTGACTGGGGAAGCTCGGTCACGAAAGAAAACACAAGGAAACGGGTCTATACACGTATGCCGTCAAGAGTATAGCAGCACAGCCACGAGGCAACAATGCGGCAAAAAGTGTATATGCAAGAGTAAGAGGTAGCAGCAGGTACTCACACATGATGGGTAGGGACTGGGCAGTTAGTGGGGTTTCAAAAGCCTGAAAGGAGCGCTTCGGGGTGGTTGCAGCTTGTTGTTGACAGGGTTTGACTGCGGATGTTGTGTCGAGAACGAGTATATGGGCGCAAGAGGCTAGACACCTGGCGACGGCGCGACGATTTGGTGGGGACGGTGGGAGATGGATGTAGGGAAGAAGGATGGAAAGAGGATGTCGCTGGGTGTTGTTGGCGAGGGAGGGTGTTGAGTGAAAAAAGCGGTGCGGCCGCGGCGAAAAGGCGCAAAATCCCAAAGAGGCCCCTGGAGTGCAGAATACGTCAGCAGGGTGAGGAACAATAACAGCAGGACATCTCTCGGATATGGCTTGCATATGGGCATCCAGGAAGAGAGCCTCCCTTCACACTCCGTCATTTGAACAACAGAGCGTCCTGCCATCAAGTCGAGCTCCGAAGTCTGCATGATGTTCTCGAACCTCTCGGTTCACGCCGTCCTGACATCTGGGCATCGGGTGAGATCATGCTATACGCTAAAAGTATGCATACCCTCACGGGGTATTTCGACTGGCATCTCTTGGGTTCGGAGCTCGGAACTTCATACATAGGGCCCGAAGATAGCACTTCCGTATACGTCGGTTTGCGATCCTTGCGTTCAACCACCAGGCAGATGGCGATGAGGCCACCGCTATTGCTAGAGCAGCTGCGGGAGGCGGGTCAGACTTCTGGGGTGGGTGAAAGTATGGAGCCCGTAAAAGCCTGGAGCTCGAGGGACTGGTGAGATAATTATAAAAAAGCGAGCACCGCGGGAGGTTGAGAACCAGGCCCCATGGAGGAACGTCGTTCCTGCAGTACTCTAGTTTCTGCTGGTGACTTGTACCTCTCCGCCCGTGATTCATGGCCTCTCTTTTCGATCCTCTGTGCTCTATTTCTGTCTCTGGAATTTCGGGCCTCGAGGGCAGGAACACAGGCGTCGAAAGATATGTGGAGCGACTGACAAGGTACAGGTCGAGCTGTACTTGACACATGGGCCTGATTACGCTGCTCCCGCTGCGCGATCTCACCCACATGTCCCTCAGACCAGTGCCCAGTGCCCTCGTTCTTGATTCAAGTGGGGCTCATATGTATGCAGGTCCTGTGTGTTGGGTCCAACGTCCAGAGTTCAGTCCGGATAGGCCAGAGTTCGTCAGAGAAGCTCTGCAAGTTCTAGAGCTACCTACCTGCACTGCGTTCTGTGGCAAGTTGACTGATCAATGCAATTGTACAGTCATGCCTCATCGTCTTCACGCTCGCAAGTATGCCCTGCATCGGCTTGAGGGGGGAGCATTCCCTCACTATATCTCGCCATGAATGCAATATCAGTCGTGGTAGAACAATCGGAGGCCACAGCAGGATGTGCACTGCTCAGTATATTCCAAGTAGGCCGTCTCAACTCGGTAACAGCTCTAATTCACTCAACTTCTCAATGAGCAGAAGACTGACACGCTACGGCGAGTCAATGCCATGCGTTACATACAGTGAAATGATACAATTCTTCATCCGACATTACTCGTCATCCTCCTCTTCGACCTCCACACCCTTCCCGGTCAACAACCCAACTTCATCAACACCTTCATTATTGTTTCCTTCCATGCTTGGATCATTATAAATGTCGATGTCTGCAAGACGGTCAGCACTCGCTTCATTTGAAAGGACATTCTACTTGCTCGAAGCCAAAGAATCGATCAGCAATTGCAACCTCTTGGGGCCCAACGTAGGATCCGACTGGTACAGACGTCAGATCTATTTAGACATCAAGAGGCAGTCAGGCTCACCTCGCGCATCTTTTCCAACTCGCCCCCGAAGCCTTCGACCAGCTTGTTCATATACACCGTCTTGAACTTTTCTCTCCTCTCCTCTTCCTCGGGATTGACCGCGCCCTTCCCTCTTCTCGAATACTGCATAAAGGTCGGGAGACCAGTAGCCGGGGGAGGCGATGGCGAATTTGTAGGGTGTCGAGTGCGCTGCTTGGCTGGAGGAAGCTGGCTGCTGGCTGCAGAGGGTTTCGAGGTGGGAGCAGAGTCAGAATCCGAGTCTGATTCAGAGTCGGAAGAGGAAGATGATGAGGACGATGAAGACGAAGAAGAAGATTCCTCAGAGGAGGACGACTCTCCGTCCACTTTAATTGGAGCGGCTTTGGCTGCTTTGATAGGGGGAGCGTCCTCGGAACTCGAGCTGTCGTCTGACGAGCTGTCCGAGACCGACGCCTGCCTTCTTCTTCTCTTTCTTCGGTTGTTCTTCTGAGTTGGTCGAGGGGCAGACATGGTCAAACTTGATGATCTTGAGACGCCTCAATGTAGGGCTGTTTCATCTGCTTTGAGCGAGCGCAGGAGCTCGGAAATCTTGAATTGCCTCCACTTTGAACGGGGTCAAATGCAACAATTGCTTCCGTTCTCAGAGAGCGGGTGGGGTGTTCGGTCTTCCGGTGTATCATACTCTCGTCTCGTCTTCTTCTTGCTGGATAGACAGACAAGTTCAGTAATAGCATGCAGAGATCACCTGACATGAATTCGTCAAACACTTCAGACTTGGCCTTCTTGGCCTTCTTTCCCCAACAACTTGCGACCTGCGCACTCCTCACGCCCATGCCATGATGGCCACAACTCTAAACTTTCCGCAATTCCTTGCGTCTGGCATCTGATGTTGCTCTGAATTCTCCCTCTTCCATCGTTTGGGCCGGCGCCTCCGGCCTCCTGCCTCATGCTTGGCGCGTGGTGCACAGTTGAAGCTTTGGCGTGCGTCGCGGGCGGACAAGTGTACCAGGCGTTTGTCACCCGTTCCTTCGGCGCGGTGTTTTACTCTTCTGTACCTTCGTTTTACTGCTCTCAGTTCTAAACTGATTTTAGAGTGCATCCATAGAGAAACATCGAACTACCGTAATAGACCCAAACGTGACCACCATCCGGCCACCGTTGAGTTTTGCCGAAGTTCTTTCGACGAAAATGCGGGAGCGGACCGGAGTGTCGACACTTCTCGACCGATTGGTGGTGTGCGGCATGCAGCAGCAAGCAGCAAGCATGAAGGATTCTGACTGGTACAACGGGTGGGCGTAGGCCCGATGCCTACCTGCCATCATGTTGGTGTTGACACTGTTTATTACAATCTCTGTTTTGCTTTAATAAGGATGGACGTAGCCCTGGCCTCGAAGACCCAAAGGCCAAAGGCCCGCCCCCAAGACCCCCAAGGCCCAAGGCATCCAATTCCACGCAAAGTGTTCACGCCGTCTGATAGAGTTTGCAGCTCATAGAGTTCTTCCGAGGCACGGAACTATTGACAAGTCAAATCTAAAGATGTATTCGTTCGCTCCAGCGCTTTTGACTCTCCAGGGCTCCGAATAGTCTGGCAACACTGGCTGAGCTCAATTTGATCCCCAACACCCAGCGTGTGCAGCCTGAACACCCACTGCACGTTTACAAAGACACTGGGGCTGGTTTGGGGCTGGTTGATGGACGGCGGGGGGCTGAATGGCTGACGACAGAATTTCAGGAGAGCCGCGGCAAAGAATGCTCCGCGCCGGATGCCAGGAACCGGCACGCGATGTTGACCGAGCACCCGCACTTTGATTGCCCTTTCCGGCATCGCGAACAAGGGTAATCTTTCGAACGTTTGGAACAGGGAATAACGCACAGAGCGCACCGAACGAGCGGCCAGAACAGCGTTTCATGCTTACTTTCGCCCCCGTACCTCCGACTGCCCACCCGATACGCTAGTCTAGCTTTGCCGCCCCCACAACCTACGTTCCGAGCCCTAGAACGCGATTCGACCTCTCTCGGCTCGCGCGGCCTGTCCATGACGAAGCTCACCGTCGGATACAAATCTTCTGCCCAGTTGTTTTGATAGACTTGCTGTTCTTCTCATTCTCACAGTGCTCTTCCTGCACTTTGCCATCTTTGGTCTCCATCCACTCCCCACTTGAGACGCCGTGCCGACTGTCGTTTTCTCCCCAGGCAAGTCGTTTCTCGGCGTCAGCCCCTAGAGTCCTCGCTCATGGCTTTGTAGCACCACCCTCTACCATGTCAGACACCACGCTCTCGCCCAGACTCCGACACCTGTTGATCAAGGACGACAATGCGCCCATCGCTAGCCTTCCGCCCATCCGCGCGTACCCCTCTCCTACACGTCCTCGATTCAGTACCCGCCCCAGCTCTGGAATCATGCTTCCGCCTGTATCGCCCACGAGCGACGGGCAGGGTTGGTCGGCGTCAGACTCGCCTCCCTCTTCTCACTCGCAGCAACGTCCTTCAACCTCTCCGTCTACACCATCGCACTTGATTCTGCCGCACCCAAACAGACGGAGCAACAGCATCATGGCGCTGTTGAACTCGCAACCTCCATCGCCAACGCCCTCATCCAACAACTCCTCGGCCGGCTCTGTGATTCGGGCAGAGCCAGAATGGCAGCGACCAAGTCTATCGTATCCGCGACGCCCGCCTCCTGCGACGTTTCCAACCATTGAACAATCTAGCTCTGCAGCGTACTTTGACGAGCGCCCATCCTTGCCTCCCACACCTGGGTCATACTACCAGTCCATGTCTGCCGACGGGTCATCCGACGAAAGGCCTACCGTCTACCGGCGACATTCGTCGCATCCTTATGAACGGTATGACCGTTCTGTGTATGCCCCTCCCTACCACCCTCCAGTGCACCGGCATTCTACCCCTCACCACACCCTGCCGCCCTCAACGAGCCTGATGTCTCCCCCATCGGTGCCTGTGTATCTCGATGGTACGCGTCCGAGCCCTTACGATGACTTTCGAATCATCAGCACGGCATCGCGGGCTCCCATCTCGAGAACAACCAAGGCTTGCAACTCTTGCAGGAGCAGGAAGGTGAGATGTGATGCGGGAGCGGCGAACGGGGGTGTAGCAACTGGAAAGGAACCGTGTATGAGGTGTAGGGAGAGTGGCCTGGAATGTGTGTATTCCACAGTACAGAAGAAGCGCGGACCGTGTCCTGGGTGAGAACTATCTGTCGTTCTACATGTCCTGATCTCACGCGCCATTGCAGGACCGCGAGGCCTTCCGTCAGCAAGTCTCGACGATCATCCAGTCAATCGCGCCAGAGCCGGTCCCAAGCACGCGGCTCCATGTCTTCAAAGCCACAACTATCCCCCATGGCATCCCATCGCTCGAGTGTCGCCTCTTCCAGAAGCATCCAGGATGTGGTCACTCCGGAGGACACGCCATGGTCTCACACCCCACATGGGTATGGGTTCCCTTTCCCTGCCGCCTCCAATGGTGTTCAGGTGCAGGGGTACGACTGGCATGCTGCCAATAGTGGGGCTGGGAGCGACAAGATGCCACCCGCTTGGACGGGAGCGCAGGTTGGACCGAGAGGTTCATATAGCACCACTCCATGGGATGAGAGGAGATGGTCTGCGGAAGGAGGTGTCAGGGGGTATCCTTAATCTCCTTGATGGTATGCTACGGCTTGGACGGACAGTGATTGGCTTCGATGTATGGCGAGACTGGAAAACTTTGTAGACCAAGTGGCTTGATATGGCAGAGGCGGTGTTGTATCTATAATTGTTAGAGAGCGGTTACATGTAGTCCATATCTGATTGCAGACGGGCAATCGGTTCTGGGTGAACAGTCCGGTGATTATTGAGAGGCAAGACACATGTCTTACATGATTGATCAAGTGGGAATGTCCCATCTTTCATTCGTCACCTTCAGCCCCGGGAAACATGCCCGGCATTCTGCCACCAGCGTCACCACCTTGCGCTCTCAGTCCATCCGCCATGTTCTCTGCGAGCTGCATCAACTGTACTCGAGTCAGTCATCGCCCATCATCAATTACACAACACTCACACCCTGCAACATGTTTTGCCTGTCTTCCTCTGGGATCCGTCCCAGATTGTTTTCTCTCGTAAGTTGATCCCACACATCCTGTGCTCTCTCCCTCCAATTCTCCGGCTCGCGTTCAATGATATCAAAGACCTGCTGGATGAAGCCATTCATCATCCCCCACGCTCCTTCCTCCTGTCCGCTTGCGCCAGACCCGGCCGCGCCGCGGCGCTGGGGTCGGATGCCCGCAAAGTAGGCGTCGTCGTACATTGAGATCGCAGTGGTGGGAGGGAGCGGGTCGAAAGAGTTGAACGAACGGGCGGTGATGAGCGGTGGGAGGAAGCCTAGCCAGGAAGTGTTTTCAGAGCACATGACGTGTCGGCAGATGAAGAGCGAGACGTTGATGGTGTCGTCTACAGGATCCCTAGGCGCTTGGACAAGAGCAAGGATGTCGTCTCGGGCCATCTTGGAGGCAGGCGAGTGAAGCTCTGCGAGAGCTAGAGGCACTTGAGATTCCAACCACGCCATCTTGGAGGCCTCTTTCCACAAAGCCTCTGATCGAGCGACATAGATGTGCGAGAGGAGATGAATCACATTGGTCGGTGATTCATCCCAAGCAGCCTCGACCTTGAGCAAAGGCTCGCTCCTAACCCCAGCAGGCAGGCTCGCGCCAATCTTGTCCGCAAGAGGCACCACCATCTGCGGGAAGTCGGTGATTGCTTCCCTTAGTGCCTCGTCACTGTTGGTATGATCCTTGCTCTTGGCCTTGTCTTCTTCCACACGCAAGGCGAGGGCCTTGGCGAAGGCCATACCGGGGTAGGCGTACCATGAGGCCGCCGCGGGGTGGTGGTCGCCTTGGTCAATCATGGAAGTGAGCCAAGCTGCGTTTCCAGATTTGATGGCGAGAAAGTCGAGCCAGAATGCGGCGCCATGAGGATCGCCCTGCAAAGATGATCAGCCAGCGTCTAGCTTTTATCGATTAGCATACCTCAGGATCCAACGCAAAGAGGAGCTTGGCAAAGTTGAAAGCTGTCACCCAACATCCTCTCCTTCCGAGATAACTACACGACAGTCAGCCACATGACCACGATGTCTCGGAGACTCACGAGATGATACGATGCAGAGCGGTAAACATTGCTCGATTCTCAACCCTGTCAAAGTCCAATCTGGATGCACCAGACAGGACGTTGAAAGAAGGAAGAAGACATCTGTCAAAGGCGTACAATGCCCGCTCGGCATAATCAGAGGCAGCTCCGATATCTTGAAGAGGTCAGCAAGGGTCGATATGTAGAAGAATTGAACGCACCAGACTGAAGTCTATACACTTCGCTCATCTGGAGCAATGTATCCACATGCCAAGGGTACACCTGTAACAGAGCCATGAGCTGATTTGGATCTACGAGCCATCAGCCACACCCATACAATGCTTGACTTAACTCGCCATGCGATCGGACCGCCCCCATAAACTGCCTTTCGACTTCCCGCCAAACCCCAATATGCTCGAATGTAAACCACTTTTCGCCCTTGTCTACAAGATCTCTGTCCCTTCTATCACAAGTCTCTTCTACTTCCTCCGCAGTCATCTCTCGCATGACGAGACCAGCGAGAGAGTTGGCAGGAGGATATTGAGGTTTGGGCTTGGAGATGGTATAGCGTAGCTTGGCGGATGGCCCTCCCCGATGCTTGTTGGGTTGAGCCGAAGAAGCGATCTACATGTGTCAGGCCAGCAATCAATTTAAGAGGTTCATACTTACCACTTTAGAACCAAAGAATCGACGAAGCTCGGCATCGGCATCCAGATTCTTAGGGTCTACTGACAGCAGATTTCTGGGCACAATCAGCTCCGTCTATATGAAGGTCTGTGGCATACCTGAACGCAAGATGTCCTCGAAAGTCACCAGGTCCCTCCGCCCCCATCGAGGAGCCTTCTTCCACTTGGTCTTCGCCGTATCTGTAGCTGAATCAGCTCCCGAAACGAGATACGAAACATGACAAACCTCAGCTTGAGCTCTGCCAATGCTCTGTCCACCTCGTCCAAGCCCGCGAATGGATCTGGCGCCTTGGCCTTCTTCTTCTTTTTCTTATTATTCTTCTTCTTGCCCTGCATGCAGTCGTCAGTGGTTGCCGGACGCTTGGGGCCTCGGTATGCCGACCTTTTTCGCCGAAGCAGCTGGGGCGTCGGGCTCCTCGTCTTCTTCTTCTTCCTCCTCATCGTCATCCTCGCCTCCAAGCTGCAAATAATGGTTAGATCACGATGTGTTGTCTGCAACAAGCGACTCACCGCTGCGAATGCATTGACCGGGGCAGATGGACCGGGAGTGTCCTCTTCGCTCTCCTCCTCTACCGCATCTTGTGGCGACGTGGCAGCGCCGAGCGACTGGATCTCCTGGACCTCTCTCTGCTTTCTTTTGCTCAGACGTTTCGACATTGTCGTTGACTGTTACACCAAAACTCGAAAACAGCGTCATTGACAGATCACTTTTGCGAGATTGCGACCCTGGTTTAAATGAGCCACGTTTTGCGGGGCTGGCCGCATTAAGAACCAAGCTACATTGGAATCAGGCTTCGAGTGGTGTACATGATTCATGACAGATACAGACACATAACCCCATGCTGCCATAGTCCCCGGCGTACAACAAAAGCTCCAAAGCTGATCAAGCGATCAACAAAGGGCAAAACGTTAGTAGTGCCACGAATGAAGCGATCAAAACATCGTGTGTGTATACGTGCGCACATGGAGATACAGTTTCCTTTTACCCCACCGCTGAATGAGAAACGGACAAACCCCAATGTTGTTAGTATAGGGTAAGTAGCTGTACAGCCGCAGCTTTTCCTCGTGTTGCTTCATTTTATGTGCGGGTCTGCTTGGCGCTCTCCCGGGCGTCACTCTCGGCCTTCTTCTTCTGGGCAGCGTCCACTTTCTCGTCCTCTTTCTCTGGGCGCCCCGAGAGCTCCTGTGCTGGGCCGCCGGTTTGGCCGCCAGTTTTTCCTCAGTCACAGCACTGTCGTTGTAAAGAGTGTCTTCGAGAGCGATGCGTCTTTGGTCACAACGGTCAAGGAAGACCTTCCAAGGAGACCCAGTCCGCTTCAGGTCATCCGCCTTGCCCGTCCCGTGCACCGTCCACAGGTGCCCATGTCTGGTGCAGCAAATGGGCGAACCCCTCGAGCCCCATCGACCACGTCCCCGCCCGCCTGACAAATTTGAGATAGTCAATTTCAGTTTGCTTGGGGTCAATGTCGATTACGAAGAGATTCCGTCAACCCGCACTAACATCGCCGGATGCTTCCTGTGATATCGGTCAAAGGGGCTACTCAAATGGTCAACACCGAAATGACAAAGGTCCACATATATGTCACGTACTATTTTGAAGTCTTCTTACAGGAAGCACATCGGTCCACCTCGCGCTTGGCGCGGTCAGAACAGGCTGGCCAGTCAAGTCCCTTCATGTGTTCACCACAGATCCTTGAGCCAGAACTGAAGGGCATGATTCCCTTGGGCATCTTGGCTGCAGAGCCAAAGTATGACCAAGATTGGCTCGGAGGACCTTCTCTAGCCCAGACAAGCTTGTCATAGACGCCGAAAGCGTCCGAGGCAACCTCGGGTATGCAGTCCTTGAAGTCAGCCACAGTCGGTGCCTCGTCCCCGTCGAACTCAACGGGGAGCTCTATATAGCCCGCCTTGGCAAAGTACCTCGGTACATGGCACCAGCCCTTTCTAATTTATTCGGTGGGCCGAAATGACCGGCCAACGTCGAAAAGGGTGTCGTAAGCGCGGATGATCACTGTGGGTGTTTGAGCTTCGCTTTGAGCTGGCTGGGGGTGCCATATTTCAAGATTGTCGTCGTGGGGACCTGGTTGGTTTGCGCAACTCCATGAGAGAGGGGAGGCTAGGAGAAGAGGGGGCATTATGCAGGTCGGCATGGTGAGTATGTTGGCGAATATGCACCTGGCTGACGTGAACCATTCGAGGTGGTCGTGAGACTCGAATATTCTCTAAAGACGTTCAGTGAGCTCGGGAAAGGTGTACGAGGGTCGGGACTTACATTCTTTGAGATACATGGCAGCTGCGAGATGACGAGGATGATACCTTCAGATGCCCGGTGGCAAGGTGCCCTTTTGTGCGCGGCGCAGACCACACCCGCCTTGAAGCGACTGAGGGGCTAATCACAGCCTAGCGATGTACGCCATTGGCCAGCTCAGAATACTCTTTCGTGCGTACTGTCTTCCTAGCGTCGCTCGTACTTGATGCAGCGATATACGCATTGGCGTCGCGAATATGTTTGAAGGTTGCTGTCGGATTGCGACAGCCATTATTGTCTTGGCACAGTCCGCTGTAGAGATGCTGGCGGACGGGGTGGAAAGAGGTGGAGACTGCTGGAGAGCGGTCTATGCTTCGTTTGAAGCAGCTTGAAGCAGCTTGAAGCAGGCTTGAAGACAACTTGAAGAAGCAGCTGGGCCATATTTGGTTCCGAGCGCGAGAACCGCCTGCGACGTTAAAAATGTGATTAATAATTACGTCAACGGAAGCAAAGATCGGGATTTGGGTGTGGCACTTTGCAGCGAAATTCCTCTCCGCGTACAGTGATTTGGCTATTCTGTCCTGTCCTATTCCTCAACCCTCAAAACTACCAAGATGGCTGAGCAGACCGAGAAGGCTTTCCAGAAGCAACAGTTGTTCCAGAACGCCAAGTCCAAGGGTGCGTCCCCCTCCCCCTGCTACCCCTGCTGTCGCTGACGGGATGTTCTTGACCTCTTTTTCCATCGACACAATCCCCTCTTCGACAAAACCTTCACCTCATTCAATCACGCTGGGATACTCTGCTGGGATGATCGTTGGGATGTACAGGCGGCAAGAAGATTGCCACCAAGACCAAGCGATGGTACAAGGACGTCGGTCTCGGCTTCAAGACCCCCAGCGGTAAGTCGCGATACCGGCGGCAGGGAAACAGCAGCAAAGGAAAATATGGGAGATCAGGGGACGGAGGGATGGTGCTGCCCGCTTCCTGCCGCCAAGCTGTTGCTGTTGGGACCCATGCTCATGGATTTCGCAGAGGCCATCAACGGTACTTACATCGACAAGAAGTGCCCCTTCACCGGTGAAGTCTCTATCCGAGGCCGAATCCTCAACGGTATTGTGCACTCTACCAAGATGACCAACACCATCATCATCCGACGAGAGTACCTCCACTTGTATGTCAATTTTGACAGGATTGAGGATTTTGGAGAATCGACGCTTATTTTTCTACAGCATCCCCAAGTACCGCCGATACGAGAAACGACACAAGAACCTCGCTGCCCACTGCTCTCCCGCTTTCCGTGTCGAGGTTGGTGACCAGGTTACCGTTGGTAAGTACAGCTAGTACATTGTGGGATTTCACTAATGTCTACAATCAGGCCAATGCCGACCTCTCTCCAAGACTGTCCGATTCAACGTCCTCCGTGTGTCCAAGAACAAGGCCGCGAAGGGTTTCGCCAAGTTCTAAGAAGCTTGACGAGCTTGGGTCTGGTAGTTTGGGGCGGTAGTGTGTATCATTGATGCATGGCATATCTAGGAAATGGCTATCGTGGGTCGTTGGGACGGGTTGGAGTCCGGGGATGTGCCGTTCTGGGCTGGCCATCTGACTAGTGTTGCTGCTTGTACACCGTTGCAGAAAAGAGGTCGCTGGTTGCAATAATTATAACAAGACATTTGAGATCTCCTCTGGCGCACTTTTGGGAAGGATCCTCTGACCCCGCTGCATCAAGAATCACCGAGTACACTTAATAATCTACCACCATCATGCCCACGCTGGGTCTATCGTAAACATCTTGCGGGTACACGACTTGGTGACGGACTCATGGCAGCGGTCCACGTAGCGGCGCTCGCCGTCCTCATGTAACCGCAACGACAAAGACGTGCACATAATATAGCAAGATGAATCCCTCTTGATTCTCCATTCCATTTCCATTAGATATACAAGATGCCTCCCCGCCGCCCACAGACCATCGAAACCCTACTCCCCCCCATCCTCGACCTTCTCCCCGACACCTACTCTGCCCACCAAAAAGCACTCACCACAAGCGCCCGTATCCTCCACGCCAACCCTCCTCAGCATGCTGTCGCCGTCGAGATTTTTTTCGCTGTCGGGAAGGAGCTATTGAAGCTTGGTGAAGGTGGCTCCGGCACGGAACTGGGTGTCAAGATGGTGGACACTATGAGCGCTGCTGGCGTCGATGTTCCCGACAAGACAAGAGGTAAGGGCTGTCTCCGTTGTATCAAAGGTATCGTGTACTAATGTACATGGTGTATCTAGCAAACGTGACTCAACTTTTGGCCTTGACGCCCACTACCGGACCATGGCGGAAGAAGCTCGTGGACGCTGCGATCAGGTGGACGCAAAGCACTGGCGAGTGTCCCACTGGTGATCCCAATCTGCATCAATACGTTGGAGAGCTGTACTATCGAGGTGGGTTATTTCACAACAGAGAATTTATAGAGAGCTGACATGTAATTAGAGAAACAGTTTGTCCCGGCTGAACAGTACCTCTTGGCTTCTGGCAAGAGGGATGCGGCCGTCACGCTGGCCAACATGATGTACGAATGGTACGCTCTTCAACTACATCATCAAACCAAAGCTAACCAGTGACAGGTGCCAAAAGGGCGCTCTGGACCCAGGACCATATGCCCTCCGTGGCGTCCTTCCCCCGCTCCTCCACTCACCCCCGTCCATTCTCCCCGCCATCACATTCATCACCACCTTCCTTTCCCTCCTCTCTTCCCCCTCATCTCCATTCCACCCGCATATCCACCCCGCTATTCCCTCCCAGACTGACGCCTCTTTGCCGGAAATCGTGGTGACTGCGAGCCCGAGTTTGACCTTCGCGCAGTTGGTCGTTGTGACGGTGCAACATGCGCCGAAGAAGGGCACGTCCGCGATTGAGGCGCGTGGGACGGATGGGGGTGTTGCAAGAGAGTGGAGGAACCTTTGCATGAGGTATAGCAAAGTCAGTAGCGTTGTGGCGCAAAGGGAGGTGCAAGAGGTGAGTCGTCAAAGAAGTCGGATGGATTCGGCTGACGCGTGGCATAGGCTCTCTCGCAGATTGCCGTCGAAGTCTTCCTTGTGCAGCCTCCCCGGCAGGCTGGCAATGCCGACTTGCTGCAAAACCTCATGGGCTCTTTGTTCGGTGGAGGCGGCGGGGGCAGCAGATGATCGCGGAAGAGGACGGACATGATGAATGATATTGGGGATGGGAAATCCGTCGGCCATTGACACTTCGGATAAGAATTATGCATGCACTTGCTGGTCAGAACAATGTAACGGGGAATCTCAAACCATACCACTGAGATCTGTCTCCGCAAAGTACCCTTGTGGGTATAGAGACCAGATCCGACGGCAGAGGGCAGATCTGAGATACGACGCGTCCCCTCATGTCCATCCTCCAAGTCTAAGCGATGGTCTGTATCGGACCGGGACATCTAGGGGTGAAGACTGGCTCGGGACTGGCGTGGCTTGTGTCGAGCCCGCGGTAGAGACAAGTGCATAACTGCTTCCAGAAGTTGAGCTTTCAAGGCGAGGAGCCAGGCAATTATAATGACCATCAATCAAGTGATGCGTAACGGATTCATCTTTTTACAAGGCTCTACAAACACCTTTTCCCTTTTGAATGCAATAACAACGTGTAAAGAGCCTTTCAAGGAAATGCCGAGCGAAAAATGACAAGAAGAAGGTCATGAGATGTAGGGAAGACTACTCGTACTCTATACGGCTGGCAGTCGTCGTGACGATTGAAAACGAGCCTATGTGATGGTAATATATATACAATTATTATAGCAACTTGATACAGCTGTCAAAGCGTAGATAAATTGTCCAAAATGTGGTCAAATGTAGAGACCGATAGAGATGATGATGACGAAGTATGGATGATTCCCAAGAAAGAACCAAACTAAAAAAAAAAAAAAAAACTAAACGCTCCCGCGAAGCAAAGGAAGCACTATTTGATCGCCCTCCAAAATGAAGCACGTATATATATATATATATATAAGAAGGCATCAGACATGCAGCCCGCATTGCCCATAAAACCTCTCCATCTGCACCTCGCCATTCGCATCCGCCTCTTCCGCGACAGCCAGCTTGGCCTTGATCAACGGCCCCGCGAGCATGAGACTCTCCATCGCGGAAGTGACTTTGCCGACGACGGGATTATCTTCCCATGACGCGCGGTACTCGTTAAAGGAGGATACGACACGGTTGTTGGGAGAAGAGTGGATGAGGGGTGGTGGGGAAGCCACTCTTGATTTGACGGGCGACTCTGGCTCACACTCTTCGACAGAGACGTAGAGCCTACCAGGCTCGCAGCCTTGCTCGGTATGGGCAGGCATGACGGGGCGGATGAGGGGAAAAGTGGGCTTGGTGGTGGGCGTGACGGGCAAGTCGTCCTCGCTGGTAAACGACGCGGCATCGCTATCCTCATCCTCCTCACCAAAGGCATACGGCGTGTCCGCCATCAACCTTGATCTCGCCTCGCGCTCCTGCCTCTCGCGCTCGACATCCTCTGCCGTAACCGATCGCCAAAGCCTCGTCCCTTGTTGGGGCATCGAGGTGTAGCTGCTGCGCATACTGAGCGGCAGCTCGAGGTTGCCCCACGAACGGCGCACGACCTTGTCTGCCAACCTGCCACGCTCGAGGTTTTCAAGCCACGCGCGCTTACCGTCTTCCCTGTCGTACCGCATCCCGAGCTTGCGCAGCTGGCTCTTGCGTGATGCGATCTTGGTGAGCCGGGAGAGAAGAAAGGTGTACTGGGTGCGCAAGCCAGAAGGCAAGGAGTGGACGGGTGGGAGGGAGACGAGGTATGCTTGCGGGGTGGCACGTGGGGGCAGAGAGTCGACCGAGGTGGCGTCGGTAGACGAGCACTCTGAGTCGGAGCAGGACGACGACGCATGGTCAGAAGAGGTCGACGTGGAGCGGCTCCTTGCAGGTGCAAGTTCCCTAGGTTCGACCGACTTTGACTTGGCAAGCAAAGCGTTGATTTCCGACTGGAGCTTTTCAAACTCGGCAGACATTCTGTTGCACTCGGACTGGATAGACCAAGGCAAGTAGGCCGATGGCAGGCTCTCCTTCAAGACTGACAGGACATAGCAGCGGTATGTGTCGACGAGGATGGAGCGCGCCAGACGCCTGTGAACGCGGGCAGAGGCAGACGATACTGTTTGCGCGCGTGGTGAAGGCTGAGATTGCACCTGAGGCGAGCTTGGGAGAAGGGGTGAAAGAATGTTGTACAAGAAGGAACGACGCGGTACGTTATCTCCCGCCTCGTTGTAGACTGATGCTGACGAGGAGCCGGCAGAGCTCGAGCTTGTTCTTGGGCTGGCTACTGGACTGGGCGCAGTGGTAGCAAACGACATCTGAACTTGGTCGACCACCCTGTCGAGGCGCTTGACACAGTCGTCGGTGATGGGCATAGTCATGGAGGTGCCGTCGACAAAGTTGACTGCGATAGTGAGGAGTGGGAGGGAAAAGGTGACATCGTCAATGATGCCTGCGACCCAGCTGGCGCACTCGCCGAGGAGGATGTTGGGGCACTCGACGTTTTCCTGTACGCAGAGGTTGCGGTGTGAGAGGAGGGCGGGGGGAAGGGGCAGGGAGCGCGAGCTGGGAATTGTGAGTGTTTGTCGGGCTGCGAGGAGGATACTTACGTGTAGGGGTGGGTCGGCAGGGGGAGGGTGAAGAGGATGGTGAGGGGGGAGGGGTTGTGGGGCGTGGGGGTGGGCAGGAGGCGGAGGAGCATGGTGCAAGATGGGCGGGGGGCAGGAGTAGGCAGGAGTACAGAGGCAGGAGAGAGAGTATATAGGAGGTGGATTACAGTACGAGGCGCAGAATTGAGTATGTACATATACGTACATACCGTAAGCCGAGACCCCCTTTCGATCGGGTGCGGATCGAACGGATCTAGATTCCCAGGGTGCCAGGCACGCGCCCAGGATGACGCGAGGTTACATCCCGCAGTTCTCAGTCCGTGCCCCCTTTGGCCCAAAGGCCAGGCCGGTCCTGAGCCAATCTTGTTTGCACGGTGGAGGCTCGTTTGCATGCATCTGTGGATCTGTGCTATCCTCGTGCTGGTGCGGTCTACAATTTATGGCGCAGGTCACATCTCAAGCTAGCATCGACGGAGGCGGGGCCATCCTCGCATCCATCCACCATCACCATCCATGCACAACACCTCGCTCAGTATGCTTTCGGACACCAAGCAGCGATCACCGCCAGTCACCGTGGCTGTCACGGCCTCTCCCGCCGAACCCAATAACCCCCCGTGTCTTTCTATCTCTCCTTGCATTCCTGTTGCTCTGATCTCGCTATGCCACGCCTCGCCCCCTCCCCCCAGCCCTCCGGCCATAGCCGCCCAGCCCATGTGCACACCGGCGGCAGACACATGTCCACCATCCACAATAACCTCTACGACACTCTTTGATCTTTACGACACACGGGAATCGGCAGTCGCCTTCTGGTACTCGAGCCCGAATCCCGTATTGCCATCTCTACAACTAAAATCATGGCTCTCTTCTCCCAATGACGCGACTCACCCTGGAATACAAATTACTGATCTCACTGACATGATTGTTGCAGCAGAAGTGGATGTATATCAGACCCGCATCCCGCATCTCCCTCTCCCTCTTGCGATCTTTTACTGTTCACATTCACTTGCTTCTCTCTTACGGCTCCTTTTACGACCGTGGGTCGCTGGTATGATTTATCGATTAGTGAAATGGGATTAGCAAAGTGGATCATTCAATCTGGACTATATCGTACGCGGTACACGGGTTGAGTCAACGAGAAGTTGATGAGCGATGAGCACTTTCCATAGCCGATGATCATTTGACTGCAGAGTATTCAACTTGAGCGAGCCCCGAGCACAGCTCTTACCGACAATCGCCGGGTCCAAGCCTCACTATCAGCCCACTACCTGTGGTTATGGTCTCAAAGAGGCGGAACAAGACACACTTGGAGCGTAAGCAGCAGCAATGTATCAAAGTTGTGCGCGAGTTTTATTGTACGCGTAGAATTGCGTGCCACGCGCGCCATTATCGTATACATACGTACGTGTAGTATACAAGTATTGGATCACTACTCCAATATCTTAGGCAGGATACAGTACTCGTACCCTGTCGCCTGCTCTTGGGGTCGCTGCTTTGGGTTCCCCCAGACACCCTCATCAAGTTGCTCGCGAGATGTCCCGACCCCATCTCCTCCTCGTCGCGAGGTTTAACGCTACCATGCTACTCCATCCCTCCAGAGTTGGAAGACATTCAGAGATCAGACATCCCAAGGTAACACACGACCATTATACTTGTATAAACGCGCACTAAATCGGCGCGCCTTCTTATCGGCCCCCTTAGCCCCTTATCATACCGAACCATACGCGGTGGCGCACAAAGCCTCAAATCCTCAAAAGCATCTGGCTCAACACAAGCCCCTCGTCCGCTGACGTAGTCGAGCCAGCAAAAGCATGGCATGAAACCTTGGAACTCGCCGCAACGCGGCATCTTGTTTTTTTTGGGTTGGGTCTAGTTCGATCACACCTTGGCTCTTTGTTTTATCTTCTGGGTTTGATAAGTGCCGCATATGTACTTGAAATTTAAAAATGGTCGCGACTCTTTGCCTTCAACCGCGCACCGCGCGTAGGCTCGACACAAAGCCCCTCGCTCCGACGACGCCAGCGGCTTGCGCCGAGCCTACACCGCGCGTAGATATGTGATATGTGATATGTCTCAGATCTCAGACTGGGTTTCGGGGAATTCTGGGGTATGGGTGTATGTAGCTTCTTTTTTAAGTCTTCTTTTCAGTCACCAGTTACCAGTTACCAGTTACCAGTTCCCAGTTCCCAGTTCCCAGTTCCCAGTTCCCAGTTCCCAGTTCCCTCTTTTCAGTTCCCACGTTGAGCCAGAGTCAGGACCAGAGATCAGAGCGAGATCAGAGACACTCGTTGGCCTGGCCAGGCTCCAGCCCAAGCCCAAGCAGAATCCAGAACGCAGAAACCCGAACGCAGAAAGCCAAGGCAAGAAGACCTCGCGCGAACGCTAATAAAAGGGTGAGCCTCGTTCAACTCTGAGGCGCACCACGCTGGCACGCATGGCTCCTTCCACCCTCACCGTCGCAGATCCCGTTCTCGCATTCCATATCGAGCCCCTTTTCTCGACGTTTGTCACCTCTGCTCTGAAGACATGTACTGTCACTCCTGTCGCTGGGATTAGATTCCTCAAGGGCGAAGCGTACTGATGAAGGAAGATATTCTCAGTCGCATGATTGATGTGGCCAGTTGAATGAAGCTGACTGCAAATTTACTGACCATGTTCATTCGACAAACTACGTACAATATGATGGTCATCGATCAATGATACATACAGTCAACATGAACGGGCGAATGGACCTCAATTTGGAAGTCATCGTTCATTGTTGACACATGGATCGAAGATTACGATGCATAACGTTGTGGGTTTACGAATGAGTGTATGTGATAAGATAGTAGAAGGCCAACAAACAGATGGTGATGGGCGTCGGACAAAAATGCAAGGGCTGACGCTAGTAGCTCAGCTTGATTACCTTGTCCTCGGGAGCTAGAACTGATATCAGTAATATCATCTCGTGAGTAAGAAAGGTGGGCTAACCGTCTGCATGATGATAGAAAGCCAGTAGGAAGAGGCCTTGCGTTTCTTATATTCCTTCGGTACTTCCACTCTGACCTAGAGTCCATTGAATCTTAGCCACTCCAGTGTCAGTATTCACCGAGGGACTCACCTTTCGACCCGGCTGGTCGGTCTCACTGTAGTCGACAAACGTGGAGGTCGGCATTTCCCAATCAAAGTCGCTGAAGCGCAGCTTCTTCGTCTTGCCTTTCACCTTGTAGGGGATGATGTATTCGACAGTCAGCTGGGACCTATCAGCACCATCACCGAGGTATCAGCTTGACTTGCATACCCTTACGCCATCGACAACAAAGTGTTCGAGTATCACTTTCCTTGCGCTTTCAGCGGTGGAGAACGTCACGAAAGCGAGCCCTCCCTGGCAGCCTTCAGATGTGTCGGGCAAGACGCTCTCTTCCACCACTCCATATTGTTCCAAGGATACCTGTAGAATTTCTGGCACTATGATCACTGATGCTTGGAGCGGTACAAGTAGCAAGCTCACCGGCAGTGGTATGCTCCTTGTTAAGACCTCCAATAAACAGCTCTCGTCGCTCATCCGCCTCGAAGCTGCCCGCTTGGGGGAGCACCGCTGAATGAGAAGGCGGCACGTAGTCTGACTGTGCGTCATTGGGTGAGATGGGGGGAGACAGGTTCTCTTTCGTGCTGCGAGAGGTACGACAGAGGTAGCGCAGATGGATAAGCCGACACGTTTGATGAGACCTCTTCTTCGTCTAGCTCCTTGCTTTTGCATTTCGCTTCAGGCTCTCTCTTGACCCGAGAATAGCTTTGGGGTGTAGACTCTTCCCACTCAAGCACAGGCTCCCTCTTGATCCAAGAATGATAGTCGAGAGCAGACTCTTCGGGTTCAGACACGGGCTCCTTCTTGATCATATACGGACTCGTGGGCGCAGAATCTGGAGCAAGCGTCCCGGGTTGGACTGCTTGGACTGAGGGGATGACAGGCTTGATACTAGATGAGATCAAGAAGAAGGGCTCAAGTCCCTCGAGAAGGGCGGTGAGGTCTGCTGGTTGATTGAAGACTATCTGGAAGCATTCCGAAAGCCTCCCTACAGCATGTTGGTCCCTGGGCGAGCGAGATGAAAAAACATACTGTTCCGGGCGGCTGAGGCGATCCTGCAGGCCTGTCATATCTGAAAGCCGCTTGCGTCTCCATGAAGGTGATGCGTCGGACGGCTCGCGATGGCAAAGCGACGAGTGGCAGAAAATTACAACACACCTGAGCTTGATCAGCTGCCAATGTTGGGTGATCCGTGCAGACATACCAGAGGTGTAGAGCTTGCCTTGATATCAAAGTGTAGTAAGGAGCCGTCTGGCCACGGGGTAGCTGATAGGGTGCAGTGGGCGCTATCGCAGATACGGGTCAGAATGTCAAGTAGATGATCCGGAGAGTATCTCACTCACTAGACTCCCACTCGATATCTTTGGTCGTGGTACCAGCTGGAATGAGCCTGGGGCGGCAGATGCTGACACGGGCGAGAGCGTCTACAACTATGAGCTGCTGCCATGGCCTGGGACACTCACATTCTCGCTCAGGCATGATGTGACTTGATTCTATGCAGAGAAGAGAAGGATAAACGGGAAGCAGAAGAGACATGAGAGATGCAAATCCATCAGCGATCAGTGCGAGCCTTGGCACGGACCCACAACGGACGGTCGACCCAACCGCCACTTCTGTTGCGTAGGCATGGCTCTCAGGCGTTGTGCAGTCCTGAAGCACTTCCAGACAGCTCCCACAGCTGGCCCTGGAGCCCTGGAGTAATCAGCACGGGGAAGAAACGAAAGCTCGCCATCTATGCATCAACGTCTACGAGGGCTCACGAAAATATGACATTATCGGCTACATGGGTGTCATCATGTAACAAGTATAGATGGCCGTTGTGGTCAATGCGATTCAGGGTATCGATCATGAATTTCAACCACCAATGTCCTCCCCAAAGTACTCTCTCAACTCTCGTCCCACGGCGCGAGCTACGAAAGCGCAGACACGCATCCCTCAAACGTCAAAAAGATCACCATGTTTGTCTAAAAGCATCCGTCAGTTTGTTAAGCAGCAGGAAAGATGGTGCACTTACTGGTACGGCTCTGTGATGGCAGAAAGGCGACCACACATCAGCAATGTAACAACGAGCTCAGAGAACGCACCTGATCAATGTAGGTCCAAGGCCGGCAAACATGACCCTCCATCCTTCTTTCCTCAACGCGTCCCTAGCGACATGCCTAAAGCTCGGTGGGCTGGGTCTGGGCTGACTCGGGTCGAGGACATTTGGCCATGTGAAACCTTGCATGCGTGTCTTGAAGACGTCCACTGGAAAGGTGACCTGTTGCGAGTCTGCGTGAGCTTGAATCCGGTCATATTAGCAGGCACGCTCACAAGCCAAGCAAGGACACCGGCAACACCTCCTGCAGCCATCAGTTCTGGCCATCCCAAACCACTCTTCAGTTCCATCTCCGCTTCGTCAATCAAAGTGTAACCTTCATGCGTCGGGCCATGGTGAGCCGGCGGCAGAGGAGGGCGTTTCATCCATCTGAATAAGCGTAGTGTCGCTTCGTACCTAGAGCCTGGGTCAGCGACATCGTCATATTTCTTAGGGAAACTCACGTGAAAAAGTATGGGCCGTATGCTGTATCTCTCAACGCCGTCGCCGACAGCCCACGAAATATGCCTCGTATCCCATCTTGTCTGACGATGCTCTTAAGCACGCCTATTGTCGTCAACTTGAGGCTTGGGGGTGCAGATTGTTGACGGATCTGTGAACAATACATGAGCCAACGATCTCTCGAGTCGATGGGACTTACCTTGATCAATTCGGTGGGGCATGTGAGCAACCTGTGCGAGTCAGCATTGCACAAAGCTGCCTGTACTCACGATGCGACTACACCACTACCCGTACCCGCCAGATATATTTGACCCAGACTGGGATCTTGCTGTGATCCCGGAGGCAGTTGGAGCTTCATAAAGAAGGAGTATGATGTGAACACCACGCCGTTGATCTGGAAGATATCAGTCTAGACTCTGGATGAAACCGCCAACAATGATATAAACTTGCAAAAGCTATACCAGCCTATGGATATCAAAGTCAGCATTGAAAATTAGAGGGATCTATCAGGCATACCATAGGCGACATGACTCCTTTGAACAGCCCTCTAAACTTTTCTTCTTTCAATATAGCACCTGCCGAGTAGATCAACGACTGAACCATTTGGCAAGACCGGGACCTACTCAGAGCACCAAACGTAGACGTGTACTGTCCGCTGAAGCTGGGGGATTGGAACCGAGACTTGACTAGGTCAAAAGGCTGTCCTACGACGAGCCCAGCAACGCCTATCCAGCCGAATCAGCATTTCTTCATGGGCCGGCTTTGGACTCGAGACCAACCTGCAACAACACCGGCACCAAAGTCTACAGCCGGGGAGGTCTCGCCTGTGCTCGTGTCAGTCACATTGGCCACTACAGCGGTGAGAAAGGCTCACCACTGCCCTTTCCTTTGCCATTGTTGTTTCCGTTATTTATCTGGTCGTTGACCATGGAGGTTTGGCTGCCAAGGACATGTTTGGACGACTCTCCATGGTTGTCACTCATCTTCCTTGGATATGCCTGTGACTATGGCCTGAGCTCACAGGCTGGGTATGCGTTTGAGTGTAAACCGGAGGGAGCGAGCTGATTTGGAGCTGATGACGCTTGTTTTGCCGAGGCCCGCCTGATAGCTCGCGTGATAAGGAATGATAAGGGGCTATAAAGTCGCCCGGCTTGCTGTCACTTGTGATGTGAAGAGGAGGAAGTGAGGTGTATGAGGTATATTATTGAGCGATTGTTGAAAGGAAGAGCAGTGCAGATACTTGTGAATGCTTTGCAGCGCGTACGGCTAATATTTCCGGAGACTCCAAAACCGCGCTCATCCAGCTCGTCACTCGTCTTCAACAGCTATCCTCATATTACCCGCGTATCCCCCCGGCGTCAGGACAGAAGTATACGTTCCACACTGCAGGCTACAGCACTACGTCCTAGAACGCCCCAACGCAACCGCAATGATGAACCTCGATGAAGAGGTCCGACTATGGACCACCAATACCGAGAGGGAAAGAACAGAAAACATGGCAACCTTGTACAGTATCATTGTCAGTCTCGAGTATCTGGAAAGGGCGTATGTGCGGGACTCTGTCACTGGCAAAGAGTAAGTCGCTGATCATCAGTCGTCGTGTACCTACTGACAAGGTCTCAGATATGCACCAGCATGTATCAAGCTGCTAGCGCAGTACAAGAGTCTGATGAAGCTACTGGGTGAAGATGTAGGGGGAGTTGAAATGTTCATGACAAGATTCAAGGTATACCAAGCGGTTTCTGCTTCTGATCACCGCTGACCGTACATCACAGATGGAACACCCAGCCGCCTTGCATCGACTGACAGTGGGAGTACCAGCAACTGTAGAGCATTCTGCAGAGGCAGAAGAAGGAGGGGCGGAGAGAGGTAAATGGGTGGCTGAAACGACACAGGTGCGTCCCATCTCCTACTTAGGACACTGGCTGATCACCGAAATCTAGTCATTCATCACCTTCATGGATGCCCTCAAGCTGAATCTACGCGCAAAAGACCAGCTCCACCCCTTCTTGACTGAGCTTATGAGCGGCTATTCGCGGTTCAAGGGGAGTCAAGAGTGGGAGGGACGGGGCAAGATATTGCATTGGTGGGTGCATCACGAGCTTCAGTACTAAGTATGCTGACCTTGCCCGTAGGCTGATATCGCTGAATGCCATGAAGGCAAGCGATGAGATCAGTGAGGAGCAGTCACGGCAAGTATGTCGTATATCTTTTGCTCAGCAAATATCATGGCTCACTCATTTGTCAGATGTCGTTCGATATTGAAAACGCCTATAATGAGTTCTTCCGGTCACTGAGCGGCAAGAGCTCGTAGTTGTATCATACTTCTTGTACTATTGCATGTATACCAAGGCTACGAAAAATCTAGCCATTAAAATGGCATGATGGTTTGTGTGGGTGCTCACGGGCTCTCTGGGCAGAATCGACCCTCCCCCGTTGTCCTTCCTTGTCTCTTCTCTCACATGCACTCACTCGCTGCAGAGCAGCAGACACTGATACAGAGCCTCATTTCATGTCAGATCCTAGCCGAAGGACCCACCCAAAGCCAGGCTTCGCCATCTAGCCCCACTCCAAGACCTCTCGCTACTCTCACAACGCCACCATAACCCTGGACCGACATTGTTCTACCGAAATCCACAGATGGCTACCAGCTAATCCCAGTGTGAAGTCGCGAGCACAAGACTCTAGAACGGGTAGTTCTCTCCTATGGCAAAAGACGCAAGCAACCATCGGGATCCAAGGGACAAGTGAAGAGGGGGATACAGCATTGTTGATCTTTGAGCGTGGCTGCCAGAAGCGAAAGGAGTGAGAGCAAGATGCCGGGCGCTTGGGGGGTATTTGAGTCGTCGGTCAAGATTGGGCTGACACTCTCGATCCCAAGGAAAGGCGAGTGAAGAGATGTAGCTGCTGTAAACGTGTAGAGATGGCGACATGAGTAGTCCAGATAGGATCGAAACCAGAGCAGCAACCCCGCCATAGCCAAAGCTATGCAGCTCAATACTGAGCGCCTTCTTCGTCACAATCCCGCCTGACGATCACACCCGGGGATCCCACCTGACGCGCACTTGTCTCCAATGCTCCATCAATCACACGCCACTCGTAGACACTCACCGCAGTCCAATCCCGCTCTTTCCATCCACCAGCCTTTTGTTTTCCGCACCAACAGGGCTACCATCGCTCTCCACCCTCGGGCTATTGTAATAGCGTGACAGGATAGAATGACAGCGCGTTTTGTGTGGCCAGAAGACCTCGCTCGTTCCGCATCCACAGCGCGAGGGCCGGAGGGAACAGAGCCGTGCCAAATTGCGCTCTAAAAGCACTAGGCACCACACATCATAGAATCGCCGGCCCAGCATTCTGCTCTCACAGAAAACAAGGTCCTCGACCAATGACTTGGTCGTCCCAGCTCTTACCCGGAGATGGAATGCGGGCATCGCTGTGGAGTATGACCCAAGGTCGTTCGTACACTAGCGCAATGAGGGGACAGACCAGCCGTGTGGGAGTACGCGGCGGATATATGGGATCAATGCAGGACTGTGGTCGAGTCAACTCTGAGCTCTCTGAGGTCGAGCTTAATAACATACCTTAGGGTTAGCAAGTCCGAAAGGACGTAACTTTCTACCCTATCTCCGATTGCCATATTCCGTCAGGAATACAGCGTGGGTTTCTCCGAGCATAGTGACACCGCGTTGGCGAGGAAGGACAGTTTTGGGTCGAGCAGGACCAGACTGCAATAAGGACCCGAAGCGAGGGAGTGGGCATATATCTTGAGAGCGAGACGGTGAACGGGTCGGGTGCGACACGAGCACAATACTGTCGAGGACGAGTGGACAAGCCTGGAACGGAGTTGGTGAAAAGATCAAACACTGCAAGAAATAGAAATCGGCGGACGCGACGCGCTTAGGGCCGTTTACGTAAATGCCGCTTAACGCCGGGAATGTTGAAGCACTTTGTTGAGTCTTTCGACAGCTCAGTATACTCATGCATATCATGGACAGTACGAGTACAGCAAAAGGTTGGAAAGATCGTAATACTCCTTGAAGAAAATCAGTGCAATGTCGGGCTGCCTGGGTGCTAGGTCAATGACAGGTCGGCAGCAGTTCATGTGAGGTTTCAGTGAGGGTTTTGTGACATGCAGCCAGCAATGCCTGACACCGCGCTGTACCAGCAAGAAGATGTATAGACCAGTGCTGTCTTTGGGCCTTCATCAGTGTCCACTTGAAGCACCGCCGTCATGAAATGGCCCTATGGGCGTGTGGCTCGTGTGAGTTGCAGTGCGACCTGTACAAGCGTGCCTGAAACGACGCGTCTCAAAATCAAAACAGAATCGTCGTTCCCCGTCGTATGAGTCTCTCAATCTCTCTAGCCAGAATCTCAATCATCAGGATTCCCGATATGACTCTGTCGTACGAGCAGCAGCGTTTACAGAACATCAAGTGAGTTTCAGCGGGTCAACCCTGTCCATACTGACACCGGCGTAGAGACAATGAAGACCTACTCAAGTCTCTTGGTCTTTCCAGCGTAGCCCCTGCTGCCCCAAAGACTCCCAAGGCCACAAATACCAAGCCGACTCCCAGTAAATCCAAGAAGAATGTTACGCCCGGAAGCGCTGTGGTGAGGCAGGCTGCCAACGGCAGCTCTTCCCAAAACACTACTCCTGCACCCCAAGAGGACAGTGGTAACAGACGGAGAAGTCTGAGAACCGGCGGTAAAAACAGGCCCAACTACCTCAAGGAGCAAGTCTCTGGGAGCTACTCGGGAAGCTTGGATGGCTCGCCCTCGAAGAGGAGCTTTGTGGACGATGGTGACGACGACGATGACCGACAGAGGAAAGCTCAGAAGTTGGGAGTGAGACTGCATGACCCGTGAGTGGTAAGATCCCTGGTAGCTCCAAGAGCTGAAGCATGAGCCACAGGAAAACCTTTGGACAGATCCCCAATGTAGAAGTGGGGAGGTGGTGGTCCAGTCGGTGAGCTTCGCAATCTGAATTACCAAACACGTCAGTCAGCGAGCTGAATCATGACAGAATGGAGGCATCCACAGACGCCATACACGCGTAGGTGTTCCCTCTATTCACACACTATATAGAGTCAGTGCTGATATATACTCGTTAGTCCAACAGTCGCGGGTATCTCCGGAAATGCAAAAGATGGTGCATGGTCTGTAGCGCTTTCTGGAGGGTACCCTGACGAGTAAGTTGGACGGTAAAGTGTGAGGCCGTGGGCTGACTTGTTGTGACAGCATCGACTTGGGTTACGCTTTCACCTACACCGGCTGCGGCGGGCGAGACTTGAAAGGAACCAAACAAAACCCTAAAAACCTGCGAACCGCTCCCCAGACCTCCCATCAGAGCTTTGACAACCCTCTAAATGCTGCACTCAAAGTGAGCACAATATTCATTGTTCATTGTGCAACTTGCTGACCATCGCTCGCCCTCATTCTCAGCGCTCTGTGCAGAGCAAAAAGCCCGTTCGAGTGGTCCGCGGCTATAAACTGCAGTCCAAGTATGCTCCGGTCACAGGCTATCGATACGACGGCTTGTACATTGTGGAGAAGGGGTGGATGTCAAAGGGGCTCACGAATGGGCTGATGGTTTGTCGGTATGCGTTCAAGAGGATGGATGGCCAACCCCCTCTCCCAGAAAACGATTTGGGGAAGGATGCGGACGAAGCCGACAGCTCCGAAGTACCGGACAAGAGCGCCGAGTAGCTACAGAAGACCAAGAGGGTGATTCACTTGGGGAGTGCTTATACAGTTAGTAGGCTAGCATGGGGCCGTTTCTACTCTAGCCAGCAGTAGCACTCATTCATCATGCAAATCAGACGAATAAGCAGAGCATATGACACATGGCAGGATTGCGAGCGAGATAAGAGGTTCGGCCCGGGACCAATAATGCCGCATTGTTTTTCCCTGAGTCCCCCCGCCTGGGGACTCCGTCGTCGCTCTTCAATTAATTGTATACGTCGCATTCATTTTTTATCCATCAGTTGACTCTTCTATCTACCATGGCCGTCCCTCCTGCTGTCTGCCAGTTCTCAGACCGTCTCGCCACCGCGCTCAATGCTGCCCAAACCCAGGAGGCCAGCGCCCACGGCAATCACCACCACACCCCTTCGTCCTTCTCCGGGACGTCTTCCGTAGCCTCGCACATCCACGATGGCTCCACACACCACGAACATGGTCATTACCATGACGATGGGGCCGGTGGACTGTGGACACCCGAAGAGCATGGGCATACTCACGAGCATTTGGAACATGCTGGTACGTTCAATCCTTGCTGGGATGAGATAGTCTTGGCGTGGTCAAAAGGAAGATTGATTGGACGCCGTGACTGACATTCTGTCCGCTCTCCAGGAAAGTTTGCCGAGAGGGATATGCCCGACTACAGCGGAAGGAACTGGGAAGAGCGGGCTTTCACCATTGGTATTGGCGGGTAAGTTTTTCGTAGGATTGATACGCTATTGACATGTCCCTGACGTGATTTGTCGCCTAGACCTGTTGGCTCAGGAAAGACTGCCTTGCTACTGGCTCTGTGTCGAGGATTTAGAGAAAAGTACAACATCGGTGAGTATACGAGCAGAACTCGGAAGCCCGCCATATATGCCTTTGTTCGAGTCGCTAACGGTATGCTTGATCTTTTCCCCGACAGCTGCTGTGACGAACGACATTTTCACTCGGGAAGATCAAGAGTTCCTCATCCGAAACCAGGCTCTCCCCGCTGAGCGCATTCGTGCCATTGAGACCGGTGGATGCCCTCATGCGGCTATCAGAGAAGACATCTCGGCCAACATGGGCGCTCTTGAGGAGTTGCAGGCTCAGTTCGAGACTGAGCTACTGTTTGTCGAAAGCGGAGGCGACAATCTTGCTGGTGCGCAATAGTCAAATCTTTATTGAATTCGGACGAGGCTGACCTAGCAATCGTCCATTAGCAAACTACTCGAGGGAGCTTGCAGACTATATCATCTACGTTATCGATGTCAGTGGTGGTGATAAGATTCCCAGGAAGGGTGGACCGGGCATAACGCAATCCGATCTCTTGATCGTCAACAAGGTGAGTTTGATTCAGGTCAGATAGTTTCTCGGACATCGTTGACACATACGTGAAGATCGATCTGGCACCCCATGTCGGTGCTTCTCTCGAGGTGATGCGCCGGGATGCTGCTGCCATGCGTGGTACTGGACCCACCCTATTCACTTCAGTCCGCAACAACGACGGTGTGAGCGATGTCATGGAGGCTATCATCAGCTCCTGGAAGGCGAGCGGGGCGGCCAAGGTGTCTCAGAAGTAGAAGTAGAGTAGGGGTCAACGAGCCATTCGACCCATGCTAGGCAATTTGCTTTGCAATACCCGGGCTTGAGGTCGACCTAATCGATGTGGGCAATGTCTGCGCATACTATACGACTTATGCAATTAACGAGGCAGATGCAAAGTAGAGACATCGCTATACGACACTTGGATGGCGCTGAAGGCGTATCACGAGCACCCTCTTTTTCCATGGACCCAATGCGTGGCTTCCCACTTCAGAGCTCGCAAGGATGCTTTGTACTGCTGCCAGCACTTACAGATCCTTCAAAAGCTGACCAAACATGGTATGCCAGCAAGAGGCAAGAGGAGAGGAGACGACTCGTGCCTTGGAGTCTCCACGGCTCTTGCAAGTTGCCGACTAGGACGGCCGGCGTGGACTTGTGGTATGCCGTTTGTGGCACCCAGGTCATACGACTCTTCATCTTCTCTTTTCTTATTCGGCCACATTAGATGGGAACCGTCAGATGACTGTCAAATCAGCATGCGAGGTCACCCGATCGCATGTAGTGGATGCTATATAAGGCGGGATGTGAACCAGACGACCGGGCGCCTCCTATACTCCACGACCTGTCTACTTTGACCGTCTTCTGATACAGCCATCTCTACGCACGGACCAGCTACTCAAACGAACGAGATTCACCATGGCTGAGCTTGGCATATCTCCCACCGAGTGAGCCAGATTTCATCCGAGAGGGTGGGGGTGAGGGGTGGGTGTGGCGAGATCTCGATCAACAACCAGTGCTGACCGTCAATGACAGCACTGTCGCCTCCGATAGCTCGAGTAGGCATTGTTTCACTCTGTGCCAGACTGCACTACCCTGAAGCTGACATCTTTCTTTCACGACAGTCGAGATCAATGATGCGATGTTCTGCGAGCACGGTCTTGAAGTCTGCAAGTCTTGCGAGTTTGATGCTCGCGAAGGTAAGCTCCAGTTGAGTATAGCTATACCGGGCATTGCTCATCGTCGATCATATCAGACAACGACTTTATGATGGGGTAAGAACTTGCTTCTGAACTTTTCTCTTGACGCTGACACTGATAAAGGGTTGATGCCGCTCCCCGTGGTCCTCTCGAACTTCCTGCCCACTACAAGAATCAGAAGGACGGGTCTTACACCTGCAAGGCTCACGGTAACCCCAACTGCAAGTCTTGCTGTGAGTTATCTCTATCATGATCCTTCTGGGACGGCACTGACTGAGCACGATCATCAGTCAGCTGGAAGAAGCAGATCGTCAAGCTCCACAAAGAGGGCAAGAAGGCCGCGTCCAAGAAGAAGACTGACAGTGGCACGAACCTCTACTGAGCAGTGCGTTGACGTAGGGAAGGAGCTTTGGTGAATGGGGGAGCGGTGTACCGACGTTGGCGATGTTGTCCTGGTGTTGTTGTTGTGATATGAGCTAACAGTACGATCCAGAAGTAACGATGAACAGAAGCATGTACCATATGATATTGAAGATATCCATAAGTCCCAAAGAGTCTGTCTATATACTGTACAACAAAATCATCTGACAACACCGCGATTGAGATGGTAATATTCGCGCCAAGGTAATGCCCGCCCTTCTCTAAGCCTCAAGTCTCAGGCCGAGCTTGACCGTCATCATGTTCATGTAATCCTCTAGAGAGAGGCTAAGTTAGCGCCGTGTCGCATGTTTTCAAAGCTGATAGGCTCACCAGCTTGTCGACGCATACTCCAGTATTCCTGCAAGAGTTCGTTGATTTCGTTCTCGTGCTTGGTGATGTACGCATTCATTTCCGAGTCCAACTTTTTTTGCTGCGCCAACAGCGTGTCACGCTTAGACTGCCACTCATGTCTTTCTTTCGTGCGCTTCATGTATCTGGAAGAGTGTCAGCCAAGATACGATACTTCCTGGGAGGCCGACTTACTCAGCTTTGAGTTCCTCAATCCTCTTGGCGCCCTTCTCGCGCAATTCCTTCCTCATCTCTTCCTGTCTGTCAAGCTTGTGGCTGGCGTTCAGCAGCTGCTTCTGCAGTTGCTCGAGCTTGGCTGATAGACTTTGGCTCTCAACGCGCTTCCCTTCCAGCCTTCCTTCCAAAGTTGCCTTGCCCCGCTTTGTCTCTTCTGCTTTTCCTCGTTGCTCTTGAATGCCGTGTTCGAGGTCAATCAGACTCTTGAGATCAACCTCGAGAGAGCTGATGACATCCAGCCGATTTGAGAGCTCCCGAGCCTTTTGCTGAAATGAAGCTAGTCGGGCCTTTTCGCTCTGAATAGAGTATGTCATTTCAGAGATGTGACGCCTGAGGCGATCCGGAGATTGGACCAGTCTTGACTCGGCGGCTGCCTTTTGGAGGTCCATTTGCGTCATGACTCTGGTGTTACTGGCCTATAATCCTAGTCAGGCATATGTTGGTAAGAGCATTGTCGACTTACAACTAATTCAAGGAATTGCTGCTTCTCCTTCTTGAGCTCGTCGTACTCGTGCGTGATCTTGACACGAGCCGTGTTCAGCTCCATGAGCTCACTTCTCAAGCCCTCATTCCTCTGCTGCGCCTTTTCTGATTGAGGTCTGTCGGCTTCATTCCGTTTACTGGCAGGGCTCGTCAGTATACGCGGCGTCACCATGCGAAGCAACCCACGCTATTTCTTGAAGCTGCCGCTCCAAATCAATAGACTTCTGACGCATCTCGAGAGCCCTGAAGATTATATCAGAACATGTGTGTATATCCCTCGCGCGTGACTCACTTTCTTTGCTGCTTCACATACGCTTCTTGATAGATAGCATGAGTCTGCATCCGTTCGTCCCTAAGAGTGTCTGTGAGCTCTCTTTCTCATATTTCTTTGATGCCAAAAGATTGCCCACCTAAACTTGGCAAAGTTCATTATGCCACTGAGAGCCTTTCTAAAACGGACAGGCTCAGGTCTGGTCAAATCTGCCATAGCGAAATCGTTGATGCCACACAGCAACGCCAAGCGACGACTGTCAGAGTCTATGAGTGATCTTCTCCAACAGTAGAGATATGGTCATACCAGTGTTTGAAAAACATGACAAACTGCAGCGTATCATTGTACAGATCCTGACCATCGCTTGTCAGCACAAGAGCAGCGCTGTAGACCTGAAAGACGTACCTTGTACTCAATCATGCCCAGCAACGCCTGTTTTGGGCCTTCGATAGCGTCTCCGGTAGCACCCATGAGCACTTCAAGAAGATATGCGTAGATACCATAGGAGCTCGCGGCAGTCGGTTTGGTGATGTCTTCGAGTGTGGCGGGAATCTCTAAAGCGGCGAGACATTCGAGAATGTCCTCGGCTCTGAGGATGGGGAAAGCCGCTTGTATTTGAATTTTGCGACTTTGCTGCGACATCGTGGGTCGGGGGTAGAGTTAATATGCTATGCTCCGGTGGTAGACACAGTTGAGATGCGATGGGAACGCTGTCATGTCTTGTTGACACAAAAACGCGTCCCTTATGCGTTACGTAACAAGCGCGTCAACACAAACAAAAGCAACAGTTACAGTTTTGGCGACATGACCAGCATCACATTCCCTCAACTATCTCTTGTCCCTCTATCCCTCCGTTCACCCGCCATGGTAAACGCAAAGCCAAAGAAGTCAAAGCCGAGCGTAGGGCCAGAGTACCTTACCGACACTCTTCCCTCTCTTCTCCCACCCATCTTTGAGCAAGTGCAGCAAACGACGGCCAACCACCGCAAGAACATCGTCCATCTTCACAAGATCCAAGAACAATGCGCAATCTTCACAGAAGAGACCGCCAAAGGCATCAAGCTCGTAGGAGAGAAGGCTTTCAACACAGCCTTCATGGACATGGTCAGCAGGGTACTGCCGGTCAAGAAGGGCGTCGCTGTGGCCGACAGAGTCATCAAATTCGTTGCCAGCTACGTGATATACTCTACAGAAACGGGCTAGTTGCTTCTACTACAGAAATAACCCCTGCTGATCAAGCTTTGTAGATGCTGAAAACAAACCCGAAGATGAAGATGACGATGAAGACACCGACACCACAGCATCTCGCTTTGTTGGCAAATTGCTTCGTCACCTTCTTTCTGGTATGGAAGCCAAAGACAAGAACGTGCGATTTAGAGTCACTCTATTGACCGTCTCAATGATCAGTGGGCTCGGAGAGATGGAGTGAGTATCGACTCTGGAGATTGTCCATTCCAGCTGACATCTGTTTCCAGTGACGACCTTTATGTGCTTTTACGAAAATCCCTGTTGGACCGGGCAAAGGACAAGGAAGCGGCGGTTAGGGTTCAAGCTACTCTCGGGTTATCCAAACTGCAAAGTGGAGAAGATGAGGATGACCTTGAAGAGGGGCAAGAGCCTCTTGCAAACGTGCTGCTAGACATTCTCCGATATGACCCCGCAGCGTAAGTCTGATAGTGCTCGGCAGAATTTTACGGGCTGACACCTTACAGGGAGGTGCGACGTGCCGCCCTTTACAACTTCCCACAGACCCCGGCGACCCTGCCTCATATCCTTGCACGTACCCGCGACGTCGACCCCATTCTCCGACGAACGGTCTTTGCTGGCGTCCTCGGTGCTGATGGGCTCCCCGACCCTCGTGTCTTGAGCATTGCCCAGAGAGAGAGTGTCGTTCGAAACGGCCTCGGTGACAGAGAGGGGTCTGTGAGGAAAGCTGCTGCTGGGATGCTGGCTGGCTGGCTGGATACGGTTGAAGGAGACATCATTGAAGTACGCAGCATTCAGGATTATAGGTCGACCCAGCTGACTCGGCTATAGTTTTTGAATCGGTTCGACGTGGTTTCCAGCCAAGTGGCCGAAGACGCATTGGTCTCCGTGTTCGTTACCAGGCCTGAGGTGTTTCAGGCTGTGGACTTCGGTGGTGAGTAGAGCCTCGGCATTGCAAGTACTGGCTGACAGGTCATTAGATGACTTCTGGACTTCGTTGAGCCCCGAGAAAGCGTTCTTGGCCAGGGTTTTTGTGGACCGCTGTATCACAACAAAGGTAGGTACATCAGGTTCTCTCTTTGCCGGTACTTACTACGCAACAGGACAATATCCGCCTCGAGGATGCTCTCCCCGTTGTGACCGCCCTTGCTTTCCAGATCCAGGACGAGTACAACAAGCTCGTCAGCTCCACCAATGACGATAGTGAAGAGTCAGACACCGGCGACCGAACTTTTGTGGTTGGGGAATTGCTCAAGTTGGCCGTCAACCTTGATTATGCAGATGAAATCGGCAGAAGAAAGATGTTCCAGCTGGCACGTGAGTTTGCGAGTCGCAGAAAATGAAACAGTGAACCTGATGTCTCTCACAGGCGAAATGATTTCTCAAAGCAATCTTCCGGAATCATTGATCCCTCTTTGCCTTGACGTCCTCAGCAAGATTGCCAACGGCGAGCGAGACCTCATTAGAGTAGTCGTTGATGTCGTGACCGAGCTCAGGGAAGGCGAAGGTGATGAAGAAGATGGGCCGTCTTTCGGCCAGGGATCGGCTGGCGACAACAGCATCAGCGTACGCCGATTGTCTGTCGGTAGTGGGCGAAGTCGGTCTGTTGCTCCGAGGTTTAACATGGACGATCCTGAAGACAGGATGAGAGCTGCCTTGGTGGACCTTCGTTGCCTCCTCATCTGTATCAGTCTGTTGGAGCGAGTGAACTCGACACTCCAGGACAACTCAGTATTCCACGGCTTATTACCCGATCTCATCATTCCTGCCGTGAGGAACAAAGAAGAACCAGCCCTAAGAGACCAGGGTCTCATCTGTCTCGGACTGTGTTGCATGATTGATGCTGTACGTATTCTGGTTGGTAGAAGGACAATGGCTGATTGTATGGTCAGAAAATGGCGGCCAACTCTTTTGGCCTTTTCATCCAACAACTTCAGACTGCAGACGACGAGCTCAAAGTCAAAGTCTGCCAAGTTATCTTTGACCTTTTGATGGTCCACGACATAGATGCTTTGATCTCCAAAACCATGGTTGTAAGCGAGGCCCTAAACAAAGATCTATGGGAAACTGACACGATCTAGCAACGCGACAATGTCGTCGAGCTTGTCAGACATACCCTAAGTCTGGACATTCCAGAAGTTCAGGCGGTAGCATGCGAAGGAGTAGCCAAGTTGATGCTCGCCGGTATGATATCGGACGTGGTTGTGCGTATAACTTTGACCGCTAAGTGACTAGCTGACCCAATTATCAGGTCTTGCAATCTCTAGTACTCCTCTATTTCTCTCCCGAGACTGCTGAAAATCAGCCTCTGCGACAATGTCTGACTTACTTCCTTCCTGTCTATTGCTACACGGCAGCAGAGAACCAAAGGCGCATGCTCGACGTGAGTTTGGATTGCCGTTCATCACTATCGACGCTCATTCCATCACCAGATCTTCTATCACACCTTTGGTATGCTCTCAAGACTTTGGGAAGAAGCAGAAGACGAAGAGATGCCTCCGCTCTCTCAGATTGGGTTAATGATGGTCGATTGGCTTGATCCTTACAAGGCTGTGTGAGTCAGGTGATTATTCCAAACTGCGTCGACTGACATGGGGATGCAGCGAGAAGGACGGATCTTCTGTCGATACTGCCATCCACTTGGAATTGGCTGCCGAAATTCTCAAATGTCTCTTGACAGAGACTCTCCGTAAGCAACTCTAGACGAACCACGCCCGACTGATCGCTGATCTGCCTCGAAGCCGAATCACGCAAAGCTCTAGCTTCGTTCTTATCCAAACTCAGTCTTCCTGAGGAGGCGAGTGAAACCTGGAGACTCAAGTCATTACTAGCACTCATAACTGCTATCCGAGACAAGCGCCCACTATCAGATGCCCCTTCACGCAATGCTGTCAACAAGTTTGAAATCGGGCTCTTGAAGAAGTGGAGCGACGTCCTCGGTGACTTTGATGGGGACACTTTCAGAAGCGAAGCAGAAAGGAACGGGGAGATTGGAGACCTGTACGGGTTCATAGATGAAGTGTAAGTGAACGTCTCCACCACGAACATCGTTTCTGACCGAAATGTCAGTGATGAGATCGACGTAGCTCAGAACGAAGCTGGCACCCGTAAGGGCAAGCGAGGCGCATCGACTTCTCGTCGTAGTCGAAGCGTATCGACTGCCACACGCGATGAGACTTCCGAGGAGGGAGATGATCAAAGTACTGTCACTGGCGGGTCGGATGATGACGACGATGCGACTCCGAGGGCGACGCCACAGACCAAGGGCAAGGGGAAATCCTCGAAGGCTTCCGCCAGCAAGGTAAAAGCCAAGGAGCCCCCAAAGCCCAGATCTTCGCGCGCGAAGAAAGCTTCTGCGGCTTCTGTAAAGAAGGGCAAAGGGAGAATGGCACCTGTCGAGGAAGAGAACGAGGAGCAGGAAGATGAAGAGGATGACGACGACGAGGACGAAGACGAGGACGAGGATTCTGAGGTCGAGAGCATTCTGGATGAGGATGACTTGGATATTTGAATCTTGCTTGGAAGCTTGATATGAAGCGGGCGGTGTATTGTACCAGTACTTATATATGTATTGTGAGGGAATCAGCTCTCTATACCAGACACTCGCACGAAGACCGATAAACACAGACGACAGTCGAGCCAGAGCAATGCATATGCAATTCTACTTTTTATTTGATTCCTGATTTGTACATATATGAAGAGATGAATCTACCAATAGAGATTTTTTGTTTATATCGAGACGGTTGTTCCAAAATGCTAACCCAACACTATGTATGCCACAATTCCTTACACCTCCTAGCTACAGTATACCAAAACATCCTACGCTTCCTGCCTCCATCACCTTAAGCACCCAAGACCAAAGTAAGGAGCGCCATACGGACCTGTGTGATGTCAGCGGTTGCTATGAAGAAGAATTATCCAACTTACGAAAAGACCGTATCGCATTTGCCTAAAGTAGGCTGCTCTCTTCGAGTCAAAGTCGACCTCAGGGTCAATCTCGTTGACTCTGGGCAAGGGGTGCATGACGATGGCAGACTCCTTCGCCTTCTCCAAGACCTTGTTGTTGATGATGTAGATGTCCTTGACAGCCTCATACTCGGAGACATTGTCGAATCGCTCCTTCTGGATACGAGTGACGTAAAGGACATCGGATCTGGCGATGATATCGTCGGTGAGAGTGTACGACTCGGTGAATCGAACACCAGCTCGGGAAGCCTCGGCCTTGACGCTATCGGGCATAGCGAGGGAAGGAGGAGAGACAAAGTTGAGGGTGACATCGTACAAGGAAAGGAGCTTGACGAGAGAGTGCACGGTCCTCCCGTTCTTCAGGTCACCGACTATACATTCATCAGCAGACTTTCTAAAGAGAAGATAGGCGGAAACTTACTCAAAGTGACGGTGATACCGTTCACGGATCCCAACTCCTCTCGAATGCAGAAGACATCCAACAGACTTTGAGTGGGATGCTCACCGATACCATCGCCGGCGTTCAAAATGGGGACAGGACTAGACTTAGATGCAGACTTGGCACTGCCAACGGCAGGGTGCCTCAAAGCAACAGCATCGGCGTAGCACCCAACAGTCCTGATAGTGTCCGCCAGACTCTCGCCCTTGACGACAGATGAAGTAGAAGCGGTCACCTGCACAACTTCACCACCACATCGCTTCATAGCAGTCTCGAAAGAGCTGCTAGTCCTGGTGGAGGGCTCGTAGAAGAGAGTGCAGAGCACTCGTCCTCGCAGAGTGTCAACAGAACCAGATCGCTCAACCGCAATGCGCATCTCGGAAGCGAGGTTGAACAAGGCGTGCAAGTCCTCACGGTCAAACTGGTTGACTGAAAGAATGTGACGACGGGTGAAGGTAGGGTGAGACTGGAGGGACATCAAGCTTCGCTGAGGCGAAGTCTCTCGGATAGGAGCAACAGAGGCCAGAGACATGAGCTTCTCGCCGTTCACCGAAACATTCTCCCTCCTCTCGGTGGTAGGAGACATGAGGCCGGCCAAAGAAGGTCGCTTCTGAGAGGTGAAAGAGCCTCGAGGCTGACGAGGTCCGAAAGCAGATACGTCCCTGCCGAAAGGCATAGAGAAGGTCTGGCCATCGAGGAAGATGGAATGGTCGTTCGCGACGACTCTGTGCACGTTACCGGCGATGGACTGGCCATCAAGAGGAGACCAAGTGTTCTCGACATCGTCGGCGACAAAGGAAGAAGATCGGTTGACCTCAATCTCGACATAAGTCTGGGATTGCTCAGACAAGCCAAAGATGGCGCGAGGGTTCTCGCTGAGTCGTCGAGAGATATCCTCAAGAGTCAATCTGCCCTCAGTGACAGCGGTGAGTAGCAAAGGAATAGACTCGGCAACACCAGATCGAGCAGAGACGGGCTTGCCGAGGGCGGAACCGAGCTCGTAAGGGAGGACACCAACAGAGAAGACGTCGATGCTAGCCAGGTTCTCCCAGAGAGCATTCTGGTCTTCCTTGGTGGGAAGGACCTTGGCAGCCTCGGGGAAATCGTCCTGGGAGTAGAAGAGAGCATAGATAGAGACGTCACAGGTGACAGCAAGGCCCTTCTCTTTCGCCAAAGCAATCAAAAGCAAGTCGTCCTTGGTGGACACACTAGCGATGTGAATGCTCCTGCTGTTCAAGCTCGCCAACAACAAGATGGAAGCAAGGTCGGTGGACCTGGCATCGGTGACAATGGGCTTGTCAACGGGCCAGGCAGCAAAGTGCTGGGCAATGCTGCTGACCTTGTTGACCGAGCCAAAGAAGTTGTTGAAGGGGATGAAGAGAGCCTTGGCACCCGCAGCGACGGCGTCTTGCAAGCGAGAAGCGTTGTCGGCAGTGGCCGCAACAGAGAATAAGTAATCGCAGTGGGCAGCGCCAGAGGCGTTGGCTTGAGCATGCTGAAGGGAGATCTCGTCCTCGACAGCAGAGGAGACACCTTGAGGAACCATCTGCATAATGGTGAATCCACCACGGATAGCAGCCTCGGTAGCATCCCCAAAGTCGGGAGAGTTGGGGGCGGCAGCACCGGGAACGAACGCCTGGACATTCACCAAACCAGGGAAGGTGAAGGTCTGGTGAGAGGTTTGGTAGTCGACGCTCGAGATGTCAAAGGTAGGCTTTCGGATGATAGCCTCAATGAAGAGCTTGGCGTTCTTGACGTTGGTGATCAAGGGGACGGCAAAGTCGACGGCCATTCGTCGGGATTTGTAACCCTCAGAGATGTAGCTGGCAGGTCGTCGGAACCTGTTCTTGGAAGGCAAGTTGATGTACAGGTCGATCATGTTGTTGGCAAGATGCTGGGTCAACGAGTACTCCTTCTTCTGGGGGTTGTCGTCATTCTCAGAGCCGAGGGCCTCGAGGTACTTGACGGGCACACCGTGCTCCTGGATGAAATCGGCGGTACCAGCAGTGGCAAAGAGGTTGTAACCCATTCGGTGCAACTTTTGCACGGAAGGAAGCATTTCGAGCTTTTCCTTGAAGGAACCGATGGACAACAAGATGTTCTTCTTGGGAGGAGTGATACCAGTAGAGATAAGAGCCTTCAAGTAGGCGTCGTATCTGTCCTTGCCGAAGCAAGCAACCTCACCAGTGGAAGCCATCTCGACACCGAGAACAGGGTCGGCACCAGACAATCGACTGAAAGAGAACTGGGGCACCTTGACACCAACATAGTTGGGGGGCATCTTGATGTCGGGGTAGGGAGTGCAGGGCAGGCCAAGCATGACCTTGGTGGCGATCTCGATAGCATCGATACCGGTGACCTTGGAGACGAAGGGGAAGGATCGAGCAGCTCGCAAGTTACACTCGATGACCTTGATCTCGTTGTTCTTGGCGATGAACTGGATGTTGTAAGGACCAGTGACGTTGAGGGCCTGACCAATCTTGGCAGTAGCAACCTCAATCTTTCGGATGGTCTCGGGGTCGAGGTCCTGAGGAGGAAGGACAAGCGTGGCGTCACCAGAGTGGACACCAGCATTCTCAACGTGCTCGGAGATGTAGTGCATCACCATCTTACCGTCTCGGGCAATGGCGTCCATCTCAATCTCCTTGGCCTCCTCGATGTACTTGGAGATGACGACGGGGTGGTCTCGAGAGACGTCGGTGGCCTGGGTGAGGTAGCTGCTGAGGTCGTCCTCGGTGAAGACGACGTTCATGGCAGCACCAGACAAGACGTAAGAAGGCCTGACAAGCACAGGGTAGCCGACCTTGTCACAGAACGACTTGGCCTCGGAGAAAGAGGTCAACTCCCTCCACAAAGGCTGGTCGACACCAATCTTGTCGAGCATTCGGGAGAACTTGTATCGGTTCTCGGCAGTGTCAATCATTTCAGGGGAAGTACCGTAGATCTTGACGTTCTGACGGTAGAGAGAGAGAGCAATGTTGTTGGGAGTCTGACCACCCATGGACAACACAACACCGCTAGAGTGCTCAGCGTCGTAGATGTCGAGGACAGTCTCGAGAGAGATGTTCTCAAAGTACAACTTGTCCGCCTCGTCGTAGTCGGTAGACACGGTTTCGGGGTTGTAGTTGATCATGACAGTCTTCATCCCGTTCTCCCTAAGAGTCCTGATGGCCCTGACAGCACACCAATCGAACTCGACGGAGGAACCGATTCGGTAGACACCCGAACCGAGAACCATCACGCCGTTGTCCTCAAACTCAATGTCGTGTTCAGTGGCATTGTAGGTGGTGTAGAGGTAGTTGGTGAAAGCAGGGAACTCGGCAGCGACAGTGTCGATCTGCTTCACGAAGGGAGTGATGCCAGCCTCGATACGAAGACGACGGACAGCGAGCTCGTTGGAGTTGAGCATCTTGGCGATCTGTCGGTCCGCGAAACCAATCTGCTTGGCGTTTCGGATGAGGGCGGAGGGGACAGTAGACGCGTTGTAGCCACTGGACGACGTCAGTTTGGCGGCGAGCGTGAAAGCAATGAAAGACTTACGAAATGACCTGCTCAGTCTTCACCAATCTCTGCAACCTAGTCAAGAACCAGGGGTCGATGCTACTCATCTGGTTCAACTTCTCCACAGTGTAGCCCTTCTTCATGGCAGCCGCGATAGCGAAGAGTCGCTTGTCGGTGGGGTTGGCAATCTCGTAGTCGAGGTCCTCAACCTGGGCGTGGTCGCCGAAACCGGGCAGCTGGTCATCGATACACCTGATGGCCTTCTGGATGGTCTCCTCGAAAGTACGGCCGATAGCCATGACTTCACCGACAGACTTCATACTGGAGCTGAGGGCAGTGCTGACTCGGTTGAACTTTTTCAAGTCCCATCGAGGGATCTTGACGACACAGTAGTCGAGAGAAGGCTCGAAGCACGCGGAAGTCAACTTGGTGACAGAGTTCTTGATCTCGTTGAGAGGAATGTTCAAACCAAGCTTGGCGGCGATGAAGGCAAGGGGGTAGCCAGTAGCCTTGGAAGCCAAGGCGGAAGATCGAGAGAGACGGGCGTTGACTTCGATGATGCAGTACTCCTTGGAGTAGGGGTTGAGGGCGTACTGAATGTTACA